TGTCCCAAATTCCAGTTGGAATGTGCTCTAGGGACCTTCAGGCATCTTCCCTGCAAGTTTCAAGCAATTTCATTTTTCGGTCAAATTTGAAAAAAATTTGGATCAAATTTGGCCAAAAATTGACTTTTCTCAAAACAACTCAGAAATGTCTTTGGATGCAAGATGGACGAACATCGACCTTCAAACATTGAAAACATTGAAGATTTGGGCAAAAATCAATGATTTATTGAGAAAAAATGAATAATTTTCACTAATTTTGACCCAAATTATCGACGCAATCTTTCTCTTAAGTGCCCAACCTTTCCCAAATTCCAGTTGGAATGTGCTCTAGGGACCTTCAGGCATCTTCCCTGCAAGTTTCAAGCAATTTCATTTTTCGGTCAAAACTGAAAAAATTGCAAGGGGTTAGCCTTACATTTTTGATCAAATTTGGCCAAAAATTGGCTTTTCTCCAAACAACTCAGAAATGTCTTTGGATGCAAGAGGAACATCAATCGACCTTCAGACACTAAACATATTGTAGATTTGGGCACAAATCACCGATTTATTGAGACAAAAATGAATAATTCTCACTAATTTTGACCCAAATTATCGACGCAATCTTTCTCTTAAGTGCCCAATTTGTCCCAAATTCCAGTTGGAATGTGCTCTAGGGACCTTCAGGCATCTTCCCTGCAAGTTTCAAGCAATTTCATTTTTCGGTCAAACCTGAAAAAATTGCAAGGGGTTAGCCTTACATTTTGGATCAAATTTGGCCAAAAATTGACTTTTCTCAAAACAACTCAGAAATGTCTTTGGATGCAAGAAGGACATCAATCGACCTTCAAACATTGAAAACATTGAAGATTTGGGCAAAAATCAATGATTTATTGAGAAAAAATGAATAATTTTCACTAATTTTGACCCAAATTATCGACGCAATCTTTCTCTTAAGTGCCCAATCTGTCCCAAATTCCAGTTGGAATATGCTCTAGGGACCTTCAGGCATCTTCCCTGCAAGTTTCAAGCAATTTCATTTTTCGGTCAAAACTGAAAAAATTGCAAGGGGTTAGCCTTATATTTTTGATCAAATTTGACCAAAAATTGACTTTTCTCCAAACAACTCAGAAACGTCTTTGGATGCAAGAGGAACATCAATCGACCTTCAGACACTAAACATATTGTAGATTTGGGCAAAAATCACCGATTTATCGAGACAAAAATGAATAATTTTCACTAATTTTGACCCAAATTATCGATGCAATCTTTCTCTTAAGTGCCAAATCTGTCCCAAATTTCAGTTGGAATGTGCTCTAGGGACCTTCAGGCATCTTCCCTGCAAGTTTCAAGCAATTTCATTTTTCGGTCAAACCTGAAAAAATTGCAAGGGGTTAGCCTTACATTTTGGATCAAATTTGGCCAAAAATTGACTTTTCTCAAAACAACTCAGAAATGTCTTTGGATGCAAGATGGACATCAATCGACCTTCAAACATTGAAAATATTGAAGATTTGGGCAAAAATCAATGATTTATTGAGAAAAAATGAATAATTTTCACTAATTTTGACCGCAATTTTTGATGCAATATTTTTCCTAAATGCCCAATCTGTCCCAAATTCCAGTTGGAATGTGCTCTAGGGACCTTCAGGCATCTTCCCTGCAAGTTTCAAGCAATTTCATTTTTCGGTCAAAACTGAAAAAATTGCAAGGGGTTAGCCTTATATTTTTGATCAAATTTGACCAAAAATTGACTTTTCTCCAAACAACTCAGAAACGTCTTTGGATGCAAGAGGAACATCAATCGACCTTCAGACACTAAACATATTGTAGATTTGGGCAAAAATCACCGATTTATCGAGACAAAAATGAATAATTTTCACTAATTTTGACCCAAATTATCGATGCAATCTTTCTCTTAAGTGCCAAATCTGTCCCAAATTTCAGTTGGAATGTGCTCTAGGGACCTTCAGGCATCTTCCCTGCAAGTTTCAAGCAATTTCATTTTTCGGTCAAATTTGAAAAAATTGCAAGGGGTTAGCCTTACATTTTGGATCAAATTTGGCCAAAAATTGACTTTTCTCAAAACAACTCAGAAATGTCTTTGGATGCAAGATGGACATCAATCGACCTTCAAACATTGAAAACATTGAAGATTTGGGCAAAAATCAATTATTTATTGAGAAAAAATGAATAATTTTCACTAATTTTGATCCAAATTATCGACGCAATCTTTCTCTTAAGTGCCCAATTTGTCCCAAATTCCAGTTGGAATGTGCTCTAGGGACCTTCAGGCATCTTCCCTGCAAGTTTCAAGCAATTTCATTTTTCGGTCAAAACTGAAAAAATTGCAAGGGATTGGCCTTACATTTTTGATCAAATTTGGCCAAAAATTGGCTTTTCTCCAAACAACTCAGGAATGTCTTTGGATGCAAGAGGAACATCAATCGACCTTCAGACACTAAACATATTGTAGATTTGGGCAAAAATCACCGATTTATTGAGACAAAAATGAATAATTTTCACTAATTTTGACCCAAATTATCGACGCAATCTTTCTCTTAAGTGCCCAATCTTTCCCAAATTCCAGTTGGAATGTGCTCTAGGGACCTTCGGGCATCTTCCCTGCAAGTTTCAAGCAATTTCATTTTTCGGTCAAAACTGAACAAATTGCAAGGGATTGGCCTTACATTTTTGATCAAATTTGGCCAAAAATTGACTTTTCTCCAAACAACTCAGAAATGTCTTTGGATGCAAGAGGAACATCCATCGACCTTCAGATGCTAAACATATTGAAGATTTGGGCAAAAATCACCGACTTATTGAGACAAAAATGAATAATTTTCACTAATTTTGACCGCAATTTTCGATACAATATTTTTCCTAAATGCCCAATCTGTCCCAAATTCCAGTTGGAATGTGCTCTAGGGACCTACAGGCATCTTCCCTGCAAGTTTCAAGCAATTTCATTTTTCGGCCAAAATTGAAAAAAATTGCAAGGGGTTAGCCTTACATTGACAATCACATTTGGCCAACAATTGACTTTTCTCCAAACAACTCAGAAATGTCTTTGGATGCGAGAGGAACATCAATCGACCTTGAAACACTAAAAATATTGAAGATTTGGGCAAAAATCACAGATTTATTGAGACAAAAATGAATAATTTTAACAAGCACAGATTATTTTTTGTGGCTCATTTAATCATCACATCAATGTGAAAGTTGAGTAATTTCAAAATAAAATGGAATAAAATAAATAAAACAAAGGGAAGACATTTCAATAAAATTAAAATCTCGAATTCATAATGTTTTTTTTAACTGATAAAATATACCTATCTTTATAACCTAATGTCAGTACTTAAATTTTCAGTGAGTGCTTGAAACCAAAATGATACAAGAAATGGTCAACAATCATTTTACACACACGATCATTCAACTATTACAAATGAGGTGCGTTGAATTATACATGTACTACCATTCAGCCTTATCCGTTCGCAGTCTTTATCATATTCCAATCCCACAGAGAATACACTGTGTGGAATGGTATAGTCACTTACACAGGAAGTACTTACGTGTATTAGTCGTGGGATTAATATCCAGATTTTTGAACATTTGAGATTTGAAGGTTTGCATGGTGGAAAGATACTAAGACAGATAAGTTTGCGGTAGCACCATGTGAATAAATCTCTTTTTGTGAGCATGTGTGGTTCTGAAAAGAACCGGAGGGACTCAACGTTACAAACAGTATGCTCTGCATCAGACAAGCCATCGAGAGAAGCCATCGAGAAAAGCCATCGAGATCATCAAGCATAACACCGTTACCCAAGACATCGGTTTCTACATCAGCGACATCTGGCGCCCCATCCTCAAGTCCAAGTCCAATGGGTCTCCTATACCCTAGCATAACTTAGGTTCAGTTCTCGCCTATGGGTCACCTATACCCTGAGCTCCTTCCCCTTTGCCCCCTCACTGTGTACTGACACGCTCCAGTGATCATCCAGCATCCTTCAGTCAACTTGCATCCTTCCCAGCTTCACCGGTTTCGAGCTTCACCAGTTTGCATCCTTCTCACGCCTCACCGCACCCATCCTTATAACATCGCATCATCGTTTGAATCCCTCATTCTCCTGACGACGGGCAGAGCATACTGTTCAAAACGTTGAGTCCCTCTGGTTCTTTTCAGAACCACACATACTGACAAAAAGAGATTTTGAACATTTGTTTTGAATTCAACTATTTGGCTTGGATTAAAAAAAACGGATATCTGAAGAAACTTAAAACAACTGGAACATCCCCCAATGGTCTTTGTGTTGTAACTGCATTCACTTGCTATTGGTCTTCTTGGTCTATGAATAGCCTGCCCATTTGACTTACCAAAGAGAACATCCATTTTTTTTTCAACATTACAGCTCTGGAGTGTTTTTGTGTGTGCAAAGACCTTGTGGTCACTGAATCTCACAACCCATACCCAGTCATTGTGGAGGGCATTTCATGTGGCACCTCACTCATCACTTTTTGTTGGCATGACTATGAGCTTGGAAGAGAACTTCCAATGAAATCAGATCACTGTTAATATATTCGGTTTGAAAAATATTAGGATAACCGGATTTTGAAATTTCTGATTTCTGCCACCACTATTCACAATCCTAATCAAAATTGTCCAACCCCATAGAATACACCATGTGGACTGGTTTGATTCTTTCAGTGCCAAAGTCGTAAATGTACGAGGTATATTTGTTAGTTCGAAATTGCCAACCTCATATATGTACGAGGTAATGTTCGTACTTAAAATCACCAAACCTCGTACATGTACGAGGTAGAGTAAGCATGTTGTCACAAGGGGGCACTCTCGCTCTTTCTAATAATATCATTTTCATTCAGGTACGACCTGTATTTATTTGTTTCATTCGAGTTCTTGCGAGAGGGCGCAGCACTGACACTCGTATTTTCTGCAAAAATTGCAGAATTCCCCTGTGTGCAGGACAGTGTTTCAGGGTGTATCACTATGTATGTGACTACTATTAACTTTCCAATATATCAAGCATATACCAGAGAGCAACAACAACAAATTTAGTGAGTAAAACTTTTTTACTTTTTTTTTTACAGAATTTTGAACAATAAAAAAAAAACGCTCGAAGTTGGGCACTATAGGGTTAAACTTTTCAAATTTTGCGGGCACTGAAAGAGTTCATCAGTTACAGAGAAAGTAATTATCTGTCATTTTCCTCCCACGCTTAACACTGATATTTATTTCCTCAGGTGGCTGTGTGGTACATACAGTGTACATGTAAATGCACTCTCCCTTGATGTATGATGTACAATACTTCATTCTTCCTATAATTACGGTTTGCGGTCTTATGCTCTATTTCACTCGTGACCTAGATCTATGTTTGACTTCGGTCAGCTTTCCATCAAACATTACCAATGCATCACGTTCACGGCAGTTACATCTACACAGCTTTATGCTCGCTCACCGTGGATAGAAGTCCAACCACGGAAAATTACCATCAATCTATGGAAGGCTTTTTTTTTCGAAGATGCCCATGCCAGTGACACGTACTTTTAAATATAAATACTGCGTAAAGTACTGATATTCACGAACTGCATGTCCATATTCAGTAATTTTATTTTACAAAAAAAAAAATCTAATCATGTAGTTGGTGTCATTTTTTCTTGGTTTTTCTTACTACCGTCCATCCGTCGTCCTCAGTTTGAGCTGGTGGAGTTTCTGGGGGAAAAAAGCAAAACAATTACAAGTTACAGAAATAAGATTTTAAACTTTGCATGGTGGTAGTGTATAGAACCAGGAAGTGTAGTGCAAACGAATGGAGTATGCATGCGTGTTGGTTCACGGGCTGAATCACACGCTAAGGCCAAAAAAATATATATTTCTGCTTCCGATTACATGCCTATCAAATATTGGGTCGGTCGGTCGGTCGGACTTTTTTTTTTTTTGCTAATTTTTTTATGCAGATTGAATGGGGTATTCAATTTTATGCGAAGTGTTAGCCTGAACTATTTCCATTGCACTACACAAAATTTCCAAAGCTATACACAAAATGGAACATTCAGGCCGTTCGCATCATATGCACAACGCTAGTCAAGACGGGAAGCTGGCCAAAACTCAGAAGTGTGTGATGCACTGTGCATGTGTGGCCCGCGGCCGACAGACCTCGTTTTACGGTCGAAAATTTCGGGAAACACGCTGCATGTATCACTCCAAATACAAGTAGTGCGATCTCTAAATGAACTCTTGAACACGGAAAATACATACAGACAAGATAGATCAATTCTGTGAAATAACGTGGAAAAATGTTCTTTCCCCATCGGTGTTTTCATGGCATTTTTACGATGTCGAATCCGACCAGTTGACAGTGCACGTGCCTGCAATGCATAGCCATGCTAGCGCTATCGATCGCATAGCCATGACAGACTGGTTACCGCACTTTCATCATGTCTTCTAAAAAAATTTTTTTGGAATTGCCGATAAAACTTCTAGGGTCGCAACCTAAAAATAGGGTCGGTCGGAAAACCGGAAGCAGAAGTATTATTTTGTTTGCCCTAATGTCTTTTACACACATTTTGTGCGCGTGATGTATTCACTTTGGTGCTCTATACTAGTGAGGTTTGTGGTAACAACATGTGGAATAATCTCTTCCCAGAAGAAGTGTGGTTCTGAAAAGAGTTTCACAACCAACCCGTTCTTTTCAGAACCCCACCTCTGCTCAAAAGAGATTATATTCCTATTGGTGTCACCGCAGACCTCAGTAGTAAGTTGCACAATTGAAATTTCCCAACAATATGCAATTGGTCATATTTTTGACTTGTTTGGAGTACCATAGTGGCATCTTGTTGAAAAGGGGATTCCACGAAGAAAAAAAAAAGAAATGCACAAATGCACTATCCATTAAAGGGAAGATATAACATTTGAAAGCATCAAAAAACGAAATGATCAAATTATCACGAAATACCTTACTGGATTGTATTAAGAAATGACAGTCTAAAGCATCCTGTAAAATCGTGTCTCCTGGTGTGCTGACATTTTCAAGAAAATTTGTATTTTTCCAACGCTCGTCGGCCGACCAGCGTTGAAAAAAAACTGGCTTTTTTTCAAAAACTGCTCCGAATTTTTCAAAACAGTTGTTCCGCAGTTTTTTTGCGGCACCTGATTACACACCTGTGAAGGGGTACAAGCCTGCCAGACTCTCTGACCTTACAATTCCCCAAAGTCTACAAATTGCTCTGTTTCATCTTAAGTGGGGTCAGGGAACCAGACTACAAAAACATGATTGGCTTTCTTGGTTTTTCCAGCATCTACAAGCCCAAAACGTGAAACAAATATTTGCTATAACATACTAATCCTCCAAATCAATTCATTTCTAAACATTGCAGCAAAGGCAAATGTTGTACATGTACATTCCATTTAAACTAAAATCAATTCTGAAACCAAAATTTGAAATACTTTTTTAAAAAATAACACTGTATGAATTGCTATTGGGAAGCATTAATAATGGCAGAAGTAATGTGCCTCTAGGGGGCGCTGTCCAAACATGTTAGGTAGTATATCAATGCTCATATCCAATTTGATGCGCACTCCCCTGCAGTTCCGTAGTGTTGAGTTTATTTAAGCTTGAAAAGAATGCTTACAACATTTTGACATCTTTCTTAATAGGGCTGGGGGGGGGGTGCCCCCGGCACACCCACACTGGGTTCGGGCCTGGGCCAAATTTCACGGCGCTGCTAAGCACAAAAATTTGCTTAGCACAAAAAAAAGTCTGGCTAAAAGCAGGTTACCAGCCAAAACTCCATGTGATTTTCATGCTAAGCAAACAACAGTTGAATACTAATCATGAGCAATATACATCACTTGGAGTTTTGGCTGGTAACCTGCTTTTATATAAAACCAGACGTTTCTTGTGCTAAGCAAATTGTTGTGCTTAGCAGTGCCGTTTAATTGGCCTTTGGTGCATGACCTCACAAGACAATATAATCTGATGACCTATCCAGGGAGCTAACCGTAACTGTTCTCAAGCGAAACCTCTCTATTACTTTACAGCATTGTATAATCTTACCCCAACCTCGTCCCCAGGGTGTCGAGCAGTACGCGCCCACCACTACCTGCTCTCTCACCCTGGTATTGGATCATTTGCATGTGCAAGATTTTTGAACACGTATGCAAATGAGGAACAGTCTGGTGCCTGGATATGCGTTACACATTAGCGTTTGTTTTTGTATGCGGTGTCTGGGGTAAAAACAGAGTCAGTTCGTAGCAGCGCGAGCACGGCGTGAGTTACGAAAACACGATTTTTGAAATCAAACAGTTACGATCTTATCGAGACAACATGCAGTATCATATTTCATATTAATATGAGCAACTTGGAAAGGAAATTAGTATTTTCGAGAAGGCGTGGACGAATGATCGCGAAAACACGTACTGCACGTTGTGAATATATAGCACCAAGTACACGATAAAAATCAATTACTAGCCAATTGTGGTATCCAATCAGGATACAGGAAGAAAGTTTCCTATCCAGGGTTTACTATTGGAAACGCGGTTGGAAATAAAGTAAGCACTGGGGACGAGGTTGAATCTTACCCGTACTACTGGGCTGTTCTTCGCTGTGTTCTGGATACCCATTCAGCGTTGGTTCCCTGCCACCACTGGTCCCCACGTCCATGTTGCCCATCATTTCTTGCAGCATAGGGGGAACATCACCGTCCTCCGAGTCCTAATTTGACAGTGAAATTACGACAAACACCACTATTCACTGATAAAAATATTTGTGACTCTAGCTGCCCAATAATTTTGAAACAGTCAAAAGAATTCTCAAAATTTTTAACAAGTCATAGGCCTGTACTACCAGAAAACTTGGGTATGGGTCAATCTATAAATTTAGGGTCAAAAGTGTAACATTTTCCTGTCCAAGTTACCTTGGTACTTTGTAATTTGCCATTCAAGTGTCATTAAGAATGACTTAAAATGATTTTTGTATTTGACAGGTAGGTAATTTGCTATTCATAATCACTTTTTTCTGACGCACTTATCATCATATGCACACAATTCCTTAGCCCTGGCCTCCGAGGGTATTTTTGGCTAGAAACCCTGCTAAACGCAGCCAGCAACATGCAACAAATGTCAAAATGACAAGCTTGCTCAGTGAAGCAAGATCCATCATGCAGCTCAAAAATCTCCAGGCTAAAGTACATCAGAGGCTGTGCTCAGCAACTGCATGCAGCAGGATATATAACTGTGGCATTGTTCAATGGGACTAGCTCTTGTCGTTTCAGAATAAGCCATTCATGAGGTGTTCTGGCAAAATGAGACAGAAGTGGGCAGGGTTTGAAATGAGGGTTTGCAGGTATTAGGAAAGAGAATAAAATCTCCTTACAATACTGTTCAATCTGACATTCTGTTCACAAGTTGTGGCTGTTTAGAGTGTGCATTTATTGACATGTCAAAAGTTAAAATACTGAAAAAAAGGCCTTTAAAGTTTCAAGTTGGGTATTCGTAAAACTGAGAGATGCCAATTGTTTTCTCCTTAAAAACACTTTGATTCCACAATTTTATACTATTTCTTTGAATTAAGTGTAGCAGACATATCCCAAGATTACAAATATGAAGAAATCTGAAAATCGAAAAAGAAAACAGCATGTTTCTCCGCTACGGTCTGTGCCCAGTTCTGTCTCATTTTGCCAGATGGCCTCACATTCATGCACTGGTGTTGATGGCTCAATGTAGCAAGGCCCCACACATGATGCACTGTGTTGCGTCGGGCAGAGCAGAGCCATGGAACTGCACCCGATTTCACAAAACTCATCGTATCGTAACTTACGATGCATTGCAGCGCTGCGACGCATCGTATCCCTACGATGCGTCGCAGCTGCGACGCGTCCTGCGATCCATTTCACAAAACACGTCGTACGTGCGACGCGTCGTATGTGTATTTATAGCACAACTCGGCGACTGTATTATGTCTTTAGTCAGCGTACAGTAAATAGTCGTCTGATATTCAACAAAGAGTCGACGGATCTCCGCTCAAAATTTGTTAAAACGTAGGACAAAATGGCGGCCGTGTGATGCAATTTTAAAGGAAAACAAGCTCTCAGTGGACAGTGTAGCTACTTTGAAATTTGAACTGCAATATTCCAGGCTAATTCATAACTATTCAATGAATTTTCTATTTACACTTTACACACATTGACTTGGTGTTATAATCTTGTTTATGTAATGTTTATGGCACAAAACTGGCTAAGAAACGGACTCTTCTTATTTTGCAATGACCACTAGACACGTCGTAGCTTGTGACGTGTTTTAAGTCGTTGTCAAGGAACTTACGAAGCGTTCAACACATCGTAACTTTCGTGAAATGGATTATACGACGCGCCCCGAGTTGCGACGTGTTACACGTCGTAACTCGAGTTGCGACGCGTCGTAGCGCTTCGTGAAATCGGGTGCTAGACCTACTTTTTTCCATGGTGGGTATGAAACACGCCGTAGGCTGGAGCTGCTTATGTTGGTTGGTTGATGGGTGGGTGGTTTGGTTGGTGGACAGTCGGCCATATATTGTATTCATGCAACTGGAGTATTACAGCTTTGCTTCCGAAGGTCGGTTTTGATAACACTGATGCGCATACGTCTAATTTGCATATTAGATCACGCCCCATTCGTTTTTGTTTTCTGTACTCTCGAGGTACCGGTACGGCCCGGGTGCGCGCTGACGGTGCCGTAAGCTGTCTTCACACATTACCCGGCCGGCGATATTTTTTTTTACACAACTATCTGGGGTACTTTATGCGCTTTCCTATGGGGCTTGGTTTTTATAACCAGGCTTGAGTGGAGGCTACTATTTTTCAACTTGGTACGGATTTCGGACTTTAGTTCCCTTTTTAAAAAAATCCTCCAGAGCCTCAGATCAGGAAAAGAAAAAGGAAATTGCTGCTATACAAGTAGTATCCGACTGAAAAATAACGTTTTTAAGATTCATCTTAAAATTGTTGAAAAAAGAGCAAAATCTTTGTTAGCAGAGCAAGGATTCGAACTTGAGACCTCCGATCATTAGCCAGCATGCCTAACCACTAGGCAACGGCGGTGCTCGAGTAATCCCTGCAATTCTTAAATTATATACTTTCACACATGTGGAGAGAGTATATGCGCGCGCGCGATGGTAAAAGGTTACAGGATTGTAGGGCGCCGCTACGCGGCGCTCTACAATCCTATAACCGTGATTCAAGTCGCCTGAAAAATGGGTACCCCAGATAGTTGTGTAAATAAAATATTCGCAGCCGCAGGTACTTTTTGCTTTAATATCAACTGACGCTTAGCAAATTTGTGTCCTCAGCAATTTGTCCTGCCTGACAGCTCCGTGAGAGTTGCAACAAATAGTCTGAATCCTTGTGAAGTAGCCTGGATGACAGACTGTTTAGGACTTTGAAGTATCATTCAATACATACCTCCGTGTCTTGACCGACTGCGGCCTGACAGGAGCCCAGGCTAGCCTTAGGCATCTCCTGAATCCTCTGTAAGACCGCTGCATGCCTGCCCGCCTTGCAGAGGTCAAAATTACCGCATATGGTTTGGGAAATCTACAAGCAAGCAAACAAAAAAGTGGGGAATTAACAAGTCTTTGAGGAATCCATTAAAACCCTAGTGCTCCTCAATTCTTCAAAATCATCCAGGCGGTTTTGGAGGATTTTGAAGGATTGAGACTCAATGGCAAAAAAGTGTCGGTTAATTTTGGAGGCTGTACTCTGAATTGTTTAAGTGTAGCCATGTATAATTGAGCCCCGCATTATGCTCAATATCATCCACACTGCTTCTGAATGTCGCCGGCACTGCCTCAACATATTGACAGTGATTGTTGGAAGCTTTTGAAGGATTGAGGCAACGGTCAACCCTCCACTGAAGAAATTTAAGAAATAAAGAATGATTTCGGAGGATTGAGGCCGAATCCAATTTTTACTGGGTGGCAATTGGAGGATTTTGCAGGATGGCTCCTAGCCAAGAGGGCCTAGGGTGCTAGGGTTAAACAATACTGCACTGAGGCGGTTTTGGGGCAGAACAGGGAGTATTGGGCTGGGTGGTTTTCGGAGGTATAGGGACTACAATGTAATAAGTTAATATAAATGGCATCTCTGGCAACAACCATGCCCAATTTGTTTGGTTGGTTAGGTTTTCTTTGTTCAAGTAAACGGGCCGTTTCATAAGTCCGACGCCTCATAGGTCCGACGCCTCATAAGTCCGAAATTTCGGACTTGTGAGGCGTCGGACTTATGAGGCATAAAATGTATTTATTCCGCCTCATAGGTCCAATGCCTCATAAGTCCGACGTTGGAAAAACGAGGCGTTTCATTTGTCGGACTTACGAGGCGTCGGAGCTATGAGGCGTCGGAGCTATGAGGCGTCGGACTTATGAGGCGTCGGGCCTATGAGGCGTCGGACTTATGGGTCTTTATTTGGTTAGGGGATGCGATTTTGTCGGACTTATGAGGCGTCGGACCTATGAGGCGTCGGACTTATGAGCGGACCCCAAGTAAACCACAAAGGGAAACTCTGAGAGATGCCAAATTGCTATTTCCCGGGTTTGCAGCATTGCTTAATGTTGCTAGCATCGTGAACTTGGGGGTGATTCCTGGCTATGCCTGCATGGCATATACGGGTTTACGGCTTCTGACTAGCTACCCTTGAACAAACACACTGACAAAATGGGGAACCGCCAACTTAAGGCTGGATAGCTCAGTTGGTAGAGCAACGTAACGGCAATCCAGAGGTCGCAGGTTCAAACCCTGTTCAAGTCAATTTCTTTTTTGATCCATTCATAAGATGGAATTTTGCGTCACAGTGAAATAAATCAAATTAGGTTTTGCCCTTCACCGACGTTTAAACACTGTATACTCAGTGTGTTACCTCCCGAGTGAAAGTTGGTGAAGGGCAAAACCCAATTTGATTTATATCACCCCGACGCAAAATTCCATCTTATGAATAGTTAATGCGGTACCCGTTGCTATGTACATTTGATTCGAACCAGCCAACCGATCCCATTAGCTCGGTGGTCGAGTGGTAAGACGTCTGCACTAGAAAGCAGGAGGTCCTGGGTTCGAGTCCCACCCAAGTGATTTTTTTCCAACTTTCACTCGGGAGGTAACACACTGAGTATACAGTGTTTAAACGTCGGTGAAGGGCAAAACCTAAGTTGATTTTTTGATCCAGTTTAATTTCTTTTTTCATTGAAGCACGACAGTGCTTTGCAAGCAGTGTTTTGGCGAGTCAAGTCTGGTCACAAGACCATTCACAAGTCTGATCACACATTACCAGGGACGAACAACAAATAAGGAATACCTTTGTCAAAGCTCATTTGAATAGATTGTGTCTTGACTTGGGACTGCATGACTTGTGATGGACTTTTGAGGACTTGTGAGGATTTGTGAAGGACGCCTAAAAAAATCACGGTTTGCAAATAAGAGATCTCCTTCACTTAACCCTGACCCTGCCAGACGCAACATACAGTGCACCAGGTGGAAAAGAACTGGTCCCGTAGTTACGGTGTTTGATTCATGTACGAAGGTGCGTGGGTTCGAACCCAGCAAGAAACATGGTGTTTGTGCCCTTGGGCAAGACACTTAACTACAATTGCCTCTCTCCACCCAGGAGTATAAATGGGTACCTGTGAGGGTCGAGGACCGATTGAGCGCTGATATCGGCTGCCGCGTGGTCCCAGGGCCTGATGAACGGGGTAATAATTGTAAGCGCTTTGAGATCGTTGACACGATGGAAAGCGCTATATAAGCACAATTATTATTAATTATTATTATTATCTCCTAGTTGGAACGATTAACACAATTTTATTTACCACAGTCAAGCTGCCGTCCTCAGCCCTGGTGTCAAATTCGTTGTCCATGATTTCAGCGACGAAATCTTCCAGCTCCTCTGGTTCAATGCCATCTGTCAATGGGGAGGAATACATAGTTCAACATAACAAACTCTTTTAAAGGGAATATACATCATTGGCTTTTGCTGTAATTTTCAGAAATGAACTATTTGAGGGGTTAGTATCATAGATCAAATATTGTTACACTGACATGTTTGAAGTTTTGTGTTCGAAAATGCTGGAAAAACCAAGAAAAACAAAAATGTTCAAGTAGTCTGGTTCCCTGACTCCACTAAATATAAAATGGATCAATTTACAGATGCTGGAAAATTGTAAGGTAAGGGAACCAGTCTAGCTGGCCTGCATCCGTTCATGAACATGTAACCAATACCAAACAAAATTTCGACTGAAAAAAAAATGGCAAATTTGGAGCAGTAGTTGAAAAATAGTTAGGTTTTTCCAACGGTGGTCGGCCGACCACTGTTGGAATTTTTTACAAAAATACCATTTTCTTGAAAATGACTTCACACCAGGTGCCATAATTTTATAGGATGCTTTAAACTGTCATTTTCCAACATCCTAGTAAGGTATTTCGTAAAAATTTGGCAGTTTTATTTTTCGATGTTTGCAAATGATGTATATTCCCTTTAACTATTGCTAAAACCTTGGAACTCTGACGAACAACTTTCTGTTCCCAAAGCAAATTCTAAGAAGCAAGCATCTAGTCTCTTCCCGCACACTGCCTCACTATGAAATTCCTTACGTCAATATGTACCTTTCTACTGGAAGCAGTTTTTTTCTTTTTCTTAGAATTCCTTTTCTATCCCTGTGGATTCCCCACCTTGAGTGGCCCTTAAGGGCCTTGTGACGGACTACTCTCATAAAAAAAATTAAATTGTTAAAAAAATTAGTCTATAGTGATTTATTTTAAATTTTCTAAATCCAACAAAAACCCAGGCCATAGCCAAAAAAGCGCCAACATTGTTCTGTAGATTGGGCCAGCCAACGTACGGTGAGCCTCACTACCACTGTTGGATAAAGAGGCCTGAATATTGCGTTTTGAAACAAAGACTGTTTCAAAACAAATATGTTATTGCTTTTCCACTTAAAAGCGTTAGAGCATTGTTTTTGTTCCGATTTTTTTTTTTTTTTTTTTTCTTCCCTTTTCTTTTTGTTCTAACCCAAATCCCATAGACTTTGTACACGGTTTATTAACCACGCCACTTTTGACCTAAAACAAACTCGTATTCAGATGAAACTCACAATATATAATAAACCCATAGTGAATTTGTGTCCCGAAGAGTGACGTCATGATTATGTCATCATGGGTCACGTGACGTCATCTTAAACATGCAAACTTTAAGACCCTATATCTAAAGAACTGTAAGACCGATTGGGTTGAAACTCCGTATGTAGGTTGACCGAAATGTGTTATAGGTAAAAATTGAGGTGACGTCATCATGACGTCATCGTGTGATTTTTATGTATTAACCCTAACCGCCCTGAATCCTCCAAAATCCTTTTTGCAAATTGGAGGAATTTGCAGGATTGACAAGGCCTGAAGAGTAACGTCATGATTACGTCATCATGGGTCATGTGACGTCATCTTAAACATGCAAACTTTAAGACCCTATATCTAAAGAACTGTAAGTCCGATTGGGTTGAAACTCCGTATGTAGGTTGACCGAAATGTGTTTTAGGTAAAAATTGAGGTGACGTCATCATGACGTCATCGTGTGATTTTTATGTATTAACCCTAACCGCCCTGAATCCTCCAAAATCCTTTTTGCAAATTGGAGGAATTTGCAGGATTGACAAGGCCTGAAGAGTGACGTCATGATTACGTCATCATGGGTCACGTGACGTCATCTTAAACATGCAAAACCCTAAGACCCTATATCTAAAGAACTGTAAGTCCGATTGGGTTGAAACTCCGTATGTAGGTTGACCGAAATGTGTTTTAGGTAAAAATTGAGGTGACGTCATCATGACGTCATCGTGTGATTTTTATGTATTAATGTATTCCTCGATGTGTCATTTCATAACAAATTTTGCATCAGAATTTCTTCTGGAAATGTCCTATCATACCATTTTCTTGGAACCAGGTGTATACAGCATCCACCAGCCACAGTGCCTTTTCCCTGCCATGGATTCCTCCATAACCGTGACTCACTGCTAGCTGTTGAATCAACAGAAGATTTAAAATGAATTCCTCTTGACATAAATACATAGCATATGGCACTGTTCTGAGTAGGCCTACTGTACATTTCAAATTATATGATTCTTAAAAAGATACTTCATTTTTTCTTCACAATAACACATTATCAGTTAAGACTTGGTCTACACATGCAACCAGCCAAGTAACATAAATTCATAAAAAAACTTTTAAAAATCTGTGGAAAAAATGTTGCAACCTGACGCAACTTTTTTTTTATACATCATCTCAATAATAATAATAGTGGGTATTTATAAAGCGCACGTATCCACCAGGACTGGTGCTCAAGGCCAGGGGTGTGAGTGACCACTGATAAAAATAGCTGAAAACAGCTGGAAAATGTGTAAAAAAGCTGAACGTTGGAAATCTCCTATACTTTTGTGCACAGCAAGTGAGGGAAAAAAGTTGAAATCATTATAACAAAAAAAGCTGAAATCAGCTTTAAAGCTGAGATTTCACACCCCTGGGGCCATGGCTGCATCATTATTACCCCTGCTTATTGGGCACATGAAACATTCCAAATACCATCTCAGCTCCCTGGGGAGTATACAGCTCAATGCAGCCTGTTAGGCGCAAGGAAGCTACATGTAAATCAACCACAATAACCATCTCTACCCACACAGGTACCCATTTACTCCTGGGTGGAGAGAAGCAATGAGTGACAAAGTGCCTTGCCCGAGGGCACATTCACCATGATGACCCCGGGTAGGACTCGAACCCACGACCTGCAATGAAGGTCAGGCATTACAAAAATGATGACATGAATCTGCTGGGACTGAGAAATATTTCCAATTTTGTTGGGAAAGACTTAGAAAATTGTCTTGACTCTCCATAGATTTTGTACGCAACCACCTGAAGTGGCGTCAGGTTGCAACATGTTTTCCAATTTTTGTTTTCCTTACAAATAAGCCATTAACGGTTAGACGTACTTTATACACATGCATGCAAGTGCAACCAGCCATGTAACATCAATTCTTAAAAAAAAATCTTCAAGCTGCTACTAGTGCATAAAAATGTGCAAAATTACTACTAACGTTTTTTTTACTCACCATTCAGCTAATTAATGCCCACACAACACATACATCGGAAAAAATTCCGTACTCGGACGTCACTTTTTTCAATTAATTTTTCTAGCGCCAAAGTTACATCTTTTATGGTTATTCCTCCACTTTCCCTCCTCTACTCTCACCCTCTCCTTTCCTTAATTTCTATTTATTAATCAGTCAGTTACTTCATCGGGATTCGAACCTCTGACGCTTGCTTGATACACGAGACTCTTAACCGCTAGGCCGCGCACGATCGCTGTTGCAATAATCAATCTTTGGACGTATTTGAAGTATCCATTGAAATAAACTAAATATTCATGAGAAAATAAATATTCATAATGACGTATTGCACTATCATTGGCAGGCTCATGCGACGTCATGGTTGTTGATGTCACGTGTATAACGTACCGCTGTCTTTCAGCCACTACAATAAGTTTTGACCGGCTGCTTCAAGTTAGTTCTGCACGACGTATGCATCCAAAATGTGCTCTAAAAACACATTTTGAGTAAAAATTTTTTCACCTTAACACAGCTTCCTGGATTTCTCTTGGTTCAAAGGACAAGGTGAGGTGACAATTAATATGTTTGGCAGCAGATAAATTGACGTCCGAGTATGGAACTTTTCCCCATACATCAAAATGATAAAGGTGCAAGCATGTCATCTGCGAAATTTGAGACCTTAAATCCAATTTTAAGGCAAGTTTCTGGCAGTTCAAAAACCATCCATGTCAATCTCCATGCTCTGGAAATGGGCGTGTGATTCCCAATGTATTCTGGGTAGGTGTAGGAAGAGCCTTGCAGCTTACTTGTTTTTTAATTGATAGCCAAATGAACACAGCGCCCTCTGTTAAAAAATGAAACATTCTACATTCACTCAGATCAACAAGAGGGCGCTGCTTTATCTACAAGATGAAAATGTTCTAGCTAGGGAGTTTTTTTGCACAATGCATTGCAGTACACATCAACGTGATGTCTCACGTTTGGATTTCGATAACTCTCTGCAAAATTAGAATTAAAAGCTGAATTTTTGGTGATGCAATGCTCACAACAGCAACTTTGCGAGGCAGAAATTTCGGGGATTATTGAGGAAACTGTAGTGAGTAAGAAGCTTGCAAATTTGATTCACACTGGTTTTATTATGCAGCACAAACTTTTGCATGATATGGATACCTTAAGTTTTGGGACTCTCATACACAGTATTGAGAGTCCCAAATTTTCGGACTACTACTTTGCTAGACTAGTGCTAAGGCTGATGGAAACTTGATGAAATATGTTGCAGCCACATAAACTAATGCTTATTCAACATGTTCAACGGCTATACCAAATTACAAAATAACATTGCGAATCTATGAAGTTTTATATTCCCACAGCACTTGAAGTGCGTCAGTGGCTCAATAGGTTAGGTATGTGTTTTGGGTGTCAAGGATGCTGGGTTGAAATCGGAGTAACTGCGGAATACTCCGCCACTCGGAAATACACCCCTAAAATCATCTGGCTACGCGGTTGGAATCGCTGGAAAAGAAACAATTCAAGTCCGAACCAATTGTTGCCAGCTACGCGGACACTAGGGCCCACATTACGGCGATCATGTGGTGCAGGGCCCTTGTTTTGTTTTAATCAAATAAGACTAGTAAGAGTCAAAAATATTTTTTTATTGCTCAAAAATCACCTTTACAATCAAAAGCAGACTTTTCTCAATTCTTATGACACCCGTTTTGCAATTTCGAACAGTTTCTTACTCTTAGAGTAGAAATTACGATTTTCCTGCGCGGTTTGTGCCTTGCGATTCAGCGCGCCGTGCGTGCTCATCACGGTACATCGCACGGTGTTTCGCCATCTTTTATATTTTCGGGTTGCGTGTTGTCGCCGCGCTGTCATCGACATCGTCATTTTAAGAACTGATTCACTGGACCTAGACTTCGAAAATAACCCCAAAAAAGAAAGTTCGTCGGAACAATATATTCTTTCCTATACAATGGCGAAGCACCGTGAAGGTAATGTATCACCTGAAGTACAGTCCATCCGTCAAAAATGCTCGATATACTTCGGTGAAAAATTCCGAGAGGTGTTTCACTGGAGGCCGCCATCTTGCCGGTTTGCCATGTGGTCGCAAGGGCGCCACCAAGCAAGCGAAACGGGAAGCAGGGTGACAGTTTGAGCCGATTTTCGGCTAACTTTGACAGAATTTTTGTTAAAAAAATAATGAGTTTGACAGAAAATTTGACATAATGGATTTTTTTGGCAGATTTCTGGCAGAATTGTGCAAAAATGGTTATTTGACAGAAAAACAGCAAATTTGGACAAAAAAGTGTACATTTGTTTAAAAAAGCTTTTAATCCTTTTCAAACAAACCCTTGCATAATGGGACAGGTTGGCTGGTTTAGGTGCTGACGTTCACTGGGAAACGGACTTCGTCGTGGCTGGATCCGCGTTTTGCCCAAAATTTACCGATAATTTCACATCTTTATGTGACTAGATTGTTTATTATGTAATTTGAATCTTAATTAAGGCAATACCACCAATCTGCATGTGATTTTAAGTGTTTATAGTGTATTTCAAGTAATTCTTGGGAACTTGGCAGATTTTTGATAAATCTGACAGATTTTTGATGTGCAATTAGCAGAATTTGGCTCTGACCTAACGGTCATCCTGAGGGGAAGAGAGGAAGTTGTAAAACCGCGACAAATCGGTGTAGTAACCGGCAAAACATGCATGCAATTTTGCATGCGATTTGTGTGTCTCCTTTCGAATTTTCCCAGTGAGATTCAAGATGCTCTACTCGTGCGATTTTCGAGGTTAAAACCGAAAACGGATATATATGTATTAATTTTTTTGGTTAGTTTTACGATTTTCTAAAATTATTTACTTTCGAATGCGTATATCAAACGAATCCGCCCACAGAGTTTTTAGGCGCACTTTGTAAATTTCGAATTATTTTCAGGTTGATTATCAGCGGCCCCGGTGTGCTTCACTATCTGCCTGTTAAAGTCCACATCCTCTCCCGACCGACCGCTGCCAAGTGAGAATCCGAGGGAATGTTTGTGGTGACTTGCACGTTGGACACAAACAAATTTAAAAATCCCTTAAGTTCCCCGAATAAAGTCACTCAAAAACACTCATTACTGCACTGAGATCTAAGTGCTTCATCCTTTGGGTTAGGCGTTGTCGTCTCATCATCCATCCCCGGCCCCCTTGAAAATATAATGCCTTGCCACGCCCGTTAGCGGTTGACAGTTGTTATGACTCGAGTCAATGACTCGACTCAGTCGAGTCCGACTCGAGTCACAACTTTTGGTGACTCGACTCGACGGCAGTCCCTATGGGTAAAATGACACCGAAACGACTCGACTCGAGTCACTGCGAGCAAATCGACTCGACTCCACTCGATTGAGTCCCTCATCAAAAGACCCGACTCAACTCGGGGAAGGCTAATAAGACTCGAGTCCCAAAAATAAAAGCTAAACTTTGCAAGTAGTAGGGCCTAGGCCTATTTGGAATGACTTACGGTGCAAAATTCATGTTCACGTCACTTTGCGAACTAGTATATATAGCAGCGCGCCGCTTGTCTTGCATAAACATACACCTGATGCCCCCCCCCCCCTGCACGGTCTGCTTCCAGCAGGAGCGATCCTCGGCAATGTCCTCCCAGACCTGCACATTTATCTCTGCAGCAACCCTGCAGGTCTCTCTTGCAGACATCTCTGTAGCGAGGGCGGGGTCGGCCTGTGTGGGACGGGAGCCAATTTCCAGCTGTCCGGGGAGGAGATCATTTGGGATACGCCCCTTTTCCATCCTCCGGACATAGCCAAGCCATCTGACGTCGCTGGCTAGCTTAGGATTGACTGCATGCTGGTTGAGTTTGCCCGTGCCAATATAGACGTTTGGGACGCGATCCTGCCGGGTGCACACCGGTAGATAGGCCTAAACCCATCCGCCGAGCTCATATTCTATATTAGAGAGTTCTGAGAGCCATAACATTGGGGTATTGAAGAGATATGGCAATGAACCTCTGGCCCGGACTTGGGGCTTCCAATTCTGAGCATTTTAGAAACAATTGGGCTCGAAAATGGCGCTATTTTGCCATGTTGTGGAGGGATCGTTTTTCAAGATGGCTACCGTTCCGCTTTGGGGGAAAATAGGGGTCGTCTTCTTTGGGCGAGAATTTCTCGAAAAGTCAATGGTCAACCCACCAAAAAATGAAAAGAAATTGAAAGATGACATGTCGATCATCATTTTTCTGTGCAGCTTAAATACCTGTGAGAGTTCTGAGTATTTTAAAAAGAATTTTGAAGTATGGGCATTTAGCACTAGTGGCTATGGGAATTTTTTTGCACTGTTGCACCCTGCCAATTTGGCATAGAGATCTTATTAAACCCGACATTGGCTTATATACCGAAATAGGAGGCGCCCGCTGAATGGTCAGAATTTCGAGGTCAAGACGCAGTCTTGTTTTGCATATTCGCCGAATCTGCTGGCATGGCATAGACTCTTGCTGTGCGAGGTGATATTCCATAGACTTATAGGAACCTGGCCCCCTTCAAATACTTTAGTATAAATGGTCCGTTCTTGGAAATCAAGGAAGGTGGCCGGTTGGGTCTGGGTTGCGTACAGTATACGTGGCAGAGAATTATTAATTATGTGACAGCAGGACACAAACACGCCCTCGCAGTCGCAGCGAAGGGTTCCAGTACCGGAAACTAATCTTGGTTCAAAAAGTTTCCAACGTGATTTATTGTAAATACATAGGATACTCTTCTCCATGCATGATGGTGAAAGGAAGCAAAATGCAATTACACGACCTGCAAAAAAATTTCCCTTTGATATGAAACAAAATAGGCCCAGGCTAAAGTTACAAACAATTCTCTTTAAAAAAAAAACAACTTTATTTTCCACTAGGTTCTCTTTTTTTTTTAATTACAATGATAATCACATCTGTATTATTTTATACAAAACCACATGACTTAATAAGTTGCAAAATAAGATCATTTTACATTAGTCAACAATTGAAATACAATCTCCAAAACGAAACTAAACAAACGCCGCTATTTTCGAGTCCTATCCGTCGGACATAATGGGGAAAAAAATCGACAATTTACTATCTAATTCCTTATCACTGAATATAATTTTATGCAAATTAATATTAACAATAGTCAACGTTGTTTGAAGTTTAAAAAAAAAGTAAAAGTAAACTGTCGTCAATGTGGATGGAGGTCATATTTGATTACCAATGTATGCTCTGTACAGTCTAAAATTACATTTATTGTATAGTCTATGTTTACGACTTCAACATTCCTTTAGTTAAAAAGAAATACACGTTTGCATCAATAGAGGGTGAGCTGAAAAAAAATGGAAACCCAAATGGTGCCCCCTATTTTTTAATAATTATGCATGTAGTGCTTTCCAGATCTAGGATATATGAAAGCCCAACAATTAATAAGCTTTCTTTTAGTATAAGCATCATTCAAATCACTCATGTACTTTTCCAGTATAATGGAATTTGGATTACAAACATCCGTTTATTAAGCAAAACGGTAACAATTCACACAGAGATGAATGTAAATTGTTTTCGTTTTTCTGAACTTAAAACAATACCTTTTTAAGTGATCCGTGGACAACAATTTAAAACGGTGTTTGCCACTTGTTTAAAATTCCGTAACTTGAAAAGTACATAAGTGGTTTGAATGATTCTTGTACTAAATGAAGCTTATTGGGATTTAATATCCTAGATTCTGAAAGTGTATATGCAGAACTTCACTAAAACAACGGTCCTGACATTTTTTTTTACTCTGTATATGCCAAGAGTTTATAGTTTTGCCCTGCCCCCTACTTGGCTACCCCGGAGACTTATGGGATTATTCTGATATCATTTTCAATATACACAGTTTCATTTTTATTGAAATATCACGTACCTTAAATAAATGTGATATGTGGACAAGAATAAAAAACAACAACCGGTGTTTGTTGTCACAATTCCATAGATGGAACAGATGGAAACCAAAACAATCCGAGTACTTGGTTATGAGGTGGCATAGTTATGCCGGTGTTCAGTGGAACCAAAATAAAAGTTCGAAAAGTCACCTATCCGCAGTAGGTATGGGCTTTGTTCGAGGGCTTTGCGGATCTGACATTGGCTAATTTTTTGTTTTGTTTTCCCCAATGATGACTTGGTTTCGCGACTAGGGTGCATTTCCCAAGTTGTCAAAGAGGGGCGGTCGGTGCATTATAGGCTGCTTCTGGGCGTTGAACTTCTTAAACGATTCGTACAACTTGCCAACGGAGAGTTTCTCGCCGAACTCCACCAGAAGGTGGGTGAGCTGCCCCTGGTCCCTGCCGCCTGAGCGGATCAGCTTCCCCGTGAACGGCTTGCTAGAAAACTCCAGGGTCACCCAATATTTCTTCCCCTGTCCGTTGATGAAATCGCGGATCGAACGCACGTAGCCAGGGACCGTTTTGACACTGTCGTCCAGTTGCAGGTAGTACTCGGAGAGGTTTTCCGAGTAGGAGATCAGAAAGGCGTTGTCCAGGTTCTCTTTCACCTGACCGTTCTTCTGCGCCTCGGGTGTCCGATAAAAAGACAGCGGGGCCTCGATTAGCTGCAGCATGCCGCTCTGGACGGGCTCCGTGAAGTTACCGACGACGTACCGCACGGCCTGCCGGGCGCTCTGGTCGAAATCGTGGGCGAATACGACGATGGTTACCCTCGGTCTCTCGGCTTCCTCGGTGTTCTGGATGAGAGATTTCAAAGTCTGCTCCAGGTTATCTTCACCTCCCGCGTGGGACGCGGGGATTCCAATGGTCAGAAAACCTGAATAGACAGAGAAATATTAAGCTATTTATTATTATTTTTTTATATGATAGTAGCCTTGCTCCAAGACTGAATGTGCTTTGTAATCCCATAAAACAGCCGGTCTCTGACCGTTGCGCGGTCAAGTAGCCACGTGCTGCGGATGAAGGCCACTATCAACAATTAGATGAATCAAATTAGGATTTTGGAACTCGGGTGATAGCTTGAGGTATGCTCCTGGGCCCAAGTGCCAAAATTCCCAAGACAAAATTGATTCATCTTCTTGTTAGTGCATTCCACTGCTGCGACGGCTTGCTAGCGTAGCCACGGAATCGTGTTCAGTGTGACTGGATGTTTCGTCCCCCATAAAAATTGTCCGGGGCAGAATATCCTGGAGGAACAGAGTCTTCTTTCACATCGGCTGCATTAGGGGAACATAATCCAAATTCAGTCTGGGACCGACACTACAGTTGTGTCGTCTCGATCGTCATGTTGTCGTTGTCAACATGTCACTTTACTTGTGTCATTTTTGTCATTGTTGATTTTTACCTTTATCTTTCCTAGTGTGGCCGAGCACGAGAGCTTTTTCTCGATCTATGTGCTTCAGGTCGCCGCTTTTCATCTCGATCTCGACTGAGGGCGCAGGCTTTTTCGGTGTAACCGATAATCTCTCTTTCAGGTCGCTACTTTTCATCACCGGTGGTCTCTGTACGTTCTGTAAGAAAAAAATGCACAATTGTGATGGAAAAGAGATGAGATCATTGTCCATAGCATGTCCGTCACAATTAGTCCATCACAAGTCCGTCACAAGTCCATCACTAGTAACCCACACAAGTCCATCACAAACCCACCACAAGTCCATCGCAAGTCTATCACAAGTCCATCACAAGTCTATCACAAGTCCATCACAAGTCCATCACAAGTCCATCACCAGTCTATCACAAGTCCATCATAAGTCCATCACAAGCCCACCACAAGTCCATCGCAAGTCTATCACAAGTCCATCACAAGTCTATCACAAGTCCATCACAAGTCCATCACAAGTCCATCACAAGTCTATCACAAGTCCATCATAAGTCCATCGCAAGTCAATCACAAGTCAATTACAAGTCCATCACAAGTCCATCACAAGTCCATCACAAGCCCATCACAAGCCCACCACAAGTCCATCACAAGTCTATCACAAGTCCATCACAAGTTCGTCACAAGTCAAACACGAGACGTCAAGTCACAAGTCCATTAACACAAGGGACATAAATGGGACAAAAGGCAGGGCTGTACATGTTTCTATTCTTGTGTGCATTTTTTTTTTTCATGTGAAGCCACAACATTACTCATGAGGTGCATGCTATAAATTAGTGAAGTTTTAGCTCAGAGGCTTTTTGAGGGGACATTATTATTAAAAACGTATGCACAATTTGTGTCTCGTGACTGGATTCCTTCGTTAACGAAGTACAACCACCTTAATGATTGCTTTCTTTCCATCAAAACCATTTTCGACTCAGGTGGAATAATTTCACAGGGTATCTGTGACCTGTCATCACAAAATGAACTTAAAGTCAGACTTTTAAGAATTGAGATATTTATATATCTGGCACTGGCAGATAAAGGGATGATTAGAAGTAGGTTTTTACAGATGTTTGATAGAACACACAATTGGAGAAAGGTAGCACAGGACTTACAGATTGAGGTTCACCTGGGAAAAAAAATGACCACCCGTTCAAATGTTGGCTTTGCCCCACTATACTGCAAAATGGCAATTACCGACTTTAAGCTCATTCAGTGGGAGACATGTCACATTTGGGACTATAGACCTTTAATCATGCTGCCACCATTTCAGTCATGTTCCCTGTATCCAATAACAGTACTGCATGATAATGTTTTGTGCAAAAAGGAACCAGATTATTTTCCCTTTCAGCCTTGCTTTTGTTACGTTGATTTGAATGGGACAAAATCAAGATGGCCGCAACATGACAATGGTCAATAGCTCCCTTCCTTTCTTCACGGCGAGAAAGGTTTCTCGTTAACGGGGAAGGTACATTTCCGGAGTAGCAATTAACGTCCATCCCTGCCTTACTTTAACCGAGGGACTATGGCTCGACGTCAGTTTTATAAACGAACGATTCATTCGTAAATTTTGATGACATTGATTCGTTCCTAATTTATAATACAACGTTACACGAACACACACACACAAATGCCAGTTGAACTTACATCTATTTTAACCTCGGTCTGAGCGTTGCGTGTTTTCCCATCAGCATGTTGATTTGTCGCTTTAGACCGTGCAGATAGTCCATCACATAATAAAGGAGGAAATGGGTTTTAAAAAAGGTACACAGTAAGATTAAAGGCATTGAATTTGCTACGTTATTAAGTAAGATGGGGATTTCAGGCTCAATTGCTGCAAGTTTGGACTCTTCTCCAGTATGACTACATAATTTCTAGTATATGGTGTGCAGGGTGGTGCAAAAAAAAAGAAGGAAACCCGCTTTTGACAGGAATTTTAACCTACTTACTTAACTTATTTGAACTGTTTTTTTCCCCTCCATAATGTGGTGAAGTATAGCTCTTCCACCATATACGTGATGAAAAAAATCTTTAAAAAAATCTCAAGGAGAGTGTTATTATGCTAATGTGAATACAAGTCACCAAAATCACTGCTGTCCACGTGTAAGTCTAGTGTAGTATTTTTGTCTTCAAATCGAGCTCCGAAGCTCAGTCAAGCGGCGCGGTTGGAATAGAGCCGTCCGTGGACAAACAGGTTTGGCACATGAAATTTTTAAACTACCATATCTCAGAGACAAAATATGCATTTGCACTCATTTTTTGTCACTTGTGTTTTATAGATCAAAATTTTATCCAATTAAATTGAATTTGTGAAATGTGCTCAACAAGTAGGTGAAAACTGCTGTCAACAGTGGGTTTCGTTTGCACCATCCTGTATTATACAAATAACGAATGTTTGTGAGGGCAGTGGTAAGAATAATTTCATGAGGTGACAGAGGGAACGTTCCATTCCACGAAGTGAAGCTGAGTGGAATGGAACATCCCATCCGTCACCTCATAAAACTATTCTTACCATTGCACTCATAAACATTCATTTGGTCTTTATATGTAACGCACCAATGCACTTAAGTTAGCACGTACTTTTTCCATTTTGTGTCCAAATTGGAACAGAGATTATTACCGCTCTTCCCAATCATTATATCTTCTCTGTTACTTTTTTAAATTTTTTTGTTTGTTAGGTATTATCAACTAACCGTCCAATGATTCATCCAGCACATAGGCAACTACGGTCAGGAATCCCATCATGCCTAGCGCGGCCACCATGGACATCAGAATTCTGTAGTGACTCCGCGTCAGATGCATCTTGGTGATTTGAAATTCTGCGGTTCCCTGAGTTTTAAAAATAAACTTAAGAGAGAGGGCAACTTCGAATATTCCAAAATCTGAAAACGGTTGTGCTTTTGCCTTTTTGGACAGACCCCTTCGTGGTGAATATTTCTTGACGAGCTTAAGTTACTTATGTGTTATGTAGGCCTGCTTCAAAATACTGAGCTTCAAACCTCGAAAAAATACAGATAACCATCACCACAGCAAATCTGTAGTATGTGGCTATAAGTCAAATTATAACGGTCCATTATGGGCCTCCTGAAGTCAACAGTTGACTGCAAACGTTAAAACGTGAAGTCAAACGTTAAAACTATAGGTTAAAACTTGATGTCAAACGTTAAAACTTGACGTCAAACGTTGTGTAACTTTTATTGTGAGAGAATGTCACTAACAACGTTTGGACATAAATTCAACGCAGTCAACGTACGCAATTCCATAGAGTTGAACTTGAATCATCGTTGAACTTGCATCGTTCAACACGGAATATTTATTCCCCCAATATGTAAGAAAGAAGCTTTCAAAGGGTTGACATTTAAAGTCAAGTCCAATGTAGTCTTAAAAATTTAGCTCAGTGTACTGTATACAACTTACCTTAATTAGATTCAACTTCAGTGCGTAGACTACAGAACTACAACTTTGTGTACGGTGTAACAATATACTGCAGAATGGCGGAGACCAAGATCATTGCCTTGACCGAACAATCCAATGGCACTGCGTACTCGCTACCGAATATTGTGCATGTATTGTTCGGCACTGGGGGTTACGGGTTAGTGATTTTTCTGAATGAGACATAACTATTTATGCACGATTTTTTTTTAAAAACCCTTTGAAACCTTTTGAAACATGTTGGTATAGAAATGGATGTTTGAGGTACAGCACAAATCAAGTTCGTTGGTTGTTCACAGGAACTGCGCTTCGCTTTGGGCTGTTTAGGTGAACTTCAATACGTGTTATGTGGCGTAACCAGACAGGCAAGCTATAGTGCCAGACTTTACAAAGCCGCCTGTTTTGCAGTTCCATTTCGGTAGAGTATGCTGATCCAAGCGTCGTATCACTCAACAATTTGTTAAAAGGTAAGATGTAATATTTTGGTCGACAATTTAAGGTGTGACGGAAGTTGAGATTGTGAGAACGACTCAACCCCAGACAAATGTGGGAAAATCGGGCCAATGATTGAGCAAGGGCAGCTACACTATACACATGATCACATCAATTAAACACGTATACGTGTTGGGTATGAAGTACATCATTTCTATAGAATTCCAAAGAGTGACGATCATCTCTCTATCCGAGTGAAACTATTGAAATAACGAAGATACATTAACTTAATTCATCAAGTTTCCCGCATTTGAGTTTTCCACGGAAGTAATTTCAATTATCTGAAGGTTATTTTCACTCCTAAATCGTCTGGTCCCAAGTTTGACTCTTTGGAAACTAAGGAAAAGTGCCTGCTGCACGGGTTCCCGTTTTGTTTTAACTGAACATTTCCTGAATATGAATATGTTCCAAAAAACAGCTCATGCACTCTGCTGAAAGCTATACTTTCGACAAACTAGTAAATTACATGTGACTTTTCATGAGTGAATTCTTAAGACAAATTTCTTGTAAATATCATGCAAAAAGAACTACAGGGCGAGTCAAAACGAAAGTGACCCGATTAGACAAAATATTTTTCAAAAATATGTGCCTAGCTCCAATTCACAAAAAAATAACAGCAAATGCTATTGACCAGTATAACTGTCAGAATTTCAAGTAAGTTGCATACTCTTTTCCCATTTATGACTATTTTAATAAAAAAGATCACAAAATTCAGCAGTCCACCACTGATCATTTACCGTCCTACGAACTGTTGAATACCCATGAAACATGGACGTTTTCCCACCTCCATGAATGAACGAAATTTTGCAAAGGATAACAGACACAAATCGCCTTCAATATGTCAGAAAAATAACAGTTGACTAGTATTTTTCCTCATATTCATATTCTGACAGTAAAAATAATGTTTCAGTCTTGACTCAACTGACAAATCTCATTTGTTTTGAATGCCCGTGTGTAACCTGTAATTCTCACTCAGCTCAATAGCTTTCAATGGCATTCCATGGGCAGCTGTAACTTCCGATCAATTTCAGTAACTCTTTTTTCCTTCAGATTTATGAGTGGAAGAACATGCTCTTATAAGACATACTTCATTGGTGTATCTATTTTTTTTTTTTTTAAGAAAACAAATCATTGATCGAAGTCACTTCCTTTTTAAGTCATCATGCAAGATAACTCCTTGTTTGGAAATTGAAGGCATTTGTACACAATTTCCGTTAAACATGCGCATATTGAAGAACTATCAACGAAACCAAAATGTTTGAACTTGCTAAATTCCACTTTGAGATATTTCGCACCCAGCCACCAGACTTTGGCAGGCAAAGGATGACCCGGTGGGCTGGTCACGTGATCAGGGGGGGGGGGCCGTGGGGGGGAGGGCGACAGCCCCCCCCCATGAAACCTTGTCGCCCCCCCAGTCGCCCCCCCCCCCCACTGAGATTTTGAGTTTCTAAAAAAATTATCATTGATCTACATGACGCCCCCCATGAAATGTTTCAGCCCCCCAGCGGCCCCCCCCCCCTCTGAAAAATTCCTGGCTACGCCACTGCACGTGATAGAAGCAAAGACGCACAGAAATTGCATTAATTTCGATGATTCGTAAACTTTCGATGGGATGAAAGAATAACTTAAAAACCAGAAATGGTTGAGTTTATCTACAAGGTGAGTATGTGCAGGATAAAATTGTTCCACTTCAAACCCTTTTACAGATACAGCCAACAGACCGGAACTGTGCAGTGAAGGTATATGTGCGCTGCATTGTGGTACAGTAACAATGCGCACAAGGTGCAACCCTGCAAGAAAATTCCCATAGACACTAGTGCTAAATGCGCATACGTCAAAATTCTTTTAAAAATACTCAGAACTCTCACAGGCATTCAAGCTGCACAGAAATAAATGATGATCAATGTGTCATCTTTCATTTTCTTTTCATTTTTTGGTGAGTTGTCCATTGACTTTTTGAGATATTCTCACCCAAAGAAGACGACCCCTATTTTCCCCAAAGCAGAAAAGTAGCCATCTTGAAAAACGATCCCTCCACAACATGGCAAAATAGCGCCACTTTCGAGCCCAATAGCATCCAAAATGCTCAGGATTGGAAGCCCCAAGTCCGGGCCAAAGGTTCATTACCTTATCTCTTCAATACCCCAATTTTATGGCTCTCGAAACTCTCTAATATAGAATATTTTGAGGGTATAACTTTTAGTCATGAGCTCGGCGGACGGATTTTTGGCCTGTGTCCAATTTTGTAGCGCAAACTGTCCCACGGGTGCAACGCAGCATTTTACCCTCACTGAACACTTCCGGTCGACCCTGCTCCATGTCCCCACCAATAGCTCCCACTCTGAAGCCCGTTATTGGGCCACCAAGTGTCAGATGCTGCTGTAAATACGCACCGTATTCAATGCTAACATTAGCCTTTTTAGGTTTAACCTTCTTTAACCGGTAATAGCACGGCTTTGAAATTGAGAACAAAGCGGTGAGGTCAAGAGGCGTATGGAGCGGAGACTACAGTGACGAGGTTTTGCCTTTTGAATTTCGAGGCCAGTGTTGATTTCGTCAATGGGCCTGCACTTTGTAGTCTCGCCTCAGTGCGTCGCATGGCCACACGAATTGGTCAAGGTATTTTTCTACGTTCCTATAGATAGTGTTAAGGCTAGTTTTTATTCTATTTGGCTGGGGGGGGGGGGGCTCACGATTATTTTTCTTCAAATTTTGTAGAAATTGTGGCCAAAAATTTTGTCCGCAGAAAAAAATGTGTTTGTAGTTGTTTTGTTTGGAGGGGGAAGGGCTATTTTGACGTTGGTGGCGCCACTTACACCCTATTATACTACTCAAAAATAGGCCACATACATATCACCATCACCAAGGTCAAATCGTGGGACTAAAAAAAAGAAGTGACAACCTCTTGGGGGAGGCTGAAGCCCCCCCCCCCCCCCCTCCCGCTTGGCTGCGCCACTGCTGTTATTGTCTTTCGCAAAAATTCAAATGATGAACATGTCGGTTGGCACGGGTAAAACTGAACTTCAATTTCGCATTTTTCCCCCGCCAGGTATCGTAAAAAGGATGCGAAGACTTACGTGTAGGCGGCCATTTGGGTGCCTGCTGATCACTTCGTGTTTGTTGACGTTAATGGGCCTGTTACTTCGACACATTGTGCAAACGAACAACGAGAAAAGTAAGCCAAACATTCGTCAGATTGAGCAGGCTTATTTATTCATTATTATAGCTGACAAAATGAGGAGTCATTGTGTTGAAAAGAAAATGATGATATTCAATTTATTATCGCTTAGACGGGCTGCCTTGGTTACCTGTAAGAAGAGTAGAAACGATAGTTGAACAGCCACAGGCAAGGGAGAATGTTCACAGTACTCAGAGGCAGATTGCAGTGCAGGCAAAAAAGGTAAGCACGATTTTTGATGGATGGCTGAATTATACCCACCGGCTGGTTGGCTAGCTGGCTGGCAAACTGGCTTGCTGACTGCATGGCTGGTTGGCTGGCTTTATGGTCTGCTGGCCTGTTGGCTAGCCGTCTAGCTGGTTGACTATAGCTGGTTGGCTGGTTGACTGGCTGGTTTTCTTGCTCGCTTAATGGCTGGCTGGTGAGGTGGGTGGGTGACTGACTTGCGAGCTGGCTGACTCCCCGGATGGGTGGCTGGTTGGCTGGCTTTATGGTCTGCTGGCCTGTTGGCTAGCCGTCTAGCTGGTTGACTAACAGGCTGGTTGACTGGCTGGTTTTCTTGCTCGCTTAATGGCTGGCTGGTGAGGTGGGTGGGTGACTGACTTGCGAGCTGGCTGACTCCCCGGATGGGTGGTTGGTTGCCTGGCTGGCTGGCTGGTATGCTGGCTGGCTGGCAGGCTGGTTGGGAGCTAGGCTGGTTGGCATGGCGCATGATTACAGTGACCGGTACATCGTGTGCACTTTTACGGAACGCCATTTTCCAACCAATATTAAGACTGAAGTATAGCATTGTAATCTGAAGAGAATTTATCCTGCTTCCCACAGGCAAAAGATGAAAACGTTGTAACCCCAAAACCTACTGAGGCGGGCTACATGAACCTAAATGCCCTAGACCGAGACAAGGCCTTGGTCCTCGGCCATCGCAGAAAAGACAAAGGTAAGTGCTCACTTTAACTGTCTTACTTATTTGCTGCATCAATACACAAGTGCAGAACTGCAAATTGTTTCAATTATTTTCGTCTCTCTTCCTAATGCAGGTTTACTAACGATTGGTGTCACCACAGCCGAGCGACAGAACGCCAGCTACCTAGACGCGACATTACGTTCCCTCATAGAAAACGCCGACGCCTCAGAGAGGTCACTGCTGAGACTCGTGGTATTCGCTTGCGACTATCACGAGCGGGGTAGGCAAGAGGCACAAGCTGTGGTGTCCGCTTATTCCGAGCACATCCAGAGCGGCCTCTTGCAATTTATTGTCGCGCCAAGGTCTTTCTATCCAAAATTCTCTAACCTGAAGCGGACTTACGGCGATCCGGAAGAGCGTGTCCAGTGGCGATCTAAAGAGAACATCGACAGCGTGTTTCTGTTCGCGTACTGCGCCGGCATGTCCGAGTATTTCCTGCAGATGGACGACGATCTGGCAACCAGCCCGGGATACTTCCAGACGATCCGATCCTTCATCAAAGGTCACTCCGAGGACGACTGGGCACTGCTTGACATCGGCTCTACAGGCTCCGGGAAGCTATTCCGTGATGAAGATGTCCTCCCAATGGCTCAGTTCATGGTTCAGTTTTGGCAGGAAGACCCGGTGGATTACCTATTCTTGTTTTTCAAGGCTCTTCGCGTGCAGAAGGAACGCTTCGTGGTCAAACCACCTCTTTTCAAACACCTGGGAGTGGTGTCCACTTTGGATTTGAAAAACAGGGAAAGGAAAGCAAAAGAAGCCGCTAAGGCTAAGAAGGGTGGACCTAGCTTGAGGGTGTGACGTACACTTTTAAGCTTTTTTAAAACAAGGAAAACTCTAAATCCGTTTATAAATTTCCCCAAATGTTTTAAAGGAAACCCACCTTATAAAAAGTTATTGGGAGTGGCGTCTGCTTTGGATTTGAAAAACAGGGGAAGGAAAGCAAAAGAAGCCGCTAAGGCTTAGAAGGGTGGACCTATAGCTTGAGGGTGTGACGTTTACACTTTTAAACGCTTAAACGAGGAAAACTCTAAATCCGTTTACAAATTTCCCATTGAATGTTTAAAGGGCACCTTCCTTTAAAAAAAGTGACATCCGTTTACTCTAAAGTAACAACTGCACATGTCACAAAAAAGTAATGGATGCCTTTAAACCCATTTTATTTCCAAAGCAAAAGAACAGTCCATTGTGGACAAGCGTCATTGTTGATTGGGGTCGATGACAACCTCTCGCCCTGGTATGGATCATTTGCATGTGCAAAGTTTTTGAACACGTATATGCAAATGAGGAATAGTATGGTGCCTGCCTGTGCGTTACATTAGCGTTTGTTTTTGTATGTACATGTAATGCGATGTCTGGGGTAAAAACACAATCAATTCGTCGCAAATATCTCCCTCGCCCACCCTCGATAAACTGAAATATGCCCGTGAAAAAAAAAGGCATTTTCGTCAAGAGCATTCGGCCCGACCCAATAATACTGGAGCAGACACTCAATAGTACCTTAAAAACGTGTTAAGCATCCCCGCCTGTTCCTTTTGGGAGGCCGCCTCCTTTCTTTCTTTTATCCGAAAAAAAAAGATAAATTTTAAACAAGTGACATCATCTTGGCCTCTTTGTCTGTTGCATCTAGACCATAAGCTGGTATATTTCACGAGTCCAAGTGGCGGTCATTTAAGAAAAAAAGCTGGCGGCCATATTGAAAAATAGCCTGGTCGGGTGGCCATTTTGGAAGGAAAAAAAAAGGCCTCCTCCAGTTCCTTGTTTTCTAAAAGGCAGGGCGTAAAGCGCCACATAACTAGTGGTCTCAACAACGCGTCAATACGGATGCTGCACAAGTGAACAAAAAGAACAAACTCGTTTCAGATGAACTACTGGATTAAATTGAAATTTCGTGCAATTAGTTTTCACGATGTGTAGCATAAGTAGTTCGCATGGCGTGAGAAACCGTGGAGCTATAAATACAACATGATCGTAACAATCTAGTGTTTTAAACGTTAAAAATCCATGTTGACTTACATTAGGATTGTGTCAATTAAAATCCTGTATTGTTACGGTCATAATAGCTTGATAATTTGACGTTTTTATTATGAAATGAAATCTTTTGATGTCAAACATCGTGACAAATGAGTGTACGAAAATTCATTTTAATAGAACGTGTATTCAGTGGCGTAGCCAGGAATTTTTCAAGGGGGGGGGGGGGGCGCTGGGGGGGGGGGCTGGAACATTTCATGGGGGGGGGTGTCATGTAGATCAATGATAATTATTATTTTAGAAACTCAAAATCTCAGGGGGGGGGGGGGGGTGCGACTGGGGAGGCGACAAGATTTCATGTGGGGGGGGGGGGGGGGGCGGCTATCGCCCCCCACGCCCCCAGTGGCTACGCCACTGCGTGTATTTCTTGAGTTGTTGGCCCCAAATCGTTTGGTGGTGGAGATCGAGACCACTATCATAGAGGGCGCGCCACATAAATAGTGGTCTCGGCAACGCACCAACACGGATGCTGCACAATATTTAAGAAAAAGAACAACCTCGTTTCCGATGGACTACTCAAGAAATACAAAATGGATTAAATTGAAATTTCGTGCAATTAGTTTTCACGATGTGTATCATGAGTAGTTTGAATGGCGTGAGAAACCCTGGAGCTATAAATATAATATGATCGTAACAATCTAGTGTTTTAAACGTTAACAATCCATGTTGACTTCCATTAGGATTGTATTTGTTGCAAATAAAATCCTGTATTGTTACGGTCATAATAGCTTGATTAATTGACGTTTTTTCATGAAATGAAATCTTATGATGCCAAACATCATGACAAATGAGTGTACGAAAATTCATTTTAATATAACGTGTATTCAGTGGCGTAGCCTGGAATTTTTTTAGTGAGGGTGTGGAAGGTAATTCTGTCCCCCGGTAAAACTGTCCGTGGGGACAGAATTACCTAGGTAAAAGTGTCCTCCCCGGCCCGTTAATTCTGTCCCCCTCCAGGTAATTCTGTCCCCCAGGGTTTTTGTCCCCCACTTTTGAAACCCGGAAGGCCAGTTCTCTTGATTGTTTTTATAAATTCACTCTACAAGGTATACATTTTGGACTTTTAGTCTGCCCTTCATGAATATAAAAATATTTAATTTGGTCTAATAGATGATATGTGAACACAACGTTTTGATTTGGAGTACGGTGAAATCTATCGCGATTCTACCGCGATAGGTCAGCGACACGCTGCTGCTCTCAGTATATACTACATACGGACACATTTACCAGGGGGACACTTTCACCGTTGGGCAGGGGGACAATTTTAACTGGAGGGGGACAAATCTACCTAGGTAAAAGTGTCCCCCCCCCCGGACACATTTACCGGGTCACGAGCCGGTAAATGTGTCCGGGGGGACACATTTACCAGGGGGACAGAATTACCTGTCACAGGGATTAATAACAACTAGCGCCTTGACCAAGGCTATGTCTGCAGCTGGACATCCGCTGGCACTTGGTGGCGCTGTCACGCCCCAACTATCGCATCGGTCCCAACTATAGTTGGGACTGTCCCAACTATAGTGCGGCAGTTGGGTCGGCCCAACTATAGTTAGGACGTGAGTTGCGCCGGATGCTTCATGCTCGATAGATCTTGTTGGATTAAATGTTCCGCGGCGCTGGCACCGTGTATTCGTCGTGCATGCATGCCGCAAGGCTGGCCGGTCACGTGGTACTGCCTAGTTGGACGAGTTGTCCAGCTGCTGGGTTTTATTATCCAGCAACATTTTGCAAAATTCAAAGATTGCCATGGCCGGCCAACTATAGATGGGCCCCACCCATAGCTAATGTCAAAGGTCCCAAGTCGGACATGTAAGCAGAGCTGTAGGGAATGTTTTACAATCGTACATCAATGTAAACTATAGTTGGGACTGCCAAATAAAAATATTGCGGTGGCCCAACTACAGATGGTCCCCACCCATAGATCATTTCATTGGTCCCCAGTAAAGTCAGATGTGTATTAGAGTTGTAGGGAATGTTTTATAATCGTACAACAATGTACACTATAGTTGGGACCGCAAAATAAAAAGATTGGGGTGGCCCAACTATAGATTCGCCCCATCAATAACTAATTTCAGTGGTCCCCAGTAAAGTCAGACGTGTATCAGAGCTGTAGGGAACGTTTTATGGTTGTACATCAATGTAAACTATAGTTGGGACACCGCAAAATAAAAAGATCGGAGTGGCCCAACTATAGATGGGCCAGCCCAACAATGGAACTTACAGTTGGGACCGTCCCAACTATAGTTGGGACAGGCCCAACTATAGTTGGGCCAGCCCAACTGTGGAACTACAGTTGGGACAGGCCCAACTATAGTTGGGACAGGCCCAACTATAGTTGGGACCGATGCGATAGTTGGGGCGTGACAGCGCTCTTCATCGTTGCACACTCGCACGTGTGGGATAACATGGATGATCGTGAGTCGTTCGTAGGAATTTCATGAATTTTGCCGGTAATACCTGGACGATTTTGCCGACACAGCCGCTCCAACTTGCCGGTCATTCGCAGCATTGCTAGCATGACAGTAAAGGAGGTAATTCTGGCCAAGCTGCATTGAACCAGTGTGAGAACTTGAACTGAAGTTGAACTTCAACTTGAAGTTGGTCAGGCAAACAAGCCCCTAGCTGGAGTTACCCAGCCCTGAGTTTTATCATTGGGTTGTCATCTAGCTGGAGTTACCCAGCCCTTAGCCCCACTAGTGTGGCCGTCGGTATGCTGCGCTGAACCTAACTTAGGTTCAGCGCAGCATACCGACGGCCACACCAGTGGGGCTACCCAGCCCTGAGTTTTATCATTGGGTTGTCATCTAGATGACAACCCAATGATAAAACTCAGGGCTGGGTAACTCCAGCTAGATGACAACCCAATGATAAAACTCAGGGCTGGGTAACTCCAGCTAACAAGCCCCCAGATATGAGATAGCAATTTCATGTCATCAAAGTCAATTTGAGCAGTGAGAAAATACAAGCATTTTCATAGAAAACACTTAAAAATTTTCAGTCCACTCTCATAGGGTTTGTACACAGGCATGACCATGATGACAGGGTGTTGAGTGAACTTCTTATATGGAAATCTTTCCCCATGATGACTACGGCATCATCAGGGCGGATCCAGGAATTGTCGGGGGGGGGGGGGGGGGGGGGCCGGGGGTTCATCAGCAAAAAACCCTGAAAATCAATAACAAGGGGGGGGGGGGGGGGCTCGAACCATACTGAAATGAAAACATGGGCGCTGTACAAATCCGACAATTAATATTTTTAATAGGCAGTGTATATTTTGCCGGAGACGGCAAACCTTTAGTAAACGTTAGTTTGCCGGATATGCACTGAACATGCGCAGTTACTGTTTTTTTTTTACTTAAACATTTTCCGGTGACAAGTTTTAGTCTGGCTCCATGCCAAAATTATCGTTGTTACCTCGTATTCACAAGATGGGATTCAGACCATTTTATAATTTCGGACTTTATTTCCCTTTTAAAAAAAATCCTCCAGAGCCACAAATCTGAAAAAGAAAATGTAATACTCTGCAAAAAATGTTTGAGACATGTTAAAATAAGAAAAGAAGAATATTCTTATTTATTTGGGGATGAGAAAAAAAACCTTAAAAATGTGGTGCGGTCGGAATCGAACGCGAGTCATCCCGCTTGCTAGAGCCTTTGCTTAACCATTACACCAAACGTGCTACACAACTTTAGGTGGGAATTTAATACATCTTATAATTCAGCCCTATTTTAAAGAGCACAGCGCCCTCTGTTGATATGAATTGCCGCCGGCAAACCTTTAGTAATCGTTAGCTTGCCGTCATTACCTCCGGCAAAATATCCACTACCTTAATATTAACACTGTATTTACAGAATGGTGTAATAGTAGTTGGCCTAACCATCCTGGCTACGTGCATATTTTTTGTACTGACAGACATTTTAAGGAATTTCTATGAAAAAAAACTTTTGACTGATTTTTTTTTTTCAAACACCCCCCCCCCTTGATCCGCGCCTGTTGGTTGTTGTTAAATAATTTCACGTTTGCTTTTGATGTTCAATAGCCATGAGCATAATTAGTGACGTGAGTTGTGACAGGGGTGCGTACTCAGGTTACACTTACAACTTGGAAGTAACGGTATAAATTATCCGAGTAACTTAGACCATTTTTGTACAAATTACCTTTTTTTAACATTGGGACATGGTCTGGCTATTTTGAGGTCCAATTTGCAAGTCTATTGTTAGACTTGCCGTCGGGGAATAACCAACAACTCGACCCGTTGCGAACAAAAACATCAGATTTCTCCCTCAAAACAGCCACAGAATTACTAAATATGCAACCTGGGACAATCTCTATGAAAAGTGAAAGGAGAGAATGTTGCAACCTGACGTCACTTCAGCGGTTGTGTACAAAGTCTATGGAGAGTCAAGAAAGTTTTCTGTTCTAATAAGTATTTCCTAACATAATTAGAAATGTTTCTCAGTCCCAGATTCATGTCTTATCATCATTTTTGCATTAAATGACCTTCACTGAGATGATACCTGAAGACAAAAGTGGCTTCAGGTTGCATCTTTCCAAGTGAAATTTACCGCTTCATGGCAAGGGCTTTGTCGCGAGTACAGCGTATACCGCGTGTGGGCGCCATTTTCAAAACTCTAACTCGCTGCTAACTAAAGAGGGGCCCATAACTACACAATTCCTTATTTTTTTTTACATTTACAGATATGGCAGTCAGCCAGACAAACCGCTTTCTCTTCACTAGGATCTTGTCTAATTTCCCCAAGGATATGACGATGGCATTTGCCTATGGATCTGGCGTTTTTAAACAGATTGCAAACAAGGACAAGGTGAGAAAGTGAACCATAGTTGTACACATTGACAGATGGTGGGCGGAGAAGATGTGCCCAGAATGCAGTGCAATAAATATGGATTTTTTTTTAGGGTGATGGTCTTTTTTAAAAGGGGGGGGGGGGAATTAGATATGTTTTTTGCTCAAGAAGTGGCCTCAAATTTGTTCATGCCAATTTCATAAGCTACCTTTAGATGAAAAAATTACTGAAATTGGTCAATCCGTTTAAAGAATATCACCATTTAAATACTATGACCCTAAAACCTGTCTCGTCCAAAAAATGTGATTTCAAGAATCATCGAATATGGAAATTTGCATTAGCATAAAATCAAAAAGGCACCAAAATGCCCTTAAAAATGGAAAACTGAAAACTGAAAATAAAATCAAATGGGACACAAAGGTAAAGGTGCATTTTTAAGGATTGCTTTAAAAAAAAATTACATCACATTGGCCCTTTAAACATCTTTTCTATGTTAGTTTGCTCACATTTAAACAGTTTACGTCACAACTTTACACCAGTCGCACATCAAGAGATACACATGCAATGTTGAAGAGTACAGAGTGCCGAACGTTGGCATCACATAACCACAACATACAATTTGTAAACAAATACTAACACGGTCTGTACATGATAGTGAACATGATTTTCTCCCTATTTTTCTCGACAGGACAATATGATTGACTTCATCTTTGTGGTCAACGACGCCGCGGACTGGCACGCCCAGAACCTGAGGAGAAACCCTCATCACTACTCAAGCCTGAGGCACCTCGGAGCTGAGAAGATCGTCAGGATTCAAGATGAAATTGGAGCGGGCGTGTACTACAACACGCTGGTCAGGTGTGAGGATAAGGTACAGGGTATCACGCAGAATATTTCTGCCACGTTATACGGCTATCATAGCACCTGACAATATGGGTACAAAAAAAAGGGCAAGCCAAGTAAAGTAGGTCCTAGACCAGTCTGTGTCACGTGGAGTGCCATTGCCTTGTGGTCACTCTATCTGGGGCATTGAATTCCAGGGTCTGTGGGTAATTCTGCAGGTTGTGGGTTCGAGTCCAACCTGGTGTTATGGTGAGGAACTCCCACGTTTATGTTATTGATTCTGTTCTGGGTTCCAACAGTTAATCAAGTATGGAGTGGTCAGGCGCGACAGACTTATCAGAGAACTGATTGACTGGAATACACTCTACCTCAGCGGCAGGCTACACAAACCGGTAAGATGTGATCCAAATACCGTTGCTAAACACCATTGTTATATCGTGGCTTGGATACTCTAATTTCATTGGTCTAGAATGGCCATGTGTTCAGTCTATTAAAACCCTAACTCCCTAGCATGATTCACTAGGAACCATACCCATCCTGGCAAATTCCAACACCATATGGGAAACTGCACACACATATTTCTGACTTTGATTCTGGAGGTGTGCCAACCCAATGTAAAAGACCGTCAGTTTAGGGGTACTGTACCCATCCTGACAGATTCCAACAAAACATGCCGTTGGGGTTTGATGGGTTGAGTTCTGTTAGGGTTAAATTGACTGCTTACTTTATACACTCTGCGTTTCATAAAAAATAACTCATATTCACCGTGTTGCATCTCATATACACACTGTTTCATAAAGTATCTTATGTAGGGCGCTTGTGTAGGGCTCGCCCGCCTCACATCAAATATCCGGGGGGGGGGGGGGGGGGGGGGGGGACTCAGGGAATTTCATTTTCATGAGGTGCTTGGAACCCTGCAGTGTGCCATCTTTTTCAACCCAACAGCTCAAATTGCCCCACGAGTGACAATTCGGTGCAATTCTGTTTTGGTTCATTTTCAGGTGAGCATCGTCCAGCGCAGCAGCAGCCGAACGCTGTACAACGCCATACGCAGGAACCTGCAGAGCGCCCTCTATGCCAGCTTGCTGCAACTGCCGGAGTGTTTCACCGAGGACGAGCTGTTTCTGAAGATAGCTGGCTTGTCGTACGGAGGTAGGTAATCCCGAACATCTGGCCGTGGGCGTCCCTGGACCAATCTGAATTGAAGAGTGTGTGACGTCAAAATTGTGAGGCCTTCTGGCAAAATGAGACAGAACTGGGCAGAGGTCGAAATGAGCATTTGCGGGTATTAGGAAAGAGAATACAATTCTCCTTACAATGCTGTTTGTTGTGCTTCAGTCGGACATTCAAGTGACACATTATCGCTGGTTAAAATTTGCATTTGTCAAAAAAAGTAAAATACTAAAAAAAAGGCTATTAATGTTTTGAATTCGTGAAAATGAAAGACGGCTACTGTTTTCCCTTAAAAACACTTTTTTTACAAATGTGTAGTGGACATTTAAATATCAAAGATGACAAATATGAATTAATCTGAAAATTGAAAAAAAATCCTCCCCCGCTTAGTTTGCATTTTTTCCACTACGACCTGTTCCCAGTTCCGTCTCATTTTGCCAGAACACCTCAAAATGCACCCATCCTGCCTGTCTAATAAATAGACAGTGCGTATTGACCAATTAGGTCACGGCATTTGGTCAGGTGACCCATGGTATCTTGGTAAAACTAGGGAGATAACGTACTCAAGCTAAAAGTGGGCGAGGCTTAGGACTAAATCCATTTCCCAAAGGGTCCATTGCCGATAGACCACCCTAGGCAGTAGCCCCACTAGGGCTGTCCTGAATACACCGAATATTTGAATATTTCATCATCAGCCGAATATTCAAATAGCTTTCTGCTGATTTGAATATTTGAAAGATAAATACTATGCATGTACATACATGACTGTGATGTGATTTCAATCGTAAAGTTGCTGCGCTTTATTGTCAGATGACACATTCCTGCATTGTTTGAACTTGTTTGATTTTTAGGGGATTTTAGAATGGTCTTTGGAGAAGACAAAAACAAAGTGAGGAACATTGTCAGTGCCAACCTGGATGGATTCCGGACGCACTATCATGACATGCTAGACAACACTGAACACATCTACTGGGACCAGAAGAACAGAACAGTAGAGGTAAGTCCATCACAAGTCCATCACAGCTCCATCACACGTCATCAGAAATCATCACAGAGCATCGCAATTCATCATAAGTCATCATAAGTAATCACAAGTCAATCACAAATCCATCACAAATCAATCACAACATGCACAAAGTCATCACAAGTCTTCCCAAGTCAATCATCAGCAATCACAAATTATCACAAGTCATCATTAATCACCGGTCATAACAAGTCATCGCAAGGTATCACAAGTTTATCACAAGCCCATTACAAGCTCATCATAAGTCAATCACAGATCTATCACAAGTCAATCCACAAATCATCACAAGTAAATCACAAGGCATGACAAAAGTCATAGCAAGTCTTCACAAGTCTTCGCCAGCCAATCGTCAGTCATCAGAAGTCAATCACAAGTCCATCGCAAGTAATCACAAAAGTCATCACAAATCACCACATGTCATCACAAGTGATCACAAGTCAGCACAATCCATCCAGTGACACGCTATACAAATAAAACAGGACAAAGGCATTCCTTTATCAGTGTGCATCCACTGTTAATTGTGAAGTGACTTGTGATTTAAGTTTTGCTTGACATGACTGACTAGTCAAATAGTTTCTTTTTCCCTCCAAATTCTTAACGTCTTACTAAGTCTGAATATTCTTGAATCCTCTAAAATCCATCATGCCTCAGGTATTAAATGACACATTAATTGTTCTTTTCAACTTTTACGGGACATCAAGCCTAATGTTAACTACATGCAGTTGTGGTTTGGGCTTTACCTTGCTCCATCGCGAATATCCTCCAAAATCCTTCAAAATCCAAATCATCCTCGTGGATTTGTAAAGATCTGGGAGAATCTGAGTTGTGTGGATTTGTTTCAGAGATGTGACCATTGACTTGTAGCGTATTTCTTCTTGCTTTTTAAATACAGTACAATTGTGTTGTTTTCTCCAGAATAATTCTTGCATTTCATTTATGGAACTTTCTCCTTTTTTCCTTCAGCAAGACAGGAGTCCCGCCTGTCTGTTTTCCCACCTGAGCTGCCTGCCCAAAAACCTGCAGCTGAGCATCGCCCGATTGGCCGGAGGGCCATCACATGACACAGGGGTGGTACTCCAGAGAATAGCACGGGAGAAGGAATGTTCAGATCTTGTGGCACGAGGTATTTTTTCTTCGGGATTTGAAAGATTGCAATCGGTCTTATCCGGCCTGTCGTTCAAGGACTATGCAAACTTTGAAAAGAACCAAGTTCCCAAAAAGAAAACAGTACATTGCTAAAAACAGGCACGAGTCAAATTTCTCGGTGTTTCTGTATTTGAATTACATGTACTTTGGCTTACATTCATATTAATAATAGTCAACCGATTCAGGATTTTTGAATGCATTAAGGGCCCGTCGCAATTCATATACGGGACGAGTTCCGGACAAGTTGCAGGTAGAATCATTCACGTTGTCCAGAAGAAGCTCTGCATTTGTCCCGGACATGTTCTGGGGAAATTTTCATTAGCAACTGCTGACTCACCAATACTGGTAACTTTCATTGTAGGAAGATTTTTTGGGAAGTTGTTCAGAATCCTGCAACTTATACCAGAAACAATGTTCACAACTTGTCCGGAATTCCTTGTCCTGATAATATGATTTGAGACGGGTCCTAAATAAAAAAATTCAGTAAAAAAAACCCAAAAAACACCCCCCCCCCCAAAAACCCCCCCCCAAAAAAAAACTAAGAAAATTTCATTGGCAAGATTTGTTGAGAATTTGTGACATTTTTTGACAGTCTACATTCATAAATGAAATGAAGATTTAATTCAGTAAAATATCCATCTTTCCTACCTTTAAAATGGCACGGTAGCAGTACCTTCATTAATTGTTCTAATAAACTACTCTTCACCAAAAATTCACTTTCACTACAGCGGAACATTGCTATACCGAACACCGCTATATCGAACATTATGCTATATCAAGCATCATCCTTGGCTCTTGATTTTTGTGTATAAAACGTACCGAACATTGTTGTTGGAATATGTCAACAGAAGAGCGACAAATGGCTATTATTTCCCCAAGGAACAGAAGAAAAAATCCACCTGTAGAAGCTCAAAAACTGTGTACATGTAATATCATGATTCAATAGTCACACGTGTTCAAAGTCGTCTTTCAGTAACTTCCAGGGCGTACAGGGTGAAGTGAAGCTTACGGCATTGAAAAGATGAATGGAAAAAGTTTGGCGATAATGAATGGAAAAAGTTTGGCGACTCCGCGCATGGTTTGTAAATGCAACTACACAATAACAATCGTCAAACGAGTGCGCCAGTAGTGTATGAAAACCACAAGCTGGTTAAAGTATCGGCTTAAAAATGCTATACCGAACGATCGCTATTACGAACAATTTCTGTGGATCCCGCAATGTTCGTTGTAGCGGCATTCCACTGTAGTGCACTTGACCATAAGTCTTGGTAAAGTGTCCTGCTCGTGGACACATTGGCAGAAGCATTGTTCAAACTACAAGATTAATGTCAAGTTCACCAGAATATCACCCGGGTAAAGCATCTGTAATTTTCTTCTGGTTGCACAGGTGCTAGAAATATTGTGAGAACGTCCAGCATAACGCAGAGCATAAAAGGCATCTTCACAGCAGGTGAGCTGCAAACACTGAAACAAGTGCGAGTGCCCAATAAGCTCTGGCTGTCTTGCGTGAAAATCTTGCATGAAATCTATCAAAATGATCCCTGCCAGAGCTTAAAAATGCGACGCTCCAAAATGCGACGCCGATGGCACATATGAGCACCATACTTTAGATTTATACCTCAATTAATAACGATTTGTGATAAATACCACTTGGCTGTAACATTCCTGCACATATTTTGCCTCCATTTACAAACTTTTCATGAACATCTTTCCAAATTGTGACAAACAATTTTTGTTAAGTATTGAATTTATTTTGTTTGCTTTTTATGAAAATTCAAATTTGGTAGTTATATTTTATGGGAAACTTAGGGGGCTTATTTTGGTCAATTTTCTGGGGACAGACAGACAGACAGTCAGACAGACCGACTGACCAACAAGTGACATGTAGAAGCTCCTGCCAGAGCTTAAATAACATTCATAAATACCTCAGACAGTTTAGCCATTCCTATTGGTCGAGAGTCTGTCACGTGGCCGGTCTTAAACGGATGATAAAGACATGGCTAGCTGGTCTTAAACACTTTTCCAGTGTCGCAATAAAATGTAGACCCCTAAAAATCCAGTGCCTCTTACCGTTTCATTGGTTGAACGTTCACAATCCTCACGTAGGCATGCGCAACACTACCAGCGAGTCAGAATTTTATAGTTCTAAATTCAAAACGCAACGCGCCAGGTGCGTTCTGCGCGACATCGCTCAGAACATGCTACGCGCGCGTCAATCTCCATAAAAGGGCTGTTTACATCTTACTCGCCAGCTGAACACTCCATTATTTTGCTAGAGGGATGTTTCAAAAAGCATGAAGTGAACTTGTTGAACAAATCGGTATTTTTTTAACGAATTATTTGATATTTTTTACCAAAAAGGTATTTATGAATGGGAATAAATATGTGCTCGGTCGGTATTAATCACTCTGTTTAAGACCCCGTTCCCACTTGATCCACCAATTGGGGGATCTGATCCACCTTTTGCCAAATTGCCGGATCAGATCCCCCAATTGGTGGATCAGATCCGGCAATTGTGTGTAGTGGGAACGCTAACCGTTATAAGGTGGATCAGGATCAGATCCACCTTTTCTGATCCACCTCTGGACCAGGATACAGATCCCCCAATTGGTGGATCAGATCCGGCAATTGCCGGATCACGATCAGATGGGAACGCAAAAGGTGGATCTGATCCGGCAATTTGACCTGTTAACATCCGCCCGGTGCACGAGTGGCGCGAAAATGTTGCGGTCTCATGAACGAAGAAACACGTTTTCAGGCGTGTAGCTCATGTGAACATTTCCAGCGTTTACAACATGCACAATAAACAACCGCTGAACTACGGGCTAGCACCGCGCATGCAAAAGCGCACGTGGTATCCTAAAACTACACTATAGGCCTTATTTTTGTTGCGTGTTCGTCCATTACTAAACCTTTTTCATTCCTGAAATTTTACTTATTTTTCCATCCATAAATGACTCTGAGTCCGCACTCACCAAAAGACTTCACTTTGGCACAGAATCATTGAAAAGCTTACGAGTATGCGATGAGAATAGTGCCGATAACGCGGTACGTACGGAGGTGACAAATCAGAAGTATTGATTATAGAAAATTGGAAAATGATGTCGTAGTACATCATGTGACCGTTTCTAACCAATGAGAAGCTTCAGAACCAGGGAATCCCTTATCGATGCATTGGTTTCTGCCGTGATGTCACGCGTGAGCGGCTCTGTTGGATTTCACCTTTTAATTTATGCACGCACGGATCCTCTACGGATCCGTGATTTATGTTGGTGAATTCGCGTAATTTTTGTCTGTGAATTCTGATAGTGCTGTTTGAAAACTGACCCATCCTGGCCTAGCATGTAACCATGCAACAATGGTACTCCCACAGAGCGCGCGTAATTCCGAACTCAGTGACCTTTCGGACTAGACATTTATTTCCGTTCGAAAAGGTGGATCAAGCATAAGTGGGAACGCGACTTGCGGTTTCGTTGCGGTAAGATAACGATCACACCAAAATGCCGGATCTTGATCCACCTTTTTCCAAATCAAGTGGGAACGCGGTGTAAGACTGCTTAGAGTCTGGGTGCTGATAATTACCCTCGCCTCCGGCTCGGGTAATTATCAGCACCCAGACTCTAAGTGGTCGTAAACAGAGTGATAAAAACCTCCAGAGCACACATTTATTCCCTTATTAAAATCTAAGGAAGCCAAGATTCAAAGTGATTTTGTTGGCCTCTGACAAATTTCGTTTTTTTTAAACATCGCAATTTCTTTTCACTCAGGAATCATGAAGTCTGCCAACTACAGCCTACAGAAACTGGCAAAGATGTGGAAGGGAGGCCTCCTGTTGCCAAGGTGACGAAAAAAGTCAAAGGTCACCCTGCTGCCAAGTTTGTCTGAAGTTCAAAATCAGGGATTAAGTGCCTGGATGTTTTCAATGTTCTTGTAGAAAGGTTTCGAGGATTTCACTTGTATTCCAGTCGTAAAAAAGACAGGTATTTTTTAATGCCAATAGGCCATTTGCGAGTTAAATTTGAATACAATCTTGAACGCTGACTTAGTCCAATGCTTTGCACGTTTTAACTTTGCATTCTCCCGACCAAAGAGACTGTTACTTTATTTTGTGATTCGGGGCAAGCCTTTATGCTAGCAACCCCCAGCTCCGGCATGGTCTGGTGTCTTTGTTCCATTCACGCCAATTAAGAACAATGTATTGATGCTGAGCGACTATGCAAGAGCTTGCCCCGAATCATGTGATTAGCAACAGTGTCTTTGGTCCGGAGAATTCTAAGTTAAAATCTGCCAAGCATTCTGAGCAAGTCAGTGTACCAGATGTTTTTCAAATATAAATCCCAAAGGGTATAGGTCACTCGCAAATGGCTTATTGGTAGACGAAAAACACGTGAGCAATAATTAAAATTGCCATTTTTTCCCCCAGACTGGCTTTTAAGGTCCAGGATGCAGTGAGATACACAGGGGGACATGTGCAAGTTTTAAGAAGCCGTACAAATCACACACTGTACAAAATGTATAAACTCAGAAAAAAAAAATCAAATTATTATAATTCCTTTTGTATTTTATTAAATATAAACCGATACAAATTCAGTTGTGGGAATTCGCTCCCCATATTACAAGTTCTCATAGATATGAATATTACAAGAATTACAAGAAAATCATACAAGAAACTGTATTCTTCTGTTTTTTGCATTTGGTTCTACTTCTATTGTCTCTCCAATCGTTTAAAACCATAAAGCTATATTCAAATTACTAGAGCGCTAACTTCGTGTACAAAGTAATGCCTGCTGGGCGCATCCATGTTTGTGCATGCACAAACCTATGGAGAGCTAGAAATTTTGTATGGCTTTTGTACGGCTATTTGCATATATCTGCGTTTGTATTCCATACCGATGCGTTATCGAAGCCAATACGCTCAAAACAGAAACGCACGATCAGCAAATGAGCGTGTCATTTTGCTCTACGGTAACAGCGCAACGCGTGCGCGTATTCGCTGCACATGCTTTTTGCCGTCACGTTTTTTTTAACCGTCAATGACGCGCTTAAGTTGTTTGCGTATGTTCTACTTGCGCGTTGCATGTAGAGTACACTTTCAAAATTCAAACCATCTAATTTCATTATGTTCTACAAACACGCACATGAATTCAAAATGTCTGCGCCCAGGATGGCTTCAAAGAGTCTCCGCGCGCAGAATGATGAGGTAGCGCTCTAGTAATTTAATATAGCTCTATGTTTATAACTGACCATCTGATTGAAAGAGCGCCCTCAAGTTACTTAGAATTACTTAGTAGGTTTTTGGAGGGTTCAGAATGTTGCCAAAATATACAAAGACAGAACGTTTCTCACATACTTTGTTTTTGAAAATGGGAGTATAATGAACAATGTGTAGCACCCTTTTTAAAGTAGCAATACATAATCCAATTGGTTCAAATTTCTGGAAAACCTTTAACGAAACTGCCATGATATTTTTTTAATGGTTCTACCATTTTATGCTCGCAATAACAGAGTAATCTTATTTTAAATGCTGATAAGATAATGTTTAATTTAAAGTATCAAATTAAGAGCATACTTTACATGAATTGCGCTACATTAAAGAGAAAAAATGCGAGTCAAATAATATAGCACCTGATATTAAGTGGTTTGGCTTTCGTACTGAAATCTGAATTTCTGCACATCATTTGTGAAATAAACATCTACGATGTTGACGAGTAAGAAACTCTGAATATTCTTCTTCTTTTTTTTTTTTTCTGCTCGTAATAAATCATAAAAAAAAACAGTTTTAAGTTTCCAATAAAGACAATTATCGACCTAAAAATATTTAAAGGGAATGTACAACATTTGCTTTTGCTGCAATTTTCAGAAATAAATGGATTTGGAGGATTAGTATGTTATATAAAATATTATTAAACTGACTTGTTTTATGTTTTGGGCCTATAGATGCTGGAAAAACCAAGAAAACCTATCATGTTCTTGTAGTCTGGTTCCCTGACCCCACTTAAGATGAAACGAAGCAATTAATACACTTTGGGGAATTGTAAGGTCAGAGAATCAGTCAAGCAGGCTTGTACCCCTTCACAGGTGTGTGATCAATTGCAAAGAAAAGTCAGAATAACTAAATATGAAAAATTAAGAACAGTTTTTGAAAAAAAGCCAGTTTTCTCCAACGCTGGTCGGCCGACCAGCGTTGGAAAAATACAGTTTTTTTTGAAAATGTCAGCCCACTAGGAGCCACAATTTTAAAGGATGCTTTGGACTGTCAGTCCCTAACAATCCAGTAATGTATTTCGTGATAATTTGATTTTCGTTTTTTGATGTTTACAAATGTTGTATTTTCCCTTTAATTTTTCTTTATTTTTTCAATACCGAATTTGAAAAAAAAAAAAGGGTTGAAATGTTATGGCTTAAAATTTGGGTCAAGTTCCATTTCCCCCCTTATTGTAACATACAAGTGAAAATATTCCAAGGTTCCGGTTATACAAACATTCATCTATATGGTTGTTGGGGGGGGGGGGGGGGGTCTAGATTGGTTCACGTGACGCCAAAAGACTTGTTTACTCATTTTCAGTCTTTAGACCTAGCAACAGGAGATATTCATGCTACATTGTTATGTTAATTTTTCATCAAAAGTTTTTTTTCTGTAGCAAACTTTTTTTTCGGATCTAAGTATTCAACAGATATGAACACCCCATCAAATTTGATTTAAAAAAAATTCGAATGGAATGCATATGTAAACAAAATATCCTTGGTAGGTTCCGGGCCTTGTATTGAATAGTGTGAAAAACCCTGACTCACTTCTGGAATGTGGTATTCAGTCAACCACGACGGGAATATTTCACCATAAATGTCCAATCGGTGGCTGTTTCTTGTGCTGTAGAAAATTCCATTGTAAAACACTTTAAAGGTTTATGGAATCACTTACTTTTGGTGTATTTTTTTTTTCATTTTGAGGCAACAAATTTGATCAGAAGTAGGGTGAATAAAGTTTATCTCAGTGGTGACTAACATGAGAAACCTTTGAGAAAACAGAGAAAAACATGCACAATTCTTTGGGGTCTTGTGACTGAATTCCGTTGCTACTTGCATGTAAAACAAATATTGTGCGCATAACCATGGGCACAGTTTGTAAAAAAACCTTTAATGTAGCACGGCACATTGGTGATGGAATTGTTCATTTGATGATAAAAGCATGGAATTTGGCAGAGGCCGAGTATGTCATGAGAAAGACATTTGGCTATAGGGCCATTGCAGATTTGTCCTTTGAAAAAAATATAGGTGGAATAACAACACATTTTCACAAGAAAATTGTGAAAATTGCTTGTTATCCTACCTACATTTTTTCAAAGGACAAATCTGTGACGGCCCTGTAGCCGAATATTTTTCTCATGACATACTCTGACTGTGTGCCAAATTCCATGCTTTTATCATCAAAATGAACAATTTCCCCAAATATCCTTCCCTGCTGCACCACTTCACAGGGTATGCAAGGGCGGATCCAGAATGCACATTTTTTTAGGGGGGGGGGCAAAAAAAAATTTGGTCCCCCAAAAGTGGGTTCAAAAAATAATGTATGGGGTTGGGGCCCGCTTAAGTTCCCCGTAAATACTTTTGATTCTAGACGCTCTGTCCCTAAGTGCCTTTAAAATGGCATACAAAGACCAGCAAATGACATGATGTTCTCTGAACAGATTCAGACTTTTTCTTGTGCATTTACACAAAATACTGTAAAATGAAGGCAAGTTAGAGTCAAACTGTTCCAAACTTTTCAACGGCAGATTCTACTTTAACTACATGATGAAAGTCTACACTTGTCAAAAAACAAACAAAAACCCATATAAGTGACAGTCGGTTAACCGCCCAGAACCGACCGAGCACTCTATGATTTTAATGGATTCTTCAGTGAATAAATACAATAAAACTATAGTACAGTTGCTAATAATGGGTTTAAAGGGAAGATACAACATTTGCAAACATCAACAAACGAAATGATCAAATTATCACGAAATACCTTACTGGATTGTTAGGGAATGACAGTCCAAAGCATCTTGTAAAGTTGTGGCTCATGGTGTGCTGAAATTTTTAAGAAAAAACTGTATTTTTCCAACTCTGTATTTTTCCAACTCTGTATTTTACCAGCGTTGGAGAAAACTGACTTTTTTTTCAAAAAGTGCTCCTTCTTTTTCATATTTAGTTCCTCTGCATTTTCTTTGCAATTGATTACACACCTGTGAAGAGGTACACGCCTGCTAGACTGATTCTCTGACCTTACAATTCCCCAAAGTCTATAAATTGCTCCGTTTCATCTTAAGTAGAGTCAGGGAACCAGACTACAAGAATATGATTGGTTTTCTTGGTTTTTCCATCATCTACGAACCCAAAACGTGAAACAAGTCAGTGTAACAATATTTGCTATAACATACTCATCCTCCAAATCCATTTATTTCTGAAAATTGCAGCAAAAGCAAATGTTGTACATTCCCTTTAACATTGAGTGAATAATACAATTTATCACTGACAAACAGCTGACTGAATACCTAAGCAATATAAACAACCAGTATGTGGTCCCTGTATAAGCTATTTAAAGAGGACTTTGCATTTGAATGTTTCCATTGCACTTAAAACTTTGAAACTTTGGCATATGGGATCATTTGCTTTTCTTGCATTTTGTTGGTCTCCAGTAATAACACCGTGGCTCCAACTCCAAAGAGGAACGTTCCAAAGCTACCCTGTTGAAGTTTCAGCTCAGTGGATGTTACTCTTTTTGAGAAAACTGTGAGAAAATGGACAACCTTTGGATCATGAAGCCTAATTTCGTCCATACCACTCTTTATTTTCAAAAATCCGTCAAATTGACTGATCGTTGGAAATCACCTAGATTTCTTGATTTCTTCTAAGTGACAGCAAGCCAGACAATAATTTCACGGGTTGTGCAGAACGATTTTTAATCCAAGTTAGATTTTTGACAATAATTTGGTAGGTTTACTTTTGGGATATGCAAATGATCCTATATGCCAAACCCAACCATGAAAGAAATCCACCAGCAGGTTTGAAAATTTTAGGGATCAAGAGGTTAAATTTTGCTCCCCCACCCCCCCCCCCCCCAAAAAGGTGCCATTGGGATCCTACGTACATTTAGAAGTGGATTTTGGATGATAAGGCTCTTGACCAAAAACTCTGGAGAGAGCTAGGCTTATTGATCATGATGGACAAATATTGTAATGTACACAAATAAATTTTGTATAAATGTAGTGAGTATGGCCTAGTGGTTAGGGTTCGTGACTCAAGAGTGTCAGGGGTTCAAATCCAGCTGCTGGACATATGTCGTGTCCTTGGGCAAGCCACTCCACCCCCACTTGCCTCTCTCCACCCAGGAGTACAAATGGGTACCGGCATTAGCTTGGGAGTAACCTGCGATGGACTAGCATCCCATCCAGGGGGGAATAGAAATATTCTCAGTCTTTTCATGGCAAGGAAAACAGAGATAAATGTCGGGCCATATTGGCTGTGACAGAGTTTACTTACACGTATAAATAAAGGCCACATTTTCATTGAAGGATGTGCAGCTAATGCACACTGAATCCAACACTTATTACTGGACACAAAACCTGACCAAGGGATCCTGCCTGTCCGTCAATCAAACAGTGCTCACTGACCAATCAGATCATGACTTTTTGGTCAGGTGACCACAGTAGATAAGTCAAACTTGGTCACAAGCACTGCGAGAACTGTACACAAGTGAAAGGTGGGAGGAGCTAGCTTATAATGGCCCAATCTGGAACGGACCAGGTTTTGAATCATAGTCAATTACAAATTATATTTTTAAGCTAGTTAGGCCCCATACAGAACATAAACCCTAACTGCCCTGAATCCTTCAAAATCCTCTTTGCCAAAGTGGAGGAATTTGGAGGATTGAGGTTACATGGCAAAAGTGCGCTACTGATTTCGTAGGAAGCACTTTGTCAAGGTCTTTGGCCGGACCTTGTGTTGTTTTTGCTCAGCCATGCATAAATATAGGCCTGGATTATGCTTGAAATCCTCCGTACTGCTCCAGGATGTCACTGGCCAAGCCTCAACATATTGACAGTCACTGCCGCAGGATTCAGGCAGTGGTCACCCCTCCACGGACCATATTAAAGAAACAATGCAGGATTTTGCAGGATTGAGGCTATATGATATTTTTCCATGAGGCCAATTGGAGGATTTTGCAGGATTGAGGCTACATCCTAGCAAAAAGGCCTAGGGAGTTAGGGTTAACATTTTTTGAAGGGAAAAAAAATCACACTTGCTTTGCCTTGATATCTGCTGTACCTCTCGTATCATCTCCTTATGAAAAAGTTGTGCTTTTATGACAATATGTAACAAGTACAAAATATTTATACATCTTGATTTTTCTTTCCAAGTTTATTTACAAAAAAAAACCCTGACACATGAAATTATCAAAAAACGTGTGCAAAAATGTATTATTTTAAATGATTCTGTTATTTAAATCTGATATGAAAAAAAGTTCGGATTCCATAGTTTTCTTTTATTCCCCAAAAAAATTTCATCAGGCTCTGCCGTAGACCCACAAAAGTGAAAATGAATATCAACATATTGTCAGAATAATTATGATGAAACATTCGTCCTGAATTCTTTTCTAAAGAAACATGTTTGTCTGCAAATGATTTTTTTTCTAGGCCAAAATCTGTATCTTCATGTCAAGGACTTTTCACACTATTGTTTGGCCTGTGTTGAAATCAATACAGGTCTAAAGTAAGCAGAACTGATTCCCAACAAAGAGTTGTCGGCAAGGCAAACCGTTCATTCCCCGATTTATTCCCAGATTGGGACCTTGAAATTCAGGCCAACTTTACTCACTCTTTAAGCAGACAAAATTCTCCACAATTTTTCATGAGGCAAAGACAAGGTCCTCAGTATTTCACCAGCCAAGTTTTAGGTCTCAATTCAATTTTTATAGGAGACTTTTCTTCAATATATTGCACCTGAGAGGGAAGCCAAGTGATTTCAATTTGAATCTCAAAACTAGACTGGTACATACATCCAAATGTTTGAAAAGCCCGACATTTTCAGTAGTTATGCGGCAGAGTGTGGGGAGATGTTTAGAAATAGAGACTGGGTACCAGATGTTTCTTTTGGCACAGTTGATTGATACAGTACTAATGGGAGTTGGACTGGTTGTTTCATGTGCCAGTCTATTTTTGTGTGTTGCATGTTTTCAGTACCTTAAGTATTGGGACTCTCATACACAGTATTGAGAGTTCCAAATTTTGGATTAACTATTCCCTGCCTCCAACATAAAAAAAACCCAATTATCAAAGTCTCCTTTTATTATTTAAGTAACTTTTTATTTACAAAGACTGAGTTAGCTTAATTTGAATGTATCTAATCTCTTGATCATTTAAAGAGTTGCTTCATTTCTAGTCCCTGTACTTGCCTTCTTCAAAGTTGAGCGCAATGAAAAAAATGTCACCTTGGCAACTTATAGAAGAATCCAGGCACGTGATCACTGCCACGTGCAAGGCCCCCTTCAATGGAGAACACATTGTGCATGCTATTGTACAAAGTCACTGCCCTGTGATGGATTATCTGAACAATAGCTAGCACAATGCTTTCTCCATTGAAGGGGGCCTTTCGTGATAGAATTGATACCATGTCCGGATTGGTCTATACCGGGCGAGTAAAAAACAAACGGAATCCCAAATGGCAGGACCATTTTTGTAATGAAGTTCTGCATGTAGCACTTTCAAAAGCTAGGATATGAAACCCCAATTCATAAGTTTTCTTTTAGTAAGGAAATATTCAAATTACTCATGTAATTTTTAAGTTACGGGATTTTAAACATAACCACCGTTTTGAAGTTCTGTCAACAGATCACAAAAAAGGTAAGTGTTCTTGCAGCAAAATTGTTTTCGTTTTGCTTGAAAGAATGCTTACCTTTTTCGTGATCCGTGAACAGAACTTTAAAACGGTGGTTGTGTTTAAAATCCCGTTACTTGAAAAGTACATGAGTGATTTGAATGATTCCTGTACTAAAAGAAAGCTTATGAATTGGGCTTTCATATCCTAGATTTTGAAATTGCTACATGCAGAACTTCATTTAAAAAATGGTCCTGCCATTTTGGTTTCCTTTTTTTTGGACTCACCCTGTAGAGAAGCCAACAAATAAACCACGAAAATTGCTGTTTCTGAAACCAATCTGTTACCATGGTTACATACAATGTAACAAAGCAACTGAAGTGCAAGTTGAACTACCATCTTGCCAATGTACGGCAATGTCAGCAGAACGTTTCTTACAGTGGACTTGCCACAGTACATACGTCTCTGAAGCGGGCCGCGGAATATGCAAAAGTTGGCAGGCAAAGGAAACACATTTCCACAAAAACAGGGAAGGCAAATGTCCCCCTTGCATCACCAGACACAAAAGTGAATAGAACAGTTTGAAATCATGCCACATTTGACTCAAGAACACGTTATTATTAGGCACTTGATGAACATCATATCCCTCTGATCTGCACTGCAGATTTTGTGTATAATATTTCGCAATTCTACACCAAATACATTTCCACTCGGGTATGCCTCGATACAAAATCCCTGGAGGAGTTCCTTTTTTTTTTTTTTTATTGTTACATTCTCCGTGCTCTTAAAAATTCATTTTTTCTTCTAGTAATAAATGTTCAACTTGTAGGTTTATTCCAAAACAAAAAGTCCCCCCCCCCTTTTTTTCTGAAAAAAAAAAACCCAGGGATTTTTGTTTTGGGCTCAAACAGATCTGCTTTGCGAGCAGACTGGCTCCCGGTCCATACATTATTGATACTGATTGTGAGGCGGGAACCAGCCTACCCTGCATGAACGAATTTATTGTCTGGTAGCCAATAATTCGCCTTTGTAAAGTTAAATAATTCAATAACTAAACATGGGCCTATTTCTTTAGATCGACGTCTCAATTCAAAAGTGAATAACTCTTGTATTGCCAGAGAAATAGCAATTAGGAAAAGAATGATCTATTTTTCGGGATAAAACTTGAACCGGCACAGGAATGATCAAGTACAGATCATAAATATAAAATTGTGCCAAAAACAAATCAACTGCTCAATAATTCCCATATCTTCAATGAAACCCAGCCAGTTCAATTATCAAAAGGATCAAATAACTCCTGCATTCTGGGCTAGACATTTCAGCTGACTTTCGTTCAATTTTCCAAGCAACCACGTTGAAAAAATGACAAATTTTTTTCAGACTTTCCTCACAGGATCCATAGAATAGAAACTACACGTACAAAAAAACATCATCGCCAATTTTGTTTCTTTCACTATTTCAAAGGCTTGGTAAGCCTGAATCTTGTAACACTGGGTTACCATGGCAACCAATCTAAATAGGGGAAAAAAGTATAATTGAGTTGGCACTATATCCTGAAACCCCCTGATGTTTGGTGTCATGTGAACTCCCCGTACTCGGTGCACCCGTGGTTCGGCAGACCCAACTTGATGATACCCACTGAGCGGTCCTTGGAAGCTGTCACCAAGTCTGAATCATCATTTGTTAAGGACAATCAAGGCTGGGACAAACATTTCTCCTCAAATTTCCACATTTAACTGTTTACAAGTGATTCAAATTTAAGCAAAACAAGTTCCAACCAATATTTTCGCACTCTGGTTCACACTTATAATCACTGGAACACTCTGCACCAGATTATCTCTCCTCTCTTCTCACAATCCAGACCCGTCCTTACTCCCTTCGTTCTTCTGCGGGAGAGACCCTTGTTATCCCCAAATCATACAAACAGGCTGGTGACAGGGCGTTCTCCATTGCCGCCCCCCACTTATGGAATAGCCTACCCATTCCTATCAGAAATTATGGCAGTGTTTTGTCCTTCAAGAACTTAGGCTCTCAAGGCCCACCTTTTCCCCAAATTGTAGCTGGTTGTCCTCTTATCTTGTCTTCTTTCCTTGTTTTATTCATTGTTTAGCGCCTTGTATCCTTATGCAATGTGGCGCTCTATAAATCCAGTTATTATTTGTTATTATAATATTAATCAAATTAGGTTTTGCCCTTCACCGACGTTTTAAACACTGAATACTCAGTGTGTTACCTCCCGAGTGAAAGTTGGAAAAAAATCACTCGGGTGGGACTCGAACCCACGACCTCCTGCTTTCTAGTGCAGATGTCTTACCACTCGACCACCGAGCTAACGGGATCGGTTGGCCGGTTCGAATCTGATGTACATAGCAGCGGGTACCGCATAAACTATTATAAGATGGAATTTTTGCGCCGGGGTGATATAAATCAAATTAGGTTTTGCCCTTCACCGACGTTTTAAACACTGAATACTCAGTGTGTTACCTCCCGAGTGAAAGTTGGAAAAAATCACTCGGGTGGGACTCGAACCCACGACCTCCTGCTTTCTAGTGCAGATGTCTTACCACTCGACCACCGAGCTAACGGGATCGGTAACACACTGAGTATTCAGTGTTTATAATAGTTTATTATATAATAGTTTATGCGGTACCCGCTGCTATGTACATCAGATTCGAACCGGCCAACCGATCCTGTTAGCTCGGTGGTCGAGTGGTAAGACATCTGCACTAGAAAGCAGGAGGTCGTGGGTTCGAGTCCCACCCGAGTGATTTTTTCCAACTTTCACTCGGGAGGTAACACACTGAGTATTCAGTGTTTAAAATGTCGGTGAAGGGCAAAACCTAATTTGATTTATATCACCCCGGCGCAAAAATTCCATCTTATAATAGTTTATGCGGTACCCGCTGCTATGTACATCAGATTCGAACCGGCCAACCGATCTCGTTAGCTCGGTCGAGTGGTAAGACATCTGCACTAGAAAGCAGGAGGTCGTGGGTTCGAGTCCCACCCGAGTGATTTTTTCCAACTTTCACTCGGGAGGTAACACACTGAGTATTCAGTGTTTAAAACGTCGGTGAAGGGCAAAACCTAATTTGATTTATATCACCCCGGCGCAAAAATTCCATCTTATAATAGTTTATGCGGTACCCGCTGCTATGTACATCAGATTCGAACCGGCCAACCGATCCCGTTAGCTCGGTGGTCGAGTGGTAAGACATCTGCACTAGAAAGCAGGAGGTCGTGGGTTCGAGTCCCACCCGAGTGATTTTTTCCAACTTTCACTCGGGAGGTAACACACTGAGTATTCAGTGTTTAAAACGTCGGTGAAGGGCAAAACCTAATTTGATTTATATCACCCCGGCGCAAAAATTCCATCTTATAATAGTTTATGCGGTACCCGCTGCTATGTACATCAGATTCGAACCGGCCAACCGATCCCGTTAGCTCGGTGGTCGAGTGGTAAGACATCTGCACTAGAAAGCAGGAGGTCGTGGGTTCGAGTCCCACCCGAGTGATTTTTTCCAACTTTCACTCGGGAGGTAACACACTGAGTATTCAGTGTTTAAAACGTCGGTGAAGGGCAAAACCTAATTTGATTTATATCACCCCGGCGCAAAAAAATTCCATCTTATAATATTATAATATTTACAAATTTATTAAATTTACTTGTACGTTATTTGATTTAGTATCATTGCTTTACAGTGCTTGTTCATTAGTGGGTTTTTTTTTTGGGGGGGGAGGGTTAATTTAATACTTCAAAAAAGATACATTCATCGTACGGTGAGATGTCCATATCTTGAACGTCAGCTTTGTGCCTGAATACTTCCCCAAGATACTCATGTCTGTCTGGGTAGCGTCGATATCTGAAAGATAAAACAGATGAACTTTTGGTTAGTTAAAGAACAGATCATGAAAACTATATCTCAAGGGCTTCATCCCCTGTTTTGTTTGTTTGTTTTTAGCTCAACGCATTGTTTGTACCGCCACAAATGGTCCTGCCTAAAGGTTCCGATCGTGTGACATCAAATTAGTACCACGTGACCATTTGGTTTCTCTGTGAACGGCCGGCTCTGCAGTGGGCAAGTGTCTGGTTCATAAGAAATTTAGCTACTGGTTAGGCCAAAAAAAAAAAAAAAAAGTCGGTCTCTGGTCAGCGCGCGCGTCGATTTTAATCATGCGAGTAGATCTTTTTTTTTCTCCAAAATGTTCCGCGGTAGCTCCAACAGCGCCCTCTATTTCCGCACCTCCTCATTTGTTTTTTAACCAAAGAGCACCAAGGAATGGGAAATTGCACCAAGGCAAATGATCGAAAGCACCAAGGCAAATTATGGAGGACACCAATGTACATGAGGACACCAAAAAAAGCAAAATAGTACCCCACCTTGTCTGTACAATCCAAGCTTGAAGAAAAAAAAAAAAGGCGCGTGGCCGCGTCAATTCCGGAACTGTGGTATGACCAGAGACCGAATATATATTTTTTTTGGCCTTGGGGTTCATGACTCATGATCAGAGGGTAAGGGGTTTGAATCCAGATGCTGGTAATATGTTGTGTCCTTGGGCAAGGCACTTCACCCAAATTGCCTCTCTCCACCCAGGAGTATAGTTGGGTAATCCAGGAGCTGGGGAGTAACATGTGATGGACTGGCATTCCATCCAGGGGGGATAGAAATATTCTCAGTCATTTTATGCCAAGAAAACCGGAGATAAACGCCGGCCTGTTGGACCACATTGGCTTGAGTTGGACTTTTTTTTTTGAAGGACCAGACTGGTGGTCGAGAAGCTTCTCAATACAATAATGGCTTGGCACCTCGGCTCTTCCTTGTGCAAATACCTTACAAGGTTGTTACACAATGATTGAATAACAGCAACTAGAGCCAATTTATAATCACTTCAACTGAACTCCATTTGAAATAACAAACCACACAATAGGGTACACTGCTCCGGCATATCCTCCCAAAATAATACCAAACCAAAAAGCAAAATTTGAAGGACAAATTGATTAGGTTCTTGATGAAGAATCTGGAGCAGTTTGTCCTTGTACCCTTTTCATAACTATGACATTTTTTGACTACATTTGTTTGGAAAGTTTTATCATTTTTTGGAAATACTTTTAGAATTTTTTTTTTATAATAACACTCTCCTATGGAAACATGCATTATTGTCAGCCTTGTTATTACTTGGGTCAGTATTCAAGACCCCCATTGGTTTGTACACAGTATGCCAGGAGGTGAGGAAGAAAATTTTGACCGTTTAATAGAAAGAGGGTTAATTTATACATGTGTATAATGTGTAGCTGGCCAAATGCACATAACAAAGTATATAGGCATTACCTTATTTATTTAATAATGATGTTCCAAACACAATAAATGGGGATATTATGCACAGTCTTTTTAAACATTTATTGTACATACTGGCGAGTATATTTTTAACGGCTTTTATATTCTAGCAAAATCTATATACAAGTGTGACAAATGTGGGTTACAAACCATGTACATGTGGGGATGTTTCAAGTTAAGGATGACTTTGCAACAAAAAAGAAATTAAAAAAAACCCAAAACCAAAAAAACCAACAACAACAACCAGAATTTGTCATCATGACAAATTTGACACATGACCCCTGTTATGCCCAATTAGTTTTCAACTTTCACTCTGAAAAAAATGTCCATCATTGACCTCCATAGTAAGACAGTATACTGCAGCATCCTAATCAGGAAGCTAATTCTCCTGCATGTAGTGGTTGCTAAGCAACAACGCTGACAAAAACCAACATCTCATTAATGGCAAGAACCCAGATCATCAGTCAACAGCCCCCTCCCAAAAATGGGCGAGAACAGAATTGGGAACCACAAAAATAACCCCACCCTGAACAGGTACAAACACACACACCCAAAAGTGCCCACAATGGGTACAGTAAGATCAGTGGATGACATCATCCCATGCATTGTGCACCATAGGTCGCACCTCATCTGCATAACAAAAGAGCCTATCCCCAAGTAGAACCATGCAGCTTTCGCTTTTTGTCCGCCACCACAGACCCACCTGAGCAGGAATTCGTTGTCATTGATATGCAAATCGTGTCTAGCCTGCCATGGGTGTGTGTTCTGTACCCCTCTACACTGTATGGGGGTTTGAAAGGGGGGCCTTGTTGACAATAGGGTAGCTGTTTTCTTTCTTTTCGGATCAGCGCACTTCCCAAAACCGCTCAGTGAAAAGAAATTGGTGGGGTCGAGCCTGTTGCGCACTGAAGGACTCACTGCTGAAATGCGTCACACGGACCATACTGTTTAAGGAGGCTGCTGAATTGAGGCTCGCAGTGAAACTTTTCTTCAGTGGCCTGTTTTTAACGCAGGCAGACAGTTTTTCACTATTCCGGTGATAGTCTTAACAATACAGGATATATATTGATTTGGCTGTTCTTTCTCAAGACATAATCTTATACGTGTGGTAAGTTTTGTGTTTCCAACTTTTGAATATTTAATGTGAAATATTTGGATCTCAAGTTCACTGGTGTTCTGCAAGTGAATCGTTTGGTACATGTGGTTGGGGTGTCATGTGACTAATTCAATCCCTCAACTTAAAGTGACATCCAATCTTCTTGTGTCAAGTGTTAAGTGACAGAAATGGCTAATGTGAAAACTTGCTGATTACATTGCATTCAGTTTTCTTTTGACTGATAGAATGAATTACCGGTACTTGTATTTACCATTGTTTACTGCTGTACTTTACCATGGTTTAAAAGTTACACAGTTTTGAAAAACGCTTTTGATTTTAGTAATGTTGAAAATTTAATATACCTTGAAGATTTGTGTCTTTTGTATATGAAATTAGATTTCTATTTCTGCCATTAAAAATGGTGGGTTAGAATCAAGATCTTTTAAGTACTGTCATTAAAACAAGTAGTACCAGCAAATTAATGTGACAGCTATGAGTTACGTAACATTGTTCAACAGTTGTTCAAACATACATTGTAAAAAAAAAGGCTTTACTCTCCCAAAACCGAAGCATAATTAATAAGACTGTTGATTCAGTGCCATTGATTTGATGTTCTTGGATGGTGGTAAATATGACAACTTCTTTTTTGTTTCTGGTAGATTTCAATTGACATTTGTATGATTTTTTTGTTCACGACTTCTGTTGTTAGTTTTCACTTTGTGTGTTTTGGTGACATTTGAACAATTATTACTGAGGTTTCATCCATGGTGTTTTTTTGCTAAACGAGTGTTCTAAGCTCTTGTGAAAATCTGTCTTTTCAACATATAATGATGTACTCTCTCGCGTTCCACCTCTTTATTACAAATTAAGCAGTTATTTAGTATAATTTTGTAGTTAAGGTGGTTACCATAAATCTGTCAGTATTGCAGTGCTTAAAGCACACATTTCAGAAAACGTACAAATACACCAAAACAACTTCAATCCTTTCTTCAAACTGTGTCTTTTTCACAGATATTCAGAACTAATTTTTTACTAATTGGAGTATTTCTTCCCCCCCCCCCCCTCAAAAAAAAATTGATTTTCAAAACATCACTTTTTCCTATCTTTCCTTAAACCAAGCCAAATATGTTCAGTTTCACTCACAGCATGCCAGAAATTGTTTACACCACATCTGCACCAGTTAAGTAAAGAAATACAGCCTATTCTAGTTTCACCGAATGGGCCACAAAATGGATTGATATAGCCCATTATGGGCCCAATGCTTCACAACTACGACACAGCCGCATGACACATACAGATATAGCGTGGCCATTACGGACCAACATAAAATATCCGGCTGTTGCATTATACATGTATATCCCAGTGGAAGCACTTAATGATAGCAATACCATCATTACCCATTTTAGTAGGTCGGGGGTTGGCTGTTTGTCAAATTTGACATTTTATTTAATAGATCTGAGCATACACTGTACTGTCAAAAACCAATTACTGTCAGTTCCTGCAATTAAATCAATCAATTGAGGAAGTACTTTTTTCCTTCAAATTTTAGTAGGAGATACTATTTCTGTTTGAAGATTTCATCTTATTTACTTTTTTTTCTCAAGGGATGACAAACTCTCTATTAGACAGGGATTGAGTCCAATAAATTCTGGTAAATTAATTTCCCGGGAGACTTCTGAAATATCAGCGCATGCATTTTTAATTAAGAAAAACAAAAACTGATACATGTATATGTACATTGTACATTTCATGTGAATTTTTTGCAATAATGACCTCTCCTCGCAACATAATCGTTGCCTTTGGGCAAAATTTTCAGGTTGGACAAAGAAATAATCTGGAATATAACGAAGGTACTGTTCTGTTTATTCCATGTTCCTACCTACCGGTACAAAAAGCGACATTCTTTGTATTGTCAGAGGGCAAGGGTGTGCTACCTTTTGTCACAAAAGTCCTCACAATAACTTTAGGTTAAAGTGGAACCTTGAACAGATTGTACACTCACACCCCAAGGCTGTTTTCACCGATGAGGAAACTAATTCCTCGTTATTTTTTAAAATTTTAACAATAGCCACCACACCTTGATTGCAAATAAACACCACTCAGTACCAGACATAAGCCTTTCATTCACAAGTGACTCTCAATTCCACAAAAACCCCGAGGCCATTTTTAGTTTTCAAAGGTAACGCAAATTTGAAAACAGCTCCTCCCAAATTTAATAGGATGTTTTGGAGGATTTCGCGGGATACTTTGGAAAAAAAAGGGGCCCAAACTATCCTTACTTTTGCCCCTTGAAAGTTGTATGTTGTTCGCAGAGGATCAGCCTGCAGCCGATTTCACGAAACTTTATGCAATAGAACATATAACTCCCTTTGCGCCACAGTATATTGCGTAAGTTGCGCAACATTTCACACTGCGCAACGTTTTAGTTGCGACACATTTCACAAAAGTTTCAGTAAGTCTGCGACTTGCGCAGTAGGGGCCTAAGTCTGTGATTTTTTGTGCGTAAGTCTGCGACTTGCGCAAAACGATTATGGCGTTAACTTGTGCAACCATTTTAGGTGGCGTTAATTGTGGCGTAGCGACTAAAACAAGACCTACATGTATTTTACCATGCCGTGTCGTGGAGCCTGTCATTGCACAACTATATAATCAAGGTTCATACCAGACACTCATACATGTAGCTGTGTGTCTGGGGTATTGCTTTTTAACTTATGACAGAATTTTTGGAGTTGCCGCATGATTCCAAAGAAAGTGGGCAAAACTATTTTCAAATGGCGGGCAGTGGCATGTCAAGGACTGTTTTATGACTGAACCAAATCATAACTCTTTAATAACTGTCAAAAAATGCTGTTATTATCCTCGTCCAAAGGTGTCTAGATTGTTTAAAACATTGGGAAAGTTCTGCCAAGTTTTGTGTAAATGACCCTGAGGTTATTGCGCGCGCATTGCGTAAGTTATGTTCTGTTTCGTGAAATTTGCTGTAGGTGTTTTCTTTTGGCCTTTCTCACCATTGCAGCTAACTGTCTGACCGACTGTTAGTGTTAGACATGCTAGACTTGTGAAGAGTACCGGGCAGTCAAATGGGACCAGCCAAGAAGAGGAATTCATTTGACCTCAGAAGAAATAGATATTCCAAATACATGTCTTAGGGCTGTATCGAAGCCGGGTACCCGAGTACCCGACCGCTGATGTTAGGAACCAGTTCCAGATTATGGGATCATGTGACCGTAACCAACTTGACAAATTACTTAGTAAGTTCTCAGACAAAGAAAAAGACAGGTTTTGAATGTCATTTGTGGGGAATTTTCAAAATGAAAACCAGGCTACATGCATGAAAAAAACCCAACAAATTTCATGTTTATGATGCTTGGGAAAGTTGCAATTTTCACCAGAAAGCTGTACAGCTCATGTACACACTTGTATCTTGCTGTGTTGACGCAACGATGTAGTAGTTTTATCGTGCCGACATAATTGCCTTTCATGTATCGCGGCAGTACTGAGTAAGAATCGCGTCAACGCAGCTTGTGAAACATTGTCCAATTACATGATATACAAGTGGACGCGGAATGCGCAACATCTGTGACAAACAAAACTTAGCGTACAAAAATGTCATAGGGTACGTACGCGTGGTCTAAGGGCATGGCTAACTCTCAAAACGATAGGTCAATTACATGTATGAACAATCTGAACACTTCCGAGATTTTGAATTGTTGGGACTGGGTTTCTTAAACGGTAACCCATGTTTTGTGTTTCTCAATCGGGTACCTGTACATGTAAATGCAAACTCCTATCAAACATCATATACTGCAGTTTTTGCATTTGTACGCCATTGCAGCTTTCCAATGCTACCGACTTATATTTCATGAGGCATAGTCTAACCCCACCCATGGCAAACATGTTATCCTTGGAGTTTTCCTTGTCAAAACTTTCAAGTACATAGCAGACTAAAACCCAAGAGACTATCCCAAAAGTAGTGGGTTTCGTTGCCTATTGTTCCCTTCCATTTTTCCACACTTTGGGCTGCCACCAACAGGTCAAATTTTGTGCACCCGACCAACAGAGAAAAACATTCCCGGCATAGCTGTTTTGTTAAAAAAAAAGTGAACGTCACACTCCAACGCAGCAATTTCCTTTGGGTGCTTTTGTGTACCTTCCCACACTTGTAATCACTGAAGAAAAAAAACAGAGAGGGCTAAATTCTCAAGGCTAGTTAAAGTTTGCACTTTCTAAAAGACAAATGCAAGTGATATGACCAAGCACTACTCAGCAATTCAAATTTGAAAAAACAACAAAAAAAACCCAACGTATTGGTGGAAAAGTGACAGCTGAAATGTAGAAATCATTATGCTATTAGTCACATGTTTTACTACCGGTGTTAGTGGGTCTCCTCCACCAAGATCATTCTCAATAGAGTATACACTATAAAATGTTAAGAAAAGCAACCTCAAACCAACTCCCACACATTTTTTCCCTTTTTTTTTTAAAACTCAGAACCATCCTAAATCCTGCAAAATCCATTACTGTGGAGAAATATTCTTTGACTTTGACATAATTTACTTTCCAACATCCTCAAGCTAGAATCCTCATCATCATCATCTTAAAGCAATCACACCCTCTCCCTCCCCCCCCAAAATAAAGACAGAAAAAAAAAATGAAACCAAAATGAAACAAAACAGATAGGTGTTTGAAGTCTACAAAGTTAGACTCATTTGTGTACATGTACCTATCAAATTTATTGACAAAACTGAAGGAAAATTCATGAAATCTCGAAAGCAAACTCAAATTGCGAGTTGCTTCTCAATTGCTGATCCTCCCCCCCCCCCGGCGCCCCCACCCAAAAACAAAATTTCTGCCCATATGTGTGAAAAGTTTCATTGTAAACACAACAAAAATACGATTTTTTTTTAACAGTGATTCTGCAACTCAAATAGAAATGACAAAATGGACAACCGATGCAAAAACGATGTCTGTTCCCTGTCACTTTCACACCTGACTCAAACAATGACTGCCACAAATCGATAACGTGTTAATCAAACGTCGCTGCGCATAATGCCAAAATTCAACATAATGCCAAAATTCAACATATCATTATGCGTCAAGGCAACACGTGTTGAATGCTTCCGGCTTTCTGACTAGTAGCCAAATTGCCATCCACATAGATTTCCTTTCATCTTTATTTGGAGAGAGCCTTCATTTTAATTCAAGTAATTTTAAAACTGTACTGCCTGCACACAGTGGAATGACCTTGTGTGAAGAATTAGACCAACAATTAATTTATGAATTTAACCAATTCACTGTACATTATGTACCTCCCAAGCATTTAGTTTGCCATTGAAGTTATTAGCCCATTTGCACCTGTAATACATTGTATTACAATGTATTTATTCACTGAAGAATCAATACAATCATGGAGTGCTCAGGCAGTAATTTCAGTAAGAACCGTCCACATCAGAATTTTCAATAATCGATACAGGGTGCATAAAAAAACAAAAACCAAATGTCGAGACCATTGTTTGTAGTGAAGTTCTGCATGTAGCACTTTCAAAATCTAGAATATGAAAGCCCAATTCATAAGCTATCTTTTAGTACAAAAATCAGTCAAATCACTCATGTAATTTTCAAGTTACGGAATTTTAAACACAATCATCATTTTAATGTTCAGTCCACGGTTCACAAAAAGGTGAGTGTTCTTTCAGCAAAACAAACAAATGATTTCAATGAGTGAACCATTCTTGCACTAAAAGAAAGCTTTAATATGAATTGGACTTTCATATCCTAGATTTTGAAAGTGCTGCATGCAGAACTTCACTAAAACAATAGTCCCGACATTTGGGTTTCGTTTTTTTTTACTCACCCAAGAAGTCCCAATTTTCCACGGTTTTCTCTGGAGCATATTGCTCAAACTTTTTAAAACAAATCTCAGTACTGACAGTTTGTCCAGAATGGGCAGTTTCTTTTGACAAACTTTTAAGGTTTTACATTAGGGGAGACCGCGAATTCCAAAAAATGTAGAGCACAAATCGACGCCGCTTGGCATTTCGCGTCATTTTTATTTCGAATCACGATCGAGCACGAGTTGCTGCTGAGTTATATTTCATTATACAGCAAAGGTTAAACACAATGTAAATGCACAAACGGGACATTTGTTTTGACAAAAATCTTCCTCACTACTGAAAATTTTTGGTATTTCGATATGATTAAAAAATTTCTATTGGCCAAATTCGTATCAATATAATATGAAATAATCAAGTAATGTCGATATATCAAAGGTGCTTAGGTTTCAGGTACTACGGGCGGGGCAGTTTCGGGCATTAAGCAACCAAATGCTCCATGGTTTGTCATAAGTGCAGCTTGGGAAATGTAAAACCATGAAATATTGAAAACTAATCCACTTGCAATTCCCCCACTTGCCCTGTATGAATTTATGCATGACTGTTAATTCTACTTGGCATGTACAAACAATTTTCTTTTTCAAATTTACTCTTATTGTCTCCAATCCAAACAGAGCACATTTTTTTTAAGACTTGACTCCTCCAAACATGTACTTTGTGGCTTGGTTATTTCAGATGACATTTCCCAGGTAGGATAGCCTTAATCCCAAAATCAAACCACACAGAACTGTGGAGTTAGCTTTACGTCAATAGGATTACTTGGGATATTCTGTCTGGATGCATGTGGTTTGTGTGTAGGGGTAAGAAAACGCCCCCTCTAACATTCCGGCCTGAAGAAAAATAATGACATGCCCTTTCAAACTATCAAACACTTTCTGTGTTGGACTGTGTGGAACCCCACGATTCTGGCAACTGGCACTGCCCACTAGCAGAATCAAAGACAGCTTCTACACCATACACAAATATGTACAGTCGTTGCACTAGAACTAAAGACTAAAATAACCTGTGAAAGTGAAGAACAGGCATTAGTCCGTGGGACAAGAGGTCGAAAACGCTTTAGTTTTCGAGATACCCGATCTGGTCCGCAGAATTTTATAAACTTTCCGGACATGTAGATTATGATGTACCATATCTAAAAAACTTTGTTCTTCGATCCAAAGCTTGTTTGGGAATGAGAAAATCTGGGATAAAAATGCCAAAAATTTTGCATGAGAAAAAACATAAGGAACAGCGCCCTCTATTGACACAGTCAGAAACCTTTTTGCGCATGCAATCTACATATCTGTGAAGTTTTATAAAATTCAACGAACTAGACCGCGTCGCGAGCGGAAAAAAAGGCCTCATCCCACGGACTACATGTTTCAAGAAACGAAACCCCCAATTTTTTAAAAATAAACTAAACACAGTTAGACAGGGGAGAACACTTCAATTGAATTTTATGTGCAACTTGTCAGTCTACTAGAAAAGGCCTCGATTTTATAAGTACTTTCTTTCACCTCATGTGGCTAGAAATTGTGAAGTTATCCTGTAAGTGATTTTCATTCAAAATAAATTGCAGCAGTTAGACTTGGGTCCCATCTACAATCAATTTACCATACCGCCTGGCATTGTAAAATAGTCACATTCCATGCACGTTCCGGCACACCTGTAAAACTGAACATTACCATTATAACCACCTAGAAATTTGTGATTATAATAGTAAAAAAAACACCACCCTATAGTCTTTCATAGGTTCAGAAACGGCAAAAAAAAAGCGACGATAATAAACCAAAATAGCAGCCTGCAATCATATGATAACAATAGACAAATTGCTTCAGGGCCACTGAATCAGTCTAAGTGCCCATTCATCTACAATTTGTAAGATGTAAATGGAGGCTTTCTTATGTAACTTGAACAAAGCATTCCAAAAGATGAGCAGCCTTGATATTTTTTTTTTGCAACAATTCCCCGTCTTATTGTTGAATGGTGATTGCGCTAACACACACTGGATGCCTGATCTCATGTGCATGAGGACAGATTATGCCCCAAAGCTCCTGAAAGTTGATTGGTTTATACAAGTTTACACAATTTTTCTTCTTTGTCTGATTGGTTGAGATGTAGCTTCCACGTCTATACGCTATGCAAACAATGCAGAGCCCTTTTTTAGTAGTGCGCATCGGGTATACCAGAACGGGAACCAGGTGCCCTATGGAATTTAAAAAAGCCACCAGGTACCCATAAAAGACGGTCTTATAAAATGAAGGCAAAAAAATGCAACCTGGTAAATTCCCTCTATTGTCAGGAACTCGAGTCCTTAACAAAACTTAACAGTGTGAATATTGGCAGTGTCTGAAGGGCTTTATAACTGTCTGCAACTTTCCCAAGCGTCATCTGTCGGGCATTAAATTACACATAAATGTGAAATCCGTTTTGGTTTTCCATGTAGCCTGGTTTTCATTTTGGAATTTCCACACAAATGGCATTCAAAGCTTTCTTTCTCGTTGTCTGAGAAGTTACTAAGTAATTTGTAAAGTTGGTTACGGGTATCCGATCCCATGATCTGGAACCGGTTCCGTTGACATCAGCGGTCGGGTTATGGGGTACCTGGTTTCGAAGCACACCCCTGCCTTTTTTGTTCTAATGTGTAATGTTTAAGTTGATACCACATCACAGCTTAGTCGCAAGCACTACAACACACCGCCTAGTTCCCTGACTCCGTTTTCTGACTCTATATCTAAGGGGTCTTTCTGAGGAAAATATTTAAGCAATGTTCAGACCGGTCATGTGACTGATGCTGCTTGTAAAATTAGATATTACTGTCACTTTTATGGGCATTGGCACACGTTGTGTCACAGGGTTTGGTTATAAATATCAAATATGTGATCTTCTTCCTCAAAATGAGATTTTTTAGACATGTACATTTATATTAACAAAAGGCTTTCTTACAGATACATTTTCAGTGTAGATTAATGGCATCAATGCACTGTCATTGAAATATTGGAGAATTGTGGTGATTCCAAAGCAATCACATACATGTACTGACGTTCCAAAAGTGAACACCTCAAACATGAACAATGCACCTCCAATCGTATTCCACCAGAACAGGTCTGGCAATTTTGTAACACATTTACACTGATATCGCTGGCAGTAATTGTTATGTAAATGGATGCATACTGTGTCAATGCACACATACTGAAATTTGTATCCTTGTCCAGACATTTGTTCTCGTGTACTAAAGTTTTTGAGTTTGAAAGTACAGTTTCAAAATGCTCTTATTTTAACCAGTATTTATTTCCTTGGCTGAAATTCAGACTTAATACATGTACATGTACATGTATTCCTTTTTTAAAACTCTACCATTTGTGACAAATCAACATACCTTGGCAATTCCTAGTTTTTGAGTAAAATCCATATATATATATCTTTTTCGTGAAAACCTTGTCGAGACTTATTCGTCTATAGAAATTGCCCTGTGGAGACATATACAATCTTTTGTGCCCTATTGTGCGCATGTCTCCAGAGGGTACGGTGTATCAGATCAGGAAACCACACATTACTACTAAAAAAAATTCACATAATTTTCTTTAACTTGTATTGCAGTGGCCTCAGAGACACACGACAATGGCCATCAAACATGCATCTCTTCAGCTGTTGCTCCTGCTTGGACTATGGATGCAACTACCACCATGCACGGCCCAGGCACCCACCATATCCAACCGACGCACCACAACACCAACCCCTGCTCAACCACCCACAGTCGTGACAACTGTTCCTCCCCAACCACCTTTGACTGACCCTGTGACGCAAGCCATGCCACCAAACCCTACCACAATGCAGAATCCCATAACACAAGCGGTGCCAGACCCCACGACGGGAGCTGATCCCAATCCCCAACCACCTTCGACTGCATCTGTGACACAGCCAATGCCACAAAATCCTACCACAATGCCGAACCCCACAACACAAACAGCAGTACCAGACCCCACAACAAAAGCCGTCACAACCATGTCCCCTACCGTGGCTCCATCAATGCCCCCAACAGATCCTCCTACCGTGCCACCAACTGAACCGCCACCTCCACAATGCCCAAGCAGATGCTCCTGCAACATGGCAGCACGCACTGTGAACTGTGAGAACCAAGGCCTGACAAGCATTCCCCTAGACCTTCCTTCGTACACCAACACCCTGTACCTCAAAGGGAACACCTTCAACCTTCTGCGTAAGGACGCATTTAGACACCTGCCTGATCTGGCCAATCTTCACCTAGTCTCCTGCGGGATCCAGTCCATAGAAGATGGAGCTTTTGATGGTCTGAGTCATCTCCGAGTCCTGAATCTCAGGAACAATCGCCTCACCTTACTTAACACACTTCTCAAAGGGATGCCAGAGCTAGAGATGCTGGACCTGGAGCACAACAGCTTGAATGAATTAACTGACCACATCCTGGACAATCTCCCCAATCTCCGCACCCTGCACATTGGCAGTAACCAAGGCCTTCATTATGTCAGTGTTGGGGCTTTTAACTCCAATCCCGCACTGAAGACTCTGAGTATCTCCTACTGTAATCTCAGCCAGATAGCCCCAATGGTGTTTCAAAACTTGACACTCCTGGAGATCCTGAACTTGTCTGGGAATCCAATTGCTGAGATTTCATCTGCTGCTTTTCAGGGTCTTTCCTCCCTTCAGGAGCTCCTGCTGTCCAGCATGTCACTCTCGACTCTCAGCGATGCGGCCTTCCAGGGTCTTTCCCAGCTGAAGGCCCTAAATCTCGCCAACAACCGTCTCACCAATTTGAACATTGACACATTTACGCCACTAACATCACTGTCGACCCTGGTTATGACACAAAACCCATGGGATTGCAACTGCGACATGGGTAATTTGATAGCTTGGCTTAAAGACACCTCCCTCCGTCAGATTGATTTCTACACATCACAGTCAACCTGCTACTCCCCTGAAGAACTGCAGGGGAGACGCTTGGACACTATCCCACATGAACAATTTGCCTGCGTGCCAATCTTCATCCTCATCCCCGATTCCAAAGTTGTCCCCTACCAGGAGTGGACAATCTTCCAGTGTAACGCAAGAGGTGATCCCACCCCTGATATTGAATGGTACCTTCCAGATGGGTCAAGGGTCACAACCACAAGCAATGCCGAGAATGTGTACACTAGCAGCGACGGTAGAGCCCTCATCATCCAAAAACCTGGGGCAGCAAACAGCGGAACATACAACTGTACAGCAAGAAATAGTAACGGGGCTTCATCTCTAAGCGTCTCTCTGGCTGTGACTGGTTTACCGACGACTACAGTTCCGACCACTGTGGGAGAGGCTACCACTGCAATGACACAACCACTACCATGTACCTTTGCTTCAATCCAGGTGAGAGTGGGTGAAATCACCGATACTACCATCGAGATGAGATGGACGCTCTACAATGATCCTCATCTCAAAGGCTATATCATACAGACCACAGAGTTTGGAGCAGCCCTCTCTACCACAAGGCTGGCTGGTGAAACAGACACTTCCTTTGTTGTGACTGATCTCACTGCCGGAACAAACTACATTATCTGTGTGACTGTCTTTCTAGAAACGTGCCCCAGCTACACCACCTACGACCAGTGTGAGCAACTAACAACAGGCGGCAAGACAGATGACGGGATAGCGGCTCTGGTAACCAAACATCGCAACGAGATCATCGGCACAGCTCTGGCCACATTCTTCGGCACGCTCTTCATTCTCGCCTCTATCTTTGTCATCCTGTGGCAGTACCGCAAACCCAAGTCATACACCAAGTACGACTTCAAGACCACGCCAGACACAGCTCAGTTTGCGGACATGGAGATAGGAGAGAGCAGCCAGGGACCCACCTCCAACCCACAAATTCGCTACACCGGTTCTATCACTTATGACAACCGGGGAGCCGTGCTCCCAGACGATGAGGTACTGAATGGGAGGCAGCAGATCCCACCTGAGGACCATGTAGTTGAGGTGTACCCCGAATCACCTGAGGGGCCATACTCCATTCCACCTGATGCTCTCTACGCTGTCCCGGAGAAGAAAGGCAAGGGTAAGGGGAAAGGCAAAGGGAAAGGAAAGAGGAACTCCCAGGCACCCTTAATTGAGATAGAGATGGACAAGAGGAACAGCGACTACATGGTGCCCACACCCACCAAGGAAGAAGACACTCCGGTCTTGGAAGCTAAGCTGGTGGACCAAGACGACAAAGAAGATGCTGAAATCGGGGAGATGGGCCACCTGTACGAGGAGCTTGACAGTCCCAAGTGCAACTGCGATCCCGTGGTCAATGGGATCATACAGAGCAATGGACATGTGCCCAACCACAATCACTCCAATGGGTCCAATCGAAACAGCGCTGGCAGCAACAAAGTTCGGTTCACCCTACCGGAGGATCAGACACCGATAGGGAATGGACATGTCAACAAACATGAGGAAATGACAGTAGGCCTATAGGTACCACACGGAAGAAATGAAAAGTAAATACATATTGTGCCGGGTAAGTCAAATAACAATTCATGTACATGACCACTGCACAATGCACTCTCTTGACGTGTACATGTATAGATCAAGTTTGCAAAAACCTGTACTGATTTGGATTTGAAGTACATGTACAATGTACATGTTAATTTGATTTGTTTATTCACTGCTGTAAATAAAGGAGCTTTTTTTTCAGCTAAAATACTCACAAAGCGATGATTAAGAAGAATGAAGTCCACTTGAATGGGTCAAATTCAACAGTGGCAAATGTTGAAGACGCTTTTGCACACAGCAAATTATGTACCAATCTCCAAATATGCGAGGTATAGTTGTAATAATGAAAGTATTGTACACAGTTATTTGGCGTCAAAATGAGGGCAATTTGCAAATTTGCAAATTTGACATGATTGTTCTTGTAGTCAGTTGCACACTGACCAAGACACCAGACCATGCTGCAGCTGCTGGAGCTGGGGGTTGCTAGCATTTAAGGCTTGCCCCAAATCATGTGATCTACATGTAGTAACAGTCTCTTTGGTCAGGAGAATGCAAAGTTAAAACGTGCAAAGCATTGGATTAAGTCAGTGTTCCTGATTTTATTCAAATTTGACTCGCAAACGGCTTATTCTTTTGTGGGGGTTGAGCCCCACCTCAACAAGCTTGTCAAGCTCAATTTTAATCTCACAAACTCAAAAGAACTGAATGTTTTTTTTATGTTGCAAGGTATTAAAAGGGCTAAGAAATGTATCTAATAGAAACAACCATATATGTGACCCGCTCCGCAAAAATGAGTCTGTTGTGGCAAAACTGACATTTTGAGTTAACTACATTAATAAAATGGGAATGAAATAAGCTTTCATTTGGTATATCACGGACCTCTCTAGGACATTTGGTTGCATTGTTGTGCTTGTTTCATTCTGTAAAGTTTTTGCACAGCTAGAAGTGTCTCAATGGAAAAAAAAGGCTTTGAAAAATGACAAATACACTGTAACTAACCAAGAAAAGCACCAAAGATTCATATTTTTTTTCTTTTTCTTACAATATTTACATTTCTGTGTAAGATATTTGATCTAAAACTATCAAACAACCAAAATACAACAAAAACAAAAAAAAATCCAAATTTTGAGCAAATTTTCACTGTTTCCATTTCAAAATGGCAAAAGCTTGAATTCAAATTATGCGACATCAGACTCATTTTTGCAGAGCGGGTCACATATGGCAATGAAAAAGGAAAATTAAGCTATAGGCCCTAATGCAATAAATGAAGTGTCTCCACGTTTTTATTTTGTTATATGAGAAATTACATTGCTGTAAATACTATGAACATCAAATCCGTACAACTTTTTACCTTATTTTACGAAATAGAATGATAGCTTTTTATACTGGGCTGGTTCTGGAAGACTGTAAATAATTCTTCGCTTAAGTTCAATTAAACGGTTCTTTTAATTTTAATTTTTTAATTTTTTTTTTTACAATGGTAGGAATAAACACACATCTGTCAGCTACCAGATTAGTTCCTGTAATGCTATTTGTGTTTAGTTACTGAATAATTTTCATATTGTTATTTTTATTGACAGAACTTAAAATTGTTTAGGATGCATTACCGGTACAAGTGAATATATGTAAAGTTAAAAGATTGAAATGGGCTTCTTTGACATTATTAAGAGACCTGCACCCGATTTCATCAAACTCTTCGTAACTTACGATGCATCGCAGCGCTGCGATGCGTCGTATCTCTACGATGCGTCGCAGCTGCGACGCGTCCTGCGATCCATTTCACTAATCACGTCGTAAGTGCGACGCATCGTAGGTGTATTTATAGCACAACTCGGTGACTGTTTTATGTCTTTAGTCAGCGTACAGTAAATAGTCGTCTGATATTCAACAAAGAGTCGTCGGATCTCAGCTCGAAATTTGTTAAAACGTAAAACAAAAATGGCGGCCGTGCGATGCAATTTTGAAGGAAAACAAGCTCTCAGTGGACTGTATAGCTACTTCGAAATTTCAACTGCAATATTCCAGTGTAATTCATAATTATTTAATGAATTTTTCTATTTACAACTTTATACACATTGCCTCGGTATTATAATGTCGTTTTTGTAATGTTTATGGCATGAAACTGGCTAAGAAAGGGACTCTTTTTATTTTGCGATGACCACTAGACACGTCGTAACTTGCGACGTGTTTTAAGCCGTTGTCAAGGAACTTACGACGCGTTCAACACATCGCAACTTTCGTGAAATGGAGTATACAACGCGTCGCGAGTTGCGACGTGTTACACGTGTCAATCGCAAGTCAGTAAGTTACGACGCGTCGCAGCGCTTCATGAAATCGGGTGCAGGGTATACTTTGTGTAAAGGTTGTTTTGTTTGTTTATTGTTTTGCACACAAAAAAATAACAAGTACACTGTATATATACATGACATGTATGCAGATTTAAATCTATACAAACTACATGTGTACATGTGTATGTGGTTTTAAATGGCTTAATTGTAAGGTTTAAAAATACAGTAGACTCTCGTTAATACAAACCAAGCCGGACCAAGCCAAAATGTTTGTTATATCAGAAGTCTGTATTCAGTGGAGTGCCAATCCATTCATTGTGCACATAATATGCACAGTTGGGACCAAGGCTTAATGTTTGCTATAACCAGAATTTGTATTAACAGTACATTTGTATGAACAGTACATTTGTATTAACAGTACATTTGTATTAACAGTACTGTACATACTGGTAGAGTGCATGCAATTGTGAAGTGCTTTTGGTAAACACTTTTTTTCCACCTTTGAAAAATGAATTTAGAAACAAAGGAGAATACCACTTGAACTGAGTGCATTGTATTTGGCTGTTTATTGCTTACAAATGCATATTTTGTAAATTGAGGCCATTTCCATAGACTCATGTGTTATTGTCGACCATAACCAAGAATTTTTGACACAGCTCTATTCTCATATCAAGAATTTGCAGTAACAGTTAAAAACATTGACTGCAGAAATCTGAAAATCGGAATTACAAAAACAGGGATGAAAAACCAGGCTTTGATGTGAATCATTTGTGTATTCATAATTAGATACGGTACATGTGACACATTTGTAGTGGCATTTTTTTTCTTTCTATTTGTATCATTGTATATAATAGATAACTTTTTCTACCAGCATAAGAAAGTACAAAATCAATGTATGCGTAAGATTAACCAATCTGTGCAGGTAGATTATTTCGGTCTGTCTATTGTTAACATATTCACGTCGGATGACATGTATACACGCAAAGGTGGCAGTTGTTTTTTTATTTGTATCATTGTATATAATATACAACTTTTTCTACCAGCATAAGAAAGTACAGAATAAATGTATACGCAAGGTTAACACATTTGTGCAGGAAGATTATTTCCGTCTGTCTTTTGTTAACCAGTTCACGTCGGATGACGTGTTCACACGCAACGGTTTCACGGTATTCGGAACGGATGACGGATAAACACGCAGCGAGCGAGGCTGGAAATATCTGTCTGCGACCCGCTCGCAGCAAGCGAGGCCGGAAATATCAGGGTGTGCTACCCGCAGATGACGCCCTGAACCCGTCTGGCATCAAGGTTTACGAAAAACAATCCCACACCTGGGTCCGGTCCATGTAAAAAAAATCTGAGGGTATAGAGGCATTCCAAAAGGACACAATACAAGAAACCCACAAAAGCGCCCTTTTCACCGATTCATGGCACAACAAATTTTGCATCACAGTTAATTGACTTAATCCAAGTTCCAACAGGAAAGAAAATTCAGTTCACTGGTTTCAGTACACGTACCGGTACCTAGCTTTGCACGTACAGGATAATGCATACATTTGGCCTTTTTCAATGACAACTGTTGTGAAAGGCAGCTAAAATTATACACAGGGCACAAACAAATATTTTCCTTTTTTGTTCGTGGAGCAGCGCAGAATGAGAACAGCAGCATCACATTAAATCCTCGCTTTTTTGTTCAATGTACAGTCAAACACCTTTATAACAAGGTCCTCGGGACTTTACAAATTACCTTGTTATGACAGGTACAAATACTGTACCTTGTATTAACAGTAATGGAAAACAAAGTAAAACAAAGAAAAACACAGACTTGGGACCTAACATTTCGCTTGTTATAAGCAGTAGGTTCGACGGTACATGTGTACATGTATGTTTGCGTTTGCAGTTTACTCCATGGTACTGATACATGTACATTGTATACAGGTACATGTACATGTATAGGATGAGTAAAAAAGAAGGAAACCCAAATGACGCCCTCTATTTTGTAAAGAAGTTCTCCATGTAGCGCTTTCCAGATCTAGGATATGAAAGCCCAATTACATGTAATAAGCTTTCTCTTTAGTACAAGAATCATTCAAATCACTCATGTACTTTTTGAATTGTGAACACAAACACAGTTTTAAAATTTTGTCCACGGATCCCATTTAATTTCAGCAAAATGAAATCATGTCCTATCATGAAAACTATATCGGAAAAATCCCAAAAGTCTCCAGGTAGCAAGTAGAAGGCAGGGCAAGACTATAAACTCTTGACATTATAAAGCATTTCGTTTTAACATCGGAAGCAGAAGGTGTTTGAATAAATGTTATGATAAGTGCCAGTTCTTATGGTTATGAGAGTGTTCTGATGTGTTTTATTGATGTGTGAATTGTCTTCGTGTTGGTGAAATATCACTTACCTTTATTGTGATCTGTGGACAAATTTATATAACTACGTTTCCTTCTATTCCTTGGGGATATAACAGCCACTTTCAATTATCACTCTTCTGTTGACATTTTTCAACTACAATGTTCGGTATGTTTTGTACAAAACTAGATGGTTTTCGAACCATGCGTCTCGCTTGCTTTCACGATTATCTGTAAAGAGTGACCTTTGACCTTGGTGTGTGACCTTTGACATCATTATTATTTGAAGGTTGCCATGTTGCATCTATGACCAAAGTTTGGATCCAATCGGACTTCAACTTTTCAAATGAGACCAATATGTTGAGCCTATTACAGAACCTGACCTCATATAACCTTTGACTTAGGTATGTGACCTTGACCAAAATACCACATACATGTATACGGACAGACATAGTGATTGCATAGTCTCTTTCCTGAACAAAGTTCAGGCGAGACAAAATTCGGGAGCCAAGGATGATGTTCGGTATAGCCGAATGTTCGGTATAGCTGTGTTCGGTATAGCGACGTTTCACTCTACCTCTGAACTTTGTACATAAAGTTTACCATTCAAGTCTCATTATAAATGACTTCAAACTGATTTTTATTCGTTGGATACGGTGGGATGTTTGCTTCACAAATCCACCCTTTGAGGGAGATTACAAAATCATAGGTGTCAGATGTAACAGGGACAGGAAAACAAGGACCTCAAATTAATAGAACGACCCATCCATCCAAATGAAAAGAAATCAGCCATTTTGCAGATCTGAACTAGTGAAATAGAAAATCCAACGCCGAAAATAGCAGAGTTCAGCGAAAAACAGGACGTACATGTATACAATTGCGTACAAATATTATTCGTCACAAAAGACTGCCCAAACAAGAGTTGCCATGCTGTTTACTGCACCAAAAAGTTTCAGTCTCAATAGCTGCCTGGGGCTACACAGGGTTTATCCATGGCTCGGGCTTTTGAACTTGATTTTTCGGTCGGCGTGGCACCGTGAAAAGCAATTCCCATGGCTTTCACAGCCCGGATTTATTTCTTTCGGTACAACAATAGCGGTCACAGGTCAAATAAAAAAAAAGAAGGAAAGTGCATGAATGCATGCTGGGGTGTTGCTTAATAATTTGATGCATTTCCTTATCGTGTGAATATGTTTTTGTAGGTGCTGGCAAATGAAAACAATTATCACATAAAAAAAAACTGTTGACATATACTGATACCCACAATACTTATCTGAAATATATGTATTAAGCCATATTACAATGCTTGTTTACACCATTAAAAGTTGAGTGATTCTCGCCTTTGGGAATTTTTGTCTGGGAATGGATTAGGTATTATTTGTTTGTCCGCAAGCATTCTTCGAAGATTTGGCTCCTATTACCAGTACCTTCAAGGTTTCCAATCCAGACATTTAAGCATTCCATAGCTGAAAAGAATTTGAATGGAACAGCCCTCAAACCCTAAACCCTCATAGATCATTCAAACTTCACAAAGAGCCCAGCCTATATAAGTTTACTTAGGGATCCATGTCTCCTCAAAATTTCGGGTACAAATAATGTGCCATTGGTTTCAATCATAATGTCAATCACAAGTCCATCACAAGCCAATCGCAAGTCAGTCACAAGTCAATCGCAAGTCAGTCACAAGTCAATCGTAAATCAGTCACAAGGCAATCCCAAGGCAATCCCAAGCCAATCAAAAGTCAATCGCAAGTCAGTCACAAGTCAATCGCAAGTCAGTCACAAGTCAATCACAAGTCAGTCACAAGTCAATCCCAATTCAATCGCAAGTCAGTCACAAGGCAATCCCAAGTCAATCGCAAGTCAGTCACAAGGCAATCCCAAGTCAATCGCAAGTCAGTCACAAGGCAATCCCAATTCAATCGCAAGTCAGCCACAAGGCAATCCCAAGTCAATCGCAAGTCAGTCACAAGGCAATCCCAATCCAATCGCAAGTCAGTCACAAGGCAATCCCAATTCAATCGCAAGTCAGCCACAAGGCAATCACAAGTCAGTCACAAAGTAATCGCAAGTCAGTCACAAGTAAATCACAAGTCTGTCACAAGTCAATCACAAGTCACAAATTGTTCAAATGACCTGTGACAAAGGCATTCCTTTGTCATTGTTCATCTTGTGTTACTCGTGACCTTACTTGTGAATGACTTGTGATTGACTTGTGATTGACTTGAGATTGGCTTGTGATTGACTTGTGATTGGCTTGTGATTGATTTGTGATTGGCTTTTGATTGGCTTGTGACTGACCTGTGATTGACTTGTGATTGACTAGTGATTGGCTTGTGATTGGCTTGTCATTGGCTTGTCATTGACTTGTGATTGGCTTGTGATTGACTTGTGGTTGACTTGTGATTTGACTTGTGATTGACTCAAGTACAGCTCTGCATGCTTTGTGTTGCACTGACTTTTGTAGCAATGACTTTTGTACATGTAGATGGGATCCCAGTTTACATGCATTTCCAGCACTCCCCTATTATTTTCATTCACACTTTGGAAAAGAGAAATTAAACATACCTTCGTATTACCCCATTTTCACAGGCTGTGTACAGCATACTTCCGTTGGATGTATACCTAGTAATTGATAAAGTAAGTAATTCATTAATAATAATAATACTAACGGAGTCTTATATAGCGCACGTATCTACCAACAATTAGGTACTCAAGGCGCTGGTTATTATGTCTATTATTAAAGAAAGGTAAATAAAGTATATGAGAAATATGAGACCCATTATGTAGCACCTTATAAGGGTCGACAAGGTGCTGCGGCGCATATTGCAGCCACTGCCAGAAACACCAGGGCAAACCCCTTCTCTTTTACGTGCATTACACAACACACGGGACCTACGGCTTTACGTCCCATCCGAAGGACGAGCAATAATGGTAAAGTGCCTTGCTTAAGAGCACAAGCACCATGTTCCCACGGTCAGGATTCGAACTCATGTACCACGGCACACAAATCGAACACCGTAACCATTGGACCACAGCACCCCACGTTATTAACATACATTACACAGTGGTTTAAGACCCAGACATTTCCAAAAAAAAAAATTCTGAATATTATGTTAAAAAATAGTTTAGTTGTATCTAATGAGTAAATCTGTAGCGGATAAAAATATTTTTTCCAACTTATTTGCTGCATATTTCACTTAAGTACACAGCTACACAAAACTAGAAGACGGTTAGAATTATTACAGTAAGTACTTTGGGAAACAAAAAAAAGTGTTTTTCTATGCCGAAATTATATTTTCAGATTAAAAGCTGTGCATCATCTTGTAGCTTGTTTCGTACCCTTTCCACTCATATAAAATTTGTTATGAAAAATGTTTCATAAAGTGCAGAAATTCAGGGATTTACTTACGCTAAATTATGTAGAAATATTCCCCCCAAAACAAGACGTGTTCGCTGATACATTTTTACAATCGGCCGAAAACGGCCAGAATAAAATTGTCTAATTTCTTCAGAAATCGGTCGACTGATTACTCGGCTTCAAATAAAATCGACCGGAAAAGTCGCGCAATGCATCGTTGTGCCGAAAAAAAATCATTTTTGTAAGCAGTCACTAGCTGGGAGTACGTAAAACGCTGTCATGGCCGGCGAAGTGAACAGCGCCCTCTTTTGTTGAGATTTTTTTAGCGTACCGCATGTCGCTGCATCGCCGGGCTCAGTGTCGTCGCTTGTGGACTTCTGACATTTGTTTACGGAGGTTAGTGGTTGTCTCAGGGCTTGAAAGTCAGCTCGGCTGGGATTTATAGTTGAAGAAATTTAGCTGTTCATGGTTTTCTTTGTCATGGGAAATGTAGATAGAATCAGAGATGAAGAGACTTTATCATCATTTTTTTTTACAACTTTTTGGTGTAGGCCCACACTAGGCGCGGTCAGGGAAACGACATCATTTCCTGCAGTCTGTGCTTGTTTTTAGGCCTGGCAAGGCCGAATATGATAAGAGTGTTTTGCAAACCGCTTGGCGCTAGGCCAAGCAGGGTATCGTATTAGAACTCAGCTCTTTGCTTGTGGAATATAAAATGTTTGAACAAGTTTGTGTAGTTTTATTTTCAGGGGTTACTGATTTTTTTCACAAAATATCCTGAGAAGTAAATAATACTAAAAAAAAACCATCAGCCTCTCAAATTGTGTTTGTCATTGCAGAGAGAATCATGGCAGAAATTTTGTCCTTTTCAAACCGGGAAATACTTGAAAAGTACTTGAAGGGAAAATGGGTTGGGCGGAAGAGGCCAAGTTACGTTGGGATTGCAAGGGAAATAATCCAAGACTATGACCTTGCGGGAACCGAACACACTGAAGAAAAAATCACACGACGAATTCGGAAGCTTCGCCAAGAATGGAAAAACAAATTGAAAGGGACTGGACGTTCACAGGGGAAAGAGCAACTCGAAGAAATGTTGGATGAGCCTTTCTTGAAAGTCACCCCAAAAGACAAGGAAAAACTGATGGTGGACACATCGTCACTGACTGTGGTAGAGGCTCTCAATCTTTCATCTGTGTCATCGTTGGGGTCACCAGACAACCGTAGAGACCAAGAAACTCAGTGTGACCGTCCAAATTTGGCTCCCCTTGACGAAGTAGGTCCACGGCAGCGGTTTCGAAGGACAAACTCCTTATTACACGATTTGCGTGAGGAAGCTGAAGAAAATGGAATATCTGCAACTCAGCTTATGGGATATTTGCTGCATAAAGAAAACTATATCAGCAACAGGAAAACAGCGGATGTTGGGTTGAAGCTTTTCAACAAGTCGTTGGTTGATAAGGAGATGTCTGTTGACAAAGGACTTTACATTTTGTCTTCATACAATATCGGAAGGACGGGGTACACTAATCTCAGACGTGATTTAAATGAACACGTGACACTCCCAGCCCACTACAAGTTGATGGAAAAGAAGAATTCTATCACTCCTGAACTGAAGCCTTATAGCATTGATGACAACGAAGGTATCACAGCTTCTCTTAAAGAATCATGCAGCATACATGTGAAAAGACTAATAGAAGCTCATCCAGAAATTGAACCAGGACAGTATAGAGTTCTCTGCAAAGACGGACTTGATGGATCGGGGCGCCATTCCATTTACCACCAGAAAGGACAGGCTCAGACATATAGCATGATATTATATATGTGGATACTGCTGGAAGTCATCAAAGAAGCTGGTTCATCTGGAGAAAGTTCATCTGGAGAGGGGTCATCCCAAGCATCAGGTACATTCGTTATATCTATTGAACTAAATGTAGGCCTATGTTTGTTTATTTCAAGTACACATTTTAAAGTTAACCGAGTAGAGTTGTTTAAATTTGTTTCACTTTCTGTAACGTACATTTATAAAGAATACACTAATTGATTTGAAATTCATAATTTTTTCAACACCTGCAGGATTGACCGTGTGGAAGGAAAGCGCAGCGAATAGTCCAGAGGCTGCTGTTCCCCTATTCCTCGTGAAGGGCAAAGAAGATAGAGAGCTCCTAAAATCAATCATACCTCCGATTGAAGCAGAAAAAACAGCTCTGTCAACTACTGGAATTGAGATCAACATCTCTGGTGCATCATATCACTTCAGATTTGAATTTAATTTGACAATGGTAGATGGAAAAATGGTGAAGCTCCTGACAGGAAGGGGAGGAGCCTACTGTATCCTGTGCCCTGCGTCCAGAGATGAATGTCATAATCTTGATCGTATTGATGAGGGCTTCCCAATTGGGGAAGTTAGTAATGAGGATCTGCGAAAACTCTACCAGGATCTCCAAGACGAGGGGGAAATTAAGCCAAAACCTGGTGATTATGCTGAACGACGGGGACTTACCCAGAAACCCATAACAACATGTGACATTAAGGTCTTTCCTATCCTCCATGCTACTCTGCGTACAATGGATTGGACTCTAAAGGTCATCTACCACTTAAGTGCTGGTGTAAGGACCTGGAAGGAAAACCTGCAAAATGAAGCTAAAATCAAAAGGGCTAAAGACAACGTGAGGGCCTCCGTATACGAACGAACTGGAATGCGAGTGGACGAGCCCGACCCCGTAGGCAAAGGCGGAACCTCGACGACAGGTCCAATGAGCAAGCGTTTGCTCCATGATATTCCCATACGCCAAGCTCTGATCGACTGCGTCCCGGACAGGGGTAAAGACAGGACACAATTTGGCCAGATCGTCAAAAACATGTCAGTTATTCTGCGTCTAGTCTCGTGCTCAGACTTTGTAAATTCAGATAAGCTTGATGCACTTTGCAAGGATACAAGCCGAGTGTTTCTCGAACAGTTCCCTAGCTTCAAATTTACCCCCTCTGTTCACCAGGTTCTAGCCCATAGTTCAGAGCTAATTGCAGGCAACAAGAGCCGCGGCTTGGGAACACTGTCTGAAGAGGCCCTGGAGAACAACAACAAAAATATCCGCAGGTATCGAGAACATTTGTCTCGCAAAACCACACAAGAGGACAATTTGACTGATGTTTTTCATCGTCTCTGGCTGAAATCAGACCCAGTCGTGCGCTCGTTTCGTCACATCAAGAAATGTACATACTGTGACGGCGATCATCACGTGCGATCTTGTCCCAAGAAATGAGCAGATTTTGGAGTACACGTTGAGGACGAGCTGTTCAGTTCCTTTCTTGTCTAGATTAAACCATTTCCGAACAGGTAAGTTTAACGCTTCCCAGATAAACGATCAAGAGAATGCAACTGTCGATGTTTATCCACTGTGTTTCAATCAATACATGGTTTTTGCGTTTTATTTTTTATACCAAAAAGAAACAAGGTGTTCACAATTTTAAAAATCTGAGACTAGCCAAGAACATCACTTTATTAAAATCATACCTCTCAGATTTAGCATTTGTTTTCTTTTTGTCACTTCCTTTTCCACTCATTCCCTGTACTATTATATTGAAATTAAAAGTATTAAAATAAAACTGCCTTTGTATGATAATGCACGAAAATTTCTATTTTATTATCGCGGCGGTGCGGTACGGCGCGGCGCGGCCATGGTGCTCTGTCTTTGCAAAAATTAAATAATTGTCAACAGAGGGCGCTATCGTTGAAGCGCGCTCCCTCGAAGCGATCCTAGCAAAGACGTCTTTCTGCGGCCGAATTGAGAACCCATGACGCTCAGGAAGACTCTAAATCAGTTCTAAATACTTGCTAAATTGTTATATTAATTGTACATGAACATAACTACACTGTTTTTGCTGATGTCTGGGTCAGGTAGGGTTTTAAACCACTGTGCATTAGTTCTTAACATAGTAAATGTCTATAGTCACAGTAAAAAAAATCATGCTTATAAAATTTACTTAAGTTTTTTTTTCCATTCAAGGTTTAGCTATTGACTGTTTTACCAAGTGAAATGACTTAAAACTAATATCTCTCTGAGTATTTTGAGCAAATATCCAAGCCCCGGAGATACAAAAACAAAACATGTCATGGAACGCCCTCAAATAATTTCTTGACACCCGAGGGCGCTGTTGCTGTTATATGGTCTCACAAATTTTGGTTTAAAGTACCTGTATTTGTGAAGGTTTTCTTCACTGTTTGTACTAAATTAACCAAAAAGTCAATGCACTGTTTGAGGCTCACTGTACCATCCAAAACTGCCACAGCACTCTGTGGTTTGTAGGGATTCTTTAGGGAATAAATACAATGTAAGGCCAAAAAAAAAAATAGTCGGTCTCTGGTCAGCGCACGCGTCAATTTTAATCATGCGCGTCAACCTTTTTTTCTCCAAAATGTTCCGCAGTAGCTCCAACCCGCCCTCTATTGCCGCACCTCCTCAATTTTTTTTACAAGGAATGGGAAATTGCACCAAGGCAAATGATCGAGGGCACCAAGGCAAATTATGGAGGACACCAATGTACATGAGGACACCAAAAAAAGCAAAATAGTACCCCACCTTGTCTGTACAATCCAAGCCTGGGAAAAAAAATTCCGGAACTTTGGTCTGACCAGAGACCGAATATTTTTTTTTTTTGGCCTAATACAGTGTAGTACTAGGTTAACAAAGAGTTCCCCCCCCCCCAAAAAAATAAAAACATGTAACCACAGCAAAAAGAACATTACAGCTACTCTTGCAAATTTTGTGCTCAAGCATGTTAAGGACGGAAGCTTCTTTCTACGATGACACCGTTGCTTTGCTCATGAATATTTAAGACAGACTTACTTGAGTTTCCATATTGCATCGTCCCCACTCTCTCTCAGAGTTTCTTGCACCCCGGCATCTGGCAAGTAAGCGCACACTTCACCACCTCCCAACATGATCACGCCTGACAATGCAGAAAACGATGACAAGTTTTTAGTAACACACTTTTTCTTTTGGAGATAAGTGGAACATCCAAAAGGGTGGTACATCCAAAAGCCCTTGATTGATATCTGTACCCCCCCCCCACACCTCCACCCATCTCCATTTACAATTTGTTGAATACCTAAACAGCTTTTAATTATTTTAGAAACTTATATTTTTGGAAAATTAGGCCCCCAATTGTGCCACTTTTAAATTAGTTATTAGTATTTATTTTACTGCTTCTCCCAAGCTAACTGCAGTTTTGTAGTCAAGTATGTCATAAGTTAATCACAAGTCAAGTCACAAGTAAATCATAAGTCTAGTCACAAGTAAATCACAAGTCCGTTCACAAGTCTAGTCACAAGTAAATCACAAGTCTAGTCACAAGTAAATCACAAGTCCGTTCACAAGTTCAGCAGAGATGGTTATTGTGGTCTGGTCTGCCGAAATGGCAGCATCGAGTTGTATAATCCCCAGGGAGCTGAAATGGTATTTGGAATGTTTCATTGGCCCGATGAGCAGGGGTAATAATAAGCGCCTTGTATCCTTTGGCAATTTGGCACCACAAGGCTAGTCACAAGTAAATCACAAGTCCAGTCACAAGCCTAGTCACAAGTAAATCACAAGTCTAGTCACATGTAAATCACAAGTCCATTCACAAGTAAATCACAAGCCTAGTCACAAGTAAATCACAAATCCATTCACAAGTCTAGTCACAAGTAAATCACAAGTCCAGTCTCAAGTCTTGTCACAAGTAAATCACAAGTCCATTCACAAGTCTAGTCACAAGTAAATCTCAAGTCTAGTCCAAGTAAATCACAAATCCATTCCCAAGTCTAGTCACAAGTAAATCACAAGTCCAGTCATAAGTCTAGGCACAAGTAAATCACAAGTCCTAAAACAAGTAAATCACAAGTCCTAAAACAAGTAAATCATAAGTCCATTCACAAGTCTAGTCACAAGTCTAGTCACAAGTAAATCACAAGTCCAGTCACAAGTTCAGTCACAAGTAAATCACAAGTCCAGTCACAAGTAAATCACAAGTCCTTAAACAAGTAAATCATAAGTCCATTCACAAGTCTAGTCACAAGTCTAGTCACAAGTAAATCACAAATCCAGTCACAAGTCCAGTTACAAGTAAATCACAAGCCCATTCAAAAGTCCAGTCACAAGTAAATCACAAATCTAGTCACAAGTAAATCACAAGTCTAGTCACAAGTCCAGTCACAAGTAAATCATGAGTCTATTCCCAAGTTTAGTCACAAGTAAATTACAAGTCCCAACACTGGCTGACTGGTTGCGTTGGGCAGTTTGATACAGACAAAGCCTTGAGATTGTACATGTATATAAACACAGAGAGTCAGTGAATGCTTACTGGAGAAGCCCTCTTCTGCCATAGCGTTGTAAGGCCCCGGTGTTGGATCCACGCAGTGCAGGCCGGTCCCGGCTGGTATGTCTAGCAGCGTCCTACCATCCAGAGTCACAACCTTGTGGCAACACACATAAGACTAGATCTTGAAACTTGGTATGTACAAAGAATATGTTTCTAGTACGCAAAAACACAGAATCATTAGCGTCCTCCCATCCAGAGTCACAACCTTGTGGCAACACATATAAGACAAGATCTTGGTTTGTACAAAAAATAAGTTTCTAGTATGCAAAAACAAAGTATCATCATAACAAAATTTCTATTTGGCTCAAGGGCTAATTCCATTGAACGGCTTATTATGCAAACCTGCTAAGCATAGGAAAATGTTCGCTCGGCAGGTAAAAGCAGGCCACCACCCAAGCAATCATACACCCCTGCGCTTACTCGTGCAAGCCTGACTGCTCTCAATTTAACTCTCGCCTTATTTCCCATGCCTACTCGAGCCTGGCCCAAGTAACAGACCCGCCAAGCTGGTTACTTTGGTAAGTATCCCACAATACAACGCAAAAACATGGCGGCTTAGTCTAACGCTGTGGCGGCGAGGATTCAAAAGTGTCTCAGCTTCACTTCACTCTAATAAGTGGTAGACGACGGGAGGAAAGTTAAGTTAATTTTAAACATACCCGGCATTTTCTTGTATGTTCACTTTGCAGGGATGTGATTGGTCTGTGACAAAAAAACCTGAAAATTTTATACATGAAGTGCATTCTCCGGCGAGCGCGAAGCGCGAAGCCATTACGGCGTGGGGTCCGGGGCCCGCTTAAGGGCCCCGAAAATTTTTTGATTTTAGATGCTCTGTGGTGCAATCTGAGGCAATTACTGAGCACTTTCCTCTGAAATTCTGAAACAGAATTTGTTTTAATTTTATGAAGAATTTTCCTTTATTTGTTAAAATGTACTCTTGTTCTAATATTAAAATGTACTCTTGTTCTAAGTTTTTTCTGTACTCAAAGCTGAGAACTATGCTGTTCTCCCCAGGATTTGTTCAAACCTGTGGGGGATTTTTTGTTGTGATACAACCACCTGCGAAGCCACGGCGTGGGGCCCCGAAAAATTTTGAACTTTAGAAGCTTTCTGGTGCATTTTAGAGCATTTCAGTGGAGATCTTGTAATATTTTTGTAAAAAAAAAAATCAAAATTGTAAACTTAAATCACTTCTGCTTCCGATAACATGCCTTTCAAAATAGCGTCGGTAGTATTGTTGGATAAAAATTATTTCACCATTTCTATATTTGTAGTAAAGCAAGGAATCATTTATACATGTATTTCATGTATTTTGTGGATTATTCTCATTTGCGCCACAAAAATTATCAAGACTAGCTATCAAAAGTGATTAAAACTTGCCTCACCTAATTAAAAATGTATTTGAGGTGGGTCATTCCACAATTTTGCTTAGCGTACATCACGGCCGCTAGCGCCGCAAACATTCAGTCTGGCCGGCCGTACATCGCGCCGTACACACGGCCGGCCCGGCACAGTATCAGTGTGCATTGCTGCACTGTGTACGGCCCATCCCACGTAGCCGAAAATTCTGCAGGACTGCAGAAACACGCTACAATGTTTCTCCACAGGTTCGAGTTTTGCAATCTCGTCATTTCAATGGAAAATACATACACAGAAAATGGAGATCACGTTCTGTGAATTAATTTGCGGAAATCCTCTTTTTCCATCGATGGTTGTTTGGTATTTTTACTATTTTTACGATCCAACTTCGGCCGATTACGCACGTGAAAACGAACCTGTGAGTACTTGCAGTAGTCACTGGTTCCGGTCCTTCATCATAGCATTGATTCTGTTAGCACGCGAAGGGTACCAGTGTACCATGCTGCACTCGTCTGCACACCTGACCAGCGCAACACGTGCATCTCGAATACCGACACAGGAACTAGACCTACATAACCACAACCTCGGCCCCGAGCGAAAAATCACATAATCGCACTAATGGCAACGCTTGGTCTTCAACTTCGTTCTCATATTGGGTGTTCAATATGTGCGTGCGGCATGTACATATCGATCAACGAAGTTTATGTCCGTAACTTCGTAAGTAAATTTCGGATATTTCGGCAAGCAAAACTCATTATGAATAATTAATTAGCACATTCAACCCCCCTATTTTCTCAACGGATTCACACGATTCACGTTGGTGGACTTTTGAGGCCCAAAAAACCGGACTTCGGGAAATAACCGGACAAATCACATCCCTGACTTTGGAGAGTGAAAACAGTGGCCACCATGGCTCGCTTTCGAAGGCTCGAATTCATTTGCAAAGGGGATTTAATCATCACATGACCTCTTGGCCCGGTCCCGTTGCAATTGGCTCGACCTTGGGTAACCTGAGATTGTTCGTTTATTGCTACAGACTGCGCATGTGCATCTATACCCAAGACAAAAGTATGGGTAAGCGCGAGGGAAGCAATCGAATGCGCTGACAATGTATATTGCTGCTTGTGGCATGTTTCCCTGCTGAAATATGATTAGCAAAGTTGCTAAACGCTGTCAGGTTTCAGTGGTGACTTACCTTGCCATGCCCGTCCACCGATGCGGTCACAAATGTGGTTTCCCCAGAACACCACGGCCAACTGTCCCCAAGGAATGTCACATCTCGAATGATGTCACTGTGAAGCTACAGGAAACGGTGAAAACAGAGGAGAAATTCCAAGTAATTTTTGGGTCGGGTCGGATAAGCCATCTTGTGAAAGACTCAAAATAATCCTGAAAAACCCCGATACAGTTTGGAAATTCACGCGGTGCAATATTGCTGCAGATTATGGGACAAAATATCGCGCCTTGTACAATCAACGTCAACCCACCGCGCGACCGTGTAGGCCCACCAGTAGATACCGTTATGAATCTTCACCGTACTATACGGTATGATTCTTTACTGACTCCGAAACTTAGACGATGATTGATTTTTTTCGGGACGCGGGTAAGTTCAGGCACAAAAAGCGGACATAGTTGCCCAGGCCAGATATTCAATTTTTTTCGGGTTGGTTCGGTTTCGGGTCGGTTCGGTTTTGGGCTGGTTTCGGGTTTCCTCGAATTTTTGTCGGGTCGGGTCGGATTAGGGAATTAAGATCAGTTTTGGTTCGGATTCGGTTTATATCTATACAGGGTGAGTAAAAAAAAAACGAAACCCAAATGTCAGGACCATTGTTTTAGTGAAGTTCCACATGTAGTACTTTCAAAATCTAAGATGTGAAAACCCAATTCATAAGCTTTCTTTTAGTACAAGAATCATTCTAATCACTTTTGTGCTTTTCAAGTTACAGAGTTTTCAACACAACCACCGTTTTAAGGTTCTGTCCACGGATCACAAGAAAGTTCAGTTTTCTTTCAGCAAATCGAAAACGAATCACATAAGGATGTGTGTGAATTGTTTTCGTTTTGCTGAAAGAACGCACATCTTTTTTTGTGATCCGTGGACAGAGCTTTAAAATGGTGGTTGTGTTTAAAACTCCGTAATTTGAAAAGTACATGAGTGATTTGAATAATTCTTGTGCAAAAAGAAAGCTTATGAATTGGGCTTTCATATCCTAGATTTTGAAAGTGCTGCATGCAGAACTTCACTGAAACAATGGTCCCGACATTTGGGTTTCGTTTTTTTTTTACTCACCCTGTAATATTTCGGGCCAGTTGGCTTGGTCAACCCGACCCGATGCACAACATTACTGCAGATCAAGACTAGTGCATACTTACATCATAGATATATAGAAGAGGAATGGACATTCTCAAATCAAACACAGCTAAGCCCTTGCCATTGACGCAAGTGCAGACTACAGTATTAGGGCACTTAGGGTCCACGGCCAGACCGGTGCGATCTCTCCTGTTGAAGGCACCTACACACAAACAGCATTGACAAATCAAGTGTGTAAGCAAAAACATTCAATATTCCCATTTGAGGTACTGTCATAGACCAGGTCACGGATACCGCGATCTTCGTGATCACGTGGTAATCTTACAGGCATTTTACTGAAAATGTGTCCCCTTAAGCCATTGTGTTCCCAGTATGATGGGACTTATTTTCAAAGATACGGCCCTAAAGATTACTACGTGATCACAAAGACGGCGGTATCCGTGAAACGGTCTATGAGGAAGCTATTGCTGAATTTTTTAACATTCTTACATTGCACTCTTAATATTTTAATTGTATTTTAATAGTAGTTTTGTGTAAGCTGGGATCCATGGGAGATCAGTGAGTTCTTCCCACTGAATGGATCACCCAGGATAAATAAGAAATAAATAAATAAGAAAATAAACTTCTTAGTTTTGGCCAATTCTTGTGCTTATTCAACCATTTTTTGTGTTAAATTTATAAGAGCAACTCCAGCGAAACAAAGAAGCAATGTTTGTTATGTTTTATAGAGTACCAAAGTGTGACGTCATCTGTCATTGTTCTGGTTCACGCACGTGCTGGTTAGCGCGTTGATGTCAACATACACTTGCACGTGAAATAGTGGTGAAAGTGAACCCTCAGTTTCGGTTTGGGTTTCGGTTGGGTTTTGGTTTGGCAATTTTTATCCGAACATTGGAACATTGGAACATTGGCAGCAGATTAGAACGTCAAAACAAGTTTCCGCGGAGGAGTATACACGGGTCATTCTATAAATTTGGGGGCCAAAGTGTGACATTTTTCCCGTCCCTGTTACCTTGGTACTTTGTAATTTGCCATTCAAGCATCATTAAGAATGACTTCAAATGATTGTTTATTTGTTGGGTAGGTAGTTTGCTATTCACAATCACTCTTGGAGGATGACTGCATTAAGGAGTGCATCAGAATTATACAATCATAGATGTCAGATGTAACAGGGACGGGAAAAAAGTGGACCCTGTTAATCGTCTTCGTGCCTAAAAAACCTATTTTAGAGGCCCCTTTGTAGGACCCAGTCCTGTGCCAGAATAAACCCAGCAATGCCACATTTCTACTGCTTTACGGTGCGAATAAAAAAAATCATATTTTTTAAATGTTCGAAGTGCAACGTTTGAAATGAGAGTTCAATTTTGTACACGTCCATATTGCCAATCTGGTCTGACCAAAAATGCAGAAATCACTTACAGCTCTCATAGGTCAGAAGTTGAGCACCGGTCTCCACGTCAACAACGGCTAGTTTCCCCGCAGTCGTTGTGGCAAGTATCTGCCCAAACAATTCAAAATCATTCATCTTTCATTCAATATCACATTTGCATGTACATCACATACAAATAATAAATACAAGTATTGACTTGATTCCAAAAAAGCAAAACAAAATATAAACACTTGGGGTTATTCAATAAGCCAGTTCCGTACCTCGATGAAGTAGTCCATGTCAAAGGTCATTCGGGATAAAATCACTGATGTGATGATACGCAATGTTACATGGGCGGCCATTCTGCTTGTAATTAACATGCGAGCGTCGTGCGCCCGTCTCTGTGCGCATTCACGCGCCTTTGATTAGCGTTGGATTATCTTGAATGACCCGTGACCCATATCACTGTGCGCATGCGCAGTTGAAATACCGAACTGGCTTCTTGTGTTATCCTTTTGATTGAACTGTAAATGTTCAAAAATTAACCACAAAAAAAATTCTATTGAATTTTGGGTTTTGAATTTCAACAACTAAAGCCGGCCGCACACTTTTCCGATTTTACCATTTCACCGGACCACTGGTACGTTTTATTTCAACCGATGCGGAGACCGCGACGTTAACCTGCACACATGCTTGATTCTGTTCTATAATCGGTCACATGATGACCAGCCACATGATGACAAAATGGCAGCCATCCATTATGAATCATGTGACTTCCTTCATGAATCAGATTGGCTAACATAAATATTGCGTCCGGTGAAATCGGAGTGCTGCCAGTGCCCGAACACCTTTCTGGTGACATCGGATCCAGTGAAATCGGATGCCAAAAAATCAAATATGTTTGATTTCATCTGATTGGACGGTGTACGGTCAGATCGGTCCGAATTTTAAGCGCACACCTCTGTACGATGGCCTGATGATCCGGTGAACCGGTAAAATCAGAAAGGTGTATGACGGGCTTAAATGTCAAAGCATAGGGCATTTATAAGCTGATAATTAAATTTGCATCACTCTTATACAAACTTCCAACATAAAAAACAGTGAAAAAATGTCATTTTGATATGCAAACATTGTGGGTTCACATTTTATTGGTGAGCAAAGCAACAAAGAAAATGTCCAATTCCATGAGAAGGCTTTATCGAATTAACACAATATCTGTTTCTTTGTATTGAACCTTATGTACCTTTCTTCCATCACTAGTAAATCGCACAGCATGAATGTTTCGGGCTAAACTGAAGGTTGTTACCTGAAAATAGTAAAATATTTCACTGATTACTTTCAAAATAATATTATTTTATATTAAAAAACGATGAGAGAGAAGCGAGATACAATTATTACCCCTGTTCATCGGGCCATGAGACCAGTTTTTTTCTACAGCAGCTCCAGATCAGCGCATTCTGGTCTCTACCTTAACAAGCACACATTTACACTGGGTGGAGACAGGCAATTGTGGTAAAGTGTCTTGCCCAAGAATACAAGCACCATGTTCCCTTTCAGCGTTCGAACCCATGCACTATGGCACATTAGTCAAACATGGTAACCATTTGACCACGGCGCTCAGATTGCATTGCGACCAAAAATAATGTAAGTCACAAAACAAAGAGGGCACCATGGTCCTATGGTTACTGTGTCTAACTCACGTGTGGTGGCTGCAAACCCTGCAGGGGATCATGGTGCTTGTGTTCTTGGGCAAGACACATGACTACAATGTGCTTCTATCTACCCCGGAGTATAAATGGCTACAATTTTATTGGACACATGGCACAAGAAACACATATGCCAAACTAGCGAAAACCTTTCCCTTTTAGATCAATGTCAAATTCTTTGAGTTTTCCCTGATTTTTGGTGTTTTCCTCAAATTCCCTGAGTTTTCCTTGACTTTAAAAATAAAAACTCAACTTCAAGGCTTTCTGTGAAATCCAGAGTTGCAGGGAACCCCGTTTACTGTGAATCCCATCAATAAATTGGAGAACACCAACCCACAGCACTCTACTGCTCACTACAAACTTAATTTTGTAATATCACATTTTGACTGGTGTTCGACGCATACCTGCGCACCAAATAACATACATGGGCATTACTTTTTGCTTACTGCGTCATCAAGACAATATGATGTACTGAAGACTCAGCCATTGTGACACCAGGAAACTTAGGGCCTGTTTGTTTTGCGCAGATCAGGATCGCGATTGGTGATCTGACGCATCGATAGCTGCTCCAGATCTCGTTTTAATGGATCCTGCTAGTGAGGTGGGTTCGCAAGATCAAAGATGGCGACATGCGCGATGGACGGATAGAAAAAGTGGGGTTTTTTAAGTAGACTTGAAGCATCAAACAAGTTTCTGTGACAACATTTTTTTTATTATTCTTTTAGAATGTATTTTCGTGATTAAAAATAGTAAGATTGATTAATTTTTTTCTGGAAATTACAGATACATGTTCCGGTAGCTTATCATAAAAATATCCCTTCTGCATACAAAATATGAAGCAGATGACATTTGTCTCGTACATGGTTCATTTGTATTTAGATTCGACACGCGAGAGTGGTCCTGTTTGTTTTCGCAAGACGCTGGATCACATGATCTCGATCAGTATATGGACTGAACAAACAGGCCCTAGAATCTATGGGAGGGAAACATTAATACTAAATGGTCAGTCCTTCTGTTTTGAGGCGTGCGATCACACCCCCACGCCATCACACGCCTAAATGCTTCCTGAGAAGTGCGAATAATCGCACGCCTGAATCCCTCAGTACCGCACACCTCGGCATACATTTAAGGCATAATTATACTTCATAATTTGTGTAAAATAAAATACGTCGGTGAAGAGAATATGGCTTTATTGTAAACCAAGATGACTATTTTGAAAAACAATACCAGATTGTTCAGTCACTTGGGTCACAGAATCACACGCCTAGAAAAATCACACGCCTAGAAAAATCCAGGTGTGCGTTTTTCCACACACCTGTGATTTTCAAATCAGAAGGACTGAATGGTCCTCAGAAAACAAGTCTAGCTAGAAAACAGATAAGTTCGAAAGAAGGGGGAGTTCAAATTACCGAATAGCTCTGCAGCAAAATGCATTTCTGTGCTGTGTAGAGATTGACCCTGCCGTCAAATGCACCTGAGCAAAATAAGTAGCGGTCCTGTAAAAAAAAAATAAATAAATATTATAAAGAGATGAACAGAATCAACATAGAATCATCCATGATCTTTGGACAACACCCCTCTCTAACAATAGACCCTTCCTGCCTGTCAATCAAACGCTGCAAACTGACCAATGAGATCACACCTTTTGGTCAGGTGATAATAGTTCAGTCAAACTTGGTCACTAACACAGTGAGAAATTGTGCACCAATTAAAGGTGGGCGGGGCTAATGGCCAAATCCGGTACAGTCCATTGACCTTAACCTTTCCAAATCCTCAAAAAAATCCTTGTTGCCACTAAAGAATTTCAAAGGATTGAGAGCCTTTAAAAATTGAAGCATCGGAAGATTTTGCCTCTGGAGGATAATGGAGGATCCAGGTCATCAGGCCCAATTTGATGCTGGATGAAACTGGCGGATTTAGGCTCTGGCTGGTTCTGCCCAAAAAAAGTTTTTGAGGATTCAGGCTGTTACTTGCTTTATGAATGTATACTTGGGCAGATGCTGTTTATTGTACAGCCTCTTGACTCCGACTGTTTAGGGCCTTGGCATTGCCAATCCACAACAGAGGATAACAGTGGAGAATTTCAATAAGTTTCACGGGCTAATCAACTTATAAGACCATTGAAATCCGATTATGTGATAACAAGCCAGCAAACCCAGTGGAGGATTTCAAAAGATCCAGGCAGAGGCCTCCAGCAACAATTTGAAGGATTCAGGGGGTTAGAGATTTTAACTCTTTGCCATTGGAGGATATTGGAGAAATCAGGCTGCCTCTGGGCAATAGAGCTTAAGGAGGTACCGGTAGGGTTAAGCCGTAATCTGTTACAAAAAGAATATTTGATGGTAAACATTCTTCATCTTTAATGTTCTTCTCTGTACCTTCAAGGGACATCAAGATCAAGGCAATGGATATTAGCCGGAGACGGCAAACCTTTAAAACGTTAGCTTGCCGGATATACACTGAACATGCGCAGTTACTGTTTTTTTTTGTAAATCAAATTAGGTTTTGCCCTTATTGACGATTAATAATTGTTTTTTTTTTAGTTTGACATTTTCCGGTGACGAATTTTAGTCTGGCTCCATGCCAACATTATCGTTGTAACTTCATATTCACAAGATGGGAATCACACCATTTTACAATTTCGGACTTTATTTCCCTTTAAAAAAAAATCCTCCAGAGCCACAAATCTGAAAGAAAATGTAATACGCTGCAATAAAATGTTTGAGACATGTTAAAATAATAAAAGAAGAATATTCTTATTTTTGGGAGATGGGGAAAAAAACCTTTAAAAATTTGCCAGCGGCGGGGACCGAACCCAGGTCCTCCCGCTCACGAGATCCATTGCTAATCCACTAGGCCACAGGTGCTACACAACCGTTGGTGGTAATTTAAAATATCTTATAATTCAGCCCCATCTTAGAGAGTACAGCGCCCTCTGTTGATAGGGATTGCTGCCGGCAAACCTTTAGTAAACGTCAGCTTGCCGGGATTGCCGCCGGCAAAATATCCACTATCTATAAAGTACATGGCACATTGGCTGGAATGTACTCACACTTGCACCGTCTTCTTCTACAAATTATCCCTAATCTCCTGATATTTCAAAGGCTCCGGCAGAAAGAGGAACAAATTGCGTACCTTTGGACAAAACGCAACACCCCTCACACTGCCGAGGTGGTACTTGAGAAACTGCACCCGGCCCTCCTGTTGCATTGTGGGATTGCACACGGCAGTTTGTACACCAGCCTAGCACCGACCGGCCCTTCCAATATCTGAGATTCACCGACCCACGCCTTCAGTAACTCTTTCAAATACTTCAGACCGGTTGAATCTGGGCTGAGCTGGTCTGAACCGGATTCATCAGGACTGCATGTCTGGCAACCAGGTGGGATGAGAGCTATGACGGCTGCATCTACTAGCTTGATTTACTCATTGCAACTTGTCGGCTACAGCCATTCCTGAAAATTCCTAATAAAAATTACAGAATTTAAAGGGTAATATACAACATTTGCTTTTGCTGTAATTTTCATAAATGGATGGATTTGGGGATCAGTATTTTATAGTAAATATTGTTACACTGATTCATAGCTGGAAAAACCAACCTGAGATACTATACAAGTAGAGATCGATGATTAAGATCAGGGTACAATGTACTAAGGTTTACTTACGTTCTGGATGAAAAGTGAAATTTTTGGTATTTCGATGCCATTTTAAAAATGGCATCAGAGCCCTCGCCGATAAACGATAAATTTCACTTTTCATCCAGATCTTTACTTCAGTTAACCTCAGGACCTCGATCTTACGCATCGATCTCTACTTCTTGTCTGGTGGCATATTCTGTGATAGCTTGAGTAACTCCAGCTGACATGCTCATATTCATTCACATGTAGCGCTGGAAAAATAACCTGTTCGTTAGAATTTTTGTGGTCTGTTAAAAAAAAAATGTGAAAAATCTTGACGATTTTGGTGGCTTGTCCGTAAAAAAACGCCAGTTCCAACGGCGGGTTTTTTTTTCGTCTGGTGCGTTGTCGCGGAAAGCAAGACAACGAGAATGCTCTCCACGACAACGCACCAGACGAAAATTGAACTCACTTGCGGCGCCTGAAAGCGGTGTGGTACCCACATACATCGCGCGCGCAGATTTTTTTCGATGTCATCACGTGATGCATACATTTACATAATTAGCAAATTAAAATGGACGACAGCCGTTGGAACTGGCGTTTTTTTTTACGGACAAGCCACCGAAATCGTCAAGATTTTTCACATTTATTTTTTGTGGTCTGTTTCAAGTCGATCATTAGGCTTCATGTAAATGACTGCTGAATGTATGAGGTATGTGGGTGAACTCTGGGGTGGGATATTAGAGGTGACAATGAACAATTTTTGAGAGAGATATTAGAGGTGAAAATGAACAATTTTTGAGAGAGGCCATTTTTTTAGAGTCTTTTGCTACCACATTCTAACGAACAGGTTATTCCTCCAGCGCTACATGTGAATGAATATGAGCATGTCAGCTGAAGTTACTCAAGCTAATTCTGTGGCAGTTTTGAGGGTGAAATCTGGTGTTTTTGTTGGCAAAAGGTTGTTAATTATTTCAAAAACCATGTCTGACATTCAACTCGGGCCCACTACCACCAGACATGCCAGACCATGTCCAAATGTTAAAAATAAAAGGTGATAAGTAGGGCCCAAGTTGAAGTTACTCGGGCCATAGAGCCTGAGGTACAATTAGAAGCACCTAACGTTAAGTATAAATGCTCAAAATATAAAAAAATTATTAATATTATCGTCATCATTTATGGGGTCCAACTTGGTCTTTATCATATCCGAGTTCATCATGTTCATCTTGATACATATTGGTCTAAGCTTGGTCCGATGTGGGGGGGTCAGACAAGTCGACCGTTGAGACAACTCGACTCGGGACAAGTCGACCGTTGAGACAACTCGACCGTTGAGACAACTCGACCGTATGTGCGATAAATGGAAAGACAAGTCGACCGTTGAGACAAGTCGCCTCGCATGTTTTTGGGCCTAGTTTTGGGGATAGTACCGGGGATTTTTGACGGCGGCTGATCGCCGTTTGGGAGTGATGACACATGAGGTGTTTTTGTTGCATATAACAGAGCCGATATAGCGCAGCGTGATTGTTTTTGCCGGGCCTGTGCGCCCACTTGCCGCGCCGGTTGACATGCATGCCCGCGTGCCGGGCCGGGCCCGGTCCTCGCGGGCAGGGCGTGCCGGCCCAACGCGACGGCCACCGGATCGGATCGCCCTCTGTGCATCGAGTATGCCCGCGCCGCGCCCGGGACCGGTCCTGCCACAGATTTTTGCAACTTTTTCCGCTCCACGTGTATACATTTCCATTAAGTCGAGCTGTCTCAACGGTCGAGTTGTCTCGAGTCGAGTTGTCTCAACGGTCGACTTGTCTCAACGGTCGAGTTGTCTCAACGGTCGACTTGTCCCGAGTCGAGTTGTCTCAACGGTCGACTTGTCTGACATCCCGATGTGGCATAGACGTCATCACTGTTCACACGGGGTCAAACTTAGTGAGTCAGATGTGAGGTGTGTGTGCAGAGCAATATATGCCAGTGCAATGTGATGGGTGCACATGATGATGCAGCGTGAGTAATTCACTTTCTCGATCATTTTCGATCGTTGTTTTTTCCCCTTTTGGGGGTTACGATCTACAATTGTTATGAACCATTTTATCTTAAATTTAAACAGATTCCCATATCCATCATAGAATTCATTTAAGACGATACAATTTTAATGATAATTGAGAAAAAAATCATTCTTTCCTTACCGCAAAATCAAGGCACACGGGGATTTAATAGAGGTTTTCGATGGGGTCAAGTTGTAGCTGGTGTCTCACAATAATTCAGTAATTTAACACACGAAGCAAGCGTGGACACCAGTGAAAATATGACCTAAGTTTTTAGTCTTGTCACGAGTCCTCTTTTTCGCCGACACTAACAGACAACAAGAGTAGCCGCGTGTAAAGCCGTACTAAAGTTTAGTATTTTGTCTCTGTAAAATCGGGTGTGGATAATATTTAAGGCATTAACATAATTCAAAATTCTATTTCGGATTCGATCTTTTAAATGAGTTATCACCAAGGAAAAGTCGCATATACTTGTTTTGAATGAAGGTGGTCTGTGGCCGGGCCGGTACATTCCTCCATGATGACAGCTTGTGCGTCAATCGCATTACGTAACAGCAGGCTGAATCCGAGACCCGCCTATTAAAAGGGCAAGGTGCACTCCCCTGAGCTGAGGCTGTATTGTGTACGATGATGTATGACGATATTATTAAAATAGGCATCAATTGTTTACTGTAGCACAGGCACAATAACTTGATCCACGTACCGGCCACAGGTAGTACATACGTTTCCGGGTTCTGTTTGGAGGCGCAAGAGAGTTCGAATTTCGGTGGCGGTGTTACTGTTAGTTACTGTTCAAAGATGACTGTTTTAAGAATTGCAGAGATGACTTCAGTCCTGAAGATAGTGGCGTTTTTCTGTCTCGGTGTCACAGGCATGACAGGTAAAACAAAACTCGAAAGCTTTCATTAACAATCTATGATTTTTTATCATGAATAAAAATATTTTGTTCTGGTCACGGATCACGGACAAAATGACGGAATAGCATTTTCACTGCAGTTTAGATTTAATTGCTTGTGTTATTTGTGTAGGATGAGTGCAACTACCTCAAAGTTTGGGAAGAATTCCACATGCATGGACATCACTGATTTTTCCCTGCAGTGACCTATCAGCCATCAAAAAGCCATACGTGTCCTAAAAAGTCAAATTTAGCAGGGAAAATATTGACGCATTTACTGAGAAAACACTTGGAGTTTTTCAGACCAGTCTCATAGGGTTTGTGCACAGGGTGTCATATGGAACTCTTTCCGATATTTCATTTTTGGCAGTTTCATTGTTGAATATTTGCAAATGGTTTCTAGTATTTCCTGAAAAAAAGTCTTGCGTTAAAAATGTTTGTAATTATCATTACTACCGATGAATGCAGAATAAATTTTGCGGAAAATTAAGACCCCACATGTCTGTGTGAATGATTTTTTAATTCAATTATCTTTAAAATAAAGAATGTTAAATTCAACGTCAACGACGGAGATTTGAATTTAAGTTTGCTCATTATTTAAGATCCTTGAAATGTCTCTGTCAGTTAAATAAAAAAAAACAATTGATAGAAGTGAGTAAGGCCAAGTACATGTAAAATACCAAGTAAACAAAAATACCAGTTGATCGTCCCCACCTGCTTGAGGCTGCATGAATTTAATTTTTTTTTTTTAAATTTCCGGCATAACATTTTTTTAAAGGTGTTTCCGAAGTTCAGATGCGATATGGCTTCTAATATAGCTTTACTAATGTTCAATAAACACTTTAAGAAGGTTTTGTGGTCATCAATTACATGTAGGAGACAACTACCCAGAACTAACAAATAAAAAATGGCTTTTAAAGGGAAGATACAACGTTTGCAAACATCAAAAAAACGAAATGATCAAATTATCACGTAATACCTTACTGAATTGTTAGGGATTGACAGTCTAAAGCATCCTGTAAAATCATTGCTCCTGGTGTGCTGACATTTTCAAGAAAAATTGTATTTTTCCAACTCTGGTCAGCCAACAAGCATTGGAAAAAACTGGCTTTGTTCAAAAACTGCTGCTATTTTTTTCATATTTAGTTATTCCGCATTTTCTTTGCAATAGATTACACACCTGTGAAGGGGTACAAACCTGCTAGACTGATTCTTTGACCTTACAATTTCCCAAAGTCTTTACGTTTCTCCGTTTCATCTTAAGTGGGGCCAGGGGAACCGGCCTACATGTACAAGAAAATGACTGGTTTTCTTGTTTTTTCCCCCAGCATAAACAAGCCCAATATGTAAAATAAGTCATTTTAACAATATTTGCTATAACATGCTAATTCTCCAAATCCATTTATTTCTGAAAATAGCAGCAAAAGCAATTTTTGTACATTCCCTTTATCTTTAAGGCATGCGTCATGTAAGCTAAATACGGCGATTTTAGCCTGTTTTTCAATAAAAAAAATAAAACGGCCCTCATCCTTCTGTTAAAAAAAAACCAGACGATCAACTGGTGTTTTCTTTTACTTGGCCTAAGTGACAAAAGATTTAATTTGAATTTTCGCTGGAAGTTTATGAATTCATGTGAACTGTTAAATGTCAAAATATCTCACTTTTGAAGATACACAAAACCATTAACAAAATTGGTACCATCAGAAATACATTTTTAGGGATCAGGCAACTTATTGATATAATATTTCTTCCAAAATTGTCAAATTAAATTTTTAAATGAAAGTCGAACGTTGAACAGTTTTGAAAATTTGATTTTTTGTTCTGGTTTTTAAAAACTTAGTCAATGCCTACGGTACATGTTAATGTGTCAGACAAAAAAAATTGAAGTAGCTGAAAATTTTTTTTACCAGTTGCAATTTGAAGAGGGGTCAGTCAATATCCAGTACAACTGGAAGTGGGATTGTACAACAAACGTATCTCAGGAAAACAAAGATAACACGCAGCAACATTATCTCAAAGTTCACAATTGGATTGTCATTTACTTTGTGTTTGTGATGCAAAATATCAAAGCTCATAACCTTAGCGTGAAAATGAACCATTTCATGAATACGAACAGATTTTGTTTTTAAGAAAAGATTTCAGTAGAAACTTTGAACGGATATTCTCAAAGTAACCTTTTTATTTGAAGTACATTTTTGTACAAAAATAAAGTTTTTCTGTTATGCTGTAATGTAAATTCTAAAACAGGGAAACCAAAATGAATCATTTATTGTTCAAAGTAATCACAGTGGAAATGAGATCATTTTATAAAATTATACCTTCTGTCGTTCTGCAGTAAATTCACTGCTCATCATTTTCAATATACTTGAATCACAGGCCGATCGGGGGGGGGGGGGGGGGGGGGGGGGGGGGCAAAGGGGCCATGCCCTATCCCCCCCCCCATCTTTTCCTCAAAAAGCTTTGGTTTAAAGTGGTCAGAAATTGCCTCAGATCGCACCACGAGCATCTAGAATCCCAAAAAAATTTGGGGCCCTTGAGCGGGCCCTGGTACCCACGCCGTAATTTTTCTGGACCAACTTTTTGGGGGACAAACATTTTTTTTGGGCCCCCCCCCCCCTCCAAAAAAAAATTGTGTTCTGGATCCGCCCTTGACTTGAATAGAACTTTGTTTTTCAAATTACTTTTCCTGTACAAATGAATAAAAAAAGGGTACCAAACTGTCCAAATTCAAAACAGCCAGGTTGCTAAAAAAAAAAAACCATTTATTAATTTTACTCTTTCAAATCTCACATTTCAGAAACAAACTAGGACTGTTTGATTACAGGGTAGGCCTATATCCTAATCTTAATCTTTTGATTTATCCACCTCTCAAGTACAATTTATTTTGCTGTGTCATCCGTTTGAAGTTTTCCTTTTGCTTTTCAACAAAAGTACAAATTAAAGTCACATTTAAAAGTGTACTTCCAGCTGTTAAGTTTCACATTGCATAACACAGTAATCAATGTATTGAGTTACAAAATTCAATACAATTTTCAAACTTTTTGTATCAGGAAAACAAGTTCTCGTTAGTGGTTTGCAAGGCAAACAACTGGCAACATGACTCTGCCAAAAGTGGCAGTGCAATGAGAAATTTTCTTTTCTCGAAGGTTTAACTTCCTGGTACCTTAAATGGCAAAGTTGATGTCACAGCAAAAGGAGACCACACCCACGCGCAGGCTATGTTGTATTTTGTTGACTGCTGTTAAGCCCATTTGTTATTGTTAAGCATGTGCACAATAAAATGCTTGAATAGCCTACCATTCACAAGGTATTAGGGTGCGTGGGCCAGGCATGTTTTCCTGTTTAAATACACTTGCGTTTCCTCCAGTCAGACCGCTATTGAAGGAAATATCCTTCATTAATCCGGAATATTTCCTGGAAGAACTTTCCAGATTGCACAAAAACAGATGATAAAAGTTGCTTTGTAATGTTGGCAGAAGAAGTTAAGGTTGTTTTTTTTTAAATTCAATTCAAAGGCACATTGACTTCCATACTTTCCAGAAATAAGTCAAACTAGTTTTTAAATAAAAAGAAGGTACCGGTAATTGTATAGAGTAAATAAATAATAATACAACAATGTAGTACAACGACTAGATATATTACATTAGGGTGAAGAGTATGGGGCTGTTCATATAAACAGAAGCTTGTAGAGAACAGCCTAACAGTAACACATAAACGGACAATACAGGAGAGTAAACACAGACAATAGGAATAAACACAAAAACAGTCAAAGGGAAACTAAAGACAAGACAAAACAAAACAAAACACGAGACAGGACACTAAAAACCGAGACAAATTGAATAGTTGCGATAAATAAAAGAGACGATGAATTGTATGTAAAGAAGAGATGTGGCTATGGAGAGTGGCTGAGGAGGGAAAGCTATGTTACATATTGTGATAGGAGCGCCTTTTTGTATGAGGATTTAAAACATATTTAACTATTTAGGGCCTATACACTGTATATATTTGTGCCTGTGGAAATCGAAACTATTTGTCCAAAGAAAAAAAAAGGCAATTCGGATTCGGTTCAGCAGTTTTGATTCCAGCGCCATTTTTTTGGCCCAACTAGTATTTTGTGTTATTAAAGATAATCCCTTTGTCCACTCATCACTGTGTGGATCTTACATGTAATTAGAGCCCCTGAATTTGGTTTACAAAAATGGCGCTAGAATCAAAACGACTGGACCAATTAGGATTTCTTGATATTTTCCTTCCAATAAAATGTCCTGTCCATGTCAATGTGCATGTAGATCCCTGAATAGTGGAACTACATGTATGAGGTTGCATTTTTTTTTTACCACCCTGTATAGGCCATCGAAAAAGACGGAGTTGAAAATAGAGGAATTTACAGATTTGATGGATATATTTTTAAACGTATGTTTTACTGGTTGGAGGTAAGACCAAAAATTTTTTTTTTAAATGTGATAGCTAGGTAATAGGCCTATGCAAGAACAAATGTGTGTATTTATAATGACCAAACCTACCTGGATTTTTTTTTAGCAAAGTATAGGCCTGAAACTTTTTGTTGCCTTTTTGGCTAACAATTTGAAATAAAGTAAACTTTGAAAATAGAATGTCTTCCCTATTATTTGTTCATTTACTGGTTAATTAAAACAGACTTGACATTCAGGACAAAGATTTGCTAACTCCCTACTGTCTTACTTATACTGGACCAAGTCCACCAAAATCCATCAATCACGCTGCTTCCAATGCATGCTTAATTTAGGCCTCCAGGCCCAAGTCCATCATACTCCATCAATATTTAGTCACACCAGCCCTGCAGGACCAAGTCCCCCAAAATCCACTGTAATAGGGGGATGTATTTTAATTTAATCTTCTTTTACACTTTGTGAAAACAGCAATACGCAGATGCCTTTATTATTTTTTCCATTATTTTGTACACAGTTTTTGTCACTTTGTGAAAATATAAAATTTAACCGTTTGATAATACTGTTTGTAAAATAAATGTCACATTTATGTACAGCAGAGTGCAAGCGCATGTGTTTAGTTTCTTTTTCTCCTTCTTTTTCAACATCTTTTTCTCATATGTGTCCATCCTGACGCGTGTTAAGCAATACATGATTGCTAACGTGGTGACATTTTGTCACTTTGTGAAAACAAAGTGGCAAAACAGGGAGGTCAGGCTTTAAGTCAAATGTTTGTTTATGATCCGTAAGAAAGTAAACAATATTTCGCTTTGAAAATTGGTCAAATTGTCCTATGTGTCAATTGTAATGAAATGGCCAGCAAATCTCAAAATTGAAAAAAAAAAAATCAAATTTCCAGGTTTTTGTCACTTCGTGAAAACATAAACAAAGTGTTTAAATGAAATATAATTTCAGGCATTTATTTGTTTGTTGTGTTTGTTTGTTTGTTTGTTTTTTGTCTAAGGAGTATACAGCCAGTGCACAGCCACTAATGCAAACGATTGGGTTGGCATTCCCGAAGAAGACTACAATCGCACTTATAGCAGTATTGACGATGAGGAAGCCCGGCCCCTCGGTTTTGCTCGGGCAGAAATATACTACAGCGACATCGGACTAGCCAACCCATGCATCAAAGTGACTGGTATTGAAGACACGAGGGTAGAAGTAATGGTGAGGTTAACCCACAAGAACTTATATTACATTGTATTGTATTTAAAGGGAAAATATACATCATTTGCTTTTGCTGTAATTTCAGAAATGGATGGAATTGGGGGGTTGGAAATATATAGCAAATATAGTTACACTGACTTTTTTGAGGTTTTGGGTTCGAAAATGCTATAAAAACCAAGAAAACAATCATTTTCCTGTAGTCTGGTTCCCTGACTCCATTTAAGAAGAAACAGAGCAGTTTACATACTATATACATTGGGGAATTCTAAGGTCAGGGAACCAGTCTAGCTGGCTTGTACCCGTTCATAGGTGTGTAATCGATTGCAAACAAGTGCGATGGTCAACTGGGGCCAGTATTTGAAAAAAAGCCAGTTTTTTCCAATGCTGGTCGGCCAATCAGCATTGGAAATTGATGCAAAAATACCACTTTTCTTGAAAATGACAGTATACCAGGTGCCATGATTTTACAGGATGCTTTACACTGTCATTCACTAACAGTCCAGCAAGGTATTTCAAAATGATTTGGTAGTTTTATATTTTGATGTTTGCAAATGTTGTATTTTCCCTTTAATCCCTGTTGAATCCAAAAATCAGTGCAAAAAATGACCTACGTGTGCATTTCCTGATTTCTTCTAAATAACAGTCGGAATAATAATGTCACATAAGTACCAGTACGATCTTTAAAACCTTCCTTCTAACTGAACAGTCTCAGACACTAAAAAATTCAATCCTCTTCCCCTGCTGTGCCTTTTACACAGGTTATACTTATACTCACCAACAGTCAGATTTCAAGCAAGCACTCTGACTAGTCAAATTCAGTCAACAGACAAAATACACGCAAGTGGATGGTACAGCTGGTTTATCAATCACCTACAGTCAAAGCATAGCTGTGTCGTGTAACATTAACTGTCACAGCCAGTCAATCCTGCTCTACGTAGGCTGGGAGCTCTCAACTGTTGAAAACAGTCGCTTGATTGATTTTGACTGAAAGGACAACTAGGCACAGAATGAATGTTTGCATAGGAGGGTTAATGAATTTAATCCAAGTACACGAAGTTAGCTTTTTAATAATAATTTGGTTGATTTTTTTGGGATAAATACAAATTATCCTATATCCCTGGTGGGGGCACGTTTTTTTTGCCACAGCTCATTACGCCAGTATCATTATCTTTATTTTAGTGTACAAAACAAATGGTATTTGTGGCTGCATGCGTAATTTGTCAACTCTAATTTCCTGGCAGATAAAAAGCATGGCGTGTTCTACCGTGGCAAAATCCTTCCTGTTTTTGGAGGATGTGGCTGACATGAACACCCTTCATTTACATGTACAATTGTAGGGTTGCAGTTTCAAAATACATGTGGGTCATATCCTATAATTTAGGGTCTGCACTCTGCAGTATGGCATTTTTCCTGTCCCTGTTATGTCTCATCTTTGTAATGCGCCATTGAAGTATCATTATTCCCTAAACATCCCAGGATTGAGGTTACATGGCAAAAGTGCGTTGCTGATTTCGGAGGACGCACTGTGTCAAGGGCTTGGGCCGGACCTTGTGTTGTTTATGCTCAGCCGTGCATAAATTTAGTCCTTGATTATACTTGAAATCCTCCGCACTGCTCCAGGATGTCACTGCCTCTGCCTCAGCCTATTGACAGTCATAGCCGGAGGATTTTCCAGGATTCAGGCAGTGGTCACTTCTTCATGGACCATATTCAAGAAATAATGGAGGAATTTGCAGGATTGAGGCTATATGCTATTTTTTCCATGAGGCTAATTGGAGGATTTTGCAGGATTGAGGCTACATGTACATCCTAGCAAAAAGGCGGGAGTTAGGGTTAAAATAAACAAAAATGACTTCAGATACATTTTTTTATTTGTTGGATGGGTCGTTAGCTTTTAAGAATACATTAAATGTATTGTACAACATTTGCAAACATCAAAAAAAACAAAAACTTTCACTTTATTACCAAACACCTTACTTGAATAATAGCCTCCAGCAGTGAAATCATGGCACCTGGTGTGCGTGATGCTGTCATTTTCAAGAAAAGTGGAATTTTTGTATCAATTTCCAAAGATGGTCAGCTGACCATCGTTGGAATAAAACTGATTTTTTTTTCTCACATACTGCTCCAACTTTACCAAATTTAGTTCGTCCGCATGTTGCTTGCAATCAGTTACACATCGTGAATTGGTGCAAACCAGCTAATCTGGTTTCCCGACCTGACAATATTTGCTTTAGAATACTTGCCCCTACCCCAAGTCCATCCATTTCTGAAAATTACAACAAAAGGAAATGTATATTGGGGGCCTATCTTTCAGTGCATCTAGAAATACACAAATCAAGTACATGAATGTTAGATGTAACAGGGACAAAAAAATTTGACATCAAATTAATAGAATGACCCATAGATTTATGAGATATCTGCATTGTTTCTAAATATCTTGGAAACTTGATATCTTGAATTTCCTAATCATTTTTTTTCTTCTTTTTTTGTTGTTTTTACAGGCTGAATCCAATCCGCCAGGCTCCATATTTTGGTAAGTGCATGTAGAAATTGCTGTTTTTTTGTTTTTTGTTTTTTTTAGTTGCGTTATTGATTTTATGATCAAATTTAAGCTGTGGGAATTTTTTTTTTTTTTGCCAGTGGACAGCGTCTGCTTCAACATCAGATACATATTGTACGTTATTGAAAGTGTTTATTAACAAAATTTTACAACGTCAGTTTGTTTCACTATTTTATTTCAGCGTGACAGACCAGTACGATCGTGAAATTTGTGATGCTGTAAGTAAATGCAAATTCATTTTGAAACAGTGATTAAAACCTTGTGTCGCTAAACGTTATTAATTTGGCTATTTAGTCAGTGTTCAATGAAAAATTAACATTCCCTTTCTGTGGTCCTTATCTGAATTCCTCAGATTGAACTTTCACACTTGCAGATAAATTTGAGGCGTTCTTGCAAAATGAAACTGAACTGGCAGGCCCGTCGCCACGGGGGGGGGGGGGGGGGGGGGGGGGGGGGGGGGGGGGGGGGGGGGGGGGGCTGGTGGTGCCCCCGCCCCACAGCAAAAGCCATACATATGTATTTTTGTATTTGTTTATGGTAGTGGGCCCCCCTAGTTGGCCCCTGATGCTCAGGGCTGACGACGGGCCTTAAAACTGGGTAAAGACCACAGCGGAGAAACATGCAAACAACCCTAATGGGGCCCCGGGTGTTTTTTTTTATATGTCCGCTACACATTTTTTGTAGAAATAATATAAAAATCATGGAATAAAAGTGTTATTATAAGGAAACACAATTGGCATCTTTCAGTTTCACGAATACAAAACTCGAAACTTTAAAGGCCTTTTTTCTCAGTATTTTACTTTGTGAACATATTGATAAAGGCATACTGTAAACAGCCATAACTTGTCAACAGAATGTCCGATGAAAGTGCAACAAACAGTTTTGTAAGGAGAAGTTTATTCTCTTTCCTAATACCCGCAAACCCTCATTTCAACCTCTGCCCAGTTCTGTCTCATTTAACCAGAGCGCCTCACAGATACCTTGTTCACGTTGTTACAGATAGAGAAAGTCGTACACTGTACTTTTTAAATATCCGTTTTCTGAAATGTTCAGAAGTTTTTAAACCCTGCACTCCGAACCTCCTTCATCAGCAACATTATAAATTAATGTAAAATAACACAACTTCCTCCCTTTGTCCTCCTACCCCAGAGAATCTACGACTGTCGCCAGGCCAACAGACCAGAAGGTGGCGAGGACAGCATTACGTTTGAGTTTTTCTGCGACTCCACCAGCTGCGATGAAACGGACGTCAACATCTTCTATCGATTCACCGTCAGCCCGCCCGGAGGTAAGCTTTTATCAACGAGTCAGAAATGATGGTTTATGCAGTGCCCGCTGCTACATGTATGTGCGTCAGATTCGGGCCAGCCGGCCAATCTCGTTGGCTCGGTGGTCGAGTGGTAAGACATCTGCCCCTGAGGTCGTGGGTTCGAGTCCCACCCGAGTGATTTTTTCCAACTTTCACTCGGCGGGAGGTAACACACTGAGTATACAGTGTTTGAACGTCGGTGAAGGGCAAAACCTAATTCGAGTCAGAAATCCTTAAAAGGCCCATGTAATGGAATATTTTTAATTGCAATCCTTGAAATGTACCTTTGTGCATATTTGTGACCTGCTATGGCATAATGAGGAATAACCCCCATCCTTGACTTTTTGAGTTTTATATACCATGTAAAAGAACTCTTCAGGTTTGTAATGATTCCACATTTGTTTCTGTAGCTCTTTACTTCCAAAGATAAAAGTTGTGTTGCGCGTTGTGCATTGCACATTTTATGCTAATGTACATTTCCATATTCATGAGTTAAACTGTGATGTCAGTCTAGGCTTTAGCATAAAACAATTCCCAGGTTTTCGGGTTTTGCTGTGGTTATATGTACCTTTCTGTTTTTGGTGACTTAATGTCTTGTTGTTTCAGTACATGACAGTAAGACAATAAAAAAATCTTGTGTGCAGAAGTTTTCAATTTGGGTTAACAATTTGAAGAGAAAAACCCTAATCTAATTAATGTGTGTCTAAAGTGACATCACAGCAGCAGCGCCCTCAGTTGACAGGAAAGCATGAAACATTTTAAATGTTTAATAAGGCCCCCCCAAAAATACTCCGTCTCTGGTCAGCGCGCGCGTCAATTTTAATCATGCACGTCAACCTTTTTTTTTCTTCAAATTATTAGGAAGCTACAATAGCGCCCTCTATTGCTGCGCCTCCTCAAATTTTTGTACCAAGGAGCACCAAGGAATGGGGACATTGCACCAAGGCAAATGATAAAGGGCACCAAGGCAAATTATGGAGGACACCAATGTATAATGAGGACACAACAAAGCAAAATAGTACCCACCTTGTCTGTACAATACAAGCTTGAAAAAAAAAAAGCCACCAAAAAAAAAACCAAACAAACGCGTCGCCGCATCAATTCCGGTACTTCGGTCTGAGCAGAGACCGACTATTTAATTTTTTTTGGCCTAAAAAGTGCACTTTAACCAATTTTAACCACAAAGGGGTGTCTCATAGTTTCACAGAGGTGTGGCTATTTTCAACAAATATGCCTCAGTGTGTAGAAATCATTTCAAAAACTCTTCATTCACTTCCGATGCAGATGTTCAGGACCCAGAGCTTTTCTGCGACTTCCGGGATACAGGCGAGTACCCAAGCAGCTTGAACGCCCCACTGCCGACCAATAGGAATCTAGCAACTCTGCCACCTGACGACACGAACGGCGCCACCCGTCGGACTCAGCCCCTGGGGCTTGCAGTGCTGTCCAGTGTGCTCTGCCTTGTGTCATCGTGGGCCTTGCACATGTGAGATATCTGTCAATGACGTACAAAACAAAAAAATACAAAATAAAGCATTGAGATATTTTTTTTCTGTGGAGATGGAAATGTAATTTAATATCGTGTTATAGATCTTGAAAAGTACATGCATACGCGAATCTCGTTGTAGATATTTAGATTTTTCACGTCTGTTTGTAAGCTCATCTGAGAAATTCTTGTGGAAGACAATTGAGGGTGTTGATGGTCGGTCAAAATTATCATATTATTCCAGTGAATTATTGCAATGAGCAGAATTTTATAGAAATCAAATTTGTACACCAAATAATTGAAAATATCATGTACATGTATTTAAAATATATATGGGTATGGATATGAATGGGTGTATTTGAGTATATATATATAGGTATATGTTTGTCAGTCCAAACATTTGGCGTCCAATTTGTTTTTTGTGGCCCTGTCATATCTCATATGTGACCGGCTCCACAAAAAAAGGGTATTATGTTGCAAAAAGTGAAATGGAGTTATATACATGGTTAGAAAGCCCACAACGTAAGCTTTTTTTGGTATATACTAGAGCGCCATAGCCCCTCCTGTTCTGGAGATATGATGTATTTGCATATTAATACTTCCTCAGAGTTCAAATTGCACAACTGAGAAAACAGGCTTTGAAATAGCGGGCTTTGTTGTAGAACATTAGAATGATGCCCATAAAATGGTCGTTTTTTCCACTTTGTTATCAAAATCAACATTTCTGTGAATGAAACCTAAAAACTGTAGGTATTAAATATGCCATTCATGACATAAAATGAAAATCACAGTTTGACAAAATTTCACCCTCTCAATGTTGAGCGGGTCATTACACAATAATGCTCAGAGCGACTTAATACCCTTTTTTATAGAGCCGGTCACATATAAGATTTTGTAAATTCAGGGCACATTCTGTAGTGCCTTGTATCTCCAAGAGTGATTATGTAACAGCGAAGTACCTGCCCAGCAAATACAAAATTGTTTGAAGTCAGTTTTAATGAACTACATGTATGGTAGCCTTGGTCAATGCTCTCGTCGTTATTCGTCCCGTACGCTGTCAATCGTCGGCATATATCCTCACGCGCTATGCACATGTGTAAAAATACAGCGCGAACAGGGACCTCATGCGGCCACTATTTTTTTATGCAAATCAGTTGGGGACGATCGAGAGCCTTGGTTCAATCGTCGGCAAAAGCTTATGTTTTTCTTTATTTTGCGCTGGATTTCTAGCGCACGACCTCGTATGCGAATACAGATAAGTGTAGGCGGGGCTAATATGTGGAGTGTCCAATCACACCTTGGTAAATCCGGACGTCATCAAATTATTTGCAGCTATTCGCCTTTTGCGGACGTGACAGCAACCACAGTTTTTGTGCATTGGTGCCGTGTGCAGAGACACACAACGTGTACGTGTATGGATTATGTACAGTGCCACGTTTCACTATGCAAGTTTCCACGCAACGAGCGACCAATAAGAAAACGACATTTAAGGTCAACTAAGGCTATTAACATAATGAGCACCACCCCCAAAACCTCACATGGACGATTGAACCAAGGCTCTCGATCGTCCCCAACTGATTTGCATATAAAAATAGTGGCCGCGTGAGGTCGCTGTTCGCGCTGTATATTTACATGCATGTGCATAGCGCGTGAGGATATATGCCGACGATTGACCGCGTACGGGACGAATAACGACGAGAGCATTGACCAAGGCTACATGTATGGCAAACTAAACAGGTCAGGCATAACAGGGACTACACACAAAATGTCACACTAATAAAGATTGGAACAGTCTATCATTGTGATAGATGACTTTGTAATGTGCTTTGTTTTGAAAAAAAATTCTGGGAAAAAATAAGTTTACAGCATTACTAGAGGTACCGGTACATTTTTATAGCCATTTCTCAAACCTGGGCCGTGCCCCAGCATTGGATTTGGGAACCAGCTTCCAAGAGATTGGAGGCAGTGCCAAAGCTGGAGGCTATTCGATCTTTTAGAAATGACTCATAATTAAGCATTCCACCTCATTCATCCCTATTTGTAATGCCAAAGTGACATTTTGTAGCACTTGGGGATCATTTCATTTACAGGTTTTTGTAAACAATTTTTACATTGTCCATTTTTATTCAAAGAAATATTTCCGAATATGCAAATGTACCTCATTGAAAGGTCACAACAGCATCCCAATTAGTTAAAAATATCGAACACTGCCATTTTACCAAAAGATTGTTTCTCAAAATGTCCTAATAAGACTGCCAGTTCTTTACACCGCACCAATTATGTAAATCATGTCTTAAATTTGCACTCTTACAAACAAGATAAGTTTTACATTATTTTCCTTATTGTCTGTTAGTTTCCTTATTCTCACTGTGCTATTTTTATGGGGTTATCCTATACAATAGCACTGCCAGGCTTTCTTCCCCAGCCAGAGTCGGCCATTTAATCAGTGCATGAGTCAGTCAGTCAGTCATTCGGGTGCATAAATGACTATAGGGATAATATGCTGTATGACCCTCTTTGACCAGCAAAAAAATGTTACAAATAATTTTTACAATTCCTTATTTGTTCAAGAGAATCATCTAAAACCAAGATCTGTTTGAAAAAAGTAGGCATTCTTCCTGGTATTTATAAAGCTTGAAGCTGTTTTTTTTTTAATTTTAATATTTATTTTACCAGAGTACCGTAGCTCCATCAGTTTAAAGAACTGTTCTCCCTGAAAAACCTGTGGAACGAATTTTGTTGTCCGGTGGTCCCAATCCTACCCCTCTCTCTAACCCTCCCCTAACCCCTCCTCTAACCCTCCCCTAACTCCTCCCTAACCCCTCCCCCTTACCCCTCCCCTAACCCCTCCCCCATCCCCTCCCCAACACCCCTCCCCTACCTCTCCCTAACCTCCACTAACTCCTCCCCTAACCCCTCCCCTAACCCCTCCCCTAACCCCTCCCCTAACTCTCCCCTTACCCCTCCCCTAACCCCTCCCCTAACCCTCCCCTTACCCCTCCCCTAAACCCTCCCCTTACCCCTCCCCTAACCTCTCCCCTAACCCTCCCTAACTCTTCCCCTAACCCCTCCCCTAACCTCTCCCCTAACCCCTCCCCTAACTCTCCCCTAACCCTCCCTAACCCCTCCCCTTATCCCCTCCCCTCACCTCCCCTAACCCCTCCCAACCCCTCCCCTAACCCCTCCCCTAATCCTTCCCTAACCCCTCGCCTCCCTTGTCCCATCCCCGCAACCCACACACCCTCTGCCTCTATTCAAATAGTCGTGTATTTCAACCCTAGTTAAGGTTTACTTATTTCAGCAAGTCATTCATTGATTGAAACCAAACCAATTTTTGAATAGTAGCCTGTTTCAGAACAAATAAGAGTACCGGTACAAGTCGTTCAGACATCGTTTACAAACATTCACTGCTTGGTCGGATAAGGAGGGGAAACAAATCATCACTCGATGTAAACTACTGGAAATGCAAATTTTTAATGATTTTATAGACTGAGATTGTGAGCTTTCCATGACGTCATAAATTATACTTAAGAAGTTAAAATGCAATTCAAATTTTGTACTAGATTTCTGCTGCCTTAGCTTGAATAATGAGAAAAGAATTAACAGCAACTGATGTAATTTTAAGAATATTGGAATATTTTTGTATACAAGTACTTATCACTGCATTTAATACTGTATAGTAATTATTTTTAGTTATAATTAGTATTGCAACACATGCTGGTTCGTGTGGATGATTTGAAAAACGAAATCCATCTAAATCATTTGCCTTGAGATTATATTTTGTACTCACTCTTGTGCTTTCTTTCAAATTCTTATAATTGATTAAACATTCCATTTTGTAGTACTAACGATCAATATAGCAATCGTTTTATTATATTATTGTTATATGTATTAGTATGGTATTATCATTATTCTAATGTTTTTATATGGCACGTTTGATAATTTGTCTAGTCTGCAATGAATATGAATTTAAGTAATAAATTTGGAGATAGGAACATTTTTGTATTCATTTTGTCTTCACTCGTCGTTTCTGTTTTGAAGTAGTTTAAAGGGCCATGCAAGTAATTTTATGCAATCCTTGAAAATGCACTTTTAAATTTATTATTTTCATTTTCGTTTTGCCATTTACGTGGGAATTTTCTTGCCTTTTTTGGTTTTTATGTTAATGGTAAATTTCCATATTCATGAGCAAAAGTGTAATGTCATTTCAGGCAGAAAGTTCAATGTTACAGCTATGTCAGCATCAAAAGTTGATATTTTAGTTGTAAATTTTCTTTGGTGATTCGTTGTGTCAAAACTTGGCAGTAAGCCTATATAGTATGAGCACACTTTTTCTCACAAATGTCTGCTTTTACCAAATGTTGGGGTCCTCTTTAACAGTGTCTTCCTGAAATGACATCACAGCAACATCGCCTTCAGTTGTCCAGAAAAGCATGGAAAATGTAATGTTTATTTAAAGAAGTGCGCTTTCAAAAGAATTAACTTAAAAAAGGAATGTCCAAAAAAGGGTAGCTATGGCCAAAAAAAAAAAAAATCTCCGGTTTCTGGTATTGAGCGCGCGTCGCCGTAGCCATGCGCCTCGGCAAAATGAAAAAGGTTTTTTTTCAATGAAAGATGATGTCTCAAAACCGCCAAACTCACTGGTTTGACTGGAATCCTGCTGCTGCACAATTTTAACGTTGTTTTTAGATTGGGTTATGGTCGAGAATAAGCTTTATGTGGCCTCTCTGGACTCACATATATCTGCACTAAGTTTAGTCGGGCACCATTTGCAGTCATCAGCCGACATTTGAAGCCAATATAATCAGGTAAAAAAAAAAAAACCGCGTCGCCACACCACTTTTTGGGCAAGCTCCATACCAGAAAACCGGAGACTTTTTTTTTGGCTATAGAATCACATTTTTATGGTCATACACATGGGCGTCGCCAGGATTGTGTCTATAAAAGGGGCACAGCACGTTTCCCCCCAAAAAATTCCTGTACTTTTTTCAGCATATTCTCGATTTATCATTACACTTTGAGGGTAGGCAGGGACATTTGCCCCCCCCCCATTACTTTGCACCTCTTTTTTTCCGGGGGGAGGGGGGGTGGAAGCGCTCCCTTGCCCCCCCCCCCCTCCCCGCGTCGTTCATGGTCATACACAATCGTCACTTTCATTATGTACAACATGCGAAGATCTATACACATTTTTTTAAAGAAAATACAAGTGCCACCAGTTCACCCGTCACAACCGATGCTATAACACCCTCTGTTTCGATTTTTAAAAATGAACGAAAGATTGGGGGACATTTTCCCTCAGAAAATTCTCCATTATATGCATTTGTCCCCCCCCCCCCCCCCCCGAATCCAAAACTTGCCTCGGTACTTCCCCATTACTGCAATCATAGCTGCAATATGGAACAAACAGACGGCAGCATTACTGTTTTACATGATGATGAAACCAAAGGTTCGTTTCACCATGGAGGATGGTTTAAAGGAAGTAGGCCAATATAGGCCTAGTAATGGAATGATACAAATGAACCCGCGCCCTCAGCCTGCAAGAGCCGACTTATTGTCTGGCAGCCCATAATTCGATATCTGTGGAGCATTTTTTTGTGAAGGAATTTTCGTTCGATGTCTCATTCAAAAGTGAATAACTCTTATATTTCGAAGAAAATAGCAATTGAACAAAAATTAGTATTTTTTTTCGAGGTGAAGCTCGAAAATAGCACGGTGAACAATAGTTTTCAATAGTTTTGTTACAATTTATTTTGGCCCCTTGCATTTTTTAGTAGTTTCCCAGGCAGAATCAATTGACGATATATATGCCTTATTTAAGTCTTCTCCACGAACATTCCCATTTTGTGTATTCCCCTATGTAGTTAGGGTCCTTCGATATACAGATGTTTTGTTTGTCTCTCTTCTTTCTTTCACAAGATAAAGGACCGTATATGCAGTTCTAGAAAGTTTTTTCTACATTCTTTCGTCAACTTTCTTCCCGGCTGAGTAAAAAAAAAACATAACAGAATTGAAGAAAGGGTGGATCCAGAACACAATTTTCTTCTTTTGGGAGGGGGGGGGGGGGGGGCAAAATGTTTTGGGTCCCAAAAGTGGTTCCCAAAAAATTACGGCGAGGGGTTCGGGGCCCGCTTATAAGGACTCCAAAAGATTTTGATTCTAGATGATCTATGGTGCGATCTGGGGCAATTTCTGACCAATTTAAAAATTCTTTAAGGAAAAGACACAGTGTACGCAGGGCCTGCCTTCATTGCGACGACACTTAAAACAAAACAAAAAAATTGGATTCGGTGGGTTTTTTTTTGGGGGGGGGGCGTTGCCGCCCCCCGGATCCGCCCCGAGTTGAATTGAAGATGAACCTGTGTTTGTGTCCTTTTCTTTAGTAAGTCATATTAGTTCGGTTTGGGGCAAAAAGCTGCATTTTGTTAGTTAAAGTTAAGCGTATACTTGGAGGGAATGAATGTGATGAGTGCCAGTGATCGTGTAAAAGATCAGAAGCCAGACGCTTCTGTCAAGAAAACATTTTGAGTTGCTCCTTCAGAACTTTGATGGCCAAAGACCCAAACTTACAGACACATTACAAAGAAAACACAATAATATTATTTCAGGTGTCTTAAGCACCCATCCCAGTTAGTAATCGAAATAGGACTGAGAGTTTTGCATAGCAGAGGTTTGTCGGCTTGTCAGTCAAGCAAGACCACCAAGGAGCCAGAATTCAACCCAAACTCCATATTAGTTTTTCTCATGAATTAGACAAAAATTTAGTGTTAGTTATGATACTTATGATGTAGTGCACTGAGCTGTACCTAGTGAACTCCGTATCTAGCTTGGGACCTATACTTCAACATGTCTATATGTAAAAGAGTTGTCCTATAGCTAGCAATGGTGAACATATCTGCATTGTCATTGGTGATGTGTAAGTGTAGCTAGCTGCATTTCTACATAACATTTGATCAATTGAATTGGGAAGTGTATAATATTGCTTAAACGATTTGCATGAAGGCTCGGCTGAAGTGGGTAAATGTCATTGAAGTGAGTAAATTTCATTTTTTGTAAAAACTTTTGGATTGGAATGAAGTTGAAGCATTTATAATTGCAAGTTAATAGGCCCGTTTGTGTAGATTGTATAGGCCCGTTTGTGTAGAATTCTATTGATATGGATAATTGCACAATCTTTTAAAAGAAGATTAGTCCAATTGTATCTAGTTTGATTTTAGCTTAATTTGGTTTCCAAATTTTGAGTTGTGTCGCCACTGAGAGTGATAAAGAACAAGAAGTTTTCACTAACAGAGAGATACCAGGTGAGAGGTCTGCATACTTGGCGTGTGTAAAAAGCGCCCTCTCTTGTTCACGCACGATCCGCGTACAGTTACGTGACGTACATCATGACGGATTACGTGACCGTACCGATTTATTCACATAAAAAAAGCCGTGTTGATGATTTGCGAGGCTGAACTGAACTAGATATTACTGGTCAGAAATGCCTCGCTAACTACCTCAAAACACGGCAGTATTTGATTCTGTTCGTCGTTCTCAGTGAAGAACACGAATCAAGATTCCGAAAGACACTCCACTTGATGTGTTCGTGGAAGATCAGAGGACAAATTCAATCATTTTTGGTGAGTACTACTAGTCTACCACTGAGTTGTAACGTGATGAATATCATGACTTGCGTAAAAATCACCGTTATGGCCGGCCGATCGGCGCCGCGGCGTTCGGTATACAGACTCATGATAGTACGGCAGTCATGGCAGTAGGCGTACTACATGTAGTACTTGGCTACATGATGTACCGGTATGTTGTTCTTGGGCTCTCAGCCCAGGATTCTAGAATGCAGTATCCGGACGCCACAATTTTAAAACATCAATGAAAGTTAAAGCAAAGTTGCTGTGAAAAGTTGGCACTGCAATTTTCTTTGAGAAATATTTAAATTTTTATTGAAAAATAAAACTGTTTCACCGACATTAAGTGACTAACGTTTGACTAACTAAACATGTTTAGCCACTGGTACCTACGCCCACAGAATAAAGTACAGTTGTCATTTTTTGTTGTAAATCTAGTAGTATTATTACTACTACTAGTAATAATATTAAGGCCTTTGTTTAATATTAAATGCATTCATTCCTTAAAAAAAATCAACTCACCGTTAGGAAGTGTGGTAACAAATTTTATCAAATGTTCAGTCATTTTCCGTCTTTTTGTAACTTTCCAATCCCCAAACTTTAATCCGAAGGATCAGGCTTTGCTATTCCGCCAAATCATGCCAATATATGACAATTTATTTTTAGCAAAAAAAGCAGTTCTAAAATTATTTTGGGGAAAACTCTTGATCCTCATTAAAAAGCATGAATAATGAAAGGCAAATGTAGTTATTTACAAATAATGAAATTACAAGGATGACTGCATGCAAATCTTTTGAATAGCAAAAGTTGGACATTGTTTAAACTAAAGCTATACTATAGTCCATCATTTGTAATTAGTGCATTTTGTTCGTTTGAAGCAACAAAAGTGTTCAAAATCTAATGAAGGATACTGAACAACTCACTTGATGAAGTTTCAGCTCAGCTTCAGCTTTATATTCCGAGAAAAACAAACAGCATTCTAGGATCTCAATTTCAAATCAAATTTACTGAATCATGTTTTGAATTGTTTTGAATTGCAGCTTTACGCGATGTCGCGCACTGATCCGACGAATTAACAACCGCGCGCGCCTGTGCGTCATTCCAATGCTTGTGCGCGCTGCGCCAAATAACAAAACGAACTACTAATTTAAATTTTCCTACGGTGCTTCTTAAGACGCACCGTTGGAAATGCCTTCTTTCGTTGATTTCTTCAAAATGAGAGCTTGCCAGAAAGGATAATTTCACAGGGAGTTTAGTCCCCTTACTATCTTTCAACCAAGTATGTTTTTCAACAATAATTAAGCCCGTTACTTTTTTGGATAGCTGCAAATGATGGACTCGGGCTTTAAAGGATTAGGACTATTGTGTCTACCTATTGGAATACTTTCTTTTATTTAACCTTGCCGGTCGTTTCAGTGCACACTTCACTGGGCACATTATCATTGTCCCTCAAGTTTCCGGAAAGAGTTGCATTCAACTCAAGGTTTGGTCAGATTGAAATGGTGACCTCGCTCACTCTTACAGTACACCTTACCAGGGTGGGTCACTTTTTTTAAGGTCAAATAAAGGAAAGTAGTAGGTACCATGACTGTGTAAAAAATTGTTTGTCTAAGGACTGCGCTAGTACGCCATGGTACTATTTACATGTACATGTAGTAGAATGACCAGCAAGATTTTCTTTTTTGTTGTTAAAGGTAGGCCTATAGTCCATGATTTGTAATTTGTGCATTTTGTTCGTTTGAAGCAACAAAAGTGCTCAAAATCTAAAGAAGGGCAAAGGGTGCTGAACAACTAACCTGATGAAGTTTCAGCTCAGCTTCAGCTGTATATTTCGAGCTTAGTTCTTTCAACCAAGTATGTTTTTCAACAAAAATTACGCCAGTTACTTTTTGGATAGCTGCAAATGATGGACTCTGGCTTTAAGAGTACATATGTATATTCATATGAAAGATAATTTGTACATTTTTTTTTCGTTTGAACAAAATTGCTTGCAGTACAGGTAGGGTGCATAACAGCTAGCCTGTTGGAATACACATTTTAGCGAAAACAGAGAAAACCAATGAAGCATGTTTTGTTTTGGTCTTGTACATGTTGTAAGTGGATTCTGATACAAAAGACAGGACTACAGTTTCATCTTTTTAACTGCACTCTTTCGTGTGCAATCCCTCAATAGTCCTGAGAGTAGACGTGATTACGTCACGCTTTGTTTAAATGTGCACATTCCTATGAGAGCCAGGTGGGACGCGTGGCTCTCATAGGAAAGCGCACATGTCAACAAAGCGTGACGTCGTTAATTCTTAGGTTTATTAACACTCAGAACGTGAATATTCTCTGTCAGCCGGTTTGTGTACGGTACAAAATGTATGTGGCGTCCAGGTCCTGGTGGTTGGGTAAACCTTGCAGTATTTAACGAATATCGTCAATGATTGTTTTCTTCCAAACGACGCCATTTCAGGTGGAGATATTTCACAGGGTTTTTGGGTACTAGTCCTTAACTTCAGTTAGAGCAAGATTGTTTTCCTTGTAATTTACCCATGTTCATGTGTGCCAGTTACATGATCAAAAGATTTATGCATTATGCATTTATGTTAAAATATCCAAGGACTCCTTTATCATGGTGTCTAGCTGGTTCCTGTGTGGCACTTGTATTTCCTTGAAAATTCATGGTTGGTAATGGTTGTCCTAACGGATTTCCTCCTGGACTTTTCCTGTACAGTCAAGTGCTCGTTGCAATGATTTGCAACCTTTCTTATTTTATTGAAGCAGCATTGTTAACAAAATGGCAAGGCTGGTGAAAATGGTCCAAAAACCCCAAATTCTGTTCAATTGATTCAGAATGAATCTAGTCACTAGAAAATATCAGGCTTTCAAGTACAGTCAAACCCTGATAAGAAGAGTTGTTAATACAAGGTGCTGCTTAAAACAAGCAACATTTTAAGTCCAAAGTCTTTTAAGTTTAACAGATAAGTTTTTCTAATGTTGTCTTTTTGGTTGTTTTGTTACTCTCAGGTCGGACGAAGGGAAGTAATACTTCTCGAAACGTTACCAATAAATCTACACAGCATTACGCAATGGTCTTGTTATGGTGTCTTCCTCTTTTTCTACTAATAAATATATATATATTTGTTGTTTTCCAGAATAGCCATATTGCACCCCAAATTTCGGAGTCCTCAAAGCACCATGGCACACTTGGCCATCCTCAAGTGCCCGTTCCTGTCCCGTCTGCCTCACGGCTTTGCCAAGCGGGCCGGCACGTCCCTCTTCACCTACAGTGAGAAGTGCCCCGTCATGAACCAACTCCTGGCCCGCCACGTCTCCAAGAAACAGGCCGAGGAAGACGACAGCCAGCAGGAGAACAACAACAACAACGAGCAGGAAAAAGGTGAGGCCGTTGAACAGATTACCTCTGATTTTATCCCATCAAATATGTTTCAAGTCCACGTTGGAATTTGACACTCTGCTTGCTGAGCTGAAAATTGATTGCACTTGCTACATGTACGTGTAGCTTTTTTTGTCTGAGTACGTTTTGTGAACAATTTACATTTTAGCCTTGGCCAATTTAGATTGGAAGCAATTACTGATGTGCAGTTGGTATGCATACATGTACATGTACAAACCATAGAGCTATATTAAATTACTAGAGCGCAAACACCTCATTCTTGTGCGGGGAGACGCCTTGAAGCCGCTCTGGGTGCAGACATTTTGAATTTATGAGCGTGTTTGTAGAACACAATCAAAATAGATGGATTGAATTTTAAAAGTGTACTCCAAATGCAACACGCAAGTTGAAGATACGCAAACAACTTAAGCGCGTCATGACGGTTAAAAAAACGTCACGGCGAAAGCCTCTGCAGTGGAGCAAAATGCACACGTTGCGCTGTTTGTGTAGATCAAAATAAAATGCTCATTTGCTGATCGTGCGTTTCGGTTTTGGGCGTATCGGCTTCGATGATGCACCGGTATGGAATACAAACGCAGAAATGCAAATAGCCGTACAAAAGCCGTACAAAATTTCGAGTTTTCCATAGGTTTGTGCACAAACATGGATGCGCCCATCAGGCATTACTTTGTACATCGAGTTAGCGCTCTAGTAATTTAATGTGCTCACATGTATGACATCCATCCATTTCTAAAAATTACAGCAAAAGCAAATGTTGTATTCATATTACCTTTAATTCGCTAGTGATCGCCACTTATTTGTTATTCAATATATATTTTTTATTCTTTCAGAATTGAGCGCCACAAAAATCATTGTGGGATTGATAAAAACTCTTTAGGCCTATATCATCGGTGCATATGAAGCAACTGCGTTTTCTTTCTCTATATTTTAAAGTAACATAACATAATACACGTATGCATGTGTACATGTACTGCTTAAGAGTAAAGTTGTATAAAGTGTGTTGACCGAATCTGAATGTTGCATAAATTTCAAGGTTTAGTTATCCTCAATGTAAACAACACTTTGTACCCTGAGAACTGTCTGGAAAGAATTATACCCTTTGCATACAGATGATCAAATATGGGTTGAAGGGCAAAGCAGTGGGGTGGACGGCCTTTGAGGTTGCTAAGAGTATTCAAAAGATGTGACAATCACCTAGATTTTGTTAATTTCTGTAGACCAACAAAAATTGGGTTGGGCGTGGCAACTGTTGATGACCATGCCAAAAAAACAAAAAAAATCTGCTTCCTATAGGCTGTGCATCGGGACAGGGAACCAGATTATGGGATCGGGTACCCATACCCAACTTTACAGATTACTGAGCTTCTCAGACAATGAGAAAGATAGTTTTTGAATGTCATTTGTGGGGAATTTTCAACATGAAAACTAGGGTACATGAGAAAACAACACAGGTTTCAAGTTAATGACGCTCGTGGAAGTTGCCGTTTTCACCTGAAAGCTATCTCACTCTACACACTTGTATATTGCTGCATTGTGGTAGTATTGTTGTGCGGACCTAGTTGTAAACAATCTGAATAGCAACTTCCAACATTTGAATCAAGCTTTGTATTAAAAATAGTGGTGGTTAGTATTGGATCCTCAGAAAAAAAAACTGCCCCAAAACACCAAGGTTTTGTGGTAAGGCCGGTCTTGTGTTGAGGCAAACGTGAAAGTGAATTTTGAAGTCAGCTAGGGCCAGTACTCGCCCTGCGAATTTGAACTTTGGCAAATTTCGCAGCAAAAATTGTCAAATTTGCTTCGTATTCACGTCACTTATGAACCAGCCTTTTAGTTTAAGGTGAAGTAGAGGTTTTTATGTATGTACATTGTAATACATGCATACCGGTACATGTACAGAACATGTACATGTACATGTACATACTTGCACATGTACATGTACATATGTACACGTACATATGTAGTATGCAGTAATTTATGCACAATGCATAAATGTACAATGTAGGTCAAAACCTGTGACTTGACAAAAACGTTAGTATCTTGACAATGACATGATTCAGTGATATTTAACACAAACACGTGTACACACAAATTGCACATTGCAGTGACTACAATTTGCGACCATACATGTATCGCCCAATATCCTAATGAGGAAGTAACCTGTAAATTGGTGAGGGCAAGTACCAGGAGGAAATGCCAACACCCACAAGGGTACCAGGAACTTACATGTGAAGGAAGTGTCATTCTGCGGACATGGACATGTGTTATTTCACACCTGAGTGATTCTGGATACATATTTATGTAGATTCAGATTACATGTACACAAACAAACTTTTCTATAGGTTTTCTAGCCAGAATTTTGCCTGAGTGCCTAGATTTTCTAGAAATGGAAAAAAAGGACTTATATTACATTTTTTTTCCACAAAACTATTAAAACTACATTAGTGAGACACAATTAAAGGTGCCGGTAATGTTAGTGGTACATGTACATGTACGATGTATGCTGATAAAAAGGTATATATGTGTGGTCTGTGTGCATACATGTTGTACGTTAAAAAATATGGGGCTGTATCATAAGTCCAACGCCTCATAGGTCCGACGCCTCATAACTCCGAAATTTTGGACTTATGAGGCGTCGGACTTATGAGGCATAAATTTATTTATTCCGCCTCATAGGTCCGATGCCTCGTAAGTCCGAGGCCTCATAAGTCCAACAACGGAAAAACGAGGCGTTTAATTTGTCAGACTTACGAAGCGTCGGAGCTATGAGGCGTCGGACTTATGGGCCTTTATTTGGTTAGGGGATGCGATTCTGTTGGACCTATGAGGCGTCGGACCTATGAGGCGACCCCAAAAATGTGTACATCAATGTATTTTGCCTTTGGCTTTAGCCAGACTAACATAAATGCACGTCGTTCAATGTAAGAATCTGTTCATTTGTCATGTTCATTTGTAGTTCTTTTTATGCTACAAAATGAATCCAAATTAACATTCACACATGGGCAGAAAACCGTGCAGTAGGTATAGGCTATAATTTATTGAAAGGTTAAGAGGGCAACGCCAGTGGGGTCGATTTAGAAAATAAAAAGTTAGGCCAAAAAAAAAAAAATAGTCGGTCTCTGGTCAGCGCGCGCGTTGATTTTAACCATGCGCGTCAATCATTTTTTTTCACAATGTTCTGCGGTAGCTCCAACAGCGCCCTCTTTTGCCGCACCTCCTCAATTTTTTTACCAAAGAGCACCAAGGAATGGGAAATTGCACCAAGGCAAAATGATTGAGGGCACTAAGGCAAATTATGCAGGACACCAATGTACATGAGGACACCAAAAAGGGCAAAATAGTACCCCACCTTGTCTGTATAATCCAAGCTTGAAAAAAAAAAAAAAAGCCAAAAAAAAAAAAAAAGCCGCGTCACCGCATCAATTCCGGAGCTTTGGTCTGACCAGAGACCAAGTATTTTTTTTTTTTGCCTTACATGCACAATTGAGATTTTTCCTTGAAAATGGGCTGAAAAACAGAAAATTTTGCATGCACTGGCAAAATTTTACTTGCATAGAGCCAAAGTTGCATCTGTGCATGTACGTTGTAAAACCCCACTAAATCGACTGAATGCCATGGGAATGCATATATGTACAACAACTGCACTAGTGTTCAGAATAAGGATTCACATGCACATGTACACCGGTACATATAGATGACTGTACATGTACATATTTTGCCAAAAATCACTCAGTTCCTAGGCTCAGAGGTTTTGAATCCTGTTACTTGTGTACATTGTAAACAGAGTATCCCAAATGATTTGAAAAAAAAAATACCGGTACAGTGGTTTTCCTGACAATAATGAATGTTGACATTTCACCTTGGAGATTGTGACAGACAGACTATTGTTCTTTGTATTGTGTGGATCTTGCCAGTCATGCTATCTGTGCTTGATAGTGCCTGCCTGTGCGTGGACAAATATTGTGTAAATATCCCATGGAGATTAGACTATGGTTTGAAAGGTTAACCAGTTCCAGTGGTAAAAAGTAATTGCCTACACAACTTTGCAATATAAACAGGAATTACACAATGTATGTAAATCTATCGTCTGAAACTGTGAAAGCCAATGATATGTATGTTATATGTACATGTACCTGTACACGAAACTTCCATTTTTGCAGGGTTTGCCATGTATTGTAAAAAGAGATGGGGGGGGGGTATTCAGCAGATACACTACTTAGTGTGATGCGTTTTGGCAAAATGAGATGGAACTGGGCACAGTGGAGAACAATGCGGAGAACTACATGTATGCAAACAAAAACGAATGTTGTTGATTTATTTTCAATTTTCAGATTTATTGATATTTGTAATCTTTGATATTTGTCTCCTACACATATTTTACAGAAATAGTACTGGATTAAACATCGAGCAGGATAAAAGTTGTTTCAATGGAAAAACAATTGGCAACTTTCATTCTCACGAACACAAAACTTGAAACTTTCAAGGCCTTTTAATCAGTATTTTATTTTGTTGACCTGTCGATAAATGCGAACGTACATAATTTAACCAGCCATAACTTGTCAACGGAATGTATGATTAAAGAGCAACAAACAGACTTCATTCTCTTTCCTAATACCTGCAAACCCTCATTTGGACCCCTGCCCAGTTCTGTCTCAATTTGCCAGAACGTCTCGCATATTAAAATAATTCTTTAATTGATGAATATTTTCTTTAAATGTCTAACATTATGAATGGACAGGGTGTAGAGAGAGATTCAGCAACTAATGGTAGGCAGGATATCTGACCCCGTACATGTGAGGACAGACAACACCCTTACTATAATTTTCTTAAATTGCTGACTAGTTGCCTAGACAATACTGTATTTATAACTTCCCTGTCTACCGGTACATATTTGCAGGCAGGGGACTGGGGTTGCTCGAGTATGAAAGCGCTAAACATGATGCTTTATATGCATGATTGGTCATATGGACAAAAATTACACTGGGTGTGTTCTACATATATATACATGTAACTCTGCTTGTATTTGGGTGAAAAGTATGCTAAGGGGTCCGTGCAGCAACAAAAGAGGGCGCCCTTCTACCGGTACCTAGCAACGACGTCCCATAGGGGGACACATTCATTTTGCTGGTTGACGCACGCGCACCATTCTTTGCGTGTGATGCACGTTCACCAGGGGATTTGTACTACATGTACATGTACACGCAGTGGCCGCGCTTCGCGGCAAAATATTGCAGTCAGGCAAGATGGCGTCGTTCGGTCACCTCCAACTGTATTTTCTTTGCCAGTGAGGGGGTACTTGTGAATGGAGCGGATACCGGTACACGCATGTAGGCCTGTTGTACCGGTATGACATACGTACAACGTGTACATGTACATGTACATGTACTACCAGTACGGCTGTGTTCGGAATTTACAGTTCACAAATGTACACTATAGGCCTACATGTACCATTCGTTTTACCGGTACGTAACTCCACATTCATGTATGTTCACTGTACATGTACATTGAAATTATCAGTCATTGCATCCTATTTTAGTAAAACGATACATGTGGGCAATTCTTTGGTAACGGAATTACGGAATTGTGTCACTTTGTCAAGGTTTATTCTTTCCCAAGAAAATATGTTCAATGCTAGGCAACTAATCTAAACATGGAAAGGGAGCCAAGACCCAGTAGAATTGATTGACCGCTAAAAAAAAAAAATCCCACAAGATTACCCTTTTAGGGGCGGAGCTTAATATCGGTAACGGAATTACGGACGAAGGACAAGCATATTTGAGTTCTCGCATAAATTAATAAAACTCTCTGAAGTTTTGAAATTTTAAAATTGGACACTACCTGTTATTTGTAGAGTTCAGGGGTGTTGTTAACTACAATGCAGAACAAAGTTGAAAAAATAATCACTCTTTTCATAATTTGCATTTTAATCACGGTAACGGAATTACGCCTGGGCGGTAACGGAATTACGCCATAGGTTTACATGTAATAGGTAAATGCCATACATTAACATTGAATTCAACATAAACTCATCACAATACAAATTTTAGAAGTATGTAAAATGCCACAAGGGGAAAGCTCAGTGAAAATAAGCAGATCAAAATGTAAATGTAGGCCTAAACATGTCTGGGCTTCATTTTTTAGGTCAAAGGTCAAGGTTAAATGAAAGCAGTCTGGTGATGGCTGCATTGCCTGTTAGCAATGTATATATATTTTTTAACGAAAATCAAATTTTACTATGAACAATTATTATCCTATTTCACTAGTTTATCATGGAAAATACAATAAAACTGTACTGGTTGGCATCTCTGAGCAAGGGAAGATGTTAAGTAGAAGTACAAGTACAGTCTGGTACTCAACTTTCATATACTTGTTGTGGAATATATTTTCTCTGGGTACCAGACAACGGCTTTGGCAACATATTTAAAGGGAATGTACATCATTGGATTTTGCTGTAATTTTCAGAAATGAACTATTTGAGGGGTTAGTATACATGTAATAGATCAAATATTGTTACACTGACATGTTTGAAGTTTTCCGTTCGAAAATGCTGGAAAACCAAGAAAAACAAAACTGTTCAAGTAGTCTGGTTCCTTGACTCCACTAAAGGTAAAATGGATCAATTTATAGATGCTGGAAAAGTGGAAGCCTGTAAGGGAACCAGACTAGCTGGCCTGCACCCATTCATGAACATGTAACAAATAGGTGTAGCAAACAAAATTTGGACTGGAAAGAGTGTAAAGTTGGAGCAGTAGTTGAAAAATATTTAGGTTTTTCCAACGGTGGTCGGCCGACCACCGTTGGAAATGTATACAAAAATATCATTTTTTTTGAAAATTACTTCACACCAGGTGCCATAATTTTACAGGATGCTTTAGACTGTCATTTACCAACATCCTAGTAAGGTATTTGGTAAAAACTTGGTAGTTTTATTTTCTGATGTTTGCAAATGTTGTATATTCCCTTTAAGCATCCAAACAATTAGCATTTTTTAAATAGTTAAAAAGAAAAAGTAAAAGTAAACAATATCAATGGAACCCCTGATTATTTTTAATTGTATAATAGCAATTAAAGAGGGAAATGATTTAACAAGTAATTTAGTATTTAAAGTTATTGTCCAAGGTTTACATGCAAATCTCCTATTTAATATGTCATGTACATGTACATAATCTGGGGGAAGTGTGCATACTTTGTGCATGCGTAATTCCGTTACCGTAATTCCGTTACCGTTTCGTAATTCCGTTACCACTTGGAAAAATGCCAAGAAATTACTATTTTAAAATTTTTATTTTTCATTTATGTTTATAGTAGGGTCTTTTCTCAACATACATGATTTGTAGAAAAAAAACAAGAAAATTTGTGAAATAAGTAACTTTTGCCATTTTTTCGGTAACGGAATTACGTGTTAATTTTGACATTTTTAAATGAAGGCCTACACTATATATATATATATATTTAGATTTTTAGATTTTTTTTTAATGACCCTGAGTAATGTTAGTAACTTGTAACATCATAAAATAAATCAAATCTTTTCCCTATAATTCAGAAAGTAATACATACACAAAATTTTATTTTTTTACCAAATCTGAACGTTTTTAATCATAAAATGCAAAAATCACTGTTTTTACCAGAAATATGTATTTTTTTTTAATTTCGTTTTTTGAACTGAATTCCCCATTTAATTGAGGTCTGGAAAAAGTACAAAAAAGGTTTAATATGTAAATATTTATTTTTGACATTTTTTGCTCTCCCATGGAGAATTGCCCATGTACAATATACAGTACACGTACATGTATGCTGGTACCGGTACATCAGGCATGTACACAATCCTAATTTGTGTTTAATCTACTGATGCATGACCTTAAAAAATGGAAATGTTTTTAACACTGACTATTAGTAAGCCATTGATTAAGTACAAAACTTCAAAGAATCTTTGTGCTCTGTTGTTAAGTACCGGTACATGTATTATTTGATGGGAATAAATGTATTTGAACCCTAACCATCTCAAATCCTCCAAAATCCTTTTTGCAAATTGGAGGAATTTGCAGGATTGAGGTTACATGGCAAAAGTGCGTTGCTGACTCGGATTTCAGAGGACGCACTGTGTCAAGGTCTTGGGCCGGACCTTGTGTTGTTTATGCTCTGCCGTGCATAAATTTAGGCCTATATTATACTTGAAATCCTCCACACTGCTCCAGGATGTCACTGCCTCTGCCTCAACCTATTGACAGACATAGCCGGAGGATTTTGCAGGATTCAGGCAGTGGTCACCTCTCCTTGTTCTCCATGTTTCTCAAAAAGATGACGTGTTTAGCAAATTGGCCCTAGAATTGTACTTTATGTTGTTGTTGTCTTTGTCACAAGGAAATTATACAGGGTTCCATACTTATCATGTTTTTATTTTACTCTGTGATTTTTTTTATGCAGGCTCCATACCGCCATCTCCCGGTGCCAGCAAATGCCCGTTCCTGGCCAACATGGAGGACTCTCGGAAGCTGACTCGTATCATTGACTCAGATCTCATTGATTCCTCGGATAAGGAGACAGGTACTGTACTATGTTCTCGGTCGTAAATTGGTGATCTAGAAATGTTTCACACCTGCCGTGGGAAAACAAGTCAACTCAATATAATAGCTACATATATTTTTCATGCTTCTTAGTAAAATTCTTCAAAATCTACGGACAGAGTGATTGTTTTTTTGTTGGGGGGGGGGGGGGAAGGGGATTGAATGATAAATCATTTTACTTCAGAAAGTTGTGAAAACAACAGGCACCTCATGTTCAGATGTTAGATTAAACAGTGACTTTTGACACAGCGTCTGTTTTGGCAGGGGGTGACACTTATGCAAGCGTTACTGATGCAGATACCTGCTGCGTACAGTCGGATACAAGGCCAACAATTTCACTTGCAATCATTATAAAACATACATTTATGAAAGCGTTACTGTTGCAGATATCTGCTGCGTAGAGTATACCGATACAAGGCCAACAATTTCACTTGCAACCATTATACATGTAAAATATACATTTATGCAAGCGTTACTGATGCAGATACCTGCTGCGTACAGTATACCGATACAAGGCCAACAATTTCACTTGCAACCATTATAAAACATACGGTATGTCAATGTGTGAAAAATACTAAGCAAAACAACACAAACTATGCAGCATACATGTACCATTGATTCAGGGATGTACACAAAGTCCTCTTGCAATTTTCTGGTTTCAGGCTTAGATCAAAAATTTTGCAAATAACATAAGGCCAAAAAAAAAGTCTCTGGTTTCTGGTGTGCGCGCGCGTCGCTGTAGCCATGCACGTCGGCAAAATGAAAAAGTTTTTTTTTCAATGAAAGACGAAGTCTCAAAACCGCCAAACTCACTGGTTTGACTGGAATCCTGCTGCTGCACAATTTTAACGTGTTTTTAGATGGGGTTATGATCGAGAATAAGCCTTATGTGGCCTCTCTGGTCTCCCATAATATTTGCACTAAGTTTAGTCGGGCACCATTTGCAGTCATCAGCCGACATTTGAAGCAAAAAAAAACAGGTAAAAAAAAAAAAAAGCTGCGTCGCCGCACCACTTTTTGGGCAAGCTCCATACCAGAAACCAGAGACTTTTTTGGGGGGCCTAATGGCACCATACTTGATCTTGTATTCCTCAAATTTCTGCTTACATTCCTGTGGGTTTTATTCAGTGTGATCTTTACTGACATTCAAAGGTAAAAATCTTCGGGTAAAATTGGTTAAATCGCCACAAATATTTTTTCAATCTGTCCTGATCGTATTGCAGGCTTTGCTCAATGGTCACACAAAATACAAACAAAACCAAGATGATGAAAACATCTATTTTGGGCATCTGTTTTTTACCGTTCCTTTCTCCGTTTCTGCGCCCATGTTTGTCCTGCGTTGAAATCCTATACTCTGAGCACCGAATAATAAACCTTTTACGCTCGACCCCTTTCTATGAGAGCGAAGTCTGACGTCATTCGGGACTCGCTGTGAAATGAAAATAAAAATAGTGCCTGTGGACCAACTGATCTGTTTGGAGAATTTGGAAAAACAATAATTGAATTTGGAGGCTTGAAGTGACCTGCAGTTTTGAGTGTTAACCTTTGTAATTTGATTTCTGAGTTACCTCAGGCTGAAGAAATATTGTTAAGTGCACCTACAGTAATTCGCACTGTCTAGTGGAGACTCCTATGAGAATTCCAAAATCTGTCTTATTTATTTTTGTTCGGAGCAGTCACTTGAACGGATCAATGTATTTGTGAGAGGTGTATTTTTGCAGCCAATGTCATTTGACTTTGTGGCCATGTCATTTGACGTGTCCAACATACTGTATGTACTGAGGATGCGGCTGCGTTTAATTTTGCACACGTTTAGCGGATATTTGAAATACTGTTTAACCGTTTAGCAATTTTTACAAAGGCTGATGCCTGCTTATTATGTCCGCAGATTGGCGTGATAGTAAATCAACAATGATTGACATAATAAATGGCAGGCAATTATAGAAATTAAAATCTTAACTAATTGTACCTGTTCCCTCAAATGTAATCAAGCACCGCTGGTGCTTCTAAGGTTTTGTAAATTAAATACATGTACTTCATAGGTTTTGAAAGCATCGTTAACTCACAGGAGGATCGCGTGAATGTACATGTACATGTACATGTACATTCCTTTTTATGACTCGGGTTTCGTTTAAAACATTTTGGAACATATGTAAACTGATTTTGAAATTTTCTCGTTTGAGCGTTTATACATGTAGGTGTAGCAATCTTCTCTACACCTTGAAGCACGTTTTCTACTTGCGTACGTGCATGACCAGGTTTTGCATTGATGTTAATGGGATACAAATTGCCCTTGTGCAAATTTACTTCATTGATTCCGCAGTGTGTGTAAAGCAGTGTATGACAAAATCTAGAGTTAATAGGGCAATTCCATAAAATACACCATACGTCCGACCACACGCACAAGGTCGTTAAGACGGTGGTGTACCTTAGTTTGGTCTGTAATTGTTTTCAATTATGTTCAGTATCACATTCACTTTTCCAACAGCAGCTCATCAAAGTGTCTGACATGTACGTCAAAATTTACGGAATTGCCCAATAGCTGTTTGTTTGGATTCAGTCGGGGAAAAGATGATTGGGAAATAAGCTTTTAAATAAAAAATAAAAAAATTTGATTCGCTGATGATATACATGTACATGTAATGCTCAGATGTAATGACTAACATCCAGATTAATAGTGAACATTTTTTCTTCCTCTGCAGTTGTGAAGGCTAGCCGTGCTAAATCTGATAAAGCTTCAAACAAGGATGATGCTGACTTTATCAAAGGTGTGCATTATTTTTGATCCATGATTGTTTTTATTTCAAGGGACAAACTGTCTGGGCCATACTCTGCTCAATCCTTCAAAATCCTCCGAAACTTGAAGGATTTGCCATGTCTAATAAAACAGTTTGTGTCTGAACAGTTCTTAGTATTTACAATAAGCCTCCTACTGTATAAACAGTCACAGGCAGTCAAAAATTCCATCCACTTCCCTGCCATGCCTTTTACACAGGCTAGTCAAACAGTCAGATCGTATCTTAAGCAAGCACTCCGACTAGTCAAATTCAGTCAACAGACAAAAGACGAAAACTGGTGGCAAAGCTGTCTTATCAATCACCTACAGTCAAAGCGCATATGTGTCAAGTATAAACAGTCACAGCCAGTCAATCCTGCTCTATGTGAGCTGGGAACTCTTAACTGTTGAAAACAGTCACTTCATTAATTTTGATTGTAAGGGCAACTTGGCACAGCATGTACGTTTGCATAGGAGGGATAAACAAAACGTACAATTATAGAATTTTTTTTTCCCCTCACTACTTTCCCAACAGACAATGGAACTTTTGACTACACCAAGTTCCTCCACGACAAGGTGGCGGCCAAGAAACGAGACCACACCTACCGCATCTTCAAGAAGGTGAACCGCATGGCAGAGGCTTTCCCGTACGCTGAGGAGTACTCCCAACACGACGGAGAGGAGAGCCAGCCTATATCCATCTGGTGTAGTAATGACTACCTGGGCATGAGCAGGCATCCTAAGGTCACCCAGGCTGTCATGTGAGTTGTGGAAGGTTTTGGTTCATCTGGGGCAATGCTTCTACTTGGAGGGGGAGTCTAGAGGGGCTGCAGGGGGCGGGGCTGTAGGAGGGGTATATAGGCCTTCCCTTTTCATCAAGTGTAGTAATGGCTACCTGGGCATGAGCAGGCATCCTAAGGTCACCCAGGCTGTCATGTGAGTTGTGGAAGGTTTTGGTTCATCTGGGTCAATGGTTCTACTTGGAGGGGGAAGGGTAGAGGGGCTGTAGGGGGCGGGGGCTGTAGGAGGGGTATGTACATGCATAGGTCCCTCTTTTCATCGAGTGTACTAGTAATGACTTTAGAAGGTTGGGCAGTGTTAGGTGTGATTTTACTCGAAGGGAGTGGGAGGGGGGGGGGGGTAGAGTAGAGGGACAGAGAGGGCTGGGACGTGGGCGGGGGAGTGGTTTAGGTCCCCTATCCCCATCTGCTGTAGTAACAACTACTACGTGAGCAGGCATCCTAAGGTCACCCAGGCTGTCATGCGAGTTATGGAAGGCGCTTGGCCTTGGGGTAGTGCTAGTTGTGGTTCCACTTGGGAATGGAGGGGAAGGGTAGAGGGATAGAGAAGGATGGGAATTGGAGGATGTGTGGTTTATTCCCCAACCTCCATCTGGTGTAGTAACAGCTACATGGGAGGAGGCATTCTAAGTTTACTGAGGGGGTCATGTGAGTCTTGAGAGTTGCTTGGTCTTGCAGCAATGTTAGGTGTGATCCTACTTTACCTTACATGTAGGGGTGGGGTCAGTGGGGTTGCAAGGGGCTTTGCTCATGAACAGTACATGCATACATTGTGTACGTGGCAATTTGTGACAATTTCATGTGTGCTTCATGGGAGGGACACAGTCAATACGCATACTGGTAAAACACAACCACACGGTTTTGTCCAAACTTTTCTCAGCATTTTTTGACAGTTTCAATTTTTCCCTTGCTTCAAAATTTACACAAAAACATTAATTTTTGTTTTTTATATAGAATTTTTCAACAACGAAAAAAGGATTTTTTTTTTCTTGAATGGATTCTGTAAGATTAAGTTCTTTTGTCGGTGCCCAGTATTCTGTTATATTCGTAACAAAAGCTGTTTCCCATATTTCCTTTCCCTTTAAAAAAAAATGAAAATTATTGAAGCATCGGCCTTGCAGAGCTAGAGTTACTGATTTGAAATTCATGCATACCAGCAGTTACATGTACATTTCATCAGACTTGTTGACCTTCAGTACTCCACGTTTTTACCGCTCATAAACCAGGATTGGATTCTCCTTTCAATTATTCATTGTGGATCAATATGGCTTCCGGTGTTTGAACCACTGCAAACATTTTTTTTCAAGTACATGTGAAGATAAATCTACTTCATTGTGGAAGATAATAAATTTATAATGAATACGTGGTCATACGTGCAATATGGTGGAAAACATTAACATATGGTCATTTGAGAAACCAAAAAATCAACTTATCGGCCTTTCAATGCTGGATAAACTGCACACTTAAATGGACATATGTTTCGTGCGTATGTGTGTTATTATTGTAGATTTATCATTAAATAAAAAAGCTGCCAATATGCTTTTAAAGGAGAAACTGCAGAGATTGACATACGTTTATATTTTGAACCACACTTGGAAAGATGCCAGGGCTTAAATTTGCAGAGATACATGTATAACCCAAATTTGTTTGTTTTTATTTTCTCGCTCAAGTGAATTCACTGAAAATTTGAGACTTTGTTTGCACACCGTCAATCAATGTACAATGAGAACAAGTGCAGCCAATGTGAAATAAAGTCTGTAGTTATAAGGTTTAATTATTTTCAGAGATAACTGCGATTTAATAACGAAGACCCAATCGCTGTATTTACTATACGCTTGACTGTACCTAATATAAGTGTCCATATGGAAGAATATTGTTTACATAGATGTGCATTAACCCGGATAGCACTCATACAAATGTGAAAGAAGTTGTTTTCTCTGCAAACAGTTTTGCAAAAAGCAAGTATTTTTAGATTGCAGACATGTACAGTGTACACAGAGAGAAAAAAAGACATTTTTTGTTGGAATGAATTTAAGCATACAAAAATGTACATGTGCTATAATGTATGTATTATTGCCCTATTTGAGATTCACTGTGGCTAAAAAACACCAAACTAATTTGAAAATTCAGAGAAGTGTTATTTCAATGATTTTTTTACTCTGTGACAGTACGGATAATCAAACGGTTTTTGTGGAGTGGGTTAAAAGATTGTCTTTTTAAGATCATGCCAGTTTGTAGCTTTCTGTCTATGTGATTAAATAATGTTAGAATTGTGTCCTTGGAATCTTCTGTTCATTACGATTCCGTTCTACCCATTCAGGGAAGCCGTCAAGAAGCACGGCACCGGAGCCGGCGGGACACGTAATATATCAGGCAACTCAACCTACCACGAGCAGTTGGAAGCCTCCATAGCCAAACTACACCAGAAGGAGGCCGGTCTGCTCTTCACTTCCTGCTATGTGGCCAATGATTCAACTCTGTACACTCTAGCCAAGAGTCTTCCAGGTACCAGACTCGAGTCACTCATCCTAACAGACTGTTCTGTCAAAATCAGACTTTTCTGGGCATAAGCTCGAAAATGATATTTTTACATAATGTTAACATATGTTCTTTTTCCTTTTAATAGGTGGTTTAATTTTTGAAACCGGTCATTCCTGGGCAGAGTTATGCTATTTTGAAGTTCATTGTGTCGAAAAGTAGAAAACGGAGAAAATGGCCACGAACGTCACAAAACAGTTATTTCTTAATAACTGATATAACTTATCAAAATCATCAAAAATAGTATATGTAGAGTTCAAATTAGGGTTTCAAACTTTTATAATATATTTTAGACATGTTCAGGATACAAATATGCAAAAATTTGAAAATCGATAAAAATCACCCCCACAGCGCTTTTTGGCCCTGTCTCAATTTCAACCTCTGCCCAGAAGCGTCTGCTTTTGACAGAACAGGTCACAAATTAGAAGCCATTTGTAAAGTAGAACCGGGATCATGCTCAGTAGTACGCAAGTACTCCATACCCCTCTGTCCAGTAGGGTTACTAGCCTTGGTCAAGGCGCTAGTTGTTATTCATCCGGCCGTCGCGCGGTAAACGATATCCTCGCTAGCGCTATGCATGCAGTGCAGTAAAAATACAGCGCGAACAGCAACCTCACGCGGCCGCTATTTTTATGCAAATCAGTTGGACCCAATCTACTAATTTGCATGAAAAATGGTGGCCGCTTGAGTTCGCTGTTCGCGCTGTATTTTTACTGCACTGCATGCACAGCGCTAGCGAGGATATCGTTTACCGCGCTATGGCCGGGATGAATAACAACTAGCGCCTTGACCAAGGCTATAGGGTTACCAAAAGGCGCGTGCCTCTCGCCTCTCTAACAACTTGTGTTAGGGCTCATTCTTTAAATACTGAGCAGAATTTTAAGCCTACTGGTATGCAGGTTCCTGCAATTTTGCTGAAAGTTACTTAACTTCACTTTCGAATAAAAAATGTTAATTCTCCTCTTGATCTCAGAAGTTGACAATATTTGCTGTAAGAAATGTTTGAAAAAGTAATTCTTGATGGTCAGATTAAGAAGCCGAGCCTGAATAATATGATTTCTGTCTTTGCCTCATATAGGTTGTACCATATACTCGGACTCCGGCAACCACGCCTCCATGATCCAAGGTATACGCAACAGCGGCGTGCCCAGGTTTATATTCAGGCACAACGACGCAGCTCACCTAGAGGAGTTGCTGCAGAAATCAGATCGCTCTAAACCCAAGATAGTCGCCTTTGAGACTGTGCATTCCATGACTGGTGAGTGGAGTGTACTTTCAAAAACTTACCTACCCCCACCCCCTTACCCCCTACCCTCCCCTCTACCTACCCCCTCCCTCCCCCCACACTTTCCTACCCCCTACCCACCCACCCCCACCCTCGACTTTTCCTCATGCAGTGTTGCCAAACCTGTTTATTGACCAGCTCCAAATTCATATTAACCGTTCGTAATGTAGTCTGTATCAAAACCATGTGAGCCATTTTAGTGTCGCGACATAGTCCAAAAGTCCATGAAAAATATGGCCTCCGGCTGCTGGGTACAAATTTTATTGTCGCGAGATTCAGTCCACAAGTCAATTTAAAAAGGGTAGTGTCCAGAAATTGGGTACAAATTTGGGAGAAGGATTCCCTGATATGGCGCACTTGGCCACATTTCAGAAGTTGTTAACATTAGGTGTATTTCTGTAAAGTTGACAAATTATGATAAACATGCATCATCTGCACTCTTGTATACAATTATTTGTCTGAAAATCATTTTTTTTTTTTTTTTGGGGGGGGCAAATTTGAAGGGTTCACGTGACTGTTCTGGACCAATGAATTAACAGTGTCCAACACGTATGACTGTTCGGGGCCCATATGAAAGTGCATAAATCCAAGACGTACTATTTCCGATTTTGAATATGACTATTAAAAATTGACTTATTTTCTTCAATGATTTTCAGGTGACGTCTCACCCTTGAAGGAGCTGTGTGACGTGGCCCATCGCTATGGAGCCATCACCTTCGTGGATGAAGTCCATGCCGTGGGCTTGTATGGAGATCACGGTGCTGGGGTAGGAGAACGCGAGGGCTGCCTGGACGATATAGATATCATATCTGGAACACTGGGTGGGTTCAACATGTCGTTTTGCATTCCATATTCACATAAAGCAAAGCTGCTTGTTTACAATTTAAAACCTAGGGCCCTAATTCGTGGCTCTGCAAAAAATCCCTGCTTACTGCAGAAGAGAATTCAGCGCTTACAGTAAGCATATTTCACAGGTTAGCGAGGGATTTAAAGGATTGTGTGCTTACAGGGTAAGCACAGAATGTTGTTGCTAGTGCTTTAACCCTAACAGAACTCAACCTATCAAAGCCCAACAGCATATTTGTTGGAATCTGTCGGGATGGGTACAGTACCCCTAAACTGACAGTCTTTTACATTGGGTTGGCACACCTCCAGAATCAGTCAGACATATGTGTGTGCAGTTTCCCATATGGTGTTGGAATTTGCCAGGATGGGTATGGTTCTTAGTAAATCAAGTTAGGGTTAAGTACAGAATGGTGATCGAGCCCAGTTTTTTTATGTGTGTGTGAAAAGAAGTTTCTTCATTATTCTACACAATGGGCCAGATTGAGCCTATTCTTGGTATTACAGGTATCATCATATACATTGTTCTTCATGTATTAGTTATCCCACGAGTGCGAGTCTCCCCCAACTCCCACTTCCTAACTGTTAAGGGGGTACCTGTGCACTAAGCCTACATGTATTTATTTTCAAGTAAAGTTGAATTCTTGATCCTGATTGGGCGATCCATGGCAACAAGCCGTGCTACAAATAACCATGTAGCACAGCCACGGTCAATACGGCACTCCGCGTATTGCGCTAATCTAAGATACGCGCGCCATTCTGTACAGCAGGCACGTGTAATATGATAACCGCTGAAACTTGTCTGTACAGCATGTCCCACGTTAACTGTGCGTCAAGTGTGCTTGAAGATAAATTCGCTGGACGGGACTCTCGAAGGTATTCAAAAAGCGCCCTCTCATGGTCATGCACGGAGCCCATACTGCCTGACTCTCTTCACTGGTTCACACCCAGTTTAACTTGTAAAGTTCAGTCAGTGAGTCGGGGAGTCAGTCAGTCAGCCAGTGAGATTGGACAAGGCTGCCAATGTAATGATGGAATCCCCTGTTTTTGTTGTCGATATCAGGTAAAGCCTATGGTATGATAGGTGGCTACATCGCGGGTGACTCGGACCTGATTGACATGGTGCGTAGCTACGCTGCTGGCTTCATCTTCACTACAGCACTGCCTCCTATGATCCTTGCTGGGGCCATTGCGTCTATAGATGTAAGTTGTCTTGCTGTGTTGTCGGCGTGTCCTTTTTCGTAGTCCAACAAGTGTTGTAGTCATTGAGCCTGGATCAAAAGGCGTATAAAAGCAAATGAACCTGAGTTCTGGTTCCTTCAACTTCAATGTTGAGTTTTTTTTGTTTCATTTTTTTTCTGTTGTCTGTTTTTTTTCCTCCAGGTTCTTAGCAGCGAGGAAGGACGTACTTTACGCATTCGTCACCAGAAATCAGTCAAAGAGCTGCATCACAAACTCAAACAAGCTGGCCTGCCCGTCATTGATTGCCCTAGCCACATCATTCCCATTCATGTAGGTCAACTTCTTCTCTTCTACATGTATTTGTTTAGTTTTAAAGGGAATATACATCATTTGCTTTTGCTGTAATTTTCAGAAATGGATGGAATTGGGGGGTTGGAAATATATAGCAAATATAGTTACACTGACTTTTTGAGGTTTTGGGTTCTAAACTGCTATAAAAACCAAGAAAACGATTATTTTCCTGTAGTCTGGTTCCCTGACTCCATATAAGAAGAAACAGAGCAGTTTACATACATTAGGGAATTGTAAGGTCAGGGAACCAGTCTAGCTGGCTTGTACCCGTTCATAGGTTTGTAATCGATTGCAAACAAGTGCGATGGTCAATTGGGGCCAGTATTTGAAAAAAGCCAGTTGTTTCCACGATCGGCCGATCAGCGTTGGAAATTGATACAAAAATACCACTTTTCTTGAAAATGACAGTATACCAGGTGCCATGATTTTACAGGATGCTTTACACTGTCATTCACTAACAGTCCAGCAAGGTATTTCAAAATGATTTGGTAGTTTTATTTTTTGATGTTTGCAAATGTTGTATTTTCCCTTTAAGAAAATATGCAGTAGGGGTCCCATATTGGCCAAAACCTTTCTTTATTGTGTTGGAATAGCCATTGATCCTAACCTCCCCAAATCCTCCAAAAGCCTCTTTGCAAAATGGAGGATTTTGCAGGATTGAGGCTACATGGCAAAAAATGTGTGGCTGATTTTGTAAGATGCACTACTCAAGGTCTTAGGCCGGACCTTGTGTTGTTTATGCAGAGATGCCATTTTAACCTGTTTTAACCTGAATTCAGGGTTGTTTTTATGCCCCGCGGCGAAGCCGAAGGGGCATACTGTTTCCGCCTTGTCCTTCCGTGGGTGGGTGGGTGGGTGTGTGGGTGTGTGTGTGAGCTTGTCTTACATACGCAGTGTGGACTTCCGAACAAAAGACGTCCACATAATGTAGGTAGCACCGACGTTGTGTGGACTTACCCCACGTCCACACAGTGTTTCCCCATTTCTGGAAAACAGGTTTAGAGGCATTTTTGGGTTAGGTTTATCCGTAGCAGAATGAAGAGAAACACTAAAGGGAATCATAGAAAAAAAATTGGGTTGAAAGAGTTTTCACAGTTTGAGAAAAATGATTTTTTTCACTGGTTTTTCTTAACTACACGAAAGCAATGGAAAGTCCACACTAGTCATGTGAAACAAGTATGTGGGTGGGTGGGTGGGTGTGTGGGTGTGTGTGTCCGGACAAATCTTGTCAGCACGATAACTTGAGAAATACTTAACATATGAACTTCAAATTTGGTCTGTGTATTGTTCTTGGTAATCCTAAGAGGCCTATTGCATTTGGGGCCGAAAGGTCAAGGGTCAAGGTCACAGTGGCTGAAACAATAGAAATTTTGTCAGCGCGATAACTTGAGAAATACTTTACATATGAACTTCAAATTTGGTTTGTGGATTGTCCTTGGCAATCCTGAGAAGCCTTTTGCATTTGGGGCCGAAAGGTCAAGGGTCAAGGTCACAGTGGCTAAAACAAAAGAAATTTTGTCAGCGTGATAACTTGAGATATACTTTACATATGAACTTCAAATTTGGTTTGTGGATTGTCCTTGCAATCCTAAGAGGCCTATTGCATTTGGGGCCGAAAGGTCAAGGGTCAAGGTCACAGTGGCTGAAACAATAGAAATTTTGTCAACGCGATAACTTGAGAAATACTTTACATATGAACTTCAAATTTGGTTTGTGGATTGTCCTTGGCAATCCTAAGAGGCCTAATGCATTTGGGGCCGAAAGGTCAAGGGTCAAGGTCACAGTGGCTGAAACAATAGAAATTTTGTCAGCGTGATAACTTGAGATATACTTTACATATGAACTTCAAATTTGGTTTGTGGATTGTCCTTGGCAATCCTAAGAAGCCTATTGCATTTGGGGTCGAAAGGTCAAGGGTCAAGGTCACAGTGGCTAAAACAAAAGAAATTTTGTCAGCGCGATAACTTGAGAAATACTTTACATATGAATTTCAAATTTGGTTTGTGTATTGTTCTTGGTAATCCTAAGAAGCCTATTGCATTTGGGGCCGAAAGGTCAAGGGTCAAGGTCACAGTGGCTGAAACAATAGAAATTTTGTCAGCGCGATAACTTGAGAAATACTTTACATATGAACTTCAAATTTGGTTTGTGGATTGTCCTTGGTAATCCTAAGAAGCCTTTTGCATTTGGGGCCAAAAGGTCAAGGGTCAAGGTCACAGTGGCTAAAACAATCGAAATCTTGTATTTATTCTGAGATCATAGGGATTAGGGATTAATTCATATAAAACCTACAGAAGACACTAATGCTGTCAATGAACATTCCATGTGACCAAGGTACATGTAAGTTGATGTTAAAAGAGTGGTGTTATGTCATGGGAACAGTCACGGTTGCGGGGCATTTGTGTTTGTAAACACACCTGACTTGTTTTTAAAAGTGACTAATTAAAAGTGCTGGATTTGGTCTGAAACATCCAGAAAAAAAATTTGTAAAAGGGGGTAAGGGTAGTTTCAGGTTTTTTTAGTAGCTTTTCAGGCTTTTTATTGATATATGGGTGGCATCTCTGTTTATGTGATTTGTGATTGCTGGAGGATTTTGCAGGATTGAGGCGGTGGTCACCTGTCCAAGGACCACATTCAAGAAGTAAGAGATGGTATTGGAGGATTGAGGCTGTACGCAATTTTTACATGGAGCCAGTTTGCAGGATTGAGGTTGCATCCGAGCAAAAATGGCTCGGGAGTTAGGGTTAAACAAAGTACCATTGGTAGGTTTAATATCCATGGAAAGGGTCCATGAACCATTTTGACAATAATATTCACTGTAAAACTGTTAAGGTTTTTAAGTTCTGGAAAGCGACATTTTCCTGATAAATGAGGTCGTGGGTTCGAGTCCCACCTGAGTAGAGTAGGTTTGGGATTTTTTCTTGTAAGCCCTCAGACAGTATACAAATATTGAGTGGATCAGCGTGGAATGGGAGGAATATTGTCGCAAGGTAAAATCTTGACTTTTCCATTTCATGAGGCGAAGCCAAGTGAACTGGAAAAGTCCAGATTTTACCGAGCGATAATATTCCTTCCATTTCACAATTTAAATCCACTCAATAGGCCTATTTGTTTGATATAACTGACATATAGATCCTTGTCATTTGATATATTTGAACTTTTATTCAATACAAAATTGGTGAAATATGTATTTCTCTCTTCCAAACCACCCCTTTACGAAAATGTTTGAACCCAACGCTGTGGCACTGGCTCTTTGGATCAATACGCGCTACGCGCAACGCTGAATGCGCACACCAGCATGCATTTGCACACAAATATCGCGTCATGGAACAAGAACGATCCTAACTGTTCAATAGTTTTTCCCATTCCCCCATGGGCGGATAGTACTTTTCGAGCCCCGGCGTGAATGGCAGTAATAACGAATGACACGTGATGTGAGTTCCACCAATCAAATGACAAGGATCTGTATGTCGGTTATATAACACTTAATATACAGTGCGTATGAAATTATGTTGGTTTAGAGTAAAAACAAACAACAATAAGCAAGAGTATGACTTTACCATTGCAGGTCGGCGACTCCGAGACCAGTACCAAGGTGGCCAACCACTTGCTGGTCAAGTACGGCATGTACGTTCAGGCCATCAACCCGCCCACCGTGGCCCCCGGGGAGGAACGCCTACGCATCGCGCCCACCCCCTTCCACACCCCGGACATGATGGACCAATTCGTCAGTTCCTTGGTGGTGGCCTGGACCGAGTGTGGGCTGACCCTGGAACCAGAGATTCGCCCACTGGAACTGGAACAGCTCACCCTCGGACCAGAACAACACCTGCTGGAACCGGAGCGGCGCCAACCGGAACCGAAGCCGAGCCTGGAATGTAGGTTCTGCAAGGATTTCAGGCCGTTCGACATGCTGTCTCATCTTGAGCGCGAGTTCTTCTTGAACGGGATCATGAAGCCGGCGGTCCGGGTATCCATCGCTGAATGATGAAGGCCATCTAAGGCTGACCTTAAAAGTGCAGGCTAAGTGCAGTAAATAAACTGCCATAGACCCCAATGATAAATGGCCCACTTCAGGAATTCAGAAAAAAATACTCACAATTCTCCAAGGTGTTTGAGTCACACATCAAATGAAAGCTTACGTCATCATCTTTCAATGTCTTTAAAAAAAAAATTGGGGGGGGGGGTAATCTGATGACTTTTGGGAGAAATTTCCATTCGAAGATGATCACCCCTTAACATTGTCCAAAAGCCCATCGCCATTTTGAAAAAAGGTGCCTACACTCCATTGCAAAATAGAGCGCTGTTAGGGCTCCAATTTCATTTTACAGGGATACAAAATCAAGTTCCTGTGCACGGCCTCCACCCTTCTTTTTTTTACAAACCCTCAAGTTCATGGCCCCACAATAAGCTCACATACTGAAGAATTTGAGGGCATACAAGTAGTGATTTGGCCAGTGTAGGCACTTTCGGACCGATTTACTGGCCTGCACCCTTCAGGCTTACGACCTATGACCTCAGGTGTTGTAAATCCTGAAGTCCATGTCCGAGCTGGAAAAATTTACTGACAAAATAAATTGGTAATGAAGGAATTAAGCCTGAGAAACTAGATTTACATGTAGTGGTCCAAGTACGTGTACATGGGTTTTTGATATGTGGGTAAAAATTGAGTTTGGCTAAAGAGATATTCTGAACATTTACAAACATTTGTGACCTGCCATAGCATAATGAGGAATAACCCCCACCTTTGACTTTTCACGTTATGCACATCATATTAAAGCGCAAATCGTTGGCTTTCCAATGGTACCAGATTAATTTCTGTAGCTTTATATATTCCAAAGATATACCGTAGGAACTTCAACAGTGTCCTGCCAAGTTTCGCTAACCTCATTTCGAGAAAAACGGCTTTGAAAAAAAAACATGCATTGCGCCGCCAACGGCAGTGAAAAACTTTCCTTATTTTTTGCACTTTTTGTGTGTATTTTTGTCCTAACAAAAATGAATACTGTGAATCTTGGATACCTTGGCTAGTCAAAAATACAACACAATCAATATCGATTTTGACATGATTTTTCTAGTATATCCAACTTCAGGTGTCGGTTACTCAAAACAGGGTTTTGGGGGACATTCCTCATTTTGCCTCAGTAGGTCGCATTTTTCAAAAGGACACAGACTCACGATGACATGTCTGGCTTATTGTAAGCTTTGTGACTATCCCACACATTTTATGTACTCAGCCAAGCTAGATTTGAATCATATTATACAAATATTGAGTGGCTCAGCGTGGAATGGGAGGAATATTATCACAAGGTAAAATCTGGACTTCTCCACTGGAAAAAGTCCAGATTTTACCGAGCGATAATATTCCTCCCATTTCACAATTTAAAGCCACTCAATATTTGTTTTATATAACTGACATAAAGATCCTTGTCATTTGATATATTTGAACTTTAATTTCAACACAAAATTGGTGAAAAATGTATTTCTCTCTTCCAAACCACCCCTTCACGGAAATGTTTGAACCCGACGCTGCAGCGCGGACTCTTTGGAACAATATGCTGAACGCGCACACCAGCATGCATTTGCACACAAATACCGCGTCATGGAACAAGACTGATCCTAACTGTTCAATAGTATTTCCCATTCCACATGGGCGGATAGTACTTTTTGAGCCCCGGCTTGAATGGCAGTAATAACGAATGACATGTGATGTGAGTTCCACCAATCAAATGACAAGGATCTGTATGTCGGTTATATAATTTACAATGTTATAATCAAGTATATTTGGAGACTCTGAAAAGGCTTCACTACGTGGCAACCTTATCTTAAAAAGCTGTAGTCCATCATACTTCTTATACTGACCAAATCACTCAGCCATTAAAAGTGCTGCCTTACTTTTCCAGAATGAATTCAGAAACTCACAAAGTTTTTATTCATTAAACTTAAATAACAAATGGAAAATTCCTGGTGTTATTCAACATCATACATGAATTTATCATTGGTAAACTCTAAATTTGTCAAATTTTCTTGAATACACAGACATTTTTTTTTAGTTGAATACTCAGAATATAGGCCACATACAGTGAAGAAATGTACTCGCTGATCAAACGCATTTCCGACAGAAAAAAAGCATTTTAAGGAAACTAATCAAATGTCTTTTTAAAAGCAACTGAGCAACACGTAGCATAGTTGTTAGTCTTCGGGTTGAACTGAAGAACAAAAAAACACTGTATCAACCCCTGCCTCCCAAAACCCTATCCAAAAAAAAGGAAAAAAAGAAAGAAATAGGTCAGGTCATTACAATTACATTACAATTAATTATTGTAAACCATATGTGTTACACTTATTTGCTGCACCAGTTTGTGTTTTATGTATCGTAGTTTGAGTTTGTCCGAATAAGTATAAAAATAGAAAAGTTATATTGTAATTAAGGTAACGTATCTTTCGAAAAAATCAGTTATATTTTTATTGATAAATTTAAAATACTAGTTATGTATATACTAAGCAGAAACAAAAGGTAACCTGGGTTTAAAGTAGGTGTTTTATATATTCTTCTTCAGTAATTATATGAATGTATTGTTGAAATATTGAAAGTTAATAGGTACTTTATTGTTTACTTTTTTAAAAAAGGCCACATTTTGATTACTTTGGTGGACATTTTAATTAGAAATATCGAACCCTGTAATTGTATATCAAATTTCTTGTATTTTGCTGATTATCTATGTAGTTATCTACGGTTATCTACGTTATCTATGTAGTCGGCATTTAGTACTGGTAGATGCTGCTATACATGTTTTTTTCGTGGTTGACTGTAGATTAGGGCTTGACTTTTGCTTAAGACTGTGGCTTGGGAAGACATTACTCATTAGCGTCATAAGAATTAGTACTAGTTCATGGCTCATCAAATATGTAGTATTGGCTGCAGCTTATTCATATACGACTGCTTGAACTGGTCACTGGTGCTGAGTCCGTAGCCACAAATGAAGAAACGTACATGTATATTCCACTGTGATATTATTAAAATCAGATTTATTAATAGATATACATGTAAAGAATAGTATTTTTATTTGAATAAAGTTGGAGTTGAATTCTGACCAATAAATGGAAATTGTAGCGTTGAAAAAAGGGTGGAAAATGAACTTTTTGCAGGTGTTTTTTGTTTGTGGGATATCGGGTGGGTACTCGGCCACTGAAAGATAAAAATAGATAAACTCAAATTTGGTTGGAAATTTGGTAGCATTGAAGAAGTTATGAGCTTTGTAATAAATCAAAAGTTGAAGAGGCCTGAGATATTTCGTCACTAGAAGAAATTTATCGGGCCACTCTTATTTTTGTATTTATTTCAGTTCTGAGCAGTTTGCAGCAGTCTTATTATTTTTCAGCTTTATTAAGAGACATACGGTTGCACTTCAATACGAGGCAAGCCTGGTAGGACTGATCCCAGACCACACAAATTACATATTGGCTGGTTCCCAGTCCATCCTCTGCGTATTTGGAATGATCCGAATTGATTGGGAGCGGGGATTAGTCTGGAGACCATCGCAAGTTCAATTGGAACGTATTTGCGCGCCGACGACAACGCCAGACGCTCGCGCGCATAGACCCTATGGCTTATGTGCACATTCAGGATCATAGATCTGTGTTCAGGATAAATAAGTCGGGCTGAATTTTGTGCACATTTAGTCGTGCGTACTTGGCGCGCGAGCCAGTACAGTACGCACACGCGGTGTCCCGTCCAAGGGGGTCTCAGTAAAAACGCCTTCTTTTGTTGGCACACAGAGCTCATTTAATGGACATCTTTTCATGCATCTGGTGTAAACAATGGGCCGGATCTAGTCCATTCATTGGCATTAAATGGTTATCCTATATGATAGCACTGCCCGGCTCACAAGTGACAGTGAGTGAATCGGGTACAAAGACCACAGCCCTTTGGGACCAACAAACAATTTCAGTTGGAGACCATGCTTTTTTCAGTACAAATTTGCAACAAATATATATGTGCTCTTTCTATTAGTAAATTTCTGATTGCTTTAACCCTAAAGGGGGGGGGGGAGGGGGCAGAATGTGCTCCACCCCCTCAACTTTCTTCGCGATAGGCTTGAAAAGGTTTTTTTTTTTTGCAACCCGAGCTTTTATGACTTTTTAGCCTCGAGCCTTGCACATCTTTTGATACCAAAACAAGCCACGGGTTGCCGCGCAGCCCCCCCCCCCCAGCTGAGATATGGTAAAAATAACACGGGCCTTTTAGGGTCAAAAGGCATATAGGAGCACTTTCATTTCTACCAAAAGTAACCTACAAAATGATCAACAAGCGTACTTGGATTACAGATTATACAATGTACTGGTGCTAAATCGTGTTTCGTGATCAAAAGGTTGTGCGTAATTTTCACGTTTTCTCAAGAAGTGTTAATATCCACCGAGTTGAAACTTCAACAGGTTAAGTTTTGAACCTTATTCTTTGGATTTTGAGTGGTATTATTATCAGAAACACACACAATCCATGAAAAGCAAACCCTGTATGCCTTGTAGAGGACACTCCCGCAGCTGATAAACAACTGAAATAAGATAAATACAATAGTAAAGGTAAAATACGTAAAAAGTAAACAACTAAACTGTCTCGACAATTTCACATTATTGTTTCAGTTTATTACTGATGGCAATTTAAGATTCAAATACATTGGTAACTAGTAAGAACAAATATTTTTTGGAAGCATCGGAGATTCCCTGAATGTTACAGAGAGCAAAGTACTTCTAGTAAAATAACTAAGAATTAAAATTTATAATGGGTGGGTTCTACTTCAAAATTCAACAAAATTTAAGCGTATGTAAAATTACTCCTAGACTCTGCGTATGCAAGCCACAGTGCATCTTTCATCTTTCTTCCTTTTGCAAGGAAACAAAAACATTTTTCCTCAGATAGGCCTATTTACCCTCTGAGGATTAAGTCAATGTTAAATCCAATGTTTAGGGGTTGCACAAACTAAGAGAGAATAAAAATTACCCCCCCCCCCGAGAAATCAAAGATAAATTCATTTGTTCCAATCAAAGTAGTTTTTAAACGTTACTTTAGGAGTGGCCTATACCCTTTGAGATTTAAATTTGAAAAACATCTGGCACACTGACTTGCTCAGAACGATTGGCACCTTTTAAATTTGAATTCTTCAGACCAAAGACACTGTTGCTAATCACATAATTCGGGGCAAGCTCTTGCATAGCTACGTAAGAGACGCTCAGCATCAATACATTGTTCACAATGGGTGAGAATGGCACAAAGACACCAGACTATGACGGAGCTAGGGTTTGCTAGCATATGTGATACACTAACACTCCATTTAGTCAGGAGAATGCAATTTGCAAAGTTGAAACGTGCAAAGCATTGGATTACGTCAGCGTTCCAGATTTTATTCAAATTTAACTTGCAAATGGCTCAATAGAATACCTCCCATCATGATATCAAGAATTTCTCTTAGAATAAAATGTCTCTTTGAGATAAAACAAAAATTTCAGTCCCATTGAATATTATGTGTTTGTTAAATGTTTTTTTCTGGAATTCAAATACACTGTAAATATGTTTCTTCGGTTGATATATGGCCTTTTGAAAACATAACCACACATTCAGAAACAAAGCTGGTTTGATCATTTTCACATCTAACTGTAAAATCTGCACCCTGTTGAATTCAATAGGCAGAGTATTATGAGAATACAAACTCAATTTGTAGTCAAAGCTTACTTGCACCATAATTTCTTCACAGCCTAGTTAATGAAACAAATGATTATTCTCATTTATTATGCCTGCTAGAAACAGGACAATGGCAAAATACTACACCACACTTAATAAATGCAATACAATATTACATATTAGACGGCAAATCAGTGAAATACAAAAATAAAAGAATTTTATGAATGAAAATTTGAAATTAACCCAAACATGACAAATTGGAACATGATTATACATGCTCGGTATAAGATGCAAGAGTTAAAATCAAACCACATATTATACAAATATTGAGTGGCTCAGCGTGGAATGGGAGGAATATTATCGCAAGGTAAAATCTGGACTTTTCTATTTCACGAGGCGAAACGCTGAACGCGCACATCAGCATTCATTTGCACACAAATACCGCGTCATGATCCTAACTGTTGAATAGTATTTCCCATTCCCCATGGACGGATAGTATTTTTGAACCGCGGCGTGAATGGGAGCAATAACGAAAGTCATGTGATGTGAGTTCCACCAATCAAATGACTAGGATCTGTATGTCAGTTATATAATATTAGTTATCCCGCGAGCGCAAGTGGAACACGGAATAATATAATGTAGTGCGTCTGTGTCCCACATACCACGAGGCCGAATACATGTATGTGGGACACAGACGCACTACATTTTCCGTGTTCCACAAGTGCGAGCGTGATAACGAATTTGTCTTCAAGCAAACTTGACGCACGATAAAGATGAAACTCACGCTGTACAAAAAGTGCTTATTCTGAACATGAAGTTAGTAATTATAGACCCATTTCAGTTTTATCTACATTTTCTAAGGTTTTCGAAAAGTTAATTTACAACAGACTTATATGTTTTATAGATAAACACAATATTTTATCAGAATCTCAATTTGGATTTAGGTCAAACCGCTCCATCGAAATGGCAACTTCTCATGTGGTAAATAGACTTCTTGAAGCCATAGACGACAAAAAGATCGATATCGGTGTATTTTTAGACTTGTCTAAGGCCTTTGATACAATTAATCATGATATCTTGATCTCTAAATTAGAGCACTACGGAATTCGATGAATAGTTTTAGACTGGTTCAAGAGTTATTTGTCCAAAAGAAAACAGTTTGTATCATTCAATTCTGCGAAGTCTACATGCAAGACTATTACCTGTGGAGTTCCGCAAGGTTCTGTTTTAGGACCACTTCTATTCATTCTGTATATAAATGATATTTGCAGTACATCAGATGTAATTGAATTTACTTTATTTGCTGACGATACAAGTTTGGTGAATAGTCATAGTAATGTAGATGCTGCTGTAAGTAATCTTAATCGTGAATTTCTCAAAATAAGCACTTGGTTGGTAGCAAACAAACTTTGTATTAATCTATTTAAATCAAATTATATCATTTTCTGTCATAAACAAAAGAAATACGCACAAACCATTCCTTTAAATTTCAATGGTACTGTCATGAAACAAGTCAAAACAACCAAATTTTTAGGTATATATATTGATGAAAACTTAAATTGGAAATTTCACATTAATACCATATCTGGCAAAATATCCAGAACTGTTGGGATTATGAATCGCCTAAAGTTTTTTGTTCCGGAAAATATCCTTATCATTCTCTATAATTCTCTGATTCTCCCTTATCTTAATTACTCAATTCTCACGTGGGGTGGTTGTTCTTCCCAATGTGAAAAACTACTAATTTTGCAAAAAAGAGCGATTCGTATTATATGTAATGTCAGTTATCGTAAGCACACTACTCCCTTATTTGCTGCCCTCAAGATTTTACGATTTAATGACCTTTATTACCTAAATTTAGGTAAATTCATGTATAAATATTCAAATAATTTACTCCCATATTGTTTCAACAATTCCTTTACTTTCACCTCGAATATTCATTCATATAATACTAGAAGCGTTTCCAAGCAAAACCTTTACGTTTATTCCAGTAGAACGTCAATGTTGAAAAAACGGCCTTGTCCACCGGGGCATTGACCTTTGGAACAGGCTGAGTGATTCAGTTAAATTATCGTTAACTTTATCTACATTCATCAAAAAAATGAAAACTCATTTGCTTAACTCTTATAATGTCTGATGAATAATTATTTTTACTCCTGTTTGTTTTGTTATGTTCCTGTTTTGTCCCTGCGTTTTTGTCCCTATTCGTAACTTGTATGGTAATAGTAGGTATTTGTCCACAGGTTGGGGTACAAAAGCCATGCTTCACCCTATACCTAACGTTGTTCCAGTATGTATGTTGTTGATTTATAATTGTAACATTAATTTTGTGTATTAATGAACAACGTTGAATAAATGTCTAGCAAATTGAATTGAAATTGAAACTGAATTGAAATTGAATTGAATTGAATTCTATTACACGCGCGTGGTTTGTACGGAATGGCGCGCGCTTCTTATAGACCGCTTGCAGACGCGTTCGATAATTGACGCGCTAAGGTGAGCGACGCCATGTTATGGGACAAAATGTGCGTGAATAGATATACGCCTGTCCCACAACATGGCGTCGCGCGCCTTCGCGCGTCGATTATCGAACGCGTCTGCAAGCGGTCTATATCGCAAAACGCAGAGTGCGATATGGACCGTGGCCGTGCTACATGGTTATGTAGCACGGCTTGTTGCCATGGATCGACCAATCAGGATCGAGGATGGATTCAAGTTTACTTGAAGATAATACATAATGAATGGCTTGAAATAAATCTGGGGGGAAAAACAGGCTCAAATCTTGTCTCGACTTGAGCAAGTTGACTAAAACATACTCGGATCAATGGCTAAACTTTGGTATTACTTGCAGGGGGAACTGGGGGCCTCATTTTCTAGAGAGGATTCTAGCAGATGTTATTACAAAAGCTTCTTTCTTTATCAACCTTTTTTGTCAAGTGGAGGTGGGGGACACCCACTGATCTCTATATAAAGACTGGATAGCGGATATGCATACAACATTCACACAGTAGACTTTGCATATTGACCAATTCGCCCCGGTCTCACAAAGATGGCCGCGTATAATACGAACGTTCTACGCGTAAATACGCGCGCGTTGTATCAACAGTTGACGCGCATTTTGGTCACGTACACATATTATGATGTTCTAAAAGGGACACATTTCCGTAGTGATTATTATTTCAAAACGCCGAAAAAGTTATATTTGCGGCATTTTAGTAACCACGACGTTAGAAAAATTGTAGTTAACCTTGGTCAGTGGTGGTGGTCAAAATATAAGTCAAGTGAACCGCGACGTTACAAAAGAAATCATGCAGTCTATAAAAACGGCATCTTGTCCTTTGTAGATCACCAGCCGGTCTCACCAATATGGCGTCAAATTCGTACATTGTGCGGCTCTGTATTAGCTATCCAGTCTTTATATAGAGATCAGTGGGGACACCAGAAAGGGGGGGGGGGGGGGTGTCTCATGCAGGCAGTAAAGGGACCCATACCTGATGCCTCCCATCCGACCAGCTTGAAAGAAATATCACATTATCATAACATTACATTGTATATAGGCAACACTATAGAATTCAAAAATATGGAGAGTTAGTACATCTCACACAGAGAATTATAAAACCTCAACCTTGTTCAACATTCCCTGTTAGCAAATTTCTTTGGATGCGAAAAATGTTTGCATTGCTCTAGACTACAAGTCACCGTGAAATGTGTGCAGTAGGCCTATGATTTGAATATTCTGTACAGTATAGACAATGTCAGGACCGCAAGGCCTCCATAGACCACAGTGGACAGTGTGCTTGTTTTCTGCCCCAGTTTCGGCTCAGCATTGTTCACCAGCTCCTCTAACGTGGTCATGTCTCCGGCCCCGACGGCTGCAAACCTCCGCACCCCTTCGATCTCCTTCAAGAGCAACTCTTCCTGGAGCTTCAGGATCCTGGTTAGGCTCCTCTCCTGGGAGTCAAACCCCTCTTGTTGCTGCTTGGAGAATCTTTCGAGAGCAACTGTCAGCTCCTCTTGACTCGACTTTGCGCCGCTGCTGTCAATGGCGGTCCGGATGTCCGTCACAAGACCCTGAAGGTCCCTTAGCTGGCTGCTGTCGATGGTGGTCCGGATGTCCGTCACAAGACCCTGAAGGTTCTTTAGCTGGCTGCTGTCGATGGTGGTCCGGATGTCCGTCACAAGACCCTGAAGGTTCTTTAGCTGGCTGCTGTCGATGGTGGTCCGGATGTCCGTCACAAGACCCAGAAGGTCCCTTAGCTGGCTGCTGTCGATGGTGGTCCGGATGTCCGTCACAAGACCCTGAAGGTCCTTTAGCTGGCTGCTGTCGATGGTGGTCCGGATGTCCGCCACAAGACCCAGAAGGTCCCTTAGCTGGCTGCTGTCGATGGTGGTCCAGATGTTTGTCACAAGACCCTGAAGGTCCCTTAGCTGGCTGCTGTCAATGGTGGTCCGGATGTCCGTCACAAGACCTTGAAGGTCCCTGAGCTGGCCGCTGTTCTGACCAATGTCCTTCTGAAGGTCCCCGAACAAAGTCCTTTTCTCATGCCTTCGCTTCCGGCTGATGGCCATGGACCCCAGCAGGCCGATGATGGAGCCCAGCAGGCCGATGATGGACCCCACGAAGGAAAAAATGACCCCCAAATATTTGGACCTCTCCCCTTGCAATCGTTGTTTCTCGTGGCTCTCTCTAACAGCCGCCGACAAGTACGCAAACGTGTTTCTCTCCGTGTCCTCCAACCAGTAGTTTTCCTCCTCCATTTTCCTCTCCTTCTGGATGGCCAGGTGCTCCTCTTTCACATATTCTAAGAATTTGGTGTCATCTCGGGCTGTTTGGTCCAGCTTGGCGCGTATTGCTCTCAGCTCGGCATTATGATTGTGTAACTTGTGGGCGGATTTCTTGAGTATTTCACGGACTTCCATAAATTGCTGTTCAACCTGAACGTGTAGAAAGAAAACTTTCAAATTAATCTCATCACTTGACCAGTGGCGTCGCCAAGGGGGGCCAGGGGGGCACGTGCCCCCCCTGGAAAACCTAGTGCCCCCCCCCCGAGTGCCCCCCCCCCCCCATCAAATGCTGGTGCCCCCCTATCCTCTGCAAAATTCTGCGCGTTGTTAAAATCATTACCTCAAAAATAGCAATTTCTTGAGATATCTTCAGATCGAATTTAGCATCAAATGTGGCACCATTTTGCATCTAGCCCATCCTCCGTATGCGAAAATTTTCCAAAGGGGAGGGGGGCAACCCCTCCCCTTAGACCCCTCCTCCAGGACGGCGATCCGTATCCACCCAAGTGCCCCCCCCCCCCATCAAATGCTGGTGCCCCCCTGTGCCCCCCCCCCCCCCCCAGACTGAAAAGTCTGGTGACGCCACTGCACTTGACATGGCTTCTTATTAAAAAAGGAATCAAAAGGTCATCCAAAGGTCATCCAAATACAAGGGTTTTGTCTTTTATCGAAACATCCCCTGCTAAAAAGTCAATAAGTGCAATACATGATGCAAATTTCAGCCCTCTAATTTGTAAGTGTTAAGTTGTGGTCATTGTATGTATAGTGGACAGTTTTTCACACTAGGCCACCATTTAACAGCCGCCAAACACATCAATTTTCACCTCACCTTGTGATTCATTATAGAACCGAGCCCAATCTAATGCATTTTAGTTTCTGATGAGGTTCAAGCCTAATGAAGCATGAACGTAGTGCCTGATGCGGATTACCTGATGTTTTAGACTGATAAGAGCCTACTTGTGGTCAGTTGTACCTGATCCACTAGCTGAGAGATGATCGTTTTGTTGAAGAGTTATAGGTGAAAGAATATCAAAAGTTTTCAAAAAAAATGCTTGTAATTTGACTCCCGATGACGTCATCATAACGTCAGAGTGATACGCACCACTTAAGATGAGGGCCGATATATGTTGAAAATTACAAGTTCATATCATAAACCTTTAGGAGAAAACCCGCGGAGATGTATTGTCCAGAAAAGAAAAGAAAGATTCATCAGAACAATAACAGAGAGTGGTGGTCACCGGGCGGGTTGTGCCCGACTACTCAACTCGGGTGGGCAGACCAGTAAATAGACCAAAAATTGTCTATACGCAGGCCAAATCACGATTTAGGGTTTAGTAGAAATGAAGGGGCCCCAGCTCTGAACCGGTCTTTGAACTTGTATTTTTGAAGAAATGATGTGCTAGATCTTGAATCTGGATCAGGGTAGATACAAAAAGAAAACATCTGTGACATGGTCCGGCTTGCAGATTGTTTGTGTGTACTGCACCGGGTTCGTACGCCGATGTCGTTCAATTAAAAAGGGTCCGTTTCGTTGGTATAGCCAGTCAATCAACATGCAACACCGGCATTGGTTTGGCAGGATAGTCAAGCAATATGTGACGGTGCGCCACCGCCCAGCGGCCCACGCATGCGCAATACACCAGTTCACTAAGGAATTCATAAATGCAAATTCATACACGCATGCGTAGAGTTTCGCCCATGCTTATTGCCCTTGACCTCGTGTGCACGGCACGAAATCAAACTTGATTCAGCTAGCTTCATCTACCTTCACGATTCAATGAGACGTGTCGACTGAACTTTTGTATAGCAAGGTGGTAAACAAAATGGGAAGATGTATCATTAACGAAACTTCTGACATGCTAATTAATAAAACGATGAAATGCAGTTCAAAGTATTATAATCTGTTGACATTCCTAGCCTTTTGTCACACCAAGTTTGGAGTTATCTCACACCAAGTTGGCAAACTTCTAAACTTCAACCTGCAGTCATCATGTTTACCAATGACTACCAAATCCCCAGTCTTTACCATCGTAAAGACGATTATTAAGCAATGAATGAAATGTTGATTATGACAAAAAGGGCCACATGCTACACTGCTACACTGATTTTTTTCCCATAAAGAATCTCATTCCTTGGAAAATTTATCGAGGGGTAAGACATGTACAGTTTTCTGGAACAATTTTGTTTCCTTGAAAAAGTCGCTTATTTTAAAGAAATCCATCTATGGATGTGTTTTACATACAGTATGTCTATTATAGTAATTTCCTTTCTCCAAAGACTTTTAAAATGGTCTGAGACATTCCTTTTCGTATCAGAATTATAAACCTAGAGATTCTTTACCAGTTCAGTTTGAATGGCGAGGCTTGTGCATGAAATAACCACAAATATAGACACACACGAAAACAGTTTTTTTATAAAGCTCAAGCCCAAAGGCATTGCTACGCTCAGTTGAGTCAAGGCCTGGTGGGCCAGGACAACAATGGCTCTTTTCTTATGTTAAAAGCCTGTATAGAAAATCATTGATACGTGTCAAACAACTTCCATACGGTAAGGCAATGGTACCTGTCAGGATATGCAGTGAAGCCGCCATTTTGAGAGCTCTGGGCCATATTTTAAACTACATCAGGCCCACGGGTGGTGTACACCAATAATTAAATAGGCCCAAAATGGCCTATGCCGGCCAAATCACGATTTGAGGGTTGGTGGAAATGACGAGCCCTAGCTCTGAAATGGTCTTGGAACTTGTATTTCTGGAAAATTTGGAATTTGGACACAAAGTAACTCTAATTTGCAATAGAGTGGCGGGATACATATTAGTGAAAAGTCAGCCCAAATTAAGTCACTGTTCACCCCAAAGGAAAAGATAGCGAGAGAGGGTAAACAAGCTTTAATTTGATTTATATGTATGTGTCTCGATCAGCAGTTGGAGCAATGAGCATTTTCCATCTATTTTGAGGTGGAGGCATTTCTCATTGGTGCCTATATTTACTGGTCTGCACCTTTACAAACACACGTACATGGTATCTGGACTTCGGTTGCGCGGCCATCCTGAAAGCCTTAAATAAATAATACTTTTAGGGGATGTGGATTAAATAATTTCTTTGAACTTGTAAAAGCACGACAACACCAGGCTCGTAGGAAGCTCAAAATCATTGGCTAGGCTCATCAGAGTATTTGGCCAAATCTCTCCCAAATGAAACGGTAAGTTAAGCCACTATCTCAGGGGCAACCTAGTATTGGACTCAATACTGTGTATGAGAGTCCCATAACTAAGGTACTGACAACATGCAATACAAGAAAATAGACTGGCATCTGAAACCAGTCCAATAACTCTTCAGTATATAAGATGTGAGGTACTAGTCTCTATTTCTACACATTTCACCATAGACAGCCACCAGACTATATACGACAATGAATGAGGAAGTCAGTCTTTTTCGAACAGTTGGATGGACATGGATAAGTCTAGTCTTTAGCCTCATTTTGAAAGCCCTTGACTTCCCTCTCATGTGCAAAATATTGAAGAAAAATCACCTTTTAAAATTGAGTTCAGTTTTCAAACTTAATTGGTGAAATGCCGAGGACCTTGTCTTTGCTCAATGAAAATTTTGGAGAATTTTGCATTGCTAAAGAGTAAGTAAAGTTGGCCTGATTTTGTTTTGCAATGCAGGTTTTTGAGCAATAAAATCCCAGTGTGGGTGCACCCCTGAACATAATTACACTTAACTTGTACAAAAGACACGCGCAGGTACATAGGGAGATTGATTCTTCGTACATACAGCTGTGTACTTCTCCGATAAATAAGTTAACGAAGACAAATACTTGACGGAATACAGTCAGCACCACACGAAGCACCTTGTTAAAACACATACTAGGCAAGACAAGATCGAGGAAGACACCATTTTGAAAAAGTAGGGGCGAGGGTTCACAGTTCAATATTAACACTAGAGGTTTGCGTTTGTTGTTACAAACGCAGAGTGGTTGGGTAGACAACTATTTCATTAGAAATTGTCCAGTTAAGTTATCAATATGTTTTTGTCAGAAAAAAAGGATCAAGAACTTCAACATTATTTTCCAGTACCAATTATTTTGTACAAAACGAAAGCGTCTTTTAGGGTATGATAAATTTCAGTAAAAATGTAGGTACTCGACGTACAAGTTATTTTCGGTTTGATGACGTCATCAGTCAAAAAAGGGAAGGGAAAACACTTGTTTATCTTTAAGTTAAAATAACGCATGGAAATATGGAATTTAAGTGTATGTAATAATAACACCCAACTTCCGGTTTAATGACGTCACAGTATTTGGAAACAAAGAGTCAATTTTAAGTGTAACAGATGTCATTTTTTGGGCAAAAAAAAGCCATGAGACAGGGATCAAATGATGGATCTAAATTAAAAATAAAATGATAATTGTTGAATTCCCCCAACAGTAACTTCCGGTCTGATGACGTCATGGTTATGAAACCTTGCAAATTAATTTGTGGTTGCTCACGGATTATATATGGGGGCAATTTCATAAAAATTTGATTGAGGGTTTTAACATTTCAAAAGAACAAATTTTTGGCGCTTGAAAGTTAATTAATTGAAAAAAGTGGTGGCCTAGAATGGAAAACTTTCCGTATTATTTTTTCAAAAATAAGAAAATAATTAATTTTGTGATTTGAAAAAGAATCATTCAAATAAAATCAGTAAACCTGTGTAACTCTTCTCTGCGCCTTTTTGACCTCTCCGATGCCCAACACAGCTTCGTAAACCTGCAGCAAAGACACCACTATTCCGTCACTCCGTAGCCTACTCAGCAGACCGGTCGGTGCTGCCTCACCAGCAGGCGGTGCTGCACCGCCACCGGCCGCCGGCCTCCCCGGCCCACTGACCGAGTTCTCCGCTGCGCCCGACGAACTCGTCGACACTGTTCGCAGTGCTCGAATCACGGTCAGCTTTTGAAAGTCGAACTGTCTCGCCATGCTAATGATAGCACTGAATGCTTAGAGATTGATAGGCTTAAAAATGACAAATTTTACTTTTTGTTTTCGAGGTTTTTTTGGGGGGAATACCACACCTTTCTGGCGGGTTGTGTTATGCAGTCTGTGTAACAATACGTGGGGTCAGAGGTCATTAAAAACAGAGTGCATAATCAAAACATATTTCCGTAAACAAAGCATTTATTTTGAGCAACTATAGAATGCAGGGCCACGCCGGAAAAGGTTTTTTTTTGTAGTTGGATCTGATGTGAGGAGTGCGGTCGTTGAGTAGAATGGCACTCTCTTGAGAACGAAGCGACGTTGGTACATGAGACTTCCCCTATGCGTACGCGGGTACGGCATGAACGTAGACGAAAAAAAAAATAGAGGGCGGTTTAAACAGTGAATGAGCATGAAGTAATTATTGTGATCAATAGAAGGCGCTACAGAGAATGAATTATTGACAAGTACGTAGTATATACACCGAGTGAGACGGCTTGGGATATCTTGGGCCAAGTTCGCGCAAGGACTAAGCCACGAGGGCCTTTTCTACGGAAGTGTATTTTAGGACATGACTAAAAAAATAAATTCTGGCCCTCTATTTCGCCCGGGCGGATTACTATTTCGCCCGGGCGGATTACTTATTCGCCCGGGCGAATTACTATTTCGCCCGGGCGGATTACTAATTCGCCCGGGCGAATTACAATTTCACCCAGGGGAATACTAATTCACCCAGGCGAATTACTATTTCGCCCGGGCGGATTACTAATTCGCCCGGGCGGATTACTAATTTGCCTGGGCGAATTAGTAATTCGCCAAGGCGAAATAGTGGGCCAGAATTTTTTTTTTGGGGGGGGGGGTCATGTCCTAAATATTACGGAAGCGTATTTAGGACATGACCGAAAATATTTTTTAGGCCCACTACTTCGCCCGGGCGGATTACTATTTCGCCCGGGCGGATTACTATTTCGCCCGGGCGGATTACTATTTCGCCCGGGCGGATTACTATTTCGCCCGGCCGGATTACTATTTCGCCCGGCCAGATTACTATTTCGCCCGGCCGGATTACTATTTCGCCCGGGCGGATTACTATTTCGCTCGGGCGGATTACTTTTTCGCCCGGGCGGATTAGTATTTCGCCCGGGCGGATTAGCATTTCGCCCGGGCGGATTACCATTCCGCCCGGGCGGATTACTAATTCGCCCGGGCAGACTAGTATTCGCCAGGGCAGCCTCCGCCGCCGCCGCCGCCGCCGCCGCCGCCGCCGCCGCCGCCAAGCCCGTCGCGAATTCCTCAAAGTCAATTTTGACACTATAAGAAGCTTCAACAAATGCTGTGCATCTGTCCTTAGAGTTACGTGTGTGCCCTTATCTCATACAAGGTCTGTGAGGTGTTCGTTCATCCATGAAGAAGGGCAATGAGCTGATGGAATATCCCACTTACAAAGCAGGGGTGGGGGAGTAGGCTGCAGAAGAGGAAGTGGGTGTTGAACATAAACAATTCGCGACACAAGTACCGTGGTGACTTCATTTATTACTAAAAAAAAACAATTGATCTACATGTATTCCTGTTTTATTTTATTTCACACACGTCAAACAAGGTGTATGGATAAAAGACAACTATAACATTTCATTTGATCTACATGTATTCCTGTTTTATTTTATTTCACACACGTCAAACAAGGTGTACGGATAAAAGACAATTATAACATACAATACAAAACATCAAAATACACAATACAATTACAATGGCTATATATCAGGAACAACTAACATACGAAAATGTACATTCATATACATGATTTTTAACATAAAATAGTTCGAATTTAAAACTAAGCTCTGGCAATGAGATAAATGTGGCTAAAGATATGGCAGCTCTGACTTCCTCTGATTGGGCGGTCTATTGTCTCAAATCACCACAGCTTTTACTATTGGCCACGTCTTCTCCGCCACAGCTTTGATGGGCTCACCTCTGTCAAGGGCACAATAGTCTATCTTTTTCTTCGTCCTTAATTCCATCGGATTCTAATAAGGAAAGAAAGGAATTAAAAAACATTTACATTTTATTTTTTCCTTTTCTAAACATAGAAAATGCATACGGGGTCTTCAGCTTGTTAGGCCATCGCATGAACATAACAGTAAATTGCGTTCCTTTTTGAGTTGATACCTCCAACCAAGTTCAACTAGGCTGCCAAACATTACAGAAATATCTACATTAATAATATTGAGTCAATAAAACGTGTGCAATTAGTGCACACCATTGTTCACCCACGTACAAACACTGTCTAATCACACCTAAACAAAAGTGGACTTGGCCAGAAATCACAGCGTGCCATGCTCAAGCCACGCACGGCGTGACAAGAAAGCTGCTTCCATCGCATAAGAAGCCAACTTTTACATCACAGTTACAATGTCTTCTGGTAAAGTATCTTCATATTTGTTTAGATGCAGAGAATCTTTATATTGTAAGTTTGAATATCATATAGTTTTTAGAGTCCCTGAGGAATTGTAAAGGGGAGAACTTACCGGAGAGAAACAGCAAGTTGGCAACACAACGATGGGAGTAGGTGGATTATCATTTGTTGATCGTACACGTTCCAATGCAGTTTCAAACAACGCTTCTGATTAGCGAAAAAACTTTAGGCTGAAATTAATAGACGGGCTTTAACATTGGCCAATCAACTTCATTTTTACATCAGCTTTGGACAAACTCATGCTGTTTATTTAATAACTCGAACGAAAGAAATCGGTAGAGGGCGTCCAGAGTTGTGAGTTTATTATGAGCCGCGTTGTGTGACAGGATTCTTCGTGAACATCGTTTTTGCATTGTAAAATTGGAGATACCGACTGCTTGTACTTGAAAAATGACGGATCTTTAAAGTAATTAAAAAATAATCTAAAAATATCATTAAAAAGAGGAATAATGAACTTTCAATTTGCCGAAAGAACGAACTTGAAAGCATCGAGGGTTCAAAAGTTATGTTCTCAAAAAGGAAAAAAAATCGTGCGTTTTTTTAGGTTTTCTGGAGGATTTCCGCTTTGCATAAACTGCAGCGGAAGCCTGTCGCTTAGGTTGCGCTAAGAAATTCATATATTACTAATTCTCCCGGCCGGGCAGACTACTAATTCGCCCGGGCGAATTAGTAATCCGTGTAGGCGAAATAGTAATTCGCCCGGGCGAAATAGTAATCCGCCCGGGCGAAATAGAGGGCTTGAAATTTTGTTTGGGTCATGTCCTAAATACACTTCCGTATAAATACGCTTCCGTATTTTAGAGTGTGTCTCTAATGGCTGATGGGCTTTCAAAAAGAACTTTTGCAAATGGGAAAGACACTTTGGAAACATTCAATCAGTTTGAATATGCTTCATGAATTTCTGAATAAACGAGTTCATTTTTAACAGTATTTAATTACTATTATTTTTCGGTGTGGTGGTGGTGGTGGTTGGGGGGGGGGGGGGCTAGACAGAAGATATATCAGAATGGCGCAATAAGAACGACAGCGGGCGCAATTATTTTGATTAGGGTTTCAAAAATTTCTACGCAAGTCGTTAATTTGCTTAAAAAGTGCCCCCACAATTTTTTGTAAAAAACGAGACCGTCTTGTTTAAAAATTAGCGGAATCGTGCGAATATAGCCGAGGATCATCTCTCTAGCTTTTGGGCTATTATCTAAGAGCAGATTTGATAAAATTAGGGTCCACAAATGGGTCCTATTTGCACGAGAAAATGTAGGGATGCCACTGGAAACTTTGGCAGTATGCATGCTCAGCATTACCGGCAGGTAGCCCAGGTTGGACGAAGTCTTCATTGCAATACGACTAACGTAGGGAGGAAAGGGAGTCCACCAGGGCTATACCGGCAGGCTTCAAGCATTACGGACACACTCTCGCAAAATGTGGTCCGGCAGCTTTCTATACAAAAACCTCGTTGGCTCGGGGTTTTGTAAATAAACCTTATCAGTCAGCCGATCAAGCTCAATTGACTTCGGCGAAACCGCAGTCCCATCATAAGAAAGAAGTTAACAATGTTAACCGGACCATTTTTTCCAAGAGTGTGTCTCTAATGCGGCGCGATGTACGACTGGCCAGACTGAATGTCGGCGGCGCCAGCGGCCGTGATTAGGCATACTAGTGGAATCACCCACCTCAAAAATATTATTACTTAGGTGAGGCAAGTTTTAATCACTTCTGATGGCCAGTCTTGATAATTTTCGTGGCGCCAATAAAAATAATCCAGGCACAAAATAAACATGATTCCTTGCTCTATACTAATATTATTATTTATTACGATGCTCCATTAAAGCTATAGTCCATCATTTGTAATTAGTGCATTTTGTTCGTTTGAAGCAACAAAAGTGTTCAAAATCTAATGAAGGATACTGAGCAACTAACCTGATGAAGTTTCAGCTAAGCTTCAGCTGTACATTCCGAGAAAAGCAGCATTCTAAGATCTCAATTTCAAATCAAATTTACTGAATCATGTTTTGAATTGTTTTGAATTGCAGCTATACGCGGCGTCGCGCACTGATCCGACGAATTATAACAACCGCGCGCGCGTGTGCGTCGTTCCAATACTTGTGCGCGCTGCGCTGAATAACAAAACGAACTACTAATTTAAATTTTCCTACGGTGCTTCTTAAGAATCACCGTTGGAAATGCCTTCTTTCGTTGATTACTTCAAAATGACAGCTTCCCAGAAAGAATAATTTCACAGGGAGTTTAGTTCCCATTACTATCTTTCAACCAAATTTGTTTTTCAACAGTAATTACGCCAGTTACTTTTCGGATGGCTGCAAATGATGGACTATAGCTTTAATCAGCACCCCCCCCCCAAAAAAAAAAATATTGGCGAAATAATTTTTTCGACCTACTGATGCTATTTTGAAAGGCATGTAATCGGAAGCAACAGGATTTTTTCCTCATGATAACGAATTTATCTTCAAGCAAACTTGACGCACAGTAAAGATGAAACGCACGCTGTACACAAAAGTGCTTATCCTAATACACGTGCGTGGTTTGTACGGAATGGCGTGCGCTTCTTGGAATATCGCAAAACGCAGAGTGCGGTATGGACCGTGGCCGTGCTACATGGCTACATAGCACGGCTTGTTGCCATGGATCGACCAATCAGGATCGAGGATTCAAGTTTACTTGAAGATAATACATAAAGAATGGCTTAAAATAAATCTGGGGGGAAAAAACAGGCTCAAATCTTGTATTGACTTGAGCTTGACTGAAACATACTCGGATCAATGTTTAAACTTTGGTATTATTTGCAGGGGGAACTGGGGGCCTCATTTTCTAGAGAGGATTCTAGCAGATGTTATTACAAAAGCTTCTTTCTTTATCAACCGTTTTTTTGTCAAGTGGAGGTGGGGGACACCAGAAGGGGGGGGGGGGGGGTCTCATGCAGGCAGTAAAGGACCCATGCCTGATGCCTCCCATCCGACCAACTTGAAAGAAATATCACATTATCATAACATTACATTGTATATAGGCAACACTATGGAATTCAAAAATATGGAAAGTTAGTACATCTCAAACAGATAATTATAAAACCTCAACCTTGTTCAACATTCCCTGTAAGCAAATTTCTTTGGATGCGAAAAATATTTGGTATTTTTGCATTGCTCTAGATACAAGTCACCGTGCAATGTGTGCAATAGGCCTATCATTTGAATATACTATAGAGAAAAGGCAACATCAGGACCGCTATAAAGCCTCCATAGACCACAGCGGACAGTGTGCTTATTTTCTGCCCCAGTTTCGGCTCAGCATTGTTCACCGGCTCCTCTAACGTGGTCATGTCTCCGGCCCCGACGGCTGCAAACCTTCGCACCCCTTCGATCTCCTTCAAGAGCAACCCTTCCTGGTGCTTCAGGATCCTGGTTAAGCTCCTCTCCTGGGAGTCAAACCCTTGTTGTTGCTGCTCGGAGAATCTTTCCAGAGCAACTGTCACTTGATTCGACATTCGTTTCTGGTTAATGGCCATGGACCCCAGCAGGCCGATGATGATCGTCCCCACGATGGAACAACTGATCCCGACATATTTGGTTCTCTGATCCTGTGATCGTTGTTTCTCGTGGCTCTCTCTAACAGCCGCCGACAAGTACGCAAACGTGTTTCTCTCCGTGTCCTCCAACAAGTAGTGTTCCTCCTCCATTTTCCTCTCCTTCTGGATGGCCAGGTGCTCCTCTGTCGCATATTCTAAGAATTTGGTGTCATCTCGGGCTGTTTGGTCCAGCTTGGCACGTATTGCTCTCAGCTCGGCGTTATGATTGTGTAACTTGTGGGCGGATTTCTTGAGTGTTTCACGGACTTCCATAAATTGCTGTTCAACCTAGAGGTGTAGAAAGAAAACTTTCAAATTAATCTCATCACTTGACATGGCTTCTTATTGAAAAAGGAATCCAAAGGTCATCCAAAGGTCATCCAAATACAAAGGTTTTGTCTTTTATCTTTTGTCGAAACACCCCCTGCTAAAAAAGTCAATAAGTGCAATACATGATGCAAATTTCAGCCCTCTAATTTGTAGGTGTTAAGTTGTGGTCATTGCATGTATAGTTGGAAAGTTTTTCACACTAGGCCACCATTTACCAGCCGCCAAACACATCAATTTTCACCTCACCTTGTGATTCATTATAGAACCGAGCCCAATCTAATGCATTTTAGTTTCTGATGAGGTTCAAGCCTAATGAAGCATGTAGTGCCTGAAGCGGATTGCCTGATGTTTTAGACTGATAAGAGCCTACTTGTGGTCAGTTGTAACTGATCCACTACCTGAGAGCATGATCTGATTACAAGGTTGGAAAACAATAATCGTTTTGTTCAAGAGTTATAGGTGAAAGAATGTCATCATTTTTCAACAAAAATTGCTTGTAATTTGACTCCCGATGACGTCATCGTAACGTCAGAGTAATAGGCACCACTTAAGATGAGGGCCGATATATATATATATATATGTCCAGAAAAAAAGAAAGATTCATCAGAACAATAACAGAGAGTGGTGGTCATCGGGCGGGTTGTGCCCGACCACTCAACTCGGGTGGGGCAGACCAGAAAATAGACCAAAAATTGCCCATACGCCGGCCAAATCATGATTTGGGGTTTAATAATAATAATAATAATAATCAGCATTTAAGAACGCCCTTATTAGTAAACTAAATCACGGCGCTTACAGTATTATTATTACCCCTGATCATTGGGCCAATTAAACATTCCAGTAGAAATGAAGGGGCCCCAGCTCTGAACCGGTCTTTGTACTTGTATTTATGGGAAATATGTTTTCGAAGCCGTGCTAGATCTTGAATCGGGATCAGGGTAGATACAAAAAAAAACATCCGTGACATGGCCCGGCTTGCAGATTGTTTGTGTGTGTTGGTATAGCCAGTCAATCAACATGCAACACCGGCATTAGACTTGATGGCAAGTCGTTAGACTATAGTGGTTTATGTCCGTCATCAGCGCAAGAATCCGCATACCGGCCATGCCACCGCCGTTCACGCAACGTGAGCGCCACAACCAGTCATGCAAAAGTCCGATGTACAGTACATGTACGATGTACATACACGTACACCGCGCGGCATGGTCAGTCCGTGTCTAACGACTTGACTAACACGTTTTCAAGCGAATATTCATATATGCAGCCACTGCAATGCATATGCATGTATTTCCATAGCGCGGGCCAATGGTAGCCCATCTGGCTAACGAAGAAACATCCATTATAAATATGGGGGTAATTATTACACGATCATTTGAAGTTTCCATTTGATTTGGCAGTCCTAGTTTTAAAATTACGGTAAAAAAAAGTATAACATTGTAGGTATTATTAGTACTTTTGCAATTGTCTTTGAATAAAAAGGAGTAACATTTAGTGTAATTATGGAACTTGAAACTGTTACGAATAATTGTAAATCCCCTTCAAAAAATGAAGTGCGCACCGACTGTAAACGTAAGCTCCTTTTGGCCCATGTGGTATATCAGGGATTTCCCGTACCCGGTGGGTAGATTCACGAAGGTGTCGTTGCCGTCAAGAAAACTTGTGATTGCCTCAGTTTGTTGGGGTTTCAGAGCACTGGTAATCCCCAGTTTTCGCAACCCATGGTCAATGGAACCTCTATACTTTTCGGTGCCAGCTTCCAACTCCTCCATTTTAACGTTGGGGATAGGAAATCCGAAGCGATTGAGAATATTTTGTGAAGACGCCGCGATAATCAGGCGTTGTGTGTACATGTACATGTACATGTACAGTGTATGTGTGTGTGTCGTCGCGTCGTGCAAGCCAAAACGCATCGGCTAAGAGATGCCTGTTGAATATTCATATTTTCTTGATTCTTAACCAATCAGACTGCTCCGTCCAATTTTGGTAGCAAGTCTCATTGCCTGTGCACAAACTGACAACGAGTTATTGGCTGTTTCGGCACTTTTGCCGAAACAGCCTTTGTTTTCGTTAAGATTTTTATTTTTTTCTTTTTTTTTTTTTTCTTTTTCAGTCATTTTGCCCATAGCATTTGTACACGGTTTTTTTGTCACCGGCACTTTGGGCACTAAAATCAATCCGATTGACTTTATACTTGGCACACACTTAGACCAGCATCTGAAGTTGTGTGCCGAACATTGACGTCATCGTGACGTCATCGACTAATTTATTATAGAATTTTGAATATTTAATTTTTCCCATAGACTTTGTACACAGAAATCGAAACAAAATTGTCGATTTTCAAAGGGCATTTTTGACTCTTTGCCAGTAATTCATTTGCACCAATCTTTGTCCAAGCAAAGACCCTAATTCAAACAACATTGTGTAATGATGACGTCATGATGACGTCATCCGGTGTGTATTTATAGGCAATTAAATTGTGACACTTTTAATATTTAAAAATGCATAAGAAATCAACCGTACGCGTCCGCAGCATTCTGTTACCGGCAAGTGGTAGAGTAGGTTGAGGTCTTTATTTCATTCAGTGTGCGTGAAATCACGTGACCCTTGCTTCCGGTCGAAAAAGGCCAAAACCGGAAGTGGCTTATTATTTGAAAATGGTAATAGATATGAACTTGCTTTTAATGGTGTTAGTCTCTTGGCTAGAAGTATTCTTCAAATCATCTACCAATGACGTCATGCAATCTTCGAGCGCCCTCTAGCGACAGGTTGAAAATTTGCAAAAATGTATTTTGAATAGATGTCTGTGGCGAAGTTTGTCGGAATCGCCTAAATATTGGTGTGTATGATGACCTTGATCCACTTAAGACGTGTGCGAAGTTTTAGGCGAATGACGTCATCAGACCGGAAGTTATAATAAAAAAACTCTTTTTCATTTGAAAATTCCTGAAAAATCAACCATGGCAGTTTTTATGTTAGTTTTTACTTTAATTGTCGATTTAAGGGTAGGTCTGACCTAAGTCAAAGCTTCAAGGCAATAAGCGAACTCGGACACGCCCTGCGCACACTTAAAACTTCAGGTTGACAATACATCTGCTCTAAAACATGCACAGAACGTCTATATGTACATACACGTACGTTACGCACGTACTGTACATGTACATCGTACATGTAATGTCAGTCAGCCTGCAGAGCACGTGTTGCCGAGGTCAAATCCTGTCCACATCATATCATAGTGACCGTTTTAGCCGATTTTCGGCTAACTTTGACAGATTTTATGTTCGTGCATGCACATAGTCAGGGACGTATAATAAAAAATCATAATGCCGAAAAGCCCTATGTTACGTATTTAAAGGTGCAGTTTTTCTGCCGTGGGATTTTCCACAAGTCTTTTCCTTTACAACACTGATATCTTACTGAGTAGTTCTGAACTTCAGCCGAGAATTACTATGAGAAGGAAAGAGAAATCGTATTTTTTTCGCGCTTTCATTCGATTGAACATATTCCTAAGGGTCAGAATATCAAGTAATATTTCATAAAAATGTTTCAGTTCAAAGGCAAATTACAAATTTAAAGGTGCAATTTTTCTGCAGTGGGATTTTGTTTTTAGCCCGTTAACTTTGTACACGTGTTAGCCCATTGACTTAGTACACGTTTTCAAGCCACCATTTCTATAACTTGGCGATCTAAAATCGTCATCAATGTTACAGCCAAGGAAGACCCTCATACAAAAATTATGCCAAGACTATGACGTCATGATGACGTCATCACCTAATTTTTTTTATTGATTTTTGAAAATTTACGTGCATATTATGAAGTCCTATATCTACAGAACTGTAAGTCTGATTGGGTTGAAACTTGGTATGTGGCTAGACCGGGATGTGTTATAGGTAGAACAAAATGTAGGTGGTCGAGACCTGAACATGATTTTTGCGGGAATCGATAGAATTATCGAGGGTCTTCATTTTTTAAATATGTGCAAATAAATCACGTGACCCTTTCTTCTGGTTGAAACCGGAAGTGCTTTGTAATTTAAAATTGGTGAAAGACGCGAACTTGCTTTCAACGATGTTTGCTCTGGCTAAGTTGTTCTTTACCATAATATTATAGTAATAGATAAAACTTTATGTGACGTCATCATGACGTCATCACGTGTCATGTGACGTCATTATTCAAAGCCCTATGCGAATGGAATCACATATATGCCACCATTTATTATAAACAGAACTACACATCCTTCGTTGATGGAACACATGTCACATGTCACAAAAAGCTACCGAAACAGCCCTATGTTTGTCCACAAACATATGTCTAGTTCAAGTCTGTAATGCAGTACACGCATGGGATCGCACACGCATGGGGTCGAAAATGTACGTAGCGTCCCCGCTACTAGGACAGGATGCGGTATGTCGTACCCCCGGCACAGAGCTTGGCAGTCGCGCGCGGCGGACGCGATTAAAACCACTCATTAGTCATTATAGACTTGATTTCAAGTCTACACCGGCATTGGTTTGGCAGGATAGTCAAGCACTATACGACGGTGCGCCACCGCCCAGCGGCCCACGCATGCGCAATACACCAGTTCACAAAGAATAAATGCAAATTAATACACGCATGCGTAGAGTTTCGCCCATGCTGATTTCCCTTGACCTCGTGTGCACGGCACGAAATCAAACTAGATTCAGCTAGCTTCAGCTACCTTCACGATTCAATGAAACGTGACGACTGAACTTTTGTATAGCAAGGTGGTAAACAAAGTGGGAAGATGTATCATTAACGAAACTTCTGACATGCTAATTAATAAAACGATGAAATGCAGTTCAAAGTATTATAATCTGTTGACATTCCTAGCCTTTTGTCACACCAAGTTTGGAGTTATCTCACACCAAGTTGGCAAACTTCTAAACTTCAAACCGCAGTCATCATGTTTGACAATGACTACCAAATCCTCAGTCTTTACCATCGTGAAGACGATTATTAAGCAATAAATGAAATGTTGATTAAGACAAAAAGGGCCACATGTTACACTGCTACACTGATTTTTTTCCCATAAAGAATCTCATTCCTTAGAAAATGTATCGAGGGGTAAAAGACAGGCTCAGTTTTCTGGAACAATTTTGTTTCCTTGAAAAAGTCACTTATTTTAAAGAAATCCATCTATGGATGTGTTTTACATACAGTATGTCTATTATAGTAATTTCCTTTCTCCAAAGACTTTTAAAATAATTGTGTATGGTCTGAGACATCCATTTCGTTTCAGAATTATAAACCTAGAGATTCTTTACCAGTTCAGTTTGAAAGGCGAGGCTTGTGCATGAAATAACCACAAATATAGACACACACGAAAGCAGTTTTTTTTTTTATAAAGCTCAAGCCCAAAGGCATTGCTATGCTCAGTTGAGTCAAGGCCAGGTGGGCCAGGACAACAATGGCTCTTTTCTTATGTTAAAAGCCTGTATAGAAAATCATTGATACGTGTCAAACAACTTCCATACGGTAAGGCAATGGTACCTGTCAGGATATGCCGTGAAGCCGCCATTTTGAGAGCTCTGGGCCATATATTAAACTACATTAGGCCTACGGGTGGTGTACACCAGTAATTAAATAGGCCCAAAATGGCCTATGCCGGCCAAATCACGATTTGAGGGTTGGTGGAAATGAAGGGCCTTAGCTCTGAAATGGTCTTGGAACTTGTATTTCTGGAAAATTTGGGATGAATTTGGACACAAAGTAGCTCTAATTTGCAATAGAGTGGCGGGATATTATATTAGTGAAAAGTCAGCCCAAATTAAGTCACTGTTCATCCCAAAGGAATAGATAGCGAGAGAGGGTAAACAAGCTTTAATTTGATTTACATGTATGTGTCTCGATCAGCAGTTGGAGCAATGAGCATTTTCCATCTATTTTGTTTGAGGTGGAGGCATTTCTCATTGGTGCCTATATTTACTGGTCTGCACTACATACACGCGTACATGGTATCTGGACTTCGGTTGCGCGGCCAGCTGAAAGCCTTCAATAAATAATACTTTTAGGGGATGTGGATTAAATAATTTCTTTGAACTTGCTTTAAGCACGACAACACCAGGCTCGTAGGAAGCTCAAAATCATTGGCTAGGCTCATCGGAGTATTTGGCCAAATCTCTCCCAAATGAAACGGTAAGTTAAGCTACTATCTCAGGGGCAACCTAGTATTGGACTCAATCATGTGTATGAGAATCCCAAAACTAAGGTACTGACAACATGCGATACAAGAAAATAGACTGGCATCTGAAACAACCAGTCCAATAACTCTTCAGTATACATCAATCAACTATGCCAAACAAATATATATGATGCGAGGTACTAGTCTCTATTTCTACACATTTCACCATAGACAGCCACCAGACTATATATGACAATGAATGAGGAAGTCAGTCTTTTCGAACAGTTGGACCATGGATGGACATGCATAAGTCTAGTCTTTAGCCTCATTTTGAAAGCCCTTGACTTCCCTCTCATGTGCAAAATATTGAAGAAAAATCACCTTTTAAAATAGAGTTCAGTTTTCAAACTAAATTGGTGAAATGCCGAGGACCTTGTCTTTGCCCAATGAAAATTTTGGAGAATTTGCATTGCTAAAGAGTAAGTAAAGTTGGCCTGATTTCGTTTTGCAATGCATGTTTTTGAGCAATAAAATCCCAGTGTGGGTGCACCCCTGAACATAATTACACTTAACTTGTACAAACGCAGAGTGGTCGGATAGACAACTATTTCATTAGACATTGTCCAGGTTATCAATATGTTTTTGTCAGAAAAAAAAGGATCAAGAACTTCAACATTATTTTCCAGTACCAATTATTTTGTACAAAACGAAAGCGTCTTTTAGGGTATGATAAATTTCAGTAAAACTGTAGGTACTCGAACAAGTTATTTCCGGTTTGATGACGTCATCAGTCAAAAAAGGGAAGGGAGAACACTTGTTTATCTTTTACTTAAAATAACGCATGGAAATATGGAATTTAAGTGTATGTAATAATAACACCCAACTTCCGGTTTAATGACGTCACAGTATTTGGAAACAAAGGGTCAATTTTAAGTGTAACAGATGTCATTTTTTGGGCCAAAAAAAGCCATGAGACAGGGATCATAATGATGGATTTAAATTAAAAATAGAATGATAATTGTTGATTTCCCCCTACAGTAACTTCCGGTCTGATGACGTCATGGTTATGAAACCTTGCAAATTAATTTGTGGTTGCTCACGGGCTATATCGGGGCAATTTCATAATAATTTGATTGAGGGTTTTAACATTTCAAAAGAACAAATTTTTGGCGCTTGAAAGTTAATTAATTGAAAAAAGCGGTGGCCTAGAATGGAAAACTTTCCGTATTATTTTTTCAAAAATAAGACAATGATTAATTTTGTGATTTGAAAAAGAATCATTCAAATAAAATCAGTAAACCTGTGTAACTCTTCTCTGCGCCCTTTTGACCTCTCCGATGCCCACCAATTCCTCGTAAGACTGCAGCAAAGACACCACTATTCCGTCACTCCGTAGCCTACTCAGCAGACCGGTCGGTGCTGCCTCACCAGGCGGTGCTGCACCGCCACCGGCCGCCGGCCTCCCCGGCCCACTGACCGAGTTCTCCGCTGCGCCCGACGAACTCGTCGACATCGTTCGCAGTGCTCGAATCACGGTCAGCTTTTGAAAGTCGAACTGCCTCGCCATGATAATGATAGCACTGAATCGGCTTAGAGATTAAAAGACTTAAAAATGACAAATTTTACATTTTGTTTTCAGGTTTTTTTTTAGGGGAATACCACACCTTTCTGGCAGGTTGTGTTATGCAGTCAACGTTGGTACATAAGACCTCCCCTATGCATACGCGGGTACGGTATGAACGTAGACGTATAAAAAAAAATAGAGGGCGGTTTAAACAGTGAATGAGCATGAAGTAAATTGTGATCAATAGAAGGCGCTACATGAATTATTGACAAGTACGTTGTATATACACCGAGTGAGACGGCTTGGGATGTCTTGGATGCGTGGATGCGTGGATGCGTGGATGCGCGGAAGCGCGGATGCGGGCTGGATGAGCATGAAGTCATCAATAGAGGGCGCTTTATTTACCCCAGGACCTTCTACTGTATTTACCCTATAGGACCCACTACTTTATTTCCCTATCTAAAACCAACCCACCTACCCACTCATTCCGTCTTGGATGCGTGGATGCGGGGTGGGCATGAAGTAAATTTTAAACAATAGAGGGTGCATTATTGGAAGCCTGGATGCGCGGATGCGGGGTTGGCATGAAGTAAATTTTAATCAATAGAGGGCGCTTCATTGGATGCCTGGATGCGCGCGGATGCGCGGATGCGGAGTGGGCATGAAGTAAATTTTAATCAATAGCGGGCGCTAAAGAAAACCGACTTCGCATCCCGCCACGCAGCCATGGATGCACGGATATTATATAGAATGAAGTGGCCCTAGTTGTAATCTCGTCCCCAGGGTGTCGAGCAGTATGCGCCCATCACTACCTCCTCTCTCACCCTGGTATTGGACATTTGCATGTGCAAGATTTTTTTAAACACGTATGCGAATAAGGAATAGTCTGGTGCCTGCATGTGCGTTACAGTAGCGCTTGTTTTTGTATGCGGTGTCTAGGGTACAAACAGAGTCAATTCGTCACAGCGCGAGCATGGCGTGAGTTACGAAAACAAGATTTATTCAATTAAACTGTTACGATCTTATCGAAACAATGCAGTATCACAATTCATATTAATATGAACAAATTGGAAGGAAATGAGTATTTTCGAGAAGGCGTGGCGATCGCGAAACTGCACGTACTGCACGTTTTGAATATCAACACCAAGTACACGATAAAAATCCATTTGAAGCCAAATGCAGTATCGAATCAGGAAACTGGAAGAATGATTCCTATCCAGGGCTTACTATTGGAAACGCGGTTGGAAATAAAGTAAGCACTGGGGACGGGGTTGCCCTAGTTGTACCATTTAATTGGTTGATATTGCACAGGTTGGAAAGAATTACAAATCGAGTCACCGTTAAGATTGCACAAAGTGTACACATGGGACGTCGGAATATTCATGACATTTTAAGCGAAAAGCCGGCTGCTAATGCTAGTGCTTGTCCTGGGAAATTGGCGGCGCATATATTTTCTTCAAATGTTTTGCCTATAGGCTCTGCAGGAGAGAAAGTGTTGAGCAGCAAACGAGGTTTATTTTGCCATGAACCTAGTCCCATAAATGTGACGGAAATACTGGACTACCGTGTGGTATAACCACGGAGCGTCCCATTGCTAGGAAAGCCGCTTTAATTAAGCCACGATTGCCAGGGCGAAAGGCTAGTCCACCTGGCACGAATCATGGCACCATCTAAAATCTACAAATGTCTGCGAATTTATTCACAGAACGTGATCTTTATTACCTTTGTATGTGTTTTCCATTAAAATGACGAGATTGCAAAGCTCGAACTTGTGGCGAAACATCCTAGCGTGTTTCTGCAGTAGTTTCTGCAAGATTTTCGGCCATATCACGTGGGATGGGCCGTACACAGTGCAGTAATACACACTGATACTGCAACGTGAGTGCGGAGCGATGTACGGCTGGCCAGACTGAATGTCGGCGGCGCCAGATATTTTACTTAGGTGAGGCAAGTTTTAATCACTTTTGATGGCCAGTCTTGATAGTTTTCGTGGCGCAAGTAAAAATAATCCAGGCACAAAATAAACATGATTCCTTGCTCTATACTAATATTATTATTTATTACGATGCTCCATTAATCAGCACCCCCCAAAAAAGAAAATTGGCGAAACAATTTTCCGACCTACTGATGCTATTTTGAAAGGCATGTATTAAATCGGAAGCAAAAGGATTTTTTCCTCACCTTAATTTCTTTATTTGAAACTTACTTGTAAATGTAAACCATACTTTTCTAGTTCAGGAAGCTTCAACACGGGTTGTGAAATGTTGATTTTTTTTAAGTTAACAATTTTGATTTTTTTTTAATTACAAAAGTAGGGGCCTACCAGATCTTCTCACAAAAATGTTCGGGGCCCTTATAAAGTGAATGAAATGCACCGATTGAATATCTTGAATGCTTAATGTTTTTGTACAAATATTTTGCGAAAGAATACACTTTTTAAGGGCCCCGAACATTTTTGTGAGAAGATCTGATAGGCCCCTACTTTTCCATACTTTTCTAGTTCAGGAAGCTTCAACACAGGTTGTGAAATGTTTTTTTTTTTTTAAGTTAACAATTTTGATTTTTTTTTTAATTACAAAAGTAGGGGCCTACCAGATCTTCTCACAAAAATGTTCGGGGCCCTTAAAAAGTGAATGAAATGCACCGATTGAATATCTTGAATGCTTAATGTTTTTGTACAAATATTTTGAGAAAGAACACGCATGAGCATGCAGAACTGAAATAAGAAAAAATTACAAAATAAAATTATTTCCCTACCTACCTACCTACCTGGATTTTTTTTTTAGGCCGTTACCGTAAACACACCAATTTTTTTGTTTGGCCTTAATCCTGGGCTCCACCCAGTGTAACGGATACCCGGCCTACTTTATCTCAGACAAGAGAACAGAGGCGCACTACTTAGTACCCCAAAAATGCATTAGGTGGGTCTCGGTTCGGTAATGGATCTCAAGAATTTCTCTTGGAATAAAATGTCTCTTTGAGATAAAATAAAAAATTCAGTCCAATTGAATATTACGTGTTTCTTAAATGTTTTTCTGGAATTCAAATACACTGTAAAATATGTTTCTTTGGTTAATATATGACCGTTTGAAAACATTAACACTCAGTAACAAAGCTGGTTTGATCATTTTCACATCTAACTGTAAAATCTGCACCCTGTTGAATTCAATAGGCAGAGTATTATGAGAATACAAACTCAATTTGTAGTTAAAGCTTACTTGCACCATAATTACAGTTCTTTCTTCACAGCCTAGTTAATGAAAGAAATGATTATTCTCATTTATTATGCCTGCTAGAAACAGGACAATGGCAAAATACTACACCACAGTTAATAAATGCAATACAATATTACATACTAGACGGCAAATTAGTGAAATACAAAAATAAAAGAATTTTATGAATGAAACTTTGAAATTAACCCAAACATGACAAATTGGAACATGATTATACATGCTCGGTATAAGATGTAAGAGTTAAATTCAAACCACATATTATTAGTGTGGTGAGTTCTACGTTACGTATACCGTGAAAAACGCGGAGACTTAGAGAAACAATCATGTACGTTTCAACTATGTTATTACTGTCGCTCGGACACAGGTCCGACCGGTTCAGAATCAGAACAACAACTCCACTAACTCCTGTCTTGTAAACTGTACTTATTTAACAAAGTGTTTACAACGGAATAAAGAACCAAACATTCTAATAATAATATTTACGATAAGCGCGCACGCACAAGTCATCGCTGTGTAAGTAATTCAGAGGATATTTTACCAATAATCAATAAGCAATTAATCAATAATCGATGAGCAATAAAGTCTGTGTAATTTCACAACACTCTCCCCCGCTTCGTTTGAGAAGTTTCCTGCACGCAGAGGAGGTAAGTCACATACGTGTACAATATACATAGTGAATACGTAAGCAATCGATTGTGGAAATCAATCTATGTCAAGGAAAGAAGTGTTTATTTCATTAATTAACTAATACGAATTTCAAATGTTCCCTAAATTCAATTATCGCTCTAACCGTTCAACTTATATTTTCTTCACAGGTGACAATCCGGGACTCAGTGGTTCTCGTTCAAGTGGCCCGATTTCGTCAAGGAGGACTAGGGCCCATTGCCAGCCTCAGAAACAATACAATCTGTTAATTAGAGTCTCAAAATGGTTAAACATTGATAGCCTCTGTGCCTTTTAGCCTAAAAACTATAAACAAGACTTTTCAAGAACTGAAAGATACAGATTAACAACAAATGAACATTAATGTTTTTACGATCTGTCTTAAGAACTGTACAACTTGTCAGTCCGTATAGAGCATCGTCTGTGCAGGTGCTCTGCGCTCAAAGCGCGCACGCACAAGTCATCGCTGTGTAAGTAATTCAGAGGATATTTTACCAATAATCAATAAGCAATTAATCAATAATCGATGAGCAATAAAGTCCGTGTAATTTCACAACACTAGTTATCCCGCGAGCGCAAGTAGAACACGGAATAATATAATGTAGTGCGTCTGTGTCCCACATACCACGAGGCCGAATACGTGGGACACAGACGCACTACATTTTCCGTGTTCCACGAGTGCGAGCGTGATAACGAATTTATCTTCAAGCAAACTTGACGCACAATAAAGATGAAACGCACGCTGTACACAAAAGTGCTTATCCTAATACACGTGCGTGGTTTGTACGGAATGGCGTGCGCTTCTTGGAATATCGCAAAACGCAGAGTGCGGTATGGACCGTGGCCGTGCTACATGGCTACATAGCACGGCTTGTTGCCATGAATTATAAAACCTCAACCTTGTTCAACATTCCCTGTAAGCAAATTTCTTTGGATGCGAAAAATATTTGGTATTTTTGCATTGCTCTAGACTACAAGTCACCGTGAAATGTGTGCAGTAGGCCTTTCATTTGAATATACTGTAGAGTATAGGCAATATCAGGACCGCAAAGGTTCCAGAGACCACAGTGGACAGTGTGCTCATTTTCTGCTCCAGTTTCTGCTCAGCATTGTTCACCGCCTCAACTGTCTGCTCCTCTTGACTCGACTTTGCGTCGATGGAGGTCCGGATGTCCTTCCGGAGCTTCCAGATCATGGCCTTGTACCCCAGCAGGCCGATGATAGTAAAAATGAACCCCAAATATTTGGTCCTCTCCCCTTGCGATCGTTGTTTCTCGTGGCTCTCTCTAACAGCCGCCGACAATTTTGCAAACGTGTTTCTCTCCGTGTCCTCCAACCAGTAGTGTTTCTCCTCCATTTTCCTCTCCTTCTGGATGGCCAGGTGCTCCTCTTCCACATATTCTAAGAATTTGGTGTCATCTCGGGCTGTTTGGTCCAGCTTGGCACGTATTGCTCTCAGCTCATCGTTATGAATGTGTAACTTGTGGGCGGATTTCTTGAGTGTTTCACGGACTTCCATAAATTGCTGTTCAACCTAAAGGTGTAGAAGGAAAACTTTCAAATTAATCTCACCACTTGACATGGCTTTTTATTGAAAAAGGAATCAAAAGGTCATCCAAAGGTCATCCAAATACAAAGGTTTTGTCTTTTATCTTTTGTCGAAACATCCCCTGCTAAAAAGTCAATAAGTGCAATACATGATGCAAATTTCAGCCCTCTAATTTGTAGGTGTTAAGTTTTGGTCATTACTTGTATAGTTGGACAGTTTTTCACACTAGGCCACCATTTACTAGCCGCCAAACACATCAATTTTCACCTCACCTTGTGATTCATTACAGAAAACCGAGCCCAATCTAATGCATTTTATTAGTTTCTGATGAGGTTCAAGCCTAATGAAGCATGTAGTGCCTGAGGCGAATTACCTGATGTTTTAGACTGATAAGAGCCTACTTGTGGTCAGTTGTACCTGATCCACTAGCTGAGAGCATGATCTGATTACAAGGTAATTGGAAAACAATGATCGTTTAGTTCAAGAGTTATAGGTGAAAGAATATCATCATTTTTTCAACAAAAATTGCTTGTAATTTGACTACCGATGACGTCATCATAACGTCAGAGTAATACGCACCACTTAAGATGAGGGCCGATATATATGTCCAGAAAAAAAGAAAGATTCATCAGAACAATAACAGAGAGTGGTGGTCACCGGGAGGGTTGTGCCCGACCACTCAACTCGGGTGGGGCAGACCAGAAAATAGACCAAAAATTGCCTATTCGCCGGCCAAATCATGATTTGGGGTTTAACAATAATAATAATAATTATAATAATAATAATCGGCATTTAAGAACGCCCTTTTTAGTAAACTAAATCACGGCGCTTACAGTATTATTATTACCCCGATCATTGGGCCAATTAAACATTCCAGTAGAAATGAAGGGGCCCCAGCTCTGAACCGGTCTTTGAACTTGTATTTTTGGGAAATATGTTTTCGAAGAAATGATGTGCTAGATCTTGAATCGGGATCAGGGTAGATACAAAAAGAAAACATCTGTGACTTGGTCCGGCTTGCAGCTTGTTTGTGTGTACTGTACCGGGTTCGTACGCCGATGTCATTCAATTATTAATAAGGTTCCGTTTAGTTGGTATAGCCAGTCAATCAACATTGCAACACCGGCATTGGTTTGGCAGGATAGTCAAGCAATATGTGACGGTGCGCCACCGCCCAGCGGCCGCGCGCGCATGCGCAATACACCAGTTCACAAAGAATTCATAAATGCAAATTCATACACGCATGCGTAGAGTTTCGCCCGTGCTGATTTCCCTTAACCTCGTGTGCACGGCACGAAATCAAACTTGATTCAGCTAGCTTCATCTGCACCTTCGCGATTCAATGAAACGTGACGATTGAACTTTTGAATAGCAAGGTGGTAAACAAAATAGGAAGATGTATCATTAACGTAACTTCTGACATGCTAATTAATAAAACGATGAAATGCAGTTCAAAGTATTATAATAAGTTGACATATTCCTAGCTTTTAGTCACACCAAGTTTGGAGTTATCTCACACCAAATTGGCAAACTTCTAAACTTCAAACTGCAGTCATCATGTTTGCCAATGACTACCAAATCCTCAGTCTTTACCATCGTGAAGACGATTATTAAGCAATGAATGAAATGTTGATTATGACAAAAACGGCCACAATATGCTACACTGCTACACTGATTTTTTTTCCCATAAAGAATCTCATTCCTTGGAAAATTTATCGAGGGGTAAGACAGGTTCAGTTTTCTGGAACAATTTTGTTTCCTTGAAAAAGTCGCTTTAATATTTTAAAGAAATCCCTCTATGGATGTGTTTTACATACAGTATGTCTATTATAGTAATTTCCTTTCTCCAAAGACTTTTAAAATAATTGTGTAAGGTCTGAGACATCCATTTGACCATTTCGTATCAGAATTATAAAACTAGAGATTCTTTACCAGTTCAGTTTGAATGGCGAGGCTTGTGCATGAAATAACCACAAATATAGACACACACGAAAACAGTTTTTTATTAGCTCACGCCCAAAGGCATTGCTATGCTTTGAGTCAAGGCCTGGTGGGCCGGGACAACAATGGCTCTTTTGGCTAATTATGTTAAACTAGCGGGATGCCGCGCTTCGCGCGGCACCCGCTAGATGGGTAGAGTTGACTGTTTCGTAATAATTACTGTATACAATGAAATCTCGATAATTTAAACTCTAATAACTCCAAACAACTGTTAAGTCAAAAAAGAATCATACCCTCTGCTGCACGCGAGGCGCGAGCCTATTTGGACTCGCCATCAGTCTCGCCTAATTTGTATTTGCGTTCAACGTGCGCGTACATAACGTTTCCTGCGCGTTATGCGGAGATTGTGCGAGGGTCCAGGACATATTGTCAATATAGGGGAAGGGGCTAGCTAGGGTGAAGGGTGCTAGTTGGAACGCCCAATTTCCGTAAAACCGTCGACCATGTCACCAATATTTCCGGGGATGGGGAGAAACATTTCCAGGGATGGGGAGAAATGGTTTTTGTTATAGAGGGGAGATGGTGATATTGAAATCGCTGATATTGTGGAGGTTTATGTTTGTGCTGGGATTCATACCGTTTAATGTTTTAAATTGCGCGCCGATTAGGAAGGACTTGCTGTCAACAGTTGAATGAAATTAAGTATTCATTGCCGACCGATTGTCTCATGCGGTGTCTCATTATATAAAGCTCATAAATAATGTTGTGCAGGAATATTGTCCAGTCAATTTGAACATTGAATTTTCAAGGTGCCAAACCATTAAGGACGTATACACCAACTGTACAATTAGGTAATTTAGATAAACCGCGGTTTGATCTTGGCCTATACAACGTCGTATCCATCGTTCTCACTACAGAGGAGAGGAGGGGGCAGCCAGTGGGGGTGGGGGTTGGGTACTGTGTGGGCGTCGCCAGAATTTTTTCTAGAGGGGGGCAAAACATATTTTTGCCCACAAAATGCCTGTTTTTCTCAACACATTCTCGATTTATCAGTTTTAGAGGGGGGCAGAGACATTTTGCTCCCCCCAACCCATTAAATTTACACCACTATGACTTTTTTTTGGCTTTTCCGGGGGGGGGGGGGAGTGCCCCCCCCCCACGCGACGCCCATGCCTATTTATGTTACACCTGTGAATGGTCACTTATATTTCCGGGGAAGTGGACAACAATTTATATTTGTTATGGTGAAGGGGGTGTTTCTTATGTATTAAGTAGAAGTTAATGTCATTATAGCAGTTGGTGTTTTTATTATGGTGATGGGGTTGTACAGCAAAGTATCGTAACACGTTTATTTGCAGAAGAGAGTAACACTAAAAGAAAGGACATATTGGAGCACTTCATTATTATGTCAAGCAACACATGTTAAATGTATTTATTACAAAACTGTGAAAATGAAATCAGGTATACACACATTTTTTTTGTAATAATGTATTTGCATTCATTACTGTACAGGGTAGTACTTCGACAAAACTCAGGGGATATAAGTGTAGTCAGTTTTAGGAGCAATTTTCGCAAGGGACGGCGGTCCAGGCTTGTTTACCATAGGCACAAACATTTCATGAAAGACTTTCAAGCAAGACGGCCAAAGGATATTGTGCAATTGCAGTTTTTTGTGTTAAAAGCTGTAATCATAAATAATGACAGTGGCATTGTAAGTTACAGGACAACATTTTTTTAATGAGTGTTGGTGAAAACTCATGAGAAACGGAGGGGTATGCGATCATGAGTATTTTGTTGTGAAATTTTAAGAGTGATTATGTAATTTGGTAATCAAAGACATTGTTTTGTTATCAAATAAGTTTGCCAGGATCGACACAGTCTGCTTGGCCAGTAATTATCGGGTAATCATTCTATCATTATTCTTTGGTACAACTAAGCCAAGGATATAATTTTAAAAAAGGATGGACATCAAACAGCAGAAAAGAGTGATTTTTTTGGCACTATTTCATGACTTCTAAAAATAACATTATGGCTAGAAGGAAAATGTGTTTTGAATGGGTAAAGAGAAAAAGCAGGAATCTTGCAGTTGAACTTGAAAGAATAGGTGTCTTCGTCTTGAGTTGAGATTATTGCTTTAGGAACTGGTTGAAGCAGGCACTGGAGCATGCTTGGAGCATGGTTGAAGCTGGTCATGTGATGTGGGTGTCATCGGGAGTCCTGTGTAAAGGAGTTAAAAAGAAATGAATAACGACTAAGGTGAAGAAAACTTGCAATACCCATTTATGCAGAATGCACTACTGAAGTACTAACCAAACATGCCAAACAATGAAACATGTCTTATACGTTGTATTTTTGTGAACCCCCCCCCCCCCCACACACATATGATTTTATCTCAGCAGAACAGCAGAGACACTGAACAGTCATCAATGTATTAGTTTCCTCTTTATCCCGCTTGGGTTCATGTCTGTTGTCATGTCATGTGATTTTCTGCCAGAGTGTATTCTCTAAGATGTACTATTCTAACTGTGTTGGTTTCAGGTTTTAGTCTTTGCCTGTATTTTTTGGTTTTTGGCCTGAGGTTTCTTTATTAAGTTGGTTATTGGTCTTTGATTTGCAGTAAATTAATTTTGTTTTGCCTATGAGTATGAAAGCCATTTCTTTAAAGGAAGTTTTTAGTATGATTTGCCGTGTTCTAAGATTACCACAAAGATTTAGTTTGCATCATTTGTATGGAATGAATGTACATTTCATGGCCTATATACAAATGCAGCAGTTTTTTTGTGGCTAGTACTGAGTAGTAGTAGTAGGCCTAGGCTTAGGACTAAAACAAACTAAAGCAAAATCCAAAAATAAACTACCAACAAAGCCGAATTGTGAAATCAAAAGTTGACAAAGTTCTACAAACATGTTCGGGTACATGTTCCAAGTGAGGCCTGTAGTTGCGGAGAAAGGAAGTTTTTAGTATGATTTGCCGTGTTCTAAGATTACCACAAAGATTTAGTTTGCATCATTTGTATGGAATGAATGTACATTTCATGGCCTATATACAAATGCAGCAGTTTTTTTGTGGCTAGTACTGAGTAGTAGTAGTAGGCCTAGGCTTAGGACTAAAACAAACTAAAGCAAAATCCAAAAATAAACTACCAACAAAGCCGAATTGTGAAATCAAAAGTTGACAAAGTTCTACAAACATGTTCGGGTACATGATCCAAGTGAGGCCTGTAGTTGCGGAGGTCATGCAGCATGCAGTAAATTGGCCACATAAAGCCTAGCCATGGAGCAAGGAAAACGAAGTAAACACACGGCCAAACTTGGGCCGAGGCCTCCCCCGTACAACCCTCTCCGTACAACCCTCCCCGTACTACCACCAGACTACGCCATCATTGGACACTTACAAACTCACATTTTTCACAAACAACAATGCTTCTCAATGCCAGTGGCGTTCGAAAGAATACCACTTTCTCAAACAAAAATACATATCATAAATGAGACTTACCGTTCAAAGAGAAAACTGGAGCAAGGAGGAACAGATACATCAACCATGTCAACAATGCTGTGCTGTTGCATGCGCTGCATGCTCACAACGGGGGTCAGACAAGTCGACCGTTGAGACAACTCGACTCGGGACAAGTCGACCGTTGAGACAACTCGACCGTTGAGACAACTCGACCGTATGTGCGATAAATAGAAAGACAAGTCGACCGTTGAGACAAGTCGCCTCGCATGATTTTGGGCCTAGTTTTGGGGATAGTACCGGGGATTTTAAAAGACGGCGGCTGATCACCGTTTGGGAGTTATGACACGTGACTTTGTTTTGTTGCATATAATAGAGCAGAGCCGATATAGCGCAGCGTGATTGTCCTTGCATGCACATCGTTCGTTTTTGCCGGGCCTGTGCGCGCATCTCCGGTCAACCACGTGGCCGTACCGTAGTCTGGTTCCCCGACCTGACAATTTCCCCCGACGTCTACACGTCTAAATTGTAGGTCAGGCAGCCTCCGTGGCTAAAAATAAACATGACGACATTGACAGCCCTTTTTCAAAGCTCGACTTCGTTTCCGAGTTCGCTTTATCACATAAAGCTTTTAATGTTCCGATAATTTTTTTTTAAAAATAAATCACTTGCTTCATATATCATGCAGTTATGATATACAGTTTAATACTTCTGTAAAAAGAATTGACTAATTTTAACCTGGAATCTTCAAAGTTGGACACCCAAACAGCACTGTTAGCAGGCGGAGCCGAATTGAGACCACGCCGCGTTTTGGAAAATGCCGGTAACGGTCGTCAAATTCAAACTAGTGCATGACGCAGCAAAAAGTTCGCCCTTCGTATACGATCCGAGTGCAAAATCGTCGTTGAATTTTTAGTTTTCTAAATAAAAACAATGGATTTTAATTATCAACTTATTTTTTAAAGTTTTTAATAAGCAATTAGCAGTTAATAAAACCTATATTATACTCGGAAATACTCGGACACTATCCGATTGTCGACGAAATGAATTCGGCAAACTTCGGACAGTTTCGGAAAAAGGAGGAATTCCTCCCGTTTTAGTCACGTGATGTAAATTGTAATACATTGTATTACCGGAGGCTACCTGACCTAAGATTCATCAGGAATAGTCGGAATCTTTTGGTCTGGGAACCAGACTAGCCGTACCGTGCACGTGCCGTGCACGTTAACTGTCTCAACGGTCAATTAAGTTGTCCCGACTGAGTTGTCTTAACGGTCGACTTGTCTCAACGGTCGACTTGTCTCAACGGTCGACTTGTCCCGAGTCGAGTTATCTCAACGGTCGACTTGTCTGACATTCCTCACAACGTACGTACATGTATACGTGGCACGTCAATTATCCGGCCCGTACGCTGCATGCTCATAAACGAACGTATACGACGTGGCACGTCAATTATCCGGCCCGTAGGCAAGATGGCCGGCGCGGCCGGCTGGCTCAATGGGGAAGGGAATTATGGGAAATAGGGTGGAAATAGCCGGGCCCCGTTCCGCATCCCCCGCAGCCAACGGGCGCGATGGGGACGGGAGACCGGTCGGGAAAATGGCAGCGCCCCCCAATCATTTTCGCGATTGTAGTATAGAAGCCTGTATAGAAAATCATTGATACGTGTCAAACAGCTTCCATACGGTAAGGCAATGGTACCCGTCAGGATATGCCGTGAAGCCGCCATTTGAGAGCTCCGGCCCAAATTTTAAACTACATTAGGCCGTATTTTGTGGTGCACACCAGTAATTAAAATAGGCCCAAAATGGCCTATGCCGGCCAAATCACGATTTGAGGGTTGGTGGAAATGAAGGGCCCTAGCTCTGAAATGGTGTGGAACTTGTATTTCTGGAAAATTTGGGATGAATTTGGACACAAAGTAACTCTAATTTGCAATAGAGTGGCGGGATATATTAGTGAAAAGTCAGCCCAAATTAAGTCACTGTTCATCCCAAAGGAATAGATAGAAAGAGAGGGTAAACAAGCTTTAATTTGATTAACATGTATGTGTCTCGATCAGCAGTTGGAGAAATGAGCATTTTCCATCTATTTTGAGGTGGAGGCATTTCTCACTGGTCTGCACCTATACAAACACACGTACATGGTATCTGGACTTCGGTTGCGCGGCCATCCTGAAAGCCATAAATAAATAATACTTTTAGGGGATGTGGATTAAATAATTTCTTTGAACTTGTAAAAGCACGACAACACCGAGCCTTGTCAGGTCAACTCGCCCCCTGGCCGACTCGCCCCTTACTGACTCGCCCCTTACCGACTCGCCTCCTAGCCGACTCGCCCCCTGACCGACTCGCCCCCTGGAAAATTAAGCGCCTTACAAGGACATCGTGAAAATAAAAAATAATAACGACACGGCGTGAAACCAAATTATTCAAATGCCATTTTGAAGGATTTCCGGTGCAAGAAACTATAGGCCTAGATCCTTTTATGGAGAATTTGGGTTGTAAACACATTAGCACAGCTGTACCGATATTCGCGAAGTGCCCGTGGGGCCTATGCGCGTATAGCAGCCGGTCTATTTCGAGGTCCATCAACGATGATGCCATAAAAATCTAAAAAAAGTCTAAAAATCGTAGATTTCCTATCGAAAACGAAATATACTTTTCTGAATTTTTAGCGATCACTTGTATTTCCTTTTCGTCATCGTACTCTGAAATACTCTGCATGATCAAGTGAGCGTCGTAATTTTGCAGATTGTGAAAAAAAGACTGGTATCGGTGTACAACCGGGTTTAATTTGTAGTTTGAGGTTACAATAAGCGTGTGCGGCACCCCTATATTTACCAGTGACGTGGCAGTGATCTCTCACCTTTCTAAATTTATTAATCTTCTTTTTGCATTCGAGGCATTTAGACTCGATAAATCCCCTACTATTTTTGTACTGATATTCTTTCATTTGTTTTATCGTCTTGGGTTCTCTGGGTTTCTGGCACTGACAGTTGCTCGAGTAATTAGGATAAATTGGTTTCTCGCAAATCCAACACGCGTTTGTTTTATCATGATGTTCTTTAGCTCGCTCGTTAAATTTCATGGGTTGGGGTTTTTCATATAGACAATTTATGCCGCTTTGTATTTTTAACATTTTATTTACAAACTTTGATACAGCGTCTTTGCCTCTATAAGTCTCTTGATCCACATTTTTACCGTCGCATCGGACGACAACTAGCGAATAACCGCTTGCTTTGTGAACGTTAATCTTTTTTGTGTTTGTCTCTTTGTCTGAGTGAGTAGGTTTAGATGTTAGTGTCTGTGTGGGTGTTGTTGTTTGTAGTATGGATTCAAAGTCAGCATAAATGACAAATGGTGCTTTTTGTTTGTGCCTATAGTTTTTAAATTCTAATATCGGTACGTCTCTTTCGCCTGGTTGCCCGTCTATGTATTTTGGTTTACCTGTCGGAAATACAATCTTTGATGGAAGTGCATCTATACCCTTACAATCGGCGATATGTCTGTCTAATTTCTTTTGATTGGTAAAATGATATAGACGTCTTCGACAAAAATATTTCTTTACATTTATGTTTTGTAACGTCGTACATCAACCTCGTAAAATATGTTATCCAACAATAGTGATGCTTGTCACCTTTAGAAATCAAAACCAGATTGATCTCTCGTGACCCGTAGTTTTTAGACACGTATAATGGATATATCTCACCCTCATAACCGTATACGTTTATCGATAAATTATTTTGTCTTTCTATCTTGGGTATCTGATCGACCGGTGTCGGAAAGTCAACGCCTTTAAATTTGAGTCCGTCGTCTTTGATGTAAATCGACGGTCTGCTTTCGTTGATTTTGTAATTAGGATTATTTCTTATTTGATTTTTTACTTTGTCCGTGTATAACCCCAAGGCAGATCAAACACCATCTCAAACACTCGTCGTCTTTGTTTTGTACGTTGATCATCGCCTGTTTAATTTTAAGATGTTCAGGTAGGTTTATGTAAAAACTACCTCTCGCTGGATTATATCTGTTGATGTTGATGTATAACGCGAGTATTGTATCGACTACCCAACCCGATCCTTGATTCTTATACCGTTCATCCTTTTTAAATAGCTCATCGATCTCTTCTTTTAAAACCTGTTTTATTTGACTTTGATTTAAAACGGCTTTCGGCTTGCTATAATGAATAGCTTCGATTGTTTCGATGATATCGTTCGGTTTGATTTTTCGATACCTTATTTTTATCACAAGCTCTACTTTTAAACCTCTTAAGGCCTTTTCACACTGCACAGCCAATCCCCGGGAAATAAATCCCCGGGAATTTCCCGGGGATTTTTAACCCCACCAATACCCCAGCAACCGTTCACACTAGACACATTTGATAACTCCCGGGGACGCTATTTCCCGGGAATATGCACGATCGTTTCACACTCGCAATCAAACCCCGGGAATTGTGCAAAAGTTTTAGGCGGACAGTCGGCTATTAATTTCGAGAAAACGTTCAGTTTCTCGTTGATGATGACGTTGAGAAATACGCTTCGAGAATTGCTACCTACCTATCCCCCCGACGGACACGGAGCAGGCCCGGCGCCCGGCCAATTAACCCGCTCTTCCGAGCCGGGCCGCACCGGCGAAGTACGATGAAATGTTCCCGCATGCATTGTCGGGAGCATGCCATAAAAACAAACAGGCCTCTTTTCAGTACCAATCTTATCAAATTTTTATTTTTAGCAACATCTTTGCAACGTCAAAAAATCAACTTTTCCATCGCAATTTTCTTCGGAAAACATACAGCAATTCGCCTTGCATCATATGGACGGATCATCCAATGATACCGTAACTAAAGGGGTGCTTTTAATACCCTTTTTTTAAGTTTTACATCGTTTCTCGAATAAATTCTTAACAAAAATTATATTGATATGTTGAGGAGCTTCTTTTCTAACATTGAAATGTTTCGAACTTCATAAATAGAATTTTGTATAATTTTGGAAATGCTGGTAAATATTCTTTAAAAAAGAAGAATATGGTACACCCCTACAGTAAATGGTGTGATCCACATTGGTGACGCAGTACTGCAGCTCAGCACGTGCATCAAAGAAATGTTCATGGAAAATGCACATACGTTGTTGGATGACAGTTATCTGTTTTGGAGGATAAAAGTGGGTGAGATTTTCCAGGCACAGCGTACGCGAATTAGTTGGGAGTCTTTCAGTTGGAAAATTATCATGGATAATGCCTACATGTTCGTTCAAACGTTGCTGGAAAATGGTTATGTTTTTTGAGGATAGAAGTTGCATTTCAAGGCGCTGCGAACTGAAGTTGTGAGTATTTCAGTCACGCGACGGCCCGATCGACAAACTGAACACCGTTTGCATTGCGATTTATTTCCAAAAGTTCGGATCACTTGGATATTGTGTCGCAAAATGCGATCGATACAGGGGGAAAAAAGGTGGGGGTAAGTTCAAACCCGCCGACGTTCACACTAGTTGCTTTTCCCCGGGAAATACGTAAAACCCCGGGGATTTCTCCTTTAACCCTACTCCCGAGCAGGGGTAAAAAATTCCCGGGGAAAAGCTTTTCCCCGGGAATTCCCCGGTTTTTTTTGTAGTGTGAACAGACCGACCGAAATTCCCCGGCAATTTCCGGGGGAATTGCCGGGGAATTCGTCTAGTGTGAAAGCCCCTTTAGCTCTCTCAAATCAGACTTGATTTTATTTACTATTTCTTCCTTGTGCGAATCAAAAAACTTGATTAAATCGTGGTTATAAAGTCTGGGGTTTAATTCCCAGTTTCTGTAGTAATTTTTAAACCTTCTCGTTTCTCTAAAAGCTGACTCTGTAAAGTCTTCGGGTTGTCTGTATGTTTTAATCGTCGAGATTAAATCTTTTTTTCAAAAATCGTCCTTTATAACCCGTCGGTACGTATTTTAGATTGTGTTTGTCTACAATCTGTTTGAGCTCATCTAGTCTCTTTTTCCTAAAGTTTTTAAATTTACTTTCATAATTCTTTATCCCATCAATGTAGACTTTACGAGTAAGATAAACATTTTCATTGTGCGGTATATTATACCGCTGCACGTAATCACGCAGTGTGGCTTTGTTCCATTTAGAATATCCTTTGACGGACGGTCTGAACATATTATTACTCTCCATTTTATTATAGAAAATATAATTTTTATTTTTTTCATTTTTTTTGGAGTGCGATCAATTATTTCATAATCGATGAGAGCTTGACTGTAGTGAAAATTCCCAGTAGAGTAATTGACAAGAGTACACAGCGATGTTATACCCGCACAAATGTCATAAACGCCAGAATTAATTACAGAACCGAAACATAAAACACAGTGACTCATAAAAATAAGTAATTATAATATTCTCTATTATCAAGTGGCTCCCCGCGGGGAGCTTGTTAGAATATCCAGTTGTGCGCCATGTTACCCCCAGTAATGGACCTTGACCCTGCCGCTGTTAAAAATTAATAAATGGTTTGCTTGTTTTGCAAGGTAAAACCGAACTTGTGTGTTGTGTAAATATGAAGAGCCTGGCCTGATTTCGAGACTGAGATATTGAGAGGGGGATATATTGGCAGAGAGAAGGGGTGGGGAGGGGGCGGGGAATCATTAAAAAGGGGTAAAGGCTGGTACCTGACGTTTGCCTCGGGGGATTTTGATCAGATTATTTTCTAAAAATTGGGATCGGGGGATTTTTGATCCGGTACCCGACGTCAGATTTTGTTTAAAATTTGCCTTGGGGGATTTTGAGAAACGAGAGCGACGTGTGATTTTTGAGAAACGAGAGCGACGTGTTCAGGCTTGCCACAGATTTTCCATTTTGATCTGGTACCCCCACTATCCCTACTACTGGGGGGGGGGGGGTGTCATAACTTTTCTGTAACGAGTGATAAAAAGCTGATTCGAAATTCAACATATTGTTTATTTTATAAGGATTCTTATGATATTAAACATTTTGGTAGATTCGAAAAATTTAGAGGTTAAATAATAATATTTTGACACTAAAAATTCAGAATGTTTTCAATTTCATTGAATTTTTTTTAATTCAACTATTATATCTCCAGAACGCAAGCTCATGCATATGAAACTAATTTAAACGTTATTGATTTTGTAGTGTGATTCTCTTTCAAATTATACCAAATTGTCCAGGGTTGTAAAAACAAATCCAAAAAGTGCTTGACTCCCTGGTGGTCAGGGTGGTGGTAGGCCTACATTTTCACAAATAAATAGGGGCCTATGTAGGATTTTTTGAAAAAAAATTCAATAATTTATACCAATATTTTATTCACATATGCTGCCCAAAAAAGTAAGAAGAAAGTGACCTTAAATGCCTCATATTGCACCACAGAGCGTCTAGAATGCAACATTTTTCCGAACCCCACGCCACAAGGGCTTCGCGCTTCGCGCTCGCGGGGTCTGTTTTCGACCAAATATATTTTACCACCTCACACCTACCACCAACTCAGGGGATACCTTGTACCCCCTGAGGCAAGACAAGATCGAGGAAGACACCATTTTGAAAAAAGTAGGGGCGAAGGTTCACAATTCAATATTAACACTAGAGGTTCGCGTTTGTTGTTACAAACGCAGAGTGGTCGGGTAGACAACGATTTCATTAGACAAAATAATGTACTCATACAAGTTATTTCCGGTTTGATGACGTCATCAGTCAAAAAAGGGAAAGGAGAACATTTGTTTATCTTTTAGTTAAAATAACACATGGAAATATGGAATTTAAGTGTATGTAATAATAACACCCAACTTCCGGTTTAATGACGTCACAGTATTTGGAACATGGAAATATGGAATTTAAGTGTATGTAATAATAACACCCAACTTCCGGTTTAATGACGTCACAGTATTTGGAAACAAAGGGTCAATTTTAAGTGTAACAGATGTCATTTTTGGGCCAAAAAAAGCCATGAGACAGGGATAATAATGATGGATTTAAATTAAAAATAAAATGATAATTGTTGATTTCCCCCTACAGTAACTTCCGGTCTGATGACGTCATGGTTATGAAACCTTGCAAATTAATTTGTGGTTGCTCACGGGATATATCGGGCAATTTCATAAAAATTTGATTGAGTGAGGGTTTTAACATTTCAAAAGAACAATTTTTTGGCGCTTGAAAGTTAATTAATTGAAAAAAGTGGTGGCCTAGAATGGAAAACTTTCCGTATTATTTTTTCAAAAATAAGAAAATAATTAATTTTGTGATTTGAAAAAGAATCATTCAAATAAAATCAGTAAACCTGTGTAACTCTTCTCTGCGCCTTCTTGACCTCTCCGATGCCCACCAGATCCTCGAAAGACCGCAGCAAAGACACCACTATTCCGTCACTCCGTTGCCTACTCAGCAGACCGGTCGGTGCTGCCTCACCAGGCGGTGCTGCACCGCCACCGGCCGCCGGCCTCCCCGGCCCACTGACCGAGTTCCCCGCTGCGCCCGACGAACTCGTCAACATCGTTCGCAGTTTTCGAATCACGGTCAGCTTTTGAAAGTCGAACCGCCTCGCCATGCTAATGATAGCACTGAATGCTTAGAGATTGATAGGCTTAAAAATGACAAATTTTACTCTTTGTTTTCGAGGGTTTTTTGGGGGGGAATACCACACCTTTCTGGCAGGTTGTGTTGTGCAGTCTGTGTACGTGTAACAATACGTGGAGTCAGAGGTCATTAAAAACAGAGTGCATAATCAAAACCTATTTCCGTAAACAAAGCATTTATTTGGAGCAACTATAGAATGCAGGGCCAAGCCGGAAAAGGTTTTTTTGTAGTTGGATGTGATGTTAGGAGTGGGGTCGTTGAGTAGAATGGCACTCTCTTGAGAAAGAAGCAACGTTGGTACATGAGACTAATTCCGAATGTCAGACAAGTCGACCGTTGAGACAACTCGACTCGGGACAAGTCGACCGTTGAGACAAGTCGACCGTTGAGACAAGTCGACCGTTGAGACAAGTCGACCGTTGAGACAAGTCGACCGTTGAGACAAGTCGACCGTTGAGACAAGTCGACCGTTGAGACAAGTCGACCGTTGAGACAAGTCGACCGTTGAGACAAGTCGACCGTTGAGACAAGTCGACCGTTGAGTCAACTCGACTCGGGACAACTCGACCGTTGAGACAGCTCGACTTAATGGAAATGTATACGTGGAGCGGAAAAGGTTGCAAAAATCTGTGGCAGGACCGGTCCCGGGCGCGGCGCGGGCATACTCGATGCACAGAGGGCGATCCGATCCGGTGGCCGTCGCGTTGGGCCGGCGCGCCCTGCCCGCGAGGATCGGGCCCTGCCCGGCACGTGGGCATGTCAACCGGCGCGGCAAGTGGGCGCACAGGCCCGGCAAATGATCACGCTGCGCTATATCGGCTCTGTTAGGCAAAAAAAAAAAAAAAAAACATGTTTAGCGTCCTGCCTCTTTGACAAAAAGGAAGGAGGAGGCCCTTTTTTTTTTTTTCTTCTTCTTTTCAAAATGACCGCCCGACTCATTTTTCAAGACAACGCGGCCGGGCTATTTTTCAAGATGGTGACCAGCTTTTTTCAAAATGGCCGCCACTTGGACTCATTGACTATTTCCACAGCTTTATACACGGTATAAAAGTCTAAAAATATGATTTCTTTCGTCAGAGATCGTTAAAATTTATAAATTTTTGTCTTTAAAAAAAAAAAAAAAAAAAAAAAAAAAGAGGCGGCCTCTAAAAAGGAAGCGGGCGGGGACGCTAAACATGTTTTTTTTTTTACTTCGCCTGATATGCAACAAAAAAACCTCATGTGTCATCACTCCCAAGCGGCGATCAGCCGCCGTCAAAAATCCCCGGTACTATCCAGTGGCGTCCAAGGGCGGATCCAGAACACAATTTTGGGGGGGGCCAACAAAATTTTTGGTCCCCCCAAAAAGTGGTTCAAAAAAATTACGGCGTGGGGTTCGGGGCCCGCTTAAGGGCCCCGAAATTTTTTTGGATTCTAGATGCTCTGTGGTGCGATCTGAGGCAATTTCTGACCACTTTAACCAATGTTTTTTTTTGAGGAATAGATGGTGGTGTACTCAGTGTACTCTCTATTTCTCTTGGGTTGGTTTAATGCCTGCCTTTATTGCGATGTCAAAAAGTGGGTCAAAAAAATTACGGCGTGGGGTTCGGGGCCCGCGTAAGGGCCCCGAAATTTTTTTGGATTCTTGATGCTCTGTGGTGCGATCTGAGGCAATTTCTGACCACTTTAACCAATGTTTTTTTTTGAGGAATAGATGGTGGTGTACTCAGTGTACTCTCTATTTCTCTTGGGTTGGTTTAATGCCTGCCTTTATTGCGATGTCAAAAAGTGGGTCAAACAAATTACGGCGTGGGGTTCGGGGCCCGCGTAAGGGCCCCGAAATTTTTTTGGATTCTTGATGCTCTGTGGTGCGATCTGAGGCAATTTCTGACCACTTTAACCAATGTTTTTTTTTGAGGAAAAGATGGTGGTGTACTCATTGCCTGCCGTTATTGCGATGTCACATAAAAAAAAAAATTGATTTCGTTTTGGGGGGGGGCGCACAGGGGGGCACCAGCATTTGATGGGGGAGGGGGGGGGCACTTAGGTGGATACGGATCGCCGTCCTGGGGGAGGGGTCTAAGGGGAGGGGGTGCTTTGGAAAATTTTCGCATACGGAGGATGGGCTAGATGCAAAATGGTGCCACATTTGATGCTAAATTCGATCTGAAGATATCTCAAGAAATGGCTATTTTTGAGGTAATGATTTTAACAACGCGCAGAATTTTGCAGAGGATAGGGGGGCACCAGCATTTGATGGGGGGGGGGGGGGCACTCGGGGGGCGCTAGGTTTTCCAGGGGGGGGGGCACGTGCCCCCTGGCACCCCCCCCCCCCCTTGGCGACGCCACTGGTACTATCCCCAAAACTAGGCCCAAAAACATGCGAGGCGACTTGTCTCAACGGTCGACTTGTCTTTCCATTTATCGCACATACGGTCGAGTTGTCTCAACGGTCGAGTTGTCTCAGCGGTCGACTTGTCCCGAGTCGAGTTGTCTCAACGGTCGACCGAGTCGAGTTGTCTCAACGGTCGACTTGTCTGACCCCCCTAATGCCCCTATATGCGTACGCGGGTACGGTATGAACGTAGACGTATAAACAAATAGAGGGCGGTTTAAACAGTGAATAAGCATGAAGTAATTATTGTGATCAATAGAAGGCGCTACGCTCAATTGACTTCGGCCAAACCGCAGTCCCATCATAAGAAAGAAGTTAACAATGTTAAACCGGACCATTTTTTCCAAGAGTGTGTCTCTAATGCGGCGCGATGTACGGCTGGCCAGACTGAATGTCGGCGGCGCCAGCGGCCGTGATTAAGCATATTAGTGGAATCACCCACCTCAAAAATATTTTTAATTAGGTGAGGCAAGTTTTAATCACTTTTGATGGCCAGTCTTGATAATTTTCGTGGCGCAAATAAAGATAATCCAGGCACAAAATAAACATGATTCCTTGCTCGATAATAATATTATTATTTATTACGATGCTCCATTAATCAGCACCCCCAAAACATTGGCGAAATAATTTTTCCGACCTACTGATGCTATTTTGAAAGGCATGTAATCGGAAGCAACAGGATTTTTTCCTCACCATAATTTCTTTATTTGAAACTTACTTGTAAATGTAAACCATACTTTTCTAGTTCAGGAAGCTTCAACACGGGTTGTGAAATGTTGATTTTTTTTAAGTTAACAATTTTGATTTTTTCTTTAATTACAAAAATAAGGGCCTACCAGATCTTCTCACATAAATGTTCGGGGCCCTTAAAAAGTGAATGAAATGCACCGATTGAATATCTTGAATGCTTAATGTTTTTGTACAAATATTTTGAGAAAGAACACGCATGAGCATGCAGAACTGAAATAAGAAAAAATTACAAAATTAAATTATTTCCCTACCTACCTACCTGGATTTTTTTTTTAGGCCGTTACCGTAAACACACCATTTTTTTGTTTGGCCTTAATCCTGGGCTCCACCCAGTGTAACGGATACCCGGCCTACTTTATCTCAGACAAGAGCACAGAGGCACACTGCTTAGTACCCCAAAAATGCATTAGGTGGGTCTCGGTTCGGTAATGGATCTCAAGAATTTCTCTTGGGATAAAATGTCTCTTTGAGATAAAATAAAAAATCAGTCCAATTGATATTACGTGTTTCTTACATGTTTTTCTGGAATTCAAATACACTGTAAAATATGTTTCTTTGGTTAATATATGACCTTTTGAAAACATTAACAGTCAGAAACAAAGCTGTTTTGATCATTTTTACATCTAACTTTAAAATCTGCACCCTATTGAACTCAATAGGCAGAGTATTAAGAGAATACAAACTCAATTTGTAGTCAAAGCTTACTTGCACCATAATTGCAGTTCTTTCTTCACAGCCTAGTTAATGAAAGAAATGATTATTCACATTTATTATGCCTGCTAGAAACAGGACAATGGCAAAATACTACACCACACTTAATAAATGCAATACAATATAACATACTAGACGGCGAATCAGTAAAATATAAAAATAAAAGAATTTTATGAATGAAAATTTTAAATTAACCAAAACATGACGAATTGGAACATGATTATACATGCTCGGTACAACATTACAAGAGTTAAATTTAAACCACATAATACATACTGAATGCTTTCAATGTAGCCAAAGTGGGGAAAAAGACGGCTTGAAATAAATCTGTGGAAAAAAAAACAGGCTTGAAGGTACAGACCATCATTTGTAATTTGTGCATTTTGTTGCATTTTGTTTGTTTGAAGCAACAAAGGTGCTCAAAGTCTAAAGAAGGGTGCTGAACAACTGACCTGGTGAAGTTTCAGCTCGGCTTCAGCCGTATATTTCGAGAAAAACAGCATTCTAGGATCTCGATTTCAAATCAAAAGTTGCTGAATCATGTTTTGAATTGGGCCTGAATTCAGTGTCCTGAATTCAACATGACAGCTTGCCAGAAGGAATGATTTCACAGGGAGTTCATTTCCCTTTATATCTTTCAACCAAGTATGTTTTTCAACACTAATTATGTCGGTTACTTTTTGGACAGCTGCAAATGATGGACTGTAGCTTTAAAACCTGTCTTGACTTGAGCTTGATAGAAACATACTCAGATCAATGGTTTGAATTTGGTCTGATTATCAGGGTAAACTTTGGATCTTCGTTTTCTGAAGAGGATTCCAGCAGGTTTTAGACATTACGAAAGCTCCTTTCTTTATAAAACATTTTGAAGAGAGGTGGGGGCACGAGGGATTGGGGGGGGGGGGGCCATGCAAGCAGTAGAGAGACCCATGCCTCCCACACAACCAACTTTATGTTAAAAGAAATATCGCATTATTGTAATATTACATTGTATCTATAGGAAACACTATGGAATTAAAAAATATGGAGTGTTAGTCAATCTTACACAGAGATAATTATAGAATCAATCAACATTGTTGAACATTCCCTGTAAACAAATTTCTTGGGATGCACAAAATATTTGGTATTTTTGCATTGCTCTAGCCTACAAGTCACTGTCAAACTTGTCCAGTATAAACTGAGTTGATCATTTGAATATACTGTAGAGTATAGGCAATGTCAGGGCAAAGGCTCCATAGATGAAGACCACAGTGGACAGTGTGCTCATTTTCATCTCCCATTCCAGTTTCTGCTCAGCATTGTTCACCAGCTCTTCTAACGTGGTCATGTCTCCGGCCCCGACGGCTGCAAACCTTCGCACCCCTTCGATCTCCTTCAAAAGCAACCCTTCCTGGTGCTTCAGGATTCTGGTTAAGCTCTTCTCCTGGGAGTCCAACCCCTCTTGTTGTTGCTTGGAGAGTCTTTCCAGAGCAACTGTCAGCTCCTCTGGACTCGACTTTGCGCCGCTGCTGTCGATGGTGGTCCGGATGTCCGTCACGAGACCCTGGAGGTCCCTGAGCTGGCCATTCTGACCGATGTCCTTCTGAAGGTCCCCGACCATGGTCCTGAGCTCCCGCATTCGCTTCTGGTTGATGGCAGTGGACCCCAGCAGGCCGATGATCGTCCCCACGATGGACCCAATGACCCCCCAATATTTGGTCCTCTCCTCTTGTGATCGCTGCTTCTCGTGGCTCTCTCTAACAGCCGCCGACAAGTTCGCAAACGTGTTTCTCTCCGTGTCCTCCAGCAAGTCGTGTTCCTCCTCCATCTTTCTCTCCTTCTGGATGGCCAGGTGCTCCTCTGTCGCATATTCTAAGAATTTGGTGTCATCTCGGGCTGTTCGGTCCAGCTTGGCGCGTATTGCTCTCAGCTCGGCTTTATGATGGTGTAACTTTTGGGCGGAATTCTTGACTGTTTCACGGACTTCCATAAATTGCTGTTCAATCTAAAGGTATGTGTAGAAAGAAAACTGCAAATTATTCACATCACTTGGCATGGCTTCTTATTGATAAAGGAAAAAAAGTTCATCTTTTATCTCTTTTGTCGAACATCCCCCCCCCCCCACTTAAAAAAGTTTTGTTAGGAAAGAATGTCGCATCCTGATGCCAATCATCTCAATAAAGGTCAGTCATTGCAAAAATGTTGAAAACACATGAATCTGGGACTGAGAAATATTTCTAATTTTGTTAGGAAATACTTTAAAATTGTCGTAACTCTCCACTGACTGTTCACAACTGCTGAAGTGGTGGCTGGATGCCACATTCTTACCTTTCTTTACCCCCCCCCAAAAAAAAATAAATAAAAACTCACCCAAATTGTTACATTGCACAATTATTGTACGTGAAGCTAAATAAGTGCAATACATGATTCAAATTTCAGCCCTATTTGTAAGTGTTAAGTTTTGTTCAAACTATGTATACGGTAATTAAAAAAAGTAATTTAATAATAATTAAATTATGTGATGATATTGATAGTACAAACATTCAAATAAAATCAGTGACCTGTGTCACTCTTCTCTGTGCCTGCTTGACATCTCCGATGCCCACCACATCCTCGTAAGACTGCAGCAAAGACACCACTCTTCCGTCACTCCGTAGCCTACTCAGCAGACCGGTCGGTGCTGCCTCACCAGGCGGTGCTGCACCGCCACCGGCCGCCGGCCTCCCCGGCCCACTGACCGAGTTCCCCGCTGCGCCCGACGAACTCGTCGACACCGTTCGCAGTGCTCGAATCACGGTCAGCTTTTGAAAGTCGAACTGCCTCGCCATGCTAATGATACCACTGAATGCTTAGAGACTGATAGGCTTAAAAATGACAAATTTTACATTTTATTTTCGAGGTTTTTGGGAATACCACACCTTTCTGAACCGTTGTGTACTGTGCAGTCAGTGTAACAATACGTGGGGTCAGAGGTCATTAAAAACCAGTGTGCATAATCAAAATATATTTCTACGTAACAAAGCATTTAATTGGTTGATATTGCACAGGTTGGAAAGAATAACCAATCGAGTCACCGTTAAGATTGCACAAAGTGTACACATGGGACGTCGAATATTCATGACATTTTCGGTAAGCGAAAAGCCGGCTGCTACTTGCTAGTGCTTGTCCTGGGAAATTGGCGGCGCATTTTCTTCAAATGTTTTGCCTGTAAATCTCTACAGGAGAGAAAGTGTTGAGCAGCACATGGACCGCAGCTAGCTGGAAAGAGTAAGGCTGATTTTCAGGTTATTTGGAGGAAGGAAAATGAACATGACAAATTGTTGGTGTGACTGAGCCCCTAGCCTCGCACTGTCATGACTGTACTGACATGGCTGAGTGTTTATTTTGCCATGAACTGGTCTCACATTTGTTTCCGTTCTTAAGCCGACAGATTGTATAGCGCCCTCATGCCTACACCTTATAAGATATTAAATTGCGGTCCTACTAAACTGCTTCAACAAGCGTCAACAAGTGTCAACAAGCGTCAACGGTCGTCAACAAATTGTGTATGCTTTTGAACATTAAAAGTAGCTTTATATGGTAGAAAAAGCAATAAAGAACATCTTCTGCATATCAATTAAAGTAAATTTTTTTTAAAACTTGTTTTTTTGAAGGTGAAATGTACGACGAATTTGTCGATCAGTGTTGGCCGCCATCTTGTTTACGTGTAGCTAGCTGTAATACGCATGCGTGAAGTGTACAGAGCCATACTACGCATGCGCGAAGTGTACAGCGCTATCCAAACAAGATGGCGGCCAACACTAATCGACAAATTCGTCATACATTTCGCCTTCAAAAAAACAAGTTTTTCAATAATTTCAACTTTAATTGATATGCAGAAGATGTTCTTTATTGCTTTTTCTACCATATATTAGCTACTTTCAATGTTCAAAAGCATATACAAAATTTGTTTATGCTTGTTGACGACCGTTGACGCTTGTTGGCGCTTGTTGACGCTTGTTGACGCTTGTTGACGCACTTTAGTAGGACCCGGAGGGCGAACGTGTAGTGTAGTGCATGCGTTCCTAATCCTATTTTACTAATTTTAGAGAACAAAATCCACTTTTAATTTATTTGACTTTAGGCCTAAACTGTTGGCGACAATCGACATATGGCAAACGGTATACCACTACCACTACCAGGGCAAATAGGTGGAGGATTCCTCCATGGTCATAGATAGAGGGCATGTACTTCTGGAACCAGAAGGCTGCTCGTCAGCTGACCAGCAGCCTTCTGATTCAAGAAGTAGAGGGCAGGGTTTTACATTTTGAGGCAAATTTGGGAGTAAAATGACGATGGCGATGACAAAACACAACACGAAATTAAAGATGGTGGTCACGGCGATGTGCCGTGAATGCTCAATACTGCACTGAATCGCATGCGGCACCAACCGTAAGCGTACCTCGCATGAAAATCACAATGTCTACCCCAAGAAACTGTTCAAAATTACAAAAAAAGTTGTCATGAACATTGACACCCCAAGAAACTGTTCAAAATTACAAAAAAAGTTGTCATGAACATTGGGGCCTGCTTTTAGGTTGAAAAGGTCATTTTTTTAATGATAAAAAACACCCACGGTTGACTAATTTGATTAAAAGTAACGAGGGGCCCTACACTACACGATCACTGAAATTTCCAATTTGTGAACTGAACTTAATAAACATGCTGGAGCTGACACTCAACCGAATCACTTGTTTTGACACAATTGTACATTATTGTTTAAAAGTTTGGTTTGAGGATGTCTTCTATAAGATACGGTGTTTAAGTTACTTTTACTTTAAGCTTAAACAAAAATGGAGCTTAAAAAAGTTCCATTAAATAATCCACTACATGGGATTACTTAGCAGTTGTTGATTTTCTTTTCAAGACAATGAAGAAAAGGGTCGTCATCTCTGAGATGGCCAGCAGTCCTGCTGAAGCTGCAAAGTTGGCAGCTGTAGCTGAGAGGAAGAAAAAGAAGAAACGTGTCTCCTGGTCCGATGATCGTGGAGGCTTTCTCAGCTCCAGCTTGGATGAAGATGACGTCTTTGCGGTACGTGGTACGCTACTGGGCACTTGAGTGGGCCTAGAGTAAAAAGTAAAATTTAGAAATGGTCTCATAATATTCATTACCTGCGTAACATTATAAAGTTGGAGAAGACAAGATTACACAGTGGAATACTTTCCTCACTTCCTAATTAATGAGCAGGAGCCGATTTTAAGAAACGCTAAGACGCGTTCAACACATCCTAACTTCTTAGCAACATAGCTGAACTCATCTTAACTTAAGATCGGTCTGAGGGTCGTCTTATCTCATTAATGCGTGTGTTTATTTGTATACATCGTCTTGAAATCATTGCCATTAAAGACAAGTGTCGGCCTAGAGTTATAGTTTCGAGGACGAAAACCACTGTAGAAACAGATTTGAAACGATTTTTGATATGTGGGTTGTTTTAATAATGATAGCTTATTTACATCATTGAATTATCCGCCAACACCTAGTCCACTTTTTAAAATAGAGTGATGACAAGGGGAACAAGAATGACTCTATCGTATCTTGTGTTATGTGTAGAACTCAGGGTGTGAAACTTATCGAGTAGAGTAATTTGTCTGACAAAATTTTGTGTCCTATGCACGCTCGCGGGAAGTTGGTTTTAAATGTATCTTTTCGATGACTGCTTCGTCAAGTGGTAACAACAAACATGAAACAGCCATCACATTGGTAGTTTTGATGCGTCTTGCTTTATAGGATGGGTTTAGTGAAATCGGTTTTAAGACGCATCTTTATGTAAGATCGAGCTGATAGTGGGGACTCGTCTTATTTATTTATATTTATTTATTATATTTATTTACCCAGGGTATGCCCAAACCGTTTAAAACTGGTTTCCATTGGGGCCCTGCAAACAATAAATAATGACTACAAACATGTATATACAATACATTACAAATGCAATACAATTCAATACAATGGGATAAAACATTATTTGATTAATGCATAGTTGTTAAGCAAATAGTATACAATATATTTTAAAACCATTATAACTACATGTACAGTGTGAAGGCTGTACTACATGTATAAGGTGGATTCAGTGAACACGAAAAATTTGGATCTATCTTGTAACATCAAGAAACAAATATTGCTATAATTATATTCGCTGATCACGGGAAGGGCGAAAAACCCCGCCAAAAAACCTTTTGGGAGAAAACACGGGGAAATTCCCATCCGGCTCCTTATTATCTCCTTATTTTTATGGCAACCAAGTTTGTTAACTCCGTAGATCAGCACATATCTAGATTTGTATAATCAGAGAAGACAGCGACAAATACACACAATTACTTGCAGAATAAATAATAAATAAATAAATAAAAAAACAGTTTGAGAAATATAGTGAGTCTTACATTTCTGAAGTCCTAAGATGTGTCGCAAGATAAGACAAGTTTCGTGAACTCAGTCCGTGGGTTCAAACCCCACCCTGGCCAACCTGCGAATCAGGTTTTCAGCTCTTGTAATAGTTCCCTTTACTCAAATAAGTAAATATGTTAAAGGGAAAATACAACATTTGCAAACATCAAAAAACGAAATGATCAAATTATCACGAAATACCTTACTGGATTGAGAGGAATGACAGTCTAAAGCATCCTTTAAAATCGTGGCTCCTGGTGTGCTGACATTTTTAAGAAAAACTGCATTTTTCCAACGCTGGTCGGCCGACCAGCGTTGGAAAAAACTGGCTTTTTTCAAAAACTGTTCTTAATTTTTCATATTTAGTTTTCTGAATTTTCTTTGCAATTGATTACACACCTCTGCAGGGGTACAAGCCTGCTAGACTGATTCTCTGACCTTACAATTCCCTAAAGTGTATTAAGTGCTCCGTTTCATCTTATTGGGGTCAGGGAACCAGACTACAAGAACATGATAGGTTTTCTTGGTTTTTCCAGCATCTACAAGCCCAAAACGTGAAATAAGTCAGTTCAACAATATTTTCTATAACATACTAATCCTCCAAATCCATTTATTTCTGAAAATGGAAGCAAAAGCAGATGTTGTACATTCCCTTTAATTGATGATTTACAGTTTAGTCACGTTCGTTATGATTTGTATTTCAGCAAGCAAGTATCGGACCCCTTCTATCCCTTCTACTGCTGGTTGTTCCCATGATACACCTGTACGTCTGCCCTTTCACCAAAGTGGAGGAGAGTTTCAACCTGCAAGCCATACATGACATTCTCTACCATCGCACCAACATCAGTGCGGTGAGTATTGTCTTCAAAACAATAACACAGGAATAACAGCAACTTGACAGATTAGCTTTTAACCCTAACCCCAACAGGTTTTCTCTAGGCACCCTGCCGAATGCAACAAAATGCAACTTGGCTGAAATAAGAACCATGCTGATTGCAACAAATTGCAACAGTGGATTCTGTTGCATTGTGCAATGAATCCAGCCTTGGCACCAAGCAGTTACCCTGCTAAATGCAACCAAATGCAACAGTGGATTCTGCTGTATCGCCTTGGCACTGAGCAGTTACCCTGCTATAAAGCAACAAAATGCAACGAAGCACGGGACTTACGTTGGCTGCGAAATGCAACAGTACGCAACAACTTTTTACCTTTGTTGCTTTCTATTGCATTTAGCAGGGTTTTAATACAAGACCAAAACAATTACATTGTAACACAACTGCACCAAAATACACTGCATTAAGGACAATATAAGTTACACAGTGTTATAGGGCAGTCCATTTTCGATTTAATTTAGAATTCAATTATTTGAAAAGTTCTGCGATTGACCGAATATTTAAAATTCCGGTCTCTCTGATCAAGTTTTACGCGCACCAGCCGCATCTGCGTGACGTGCCGTTCAATTGTTGCACGCAATTAAAGCTCACCGGTTAAAAATTGTGTGAGGCTAGTGATATTATTGGCCGCTGGATTGGTTGGCAGTATTTTATAACTGTCAAGGGTTTCAACATGCTAAAAGGATAGAAACAATGAACTGAAAAAAGTTACCACAGACAAAAAGTGGAGTCTGACAATAAAACGCCCAACGTTTGAAATGAATAAAGTAACAGTCATGTGTGCGTGCATAGGCTATTTTTTCTTCGAATATTCAAACCAGCAAAAAGATATTTGAATATTTAATCGATGATTGAGTATTTGAATATTTGTGCATTACTGATTTCGTAGGATGCACTTTGTCAAGGTCTTGGGCCAGACCTTGTGTTGTTTTTGCTCAGCCATGCATAAAGATAGGCCTGGATTATGCTTGAAATCCTCCGTACTGCTCCAGCATGGCACTGACCAAGCCTCAACATTATTGACAGTCACTGCCGCAGGATTTTGCAGGATTCAAACAGTGGTCACCCCTCCACGGACCATATTCAAGAAATAATGGAGGAATTTGCAGGATTGAGGCTAAATGCTATATTTCAATGAGGCCTATAGGAGGATTTTGCAGGATTGAGGCTACATCCTAGCAAAAAGGCCTAGGGAGTTAGGGTTAGTAATATGTCCTGAATGCACTGGCTTCTGCAAACTTTGATTTAACACTTGCTATTTTTGGTTGTTTTGTTTCAGTACGACCATCTTGAGTTTCCAGGGGTGGTTCCAAGGACCTTCATTGGGCCTCTCGTAGTGTCTGTGCTGTCTTATCCATTTGTGGTCATAGCTTCAGTGCTGGGCGCATCTTCGTTTACCTCACAGTACATTGGTGAGCTCATAAAAACAGTATAAAAATATCTTAATTAATCTTTTGGATGACAGCAAGTCTTAAGCCTGAGTTCACTGTCTGAGCACTTCTGCTTCACTTTTCACTGGGCGTCTTTCACAGATCAGGTATTCAGATTTAGCCATCCATTGGCGTTATGTATGCATGAGATTTTTCAGCATTTTGTGTAAAATCAGACTGCTTTGGGAGTTAGGTTGGTGTAGCGGTGCTTTCCACGCCTTCCACCGCTGTGACCTGGGCTCGAACCCCGCCTGGGCCAATATGTGGATTGGGTTTTCAGTCCCTACCTGATTCCGTGGGTTTTCCTCAGAATATTCTTCTGGGCTGTTCCTGTCACCTCTAAAAACTGTAATTTCTTCACATTATCTTCTCTTTACTGGGACCCATGGGAAGTCAGTGGATTCCGCTGAATGGGCTTCCCAGTTAAAATAATAAATAAATAAATAAAATAAATAAATTATCAGCACTAAAATGCTGAAATTTGTATCCTTGTGGAGACATTTATTTGTTCTTGTGTACTAAAGTTTTTGAGTTTGAAAGTACAGTTTCAAAATGCTCTTATTTTAACCAGAATTAATTTCCTTGGCTGAAATTCGGACTTGATATCCCTTTTTTAAAACTCTTCCATTTGCGACCCACCGATCAACACACCTTGGAAATTCCTAGTTTTTGAGTAAAATCCATATTTCTATTTCATGAAAACCTTGTGGAGACGTATTCATCTATAGAAATTGCATTTTGGAGACGTATACAATCTTTTGTTCCCTTTTGTGTGCATGTCTCCAGAGGGCACGGTGTATCAGATCAACCAGTCTTAAACTAAGCACCTTCCAAGCACACATTTATTCCCTTAATATCATCCCTGGTTACGGGGTAATGCTATAAGAAGGCACTGCCCGGCTAATGTTGCCAGTCAATGAGTCATTCAGTCTGTCAGTCAGTCAGTCCTTGGGTCAACCACCTGATTTACTAGAAACATTCCTCATTCTTGCAAATTCCAACACCATATGTGATGCGATCAAGCTAAATGAGTCGTTTGTCAGGAATTTTCATTTGGAGAAACAGGCCAAATAGGACCACTTCATCACATCACTTCATCACATCTCTTGGTGTTCCGACTTCCATAATTATTAAACTAAAGATGTTATCAGCATGTGGTTTTCACAGCAGTAATGCTGAGATTGTGCTCTGTTCAAATCTGTAATAAGAAAATTTTTGACCGGGGTCGACAAACGACTCATGTAGCTTGATCACATCACATATGGTAAATTGTACACAAAACAGTTGGACTCTGCTTATTGGTGGTATGTCTTACCCTATGTAAAGCCTATCTAAGAGTTCCAACAAACCTGGTGTTGGAGTTTGACTGGATGGGGAATCGTTAAGAGTGGGAGCACACTAGGCTGGCCCTCTGAAACCAGCCAAATTTCCAATTCACTGAGGAGGAACTTGAACCCTAAACCTCCTGTGTGCTTACTAGTGTTGATGCCTGCAGAATCTGCCAGGGTCGGCTGGCTGATTGAAATCAGTTACAGCAATCAGTAACTTTTACTCTTAACCCCGATTTCCTTCTTGCACTTTTTATTTTCATTTCAGTCCGAGCTTGTCTTGGTCTGCTGGTGATCCACTCGTTCCGTGACTACTGTGAGCAGGTGTCGTGGAAGTTTGGCCCCGACACGGCCAAGTACCTTGTCCTCATTACGCTGTCCCAGTTCCACTTCATGTTCTACCTGACGAGGCCACTACCCAATGTCTTTGCACTGGCCATCGGTAAGAAACTTAAGATGCCGTTTCAGTGTTGCGTTCGATGCATACTTATATATAACCATGTAGAGCACTAGGACTGTTGTCCAGTGTTTACGGGGTCCGACTCATTTGCAATGGTACATGGGTTAGAATTCTGCCAGGGGGATTCATGGTGCTTGTGTTCTTGGGCAAGACACCTTACTATATTTTTCCTCACGCTACCCTGGAGTATAGATGGGTACCCGATCAGTTTGCACTGATCCGATCGAGCTGTTGCAGGAAATGGTCTCATGGCCTGATGAGCAAGGGGAATAATTGTGAAGTGCTTTGAGACTGTGCTTCGTTATATCGTGTCTTTGATACCGTTATTTCATTGGTCTAAAACAACTACTTGATAGTCTGTAGAAATGACTGTTAACTTAATGTTTGCTGGGTTGCATGTGAATTACCTTATACACTGTGTTGCATATATATACGTAAATTACGTCCTAATTAATACACTGCCTTGCATATATCATAATACCTCTGCATTGCCCACAGGTGGGATATGGCATTTTTAACCCGCTCGGCGTGCATAGCACTAATATTGTGCATCGGGTCAGGTTGGGCATGCCAAACCGACCTGAAACATTAATGATATGAACCGAATCTGAATCTCAACTCTACAAATCCGATCGACCCGACCAGACAAAAAGTCAAGCAAAAACCGGCCCGAAAAAAATCTGAATATCAGGCTTGGGCAACTGTGTCCACTTTTTGTGCCTGAACTTATCCGTGTGACTCTGAGTTGCTGAAAATTGTCGTCTCTCAGTAAAGAAACATACCGTTCAGAAAAGGTGAGGACTCAACTGTGCGTGATGGCAAACCACATGCACAATGCGTTTGCGCCTTGGAATGACGTTGTTATACCGGGCACAAAAACTCTGCAATAATATTGTACCACGTAAATTTCCCCACTGTTCTGTTTTTTGTTTTTTGTGGGTTTATTTTGGTTTATTTCGGGTTTTTCACAAGATGGCTTAACCAACCCGACCCAACATGAAAACCGCAAACGCAAAACCGAAACTGACCCAGCTGGACCGAAATGATGAAAAAAGTATCGGACCCGAACGACCCGAACTAGGTTTCGGTTTCAGTTTCGGGTCCGGTTTGCACAACTAACTGGACTAAAGGCTTAATATTGAGCACTACAGTGTTATGTTAACTAAATGTTATGTAGAAAATTCGCTCAGAATTACAGCGTATTGACAGGCATGAAGTCACAGGTGATATGATCTATACAGAGAGTGTTTAGATATTGTAACAAACCGTTGCGGTCAAGGACTTAACTTACTTACACGAGTGGGCTAGCTTGGCTGAACAATCTCGGGAGGATTACAGAACTAAAGTAAAGCCGGGGAATTGAACTCAAGGAAAGAAATAAACAAGGAGACGGGCTGATGATTCACTTATCAAAAGGTTCTGGTCATGTTCCTTCCTCAACAAATAAATCCGTTCACAACTAAACTGTTTTAAGCTAGGTTATTAAACTTACACAGAGAATGAATAACGGCGATGTATAATTTTGATGTTGCTTCCTTGAGGGCCAAACTCAATCTGCCAAATTTTAGGCGGGAGCCGAGTATTTGGCCAATTTGCAGAATGTGGGCACAAGGTCCCTAGGGATCCAGGGCCGGGCTAGCACAGCGCATCGCGCACTACGCGATGCTGTTTGATCAACGCACGTGCTGGACAGCGCCCTCAGTGGCCAAACCGTCACAATATATTGTTCTTTCTGTCCTCAGCACTGAAAGCCATCAGTTCTTGGATGCAACGGGACCACAGAGACTTCATCCTCCTCTCAGCATTTGCCATCATCACCTACCGCTTTGAGCTGTGTCTACTCCTAGGTCTGATGCTACTACAGGAGCTACTGTCTAGAAGATTAGGCTTTGTGTCTCTTATAGGATGGGGGACTGTCGGTGCTATTTTAAGTCTGGGTGAGTCTTTGCATGCTTTGTGCCTATGATGACATGTGTATCCCCTTTACTCTAGCCCTAGTATCATCCATGCAACAGGGGCCAATTTCACCGCGCTGCTATGCACAAAAATTTGCTTAGCACAAAAAAAGTCTGGCTTATAAAAGCAGGTTACCAGCCAAAACTCCATGTGATTTTCATGCTAAGCAAACAACAGCTGAATATTAATCACGAGCAATATACATCACGTGGAGTTTTGGCAGGTAACCTGCTTTTATAAGCCAGACTTTTTTTGTGCTAAGCAAATTTTTGTGCTTAGCAGCGCCGTGAAATTGGGCCCAGAGCAAGAGCGGATCAATCACGGGGGCCCCCCATCCCAAAAAAAAACGAAGGAAATTTTTTTTTAAGTGACGTTGCAATAAAGGCAGGAACTGTGCACACCACCACCTTTTCCTGAAAAAAATGTTTAAAGCGGTCAGAAATTGCCTCAAATCGCACCACAGAGCATCTAGAATCCAACAATTTTTCGGCGCCCTTAAGCGGGCCCCGAATCCCACACAGTAATTTTTTGAACCAACTTTTTTTGGGTACCAAATTTTGTATTCTGGATCTGCCCTTGCAACAGAGCCTACAAACATTGCAAAAAAAGGCTGATACATCTTTGCATGCCAATTTTAGGTGACCCCACGCTCCAGCGGATTGGAACTTAAGCGGGAAACTGCGATGCGGCTTGGACAGGAAAGTGTCGGAATCAGTTGATTTGTCAGTAGCTGAAAGCAAACTTGTGTGTATATTGGCAAATAAGCTGTGACGAATAGCAGCACCTATTGTCCGATTGTGTCTATGAACCCTAATTATCCCAAATCCTCCACAATCCTTTTTGCAAATTGGAGGAATTTGCAGGATTGAGGTTACATGGCAAAAGTGCGTTGCTGATTTTGGAGGATGCACTATGTCAAGGTCTTGACAAAAATGGCCAACTCGTGAGAGTTGGCCATTTTTGTCAAGTTCCCTGAATGTATTTCATTAATTGTTAACTGTTGAATGGGATGGCGCCAGACTATTTATGCAGGCACAATGCAGCCTTTTATATTTTACTGTCATTTTTTTTTTAATCTGGCTTTAAACATTAGGGAATGTTCAATTACAATTTTTTTCATTATTCATTGGAGCAGATTACAATTTAACTTGCTTTCTTTTCCCTACACAAGTTCCAAAAATCAAGATTGTACCTCACTCTCAATCCAATGTGGCCGACTCGTGAACAAGGCCCATGGTAGGTGTTGCAGTGGGCAACAAAACCAAGTGATGGTATTTTTTACCCCGTGTGAGCACCATGGGTTGAAACGGCTAACAACACAGTTAAAGAGTAACATGGGAAATAAGAAAGAAAACTTTCACGACTGAAAAATGCTAACTTGAATTTTTCTTCTTTTCTTTGCAGGCACGACTGTAGTGATGGATTCATACTTCTGGCAGTATTGGCTATGGCCTGAAGGCAGTGTGTTGTGGTACAACACTGTACTCAATAAAAGCAGCAATTGGGGAGTATCCTTTGAACTAAGAGCTAAAAATCACGACATCTTTCTTATTTTCAGTACAGTAGAATTTAATGAACTCAGTGAACCGTGATGAAAACAATGGGGTTCACTGAAGATTGTGTAGAAATAAAGTGGTCATTTTTAACACAGCTGCTTATGGATGGCATGGGTGTAGCAGTTTGTAAAGCACTCCCCTTTCACCAGGCCCAGGTTCGATTCCCAGTTTGGGTCGTATGTGAGCCAAGGCCGGATCCAGAACACAAATTGTGGGGAGGCCAACATTTCTTTAGTTCCCGAAAAAGTGGGTCCAAACATTTTTCCGCCCGAAATTTAATATGAAAAGCAAGGGGAAGGGCAGCAAATGTATTTCTTTTGTTGAGTTTTGTGGGTGGTGTATGCATTGGCTGCCTCTTTTTTAGACATTACTATAAAACAAATTGTTTGTTGATTCTCTACTGTGCCACAAACTAATTCACTAGAGCACGATTTGAACTCACGACGTCCAGAAGTACACCACTTCGATACTCTACCAACTGAGCTATACAGTAGGGTGTAGTGAATTTCAAAAAAAATTGAATTTGAAGTCCGGAATAGGCTAAAAGGATGTTCTGGCAATAATTAAGACCTACCACATTGAAAAACAAATATCAAAAAAACTTTGCCCAACCTAAAATGGATTGAAATTTTCACTTTAAAATTCTGAATCATGATGAATCAAATTTTGGTTGGTTTTTCATTTTTTGTTCTATTTTCTTCCCTATGATGTTTTCTCTGGTTTTTCCTTTTGTTTTTTGATATAAAGTAACAGTGGACAGTATTCTTACTATCCTTTGAAAAAAAAAATGGCCTTTATCAATCGATTGTCTCTTATCCTTGATTCAACCAATCAGACGTCTCCTTTCATGTGGTACTTCTACTCAGCAATACCCAGGGCAATGGCTGCCAGCCTCATGTTGGTTCCCATTGGCTGCTTTCTGGACCGCCGGGTGTGGCGCTTTCTACTCCCACCGATCGGTTTTGTTTTCCTGTACTCGTTTCTACCGCACAAAGAGTTGCGATTCATTATCTACGTGTTCCCTTTGCTGAACACTGCTGCTGCAGTTGCAATAGCTTATATGTAAGTGAATGGCAAGTTATTTAATAGTTGAAAAAATTCTGAGTCCTGAGTTTCTGAGTTCTTTAACAAATGTTTCTTAAAAGATAAACATTTCCCCTGTGTGTCCATAAACTCTCAAAACGTTTTGAAAATCAGGTCTTCAGATATGAATACATTCGAATATTTTTGCTAGATTCAATACAGGTGAATGAGAAATTTTAATTTAAAAAAATGCATTAAATTGCATTGCTTGCTGTAAAAACCATAATACTTTGAGGCATAAAAAGCATTAAAAGTAAGTAAAGTCCGTCACAAGCCAATGTGGCCCATCAGGCCATCGTTTATCTCTGGTTTCAGTAGCATGAAACGACTGAGAATATTTCTACTCCCCCTGGATGGGATGCTAGTCCATTGTAGGTTACTCCCAGCTAATGCCGGTACTCATTTTTACTCCTGGGTGGAGAGAGGATTAAGTTGGGGTGAAGTGGCTTGCCCAAGGACACAACATTTGACCAGCAGCTGGATTCAAACCCCAGACCTTCTGATCATGAGTCACGAACCCTAACCACTAGGCCACACTCAATATATTGGTCAAAGTGGCATATGGGGGTGGGTGGGGTTGAGATCCCACTGCAGGCCTGTGACCTCCCCCCCCCCCCCCCCCCCCCCGTGTGCCCCCCATGTGCCCCCCTACTGGAATTTGTAAAAACCCATTGAGTTCCCTAATTCCAGAAAAGGAGGCCCTTCAGAGTGTCCCCTGCAAATTGGAGCCCAGTACTTAACACTGAACAGTCCATTTTCAGAAGTTAACATGCACATTTCTCACCGTAAAGGATGATTTGTTTTCTGACAGATTTAGGCACTTTCACAAGTCGGCCTTGATGAAGCTGCTAGCCCTAGGGGTCATAGGTCATTTTCTAGTCAACATGGCCGCCACCCTTGCCTTTCTGGTGGTATCCCATCACAACTACCCCGGCGGCGTCGCGCTCAGTAAACTTCACGAAGCAGTGCCTCAACAAACAGGTATAACAAGTTTTGATAATGATAATAATATCAATGATCATATTAATAATTCCTTGATAAACAATAAACCGGTGGTCGGAAAAGTATTTCAAACTTTGTCTCTTGGGTCAATCTCATAGTGGTGCTTAGCACAGAATTATGGTATACATGGGAAAATTGCTCCTAACCAAAATATTGGGTACCAGCCAAAATGTTGTGCAAAGTGTATTACCTTGGACTGGTACTCGGCTGTTTTGTGATTAGTGCCACTCGGAGTTTACCTATATTGAAATTTGCCAGAACTGAAATTGAAAATTTAAACAAAATTAGAAGCCATTTTTGCAGTACCATGCTCACGCACATGCCGCACGTGTTCTTAAAGGGAATATACATCATTTGCTTTTGCTGTCATTTTCAGAAATGGATGGAATTGGGGGGTTGGAAATATATAGCAAATATAGTTACACTGACTTTTTTGAGGTTTTGGGTTCGAAAATGCTATAAAAACCAAGAAAAACAATCATTTTCCTGTAGTCTGGTTCCCTGACTCCATTTAAGAAGAAACAGAGCAGTTTACATATATTGGGGAATTGTAAGGTCAGGGAACCAGTCTAGCTGGCTTGTACCCGTTCATATAGGTGTGTAATCTATTGCAAACAAGTGCGATGGTCAACTGGAGCCAGTATTTGAAAAAAGCCAGTTTTTTCCAACGCTGATCGGCCGATCAGCGTTGGAAATTGATACAAAAATACCACTTTTCTTGAAAATGACAGTATACCAGGTGCCATGATTTTACAGGATGCTTTACACTGTCATTCACTAACAGTCCAGCAAGGTATTTCAAAATGATTTGGTAGTTTTATTTTTTGATGTTTGCAAATGTTGTATTTTCCCTTTAAAGACGGGGAGTGCGTGCATCTATGATAACTGTATTTGTTGAAGGAGCCCAGAATGCGTGTATATACTACTTGAGCACGACTTGCGCTAGCAAGGTGTCACCACAGGAAATGGCTGTCGTAGAATCAGTCTATGCACATACAAGGGCGGATCCAGAACACAATTTTTTGGGGGGCCAACATTTTTTTTGGACCCCCCAAAAAGTGGGTCAAAAAAATTACGGCGTGGGGTTCGGGGCCCGCTTAAGGGCCCCGAACCCCACGCCGTAATTTTTTTGACCCACTTTTTGGGGGGTCCAAAAAAAGGGCCCGCTTAAGGGCCCCGAAAAATTTTTGGATTCTAGATGCTCTGTGGTGCGATCTGAGGCAATTTCTGACCACTTTAACCAATGTTTTTTTGAGGAAAAGATGGTGGTGTACTCATTGCCAGCCTTTATTGCGATGTAACATAAAAAAAAAAAAAAAATTGTCTCGTTTTTGGGGGGGGGGCCATTGCCCCCTTTGGCCCCCCCCCCCTGAATCCGCCCTTGTGCACATATGTCTAAAATCAATGCTAGAAATCTTCTGAAGGAGTAAGATGATGGCACAAACATTGCCGTTCACGTTGTGGTATTAACTGTAGCAGTGAATTTCGTTTGAGAATTGAAATTGAGTTTTGCAAAAATCTCAGGATATTAAACATCATTCAAATCTAACGTTAATTTTTACCCTTAAATTAAATGTAATTTCCACCTGTAAAAATATCCTCTTACAAACCAATATTCAAACATCTAGTTTGTCTTTGAGAAATTTGTTTTCTGTATTATTTTCTTAAAGCTAATGTCCAAGTTCACATTGATGTAGCGACAGCACAGACCGGTGTCTCGAGATTCACTCAAGTCAACAGGCATTGGATGTAAGTTGGTTCTCTGTCTTCCCAATGTTTCTGTCTAAATCTGTATTCTACTTTCTTTTGTGTTTTCTTTTTAAAGGCCGTTTCTGTCTGAAATAGGAGCTATTAACCAGTTCGCACTGGGACTATTTTTGTCAAAATTTCGATTTTCGAAAAAGGCAAAATATAGCAGCCAACTTCTGCTATACAGCCAAACGCCACAAATACTGATTCGCAAGAGTCATTTCAACAGTATTTGTACAATGATTCTTGCCAACACCTCATATTTTTCAACAATCCAGGGTGTGCAACAGAACGCAAATTGTAGAATAGGCAGTGCACAGCAGCCAATTCAAGATCAACTCGCAGGCCACTACACGCAAGAACTTGACTGGAAAGTTACAAATTGGCCTCTTTGAGCTAAATGCTTTGCAGTGAACTGTACTGTTAATTGCTGTGATTATATGCATCCACCCTTTTCATTTTGTGAATTTATATTTTCACCCTCCAGTTACAACAAAACGGAAGACCTAGCACCCGGCGGGCCGGACATGATGGCCTTCACCTCGGCGCCTCGTCCGCACCAGACAGCAGCCCCCTCAAGCCTTACCGATCAACCCACAAGGTCTTGGCGGTCGTCCAGGGCTTCTCCGGGATCAGCCTGCGGGAGAGCCCCTACATCAAGATGGACCCCAAAATCTACATCTTGGAGAAGAGAAAGAAGAGATGAGATCCCTCCTTTTGTTTGGTTTGCGTGACAAAATTTGCACAAACTTGTATTACGTCATACTTAACTGTATTTATTCCCTGATGAGTCCATAACACCACAGACTGCGTAGGCTGTTCTGGGCTGTATGAGGACCGAATGCTTTGGGCGAGCACAGGGACTAATGGGTTACTACTGTCCTGAAACCGAAACTGACCCGAACCGCAACCGACTTTGGGTCGGGTCGGGTCGGATCGGTTTGTCCCTCGTTGCAGTCGGGTCGGGTCGGTTTCGGTTTTGCGTTTGTGATTTTCGGGTCGGTTGGGTCGGTTAAGCCATTTTGAAAAAAACCTGAAAAAAATACCGAAATAAACCGAAACAGAATGGAAATTCACATGGTGCACTATTTAGGGCAGAGTCTCTGTGTGCAGTCTCGATTGGTCTAGGCCCATCAGTAGGTCACGTTGTGAGTGCCGCACAACATGATTCAGTATCTGAAAACCGACATTTGTTTTTTTAAGCGGGTCAGTTCTGGTGCAAAAAACGGACACATTTGCCGAAGCCACATAGTCGTTTTTTTTTTCGGGTCGGTTTTCTTTTAATTGTTGTCGGGTCGGGTCGGTTTTAGGTAGTCTAGCTGGTTCGGTTTCGGTTCAGATTTGGTTTATAAAATAAATGTCTTGGGTCGGTTTGGCCTCCTCAACCCGACCCGATGCACATCACTATAGTTGTTATGCATTGACACCATGTAACAGGGGTGAAATTTGTCACAAACACTGCTAGGACCTTTTGAGCTGCAAAAAACACTTAGAATACACATACATGTAGTTTTTTGTACAGTAACAAATCTCATTTGGACAAAGATGGCAAGTAAATAAATACATTTTATTATTATTTATTTATTTATTTACTGTTTTTTTTCGGGGGGGGGAGGTGGTTAATCATCCTTACTCTCATCAGAAACAACAGAAGCTGAATTGGCATAATGGTTGGTATTATACATCGAGCACCTGCTTCATGGTCCACTGCCACTTCGCGGTCAAGTGCCCAATCAGTGAGCCCTTTTTATATCGGGTCTTCGGTCATTCACCCGTTGCGCGTCATAGACAGTGGATAAAATAAAAAAGTGTCTCGCGCTCTATATCATGTTACGCGATATCGCGCTTGGCTGTTGTATTACAAAACACTGCATTCGAGTTGACCTATCAAACCATTTAGTCCCGATTCATCAGGAATGAAATGACGTCACGATTTTAGTCAAATCGACTCCGGTTGGCTGGCGCGCAGCTTGCATAAATGTGCATGTCAGGAGATGTCAGACGTTCTCCAGGATTTGGCTCTGTGGATAACGGGTGCTACTCAGTCTACCAAACATACTGGCTCAAGACAGACTTTTGGTTTTGGACTTAGACTCAAGTTAAAGCCTAAATATTATGTAAACCATACTGTCTAGCTTCTCGCGCTTGATTCATTACTGTACAAACTCGTCATTTAGTTGGGACTCGGTAACAGACAAGACTACATTACTGGTTCAAATGTCAATGTTTTTAATTATTCATTTTTTCTTCTTCTATATTTGAAAAGTTCTGCATTAGTTGAAAGGCTTTGCTACTTTTAATAATTCTTCTATGGTGCTTCTAATAACATGATTGTATTTTTCAATTTCCAGCTCAAGTTTCCTAAGATGGTTTGACTTTCTTGCGAATATTACTAAGTTATATTTTTGCTAACTTTCAGATATAGGAATATATTCCATGCGTATTCTAACAAAAGCTCTGTAAGGAAATAACTATGCGCTAATTAAAGTCACTACTTCAAAAAGAGAATTTTTTTTTACCATCCAAATTAAAATCAATTAGCTATAGACTGTTTCATACCTTCCCTTTGTATTGTCTACAAGTCCGACACATTATTTTCTTCAAAAAGCTTTTTCACAAGTTGGATTGGACAACGTTTAATTAGTTTGTGTTTGTTTGTGTCTTTTTCCTTCAAACTTGTGCCCATTTTTTCTTTTTAGATTATGAGTGGTATTGACGATAGGAATGGGGTTGAGCACTAAATGGACACTTGGTGGCGCTACTCATGGCAGACCAACTTTCTGTCTGTCAAGTGTCATGTCTGTTAATTCATCTTGATCTTGATAAATCATTGCTGGTCTGATAGAAGAATAAGCGTTGGAGTCCTTTGATATTGGTGAAGGGGATCTGCAGGTAGTTGGGCTTTGAGCATCTGGTTGTTATTTCTGGCTGCCTGATGGTTGTTTGAAGAGTAAGTTTAATGTCGATCTAACTGTGCTTGATGCTGTGTGTGTATCCTTAGGTATGTGTGTATGCCTTTGTCTGTCACTGTCAGTTTAGTTTTGTTGTCAGCCATTTTGTTTAATTGGAGATCAAAATGTGAACATAATTCACGATTTAGTATATGTTGATTCTGTTGATTCTATGCATAGTACATAATGGGCTACTAGTCTAAAACTTATCAGTATTACATTTGTGTGATCTGACCTAAATTTGGAGAACTCTCAGTCTACATGTTCTGTTAAAGGGAATATATACATCATTTGCAAACATCAGAAAACAAAACTACCACATTATCACGAAATACCTTACTGGACTGTTAGTGAATGACAGTCTAAAGCATCCTGTAAAATCGTGGCAGTGGTGTGGTGACGTTTTCTAGAAAAGTGGTATTTTTGTATCAATTTCCAACGCTGGCCGGCCGACAAGCGTTGGAAAAAACTGGCTTTTTTTAAATACTGCTCCCAATTTATCATATTTAGTTAGTCCGCATTTTGTTTGAAATTGAGTACACACCTATGAACGGGTAAATGCCAGCTACACTGATTCCCTGACCTTGAAATTCCCCGACGTCTATAAATTACTCCGTTTCATCTAAATTGGGGTCAGGGAGCCAGACTATAAGACAATGATTGTTTGTCTTGGTTTTTCAACATCTTCGAACACTAAATTTCAAACAAGTCAGTGAAACCATATTTGCTAATAATCCTCCGGATCCATCCATTTCTGAAAATTACAGCAAAAGCAAATGTGTATAATCGTTTTACTTCAAACTTTTACGTTGTCTTAGCTGATGAATTTACTTGTCTGTTCACTGCCCTTAAATTAAACAATGAAAAACTTTTGGCATATGTAGTTGCACCTTGCTTTTAGGAAGAAGAAGAATGCTTTTCACTAACGGTTTGCCTCATTTGCATATAGCAAGTCTTAAGAATTTACTTTTGGGAAATCGGCGTGGATGTATTTTGAAATTTAACTTTTTTTCTGATTAAACGAGTGGAGAATGTGATTTCGCGAGTTACGTAAAGTAAAATAGTAAGTTATCTTTAAAATGCCTGTTATGATCAAAGCACAAAGTCATCTTAAAATACAAAAATGCTGCTTTTGTGTCAACAAAATGATTGTTGTTTCGAACTTTTTGTAAAATGAAAGAATTATGAATTCCAATTAACTTCAAGTATGTTTGTTTTTTTTGGGGTTTTTTTGTATTGTAATGATTGGTACAAAAAGGTAATATGAGTTTTGGAGTGAAATGTGCTGATTAAGTGTTTATTAATTGCGCTCTTTATTTGCTAAATTGTTTAAGTGCTTTTCTTGTGATCTCAATGGAAGTGTATGCCATTTGAATCTCTGAGAGATTAAGTTGTGCAACTTGAACGAACGTTTATTTTTGAGCTAATTACATGTATTGTTAAATTGTCTTATAAATCAGCAGTCATAGTAATCATGCTCTTGCAATTTATTAAATGCACAATGTGCAGACTAATATTTTGAATTTTAAGTTTTGGATTATATTATATATATCTTCTTTTGTCTTGTTCTATTTGTTTTTGTTTCGGGGTATGTATAACTTCTTGAATGAGCATGCAGAGGCCTAATAGATCGGTGTGACCAAATTAGAGCAAAAAAAGAAAGAAAGAAAACAATCAGAAATAAAGCACATATTATCTATGCGCTTTTGCATGGCTAGGTTTTGGAGACACAATAATTATTCCTTCACTTGGTTACATTTTCCATCTACAAAATATTTATTGAAAGTGTGTTTTTAACGACTTCTGCCCCCAAACCCACCCCGGCCTGCTCAGAATTGATGGAAAGGCAAAAATTAGTGTTTTGTTTTGTTTTAGTTGGCCCACTAATTACCCCCCTCCCTCCAGAAAATGAGGTGGAACGTTTCCCCAGTTACGCAACTAAGAGTTCATGGCGTTCGTTTGTGAATCAAAGGTTGGATGACTTTTTAGACTTCCGGATTAAATTATAATAAATATAACACTTAAATGTTACCTCATAGCTAGCCATAGTTCAATCGGAATATAATATAAACTGAAATGCAATGAAAAACGCTATCCGGTTCGTTAGTGACTTCGTCATACGCGTGCGCGCAATACTAGCGCCCATTGGATAAACACTCAAGTTGGGTTAACTTTCGGTTCCAATGGTTCCAATGCTACTTAATGTGCAGTGGGCGTGGTTGAAACTGAAGTGACGTCACACTAACGAACCGGATTGGCTAAACACGCCACTTTATATACTACTTCCGGTTCCAATTGTTCCAACTTGCGTGTGCGCTGGGCGTGGTTTAAGTTGAAATGACGTTATTTACTGCGTTTTTTTGCGATACTGTTAGATCATTTACACTATTATCACATTTTTTTTCTCAATAAGTATTGCTTTTTTCCGCAATACTGCGAAAAAAAGCGATACTTACCGGTATCACGAAAAAAAATGTGAACCCTAGCTAATTACACGTCGACCTTAGGGACATCTCGCAGACGTAGCAATTCTCGTAATACGTCAAATGGCCCAGATCGTTCCACTTGTTGTCCCCGGCGTTCACGACCGCTGCGTCCTCGTCCCCATCCACGTTGTTCGGTTCACCTGAGTACCAGTTATCGTAGGTGACTCTACTGCCGTCCTCGTCCCATACCCAGCTGTGATCAGAGGAGATATCATTTGCCCTGGGGATAACACAAATCAACGGTAACAGTGTTGGTAGGAAGTCGGTACCTTTCGATAAGTTGATAGAGCTGCTAGTCCGGTCAATTTAGAACAAAACAGGGCCTGATCTAGAACAAATTGCAATAACATAAATTTTATTGTTATGCTATCACGCTAAGGAAATGTCACTACATATATTTAACATACTGAAAATCCAATTTCATGAAAGGAGTGGAAAAGTGTTTTTATTCACTTTTTCGCTACTAATTTGTCATCATACGTAAACAGCCGTATGGAGAGCGTCATGTTTTCTTTGGCGCCCGTTACTCGTCAGAAAATCCGCTATCATCACGTATGAGACTTCGCGAGACACGACTAATCACAGCAGACGACTTTTGTATGTCCACCAATTATTACAATATATTGTAATTTACACTGCCGCATAATAATATGGGATATTTTCTTAAAAAAAAAATCAAAAAAATTGAGATTTGTGCTTCCCGGAATATTTATTGGTTAAAATAAATCACTCTGTGCCCCAAAAAACTTTTGTTTCATAGAAAATCTTTGTATAAACAGGTCTACTTGAATAAAGGGTGGAAAATGATATACACAAAGAGATCCATTTAAATTTAAATTTCAGGTGTCTACGCCAATAGGCCAGAGACCAATTTTAAATATTGGGGAAAATATCCGAAATCCGAGATTCGTGTGTTCCTTTTGTGTTGAATTGAGGTCATTGGCGTTACTTATAAAAAGATATAAATTGTCCAAAAAATGAACGTTTACTTAAAAAGCCTTACTAAAGCCTGGCACATTAACGGGATTAACATTTTGCAGTGAATTTTTAGCTGAATTCTGCGCTCTAGAGAAAAGAAATATAGTGTGACAAGTGTATTACCTCTACAAATAATACATGTTACCCAGATCAAAGACTTAGGCCGGGGGGGGGGGTGCCAATGAGATCATTTTTTTTTAAAAGTAATAACAACGCGAGGTCTGTTCCATCCAAAGAATCCTTTTGTCGGGACTCAAGTATGCTTTTCTGGAGTAGTTTACTTCACTCTTGACTGTACAAGTAGAAATCTCAATGAATTTTCGTTCCTCAATCATGATCTTCTCAATTTAGCTGTTTAAAGTTACTGTACCGTACTTATGAAAAACATGGAAAGCTCATGTACAGAACTACATCTGTTTCTCATCAACCCCGCCCATTAACCTTTTTTTCTTTTGTGATCCAAGTGTTTTGAAAGGTTTTGTTTCATATTTTCATGTAATAATAATAATAATAATAATAATAATAATAATAATAATAATGTGCACTGTAAGCTTCACAACCTGAACCAAGTAATTCCTGAATTTTCTTAACCAAATCCAACACATCATGTGTTGGAGTCAGGTGGGTGTAGCGGTACTTTCCTCACCTTCCACCACTGTGACTTGGGTTCGAATCCCGCCTGGGCCAATATGTGGATTGGGTTTTCAGTCTCTACCTGATTCCGTGGGTTTTCCTCAGAATATTCTTCTGGGGTTTTCCTCCCACCTCTAAAACTGTAATTTCTTCTAATTGTCTTCTCTCTACAGGTTTCTTCAGGCTTTCGGGCTACAGTGCCTAGGACACTTTTGAGGGATCCTTGGTTTCATTACCAGAAAGAAAATAAAGAAAGAAAAAAAATCATTTTCAGGCGCTCAATCATTAATTTTTAATTAAAGATTTTCGCTTCACTTTCAAAACGGTCCATGCATGGACTGTCCAACCGTTTTCCATCTGTGTACTATCAAAATGATGTTTAGACATCCCCGGCCTTTTTTTGCAAATAATTGTATCTCGTCTGTGGACTTATTGCGCAACGTTTCGGCGGAAAATCGTCCACTCCATCCGTAGTGCCCTGTCTAAAATTACAATTTGAAACAGTTGTCTACGGAAGTGTATTTAGGACACGACCAAAAAAACATTTCCGGCCCTCTATTTCGCCCGGGCGGATTACTATTTCGCCCGGGCGGATTACTAATTCGCCCGGGCGAATTATTATTTCGCCCGGGCGAATTGTTATTTCGCCCGGGCGGATTACTAATTCGCCCGGGCGAATTACTATGTCGCCCGGGCGGATTACTATTTCGCCCGGGCGGATTACTATTTCGCCCGGGCGGATTACTAATTCGCCCGGGCGAATTATTATTTCGCCCGGGCGAATTGTTATTTCGCCCGGGCGGATTACTAATTCGCCCGGGCGAATTACTATGTCGCCCGGGCGGATTACTATTTCGCCCGGGCGGATTACTATTTCGCCCGGGCGGATTACTAATTCGCCCGGGCGAATTACTATTTCGCCCGGACGGATTACTAATTCGCCCGGGCGAATTAGTCTGCCCGGCCGGGAGAATTAGTAATCTGCCCTGGCGAATTAGTAATCCGCCCGGGCGAAAAAGTAATCCGCCCAGGCGAAATAGAGGGCCAGAAATCGTTTTTTGGTCATGTCCTAAATACACTTCCGTACTTATCTATTCTGGGGCAATTTTGTCAGTGTTTCTAATGAACAGATCTAATAATTTCAGCCTTTAAAGAGGTTGTTGAATGCTCGAAGATATTTCCGTCATTCTTCGGGTATATGTAGCCTAAGGTGTGATGAAATAAAAACGACTAGTGTTTCTGTCATAAAATGAGTACAAAAGGTACTTTTGAGAGCTGTTTTTCAAGTCCTGTCATGCCTGTTTCGACCCGAACGTGCAATTTGTGTAAAAGTCGTCGTTGCGGGCAGCAAACAAAACACAGTAAATCGTGACGTAATGAACAGGACTCCCGATGCAGAGTAGCATAAACGAGTCCTGTTTATTACGTCACGATTTACTGTGTTTTGTTTGCTGCCCGCAACGACGACTTTTACACAAATTGCACGTTGGGGTCGAAACGGGACCTGAAAAATAGCTCTCAAAAGTACCCTTTGTACTCATTTCATGACAGAAACAATAGTCGTTTTTATTTCATCACACCTTAGGCTACATATACCCCAAAAATGACGGAAATGTTTTCGAGCATTCTACAACCTCTTTAAAACAGTTAATCTAATTATACACAAATTGAATCAGGTTTTCTTTCTGAATTTCATGAGTATTTCTTCCTGTCCTTTCATCTTTGCCGTAGCCCAATATTTTTTGACTCGCCAGCCGGGCTACTTCAGGAATAGTTTGACTAGCCCGCCGCTGTTTTGACTAGCATTTGGCTAGCGGGCTACCGCTAATTTCGAACCCTGTGATGTACCGCATCGTCGGTTTCCCTTGAAATCGGTTGAGTTTGTTTTCGACATGCCTTTATTTGAACACAAATAATTTTTAAACTCTTTTAAATATGAAACCAATACTCGCCAGGGATAAAGTTAAGATTCTTAGCTTTGAAAATAATGGCGGTACGTGTTTCCGCGCCGACGCTAGAGCCTCGCGAAAAAAAATGCGGGTATTTTGGGACGCGCCCATTTCTCCACTATAGACTTACCCAATCCAGTACCATTCATTGCAATCATGTGGTCTGTGCCTTCGGAAGAAATCGGAGACCCAATTCCCATCAGCTTCGTTCTTGATAGTGACCAGCCAACCCCCTTGGAGTCGGCATATCTCTCGTGCCCGGATCCAGAAGTCCCGATGAAGGGATACTTTGTAGCAGTTGCCACTGGGCCAGCGTCGAGTGAAACCGTCGCCACAGTACCTCTCTGCACACACCATCCCAACCACAACACCGAGGAACGCAAACACTAGCAAGGTACGACCCATTGTATACTTTCTGCATCTAACACTAAATTCACTGTATGACGAAGATACAATTTGGCGATGGTTTGCGAACCCTGTGTTTATATAGACCCAACATATTTCACCGGAAATCACTCGGTGCTGGTGATATTCTTCTGTTACTATAACCCCAGCGCTCAAGTCAATCGGAAACATGGGCAGGCAAATGAACTGCAAAAGGCTGTCGTATCATTACAAAAATCACTCCAGTTAAGGTAACAAGAAGGCCGGGGAAAAAAACACCCGGATCTTCAGGGTTCAAATCTGTTATAATAGTCTCAAAAAGGATAATGTATGATGCTGGCTAGGTTTTGATGGCATACTTTTTCCGGTAACTTATAGCTCCGGCTTTAACCCCCCCAAAAACCACCCGGATCTTTCAGGGTTTAATTCCGTTATGATAGTCTTAAAAAAGGATCATGTGTGATGCTGGCTAGGTTTGATGACATGCTTTTTCCTGTAACTAACAGCTCCGGCGCAATGTACTGCCGTAAACAAGATGTTAATTAGTGCATGCAGCTTGGCATGAGTAAATGTAAAGAGGACCCTTGGAACGAGGCGAGTCGGTAAAGTGCAGTCACGAGACTATTTACAATCGGCTGTGACTTCATTTTCACGTACTAGAGCGAAAAGCAAGAAAATTACATACCAATCTAGGTATAGAGCCACATATCATTCTCCTCAGCCTCCGCTGACAACAATGGGCACAATTTAGGTTTCAGATATACTTTATTTCACAACTTAGAATGTTCAATTTTTTGCTGGTCCCATGGCCACTGGGCCAGCCTAATTCTTTACACCTATCTCACTGACTGACTGACTTGTTTCTGTGCAGGTAGGCTTTTTGTCTAAGCCTACACCTACTTGTAAACAAGTGCTAGCAACAATGAGACTGCTGGTTGTTTGGTTCTTTCCCTGACTGCTATGTTAGTGATTCTGTCCTCCCACGTTATGCCAAGAATGCGTCGTAAACATCTCTGGTCAAAGAGTTCAGTCTTCTCTCTTGACCAATTGTAAGAGGCCAGGTCGCAGTACTATATAAGAGTGTGGATATGACACAAGAGTTGCAGAAGCACATCTTTTGCCGAAGGAAGATATTCTTCTGTTTCCAGATATTGTCCAGAAGATCCTTGTATGCAACTCCTGCTTTGCCCATCCTTACATTCACTTCCTTTTCTACTGTGCCATCTCCTGAAATGTAGATCCACCAAAGGTACTGGAAGCTTGAGACAGTGCTAAACTGCTCTCCATCCTGTGATCCTGATGTTTATCGGGCTATTTGCAACATGCATCATTTAGGTTTTGGGTTTGTTTATATTTAATCCCACTTGTTTACTCTATGTGTTTACTGTGTTTGTTGATGTTTGGAGACTCTCTTCATCATCATCTAAGAGTGCGACATCATCATCATCATCATCAACTTAATTGGTTGTTGCCATTACACGTTAGGGACTCGTTGGTAAATTGCAACGTGTAGATGCAACCTCCAAATCGGTAAACTGCAACGTGCAGATACAAAGAACGTCAGATGCCTCACTTTTTACATTTGTTTTTCAAAAAGAAAACAAATTAGCGTCTAATTTTGCGGAACGCCTCCTTGCAGTCTTTCCTGAATCGTTTGTTTGCCAGTCCGTAAATCAGTGGATTAATGGCATTGTTGATGAATATGGTTAAAGACAGCCATTCAGGTATATTAGAAAGTGTACTCTCAAGGTCAATGTTTCTGCCTGTGAAATATGCAATTTCGATAGCATTATCAATCAGATCTGGTATCCACGTCAGCAGGAAAACCACACTGGTAATGAAGAGCATTTTTGTTGTCTTACGCTGTAAGATGGCGCGGCCCATCTGTTTAGGGGCGTGTCTTCTCCCAGCGTCCGTTGCTTCACAGTGGTTTGTGTCCTCTCCCTTACTACAGCTTTGCTCTGAAACTGCTTGGGAAACGCTCTTCAGGCCATCTTTGGAATTACGCTCGGCAGGATTTACCAGCTTACCATTTGCAGTTTGAGGAATGTCTAGAACTTTTGGCCTTGAAAAAGATGCATGAGTCGTACAGATGGTGTTTGGCAAATTAACTGTCGACACTTCGTTGTCGACAATGGACGCATTAGCTTCGATTCTAGCCGGTGCATCTGATAGCGGTTGTGTCGAACAAGTCTTGCTGTTGCGATCGGAACCATTTCCTCTTTTGGTTGTGTGACTATGGATAGTAGTCAGTTGGACTGGCGAAGTGCGTTATGTCGATGGTATCGTTCGGTCTTTGTCGATCTTGATGGCGATCTGATCATCTTGCGTCAATGTGCGTTCAAGGATGCCACCGACTTTTACATGTTTCAAGATCGCCGCGTAAACTTTCCCGTAACACAGTCCGATTGTTACAAATGCAGTTAAGACAGCAATGGTTTCGGCAATTGGCTGAAGTAGGTTTATGCTTAATATGGGCGGATACAGGTACTCTCTGATGCCTCCAGGAAAACCTAACATAACTGAGAACAGCACGACAACGAAAACAGCTACCTTGGCCCGTCTTGGCGTGCAATACCGTTTTTGTGGCCGGCATATGCAGTCATAACGATCTGCAGCAATCAAAGCGGTGATACCAAGCGAAGCAGGCACACCTATATCCGCAAAAGTCGCAATCAACGAGAAAAATATAGAGTTTGCACCGTTGCCTCCACATTCTAGAGCAAGTTTCACAATCATAGTAGACATGGAAAGGCAAACGGACAGATCAGCCCAGGCCAGGGCCATGATCAGAACGTGGGTGCTGGTCTTGCGTGCCTTGGTCCAGTAGACACGCAGGATCAGGCAGTTACCAGGCACTCCAAATACGAAAACAGCGGCTAAAAAAATCAACATGATCACAAGAATGCCAGTGTCACATGAATTCTCAGCCCCAGATGTACAAGGTGCAATACTGGCGTTGGAAGATCGAAGGTTAGGCATGATAGAAATTGAATTTCTCTGTAGTGTCACAGGAGCCTCATGATACCACACGAGCTAAGTACACCGTTACCTATCTCGAACAGCAACGAGTCGTGCAGATTTCACATCACACTCAACCAAACGGTCTTAGTCACTAACTGTTTTGAGTTGATTTTTTCATCAGGATGCGCAGGCCATAGCATATTTTAATCACCGACGGTAAATCAAATGAATGCACTTCCCAAATGACAAACAATGTCTGTGTCTGCTTAATTGTCTCCGACTGCTAAATTAAACCTCACATACACCATCTGTTGTCACGGTAACATAAATATTTATTCACTCAATGGAGTAACAGGCACACGCTGCGCGTGCGGCGTGACAATGATCCAACGTTCGGGTTAGGAGGGAACTTCGAGGACCATTATGTTTGGAAACCTAAGCTTTCTTCTCATTCTGAGCGGAGGCAAACTTGCCCCCTTCCCCCCTTCAGAAAATTAGGTGGCACGTGTCCACAGTCACGTAACTAGGAGTTGAAGGCTTTCATTTGAGAATCAGTGGTTGGGTAAGTTTATTGTGACTTTCGGAATTAAATTCTCAGAGCATGCATAGTTGACTTACATGAAAAAAGTAAGTCACTAGATTTGCTAAGTTGGCAATCTATTTACGTTAATGACGTCATAAGATAACGGCGGCCACTTAAATGTGACCTCTTAGCTAGTCATAGTTACGTCATATAGTTTGACACCGTTTATTAATAAAAAATAATTAAAAAGGCGCTATGTTGTGCCTGTCAAAAATTACAAGACGTCATATCCTACAAAAATTGGTTAGTTCAACTGCAATTTGGTGCAAGGTAGGTGCGTTTTAGATATGAAATGAGAAAGTTACGGTGATTTGAAGAGAGAAAGCATAATCCCTTCTCGCACAATACAATGAAGTTATTAATGAGGGCTTTCATTTGTGAATCAGAGGTTCGGTAAGTTTATTTTGACTTTTGGAATTAAATTTTCACATAGAGTCTAAGAGCATGCCTAGTTGACTTCAAAAAAACAAAAATTAGTGACTAGATTTGCTGAATTGGCAATCTATATACGTATAAGACGTCATAAGACAACGGGGCCACTTGAATGTTACGTCATATAGCTGATAGTCATTGGCCCAATATTTTTTCTTTGCCGACCGACCGTCACTTCTTCAAAGACCAAGAAATTAAATGACATTTTATAGAGTTGAAAAGAAAGCCATATTCTTGAAATAATAACTGAACAAAAGTCGGCTCGTCAGCATTATCGCAAACTCACATGAGGGCGCTGTTACTAGCTTCCTAGTTTGTTTTTTATTGCTCTTGCTATTTCGTTTTAAATCATCTTTTATCACCGTTTGTTCTTACCATCGTGTTTTAATTTGTGAATCTACATTTTGTCTTGACATCCGTTGTTCGGTGTGAGTATGTTTGTCGACTAATTGGTCGTGTTTCATCGTTTTGTGATGAAATGTGTCTTATTTGACTGATTTGTTGTGCTGGAGGGACCGCCATATTGAACCGACAACTTTAGCAAGTCATGAGATACATCGGCATGAACTGTTGCAGGTTGATTCTGCTCATAATTGTGCAGTGTCGACTTCAATCCTGCCTGGCTTTCGATGGAACCTACGTATGTGCATTTTCAACAAATAACGGATCATCTTCAGCGACTGGTAAGCTGTTAACATTATTATAGCAATAGCCTTCTCCATGGTCTTCCTGATTATTTAATCCATAGGTTACAATTACGGGAAACATCCATACCCGATCACCACTTACCTGCCGCCAAACAAATAAATTTCAGGTAATAACCATTCTATAAAACACTCAGTTTTTTTGTCAATATACCCTATTTGCCAAAACAAAATTGATGAACTTGGGTCCAGACCATTCTGACTCACCCTGTAGTTTGGTGCATGCAGCTTGGTATGAGTGAATGTAAAGAGGACCCTTGGAACGAGGTGAGTCGGGTAAAGTGCAGTCACGAGACTATTAACACTTGGCTGTGACTTCATCTACATGTGCAAGAGCGCAAATCAAGTAAATTAAAGACCAATCCAGGTATGGAGCCGCAGTCTCCTCCTTCTCCGTTGACAACAATGTACACACATTTAGGTTTTACATATACTTTATTCACAACTTAGAATGTTCAATTTTTTTGCTGGTCCCATGTCTACAGGGCCAGCCTAATTCTTTACACCTATCTCACTGACTGACTGACTTGTTTCTGTGCAGGTAGGCTTTTTGTCTAGGCCTACACCTACTTGTAAATTTCACCATCAAACCGCAAGTCATACTGTAACGGTGCATATCATCCAATGCGATCATCAGTAGCATCAACTTAAGTACTTACTTAATCCATGGCATCGCTCTTAGCGGAGCATACCGTCCTCACGAGCTTCTTCCACTTGTTACGATTGGTTGTTAAAGGCTGCTTGGTGTTTGTAGAGGTTCAGCCTTCCAGGTCTCTTCCAGTGTGTCCTCCCATGTAGTTCGTTGTCGTCCTGGTCGCCGTCTTCCATGTGTTGGGGTTCAGCCTAACAGTCTTCTGGGAATGCGAGACTGCTCCATCCTCATAAGATGTCCCCACCTTGTTAGTCGCTTTTTCAAGTGCTAGCAACAATGAGACTGCTGGTTGTTTGGTTCTTTCCCTGACTGCTATGTTAGTGATTCCGTCCTCCCACGTTATGCCAAGAATGCGTCGTAAACATCTCTGGTCAAAGAGTCCAGTCTTCTCTCTTGACCAATTGTAAGAGGCCAGGTCGCAGTACTATATAAGAGTGTGGATATGACACAAGAGTTGTAGAAGCATAACTTGTGCTGAAGGGATAGGAGATATTCTTCTGTTTCCAGATGTTGTCCAGATCCTTGGATGCAGCTTCTGCTTTGCCCATCCTTACATTCACTTCCTTTTCTACTGTGCCATCTCCTGAAATGTAGATCCACCAAGGTACTGGAAGCTTGAGACAGTGCTAAACTGCTCTCCATCCTGTGATCCTAATGTTATCGGGCTATTTGCAACATGCATCACTTTGGTTTTGGGTTTGTTTATATTTAATCCCACTTGTTTACTCTATGTGTTTACTGTGTTTGTTGATGTTTGGAGACCCTCTTCATCATCAGCTAAGAGTGCGAAATCATCATCATCATCAACTTAATTGGTCGTTACTATTACACGTTAGGGACTCTACATCAAAATCGTTGATGAATTGCAACGTGCAGATGCAACCTCCAAATCGTTAAGTTGCAACGTGCAGATACAAAGAACGTCAGATGCCTCACTTTTTACATTTGTTTTTCAAAAAGAAATTAAATTAGCGTCTGATTTTGCGGAACGCCTCCTTGCAGTCTTTCCTGAATCGTTTGTTTGCCAGTCCGTAGATCAGTGGATTGATGGCATTGTTGATGAATATGGTGAAAGACAGCCATTCACTTATATAAGAAAATGTACTGTCTATGTTGCTATCTGACAAATAAGCAATTTCTTTAGCATTATCAATCAGATCTGGTAGCCACGTCAGCAGGAATATCACACTGGTAATGAAGAGCATTTTTGTTGTCTTACGCTGTAGGACGGCGCCGCCCATCCGTTTAGGGGCGTGTCTTCTCCCAGCGTCCGTTGCTTCACGGTGGTTTGTGTCCTCTCCCTTACTACAGCCTTGCTCTGAAACTGCTTGGGAAACGCTCTTCAGGCCAACTTTGGAATCACGCTCAGCAGGATTCACCAGCTTACCATTAGCATTTTGGGGAATGTCAAGAACTTTTCGCCTTGAAAAAGATGCATGAGTCGTACAGATGGTGTTTGGCAAATTAATTGTCGACACTTCGTTGTCGACAATCGACGCATTAGCTTCGACTCTAGCCGGTGCATCTGATAGCGGTTGTGTCGAACAAGTCTTGCTGTTACGATTGGAACCATTTCGTCTTTTGGTTGTAGGACTACGGATAGTAGTCAGTTGGACTGGCGAAGTGCGTTGTGTCGATGGTATCGTTCGGTCTTTGTCGATGTTGAAAGTGACCTGATCATCTTGCGTCAATGTGCGTTCGGGGATGCCACCGACTTGTACATGTTTCAAGATCGCCGCGTAAACTTTCCCGTAACACAGCCCGATTGTTACAAATGCAATTAAGACAGCAATGGTTTCGGCAATTGGCTCAAGTAGGTCTATGCTTAATATTGGTGGGTACAGGTACTCTCTGATGCCTCCAGGAATACCCAACATAACTGAGAACAGCACGACAACGAAAACAGCTACCTTGGCCCGTCTTGGCGTGCAATACCGCTTTTGTGGCCGGCATATGCAGTCATAGCGATCCACAGCAATCACGGCGGTGATACCAAGCGAAACAGCCACACCTTTATCCGCAAAAGTCGCAATCAACGAGAAAAATATAGAGTCTGCACCGTTGCCTGCACATTTTAGAGCAAGTTCCACAATGTTAATAGACATGGAAAGGCAAACGGACAGATCAGCCCAGGCCAAGGCCATGATCAGAACGTGGGTGCTGGTCTTACGTGCCTTGGTCCAGTAGACACGCAGGATCAGGCAGTTACCAGGTACTCCAAATACGAAAACAGCGGCTTTAAAAATCAACATGAACACAAGAATACCAGTGTCACATGAATTCTCAGCCCCAGATGTACAAGGTGCAATACTGGCGTTGGAAGATCGAAGGTTAGGCATGATAGAAATTGAAATTCTCTGACCAAGTGTCACAGGAGCCTCCTGATACCACACGAGCTAAGTACACCGTCACCTATCTCAAACAGCAACGAGTCGTGGAAATTTCACATCACACTTAACCAAACGGTCTTAGTCACTAACTGTTTTGAGTTGATTTTTTTCATCAGGATGCGCAGGACATAGCATATTTCATCACCGACGGTAAATCGAATGACAGCACTTCCCAAATGACAAACAGTCCCTGTCTGTGTCTGCTTGGCTCCGACTGCTCAATTAAACCTCACATACACAATCTGTTGTTACAGTAACAGAAATATTTATTCACTCAATGGAGTAACAGGCACACGCTGCGCGTGCGGCGTGACAATGATCCAACGTTCGGGTTAGGAGGAAACTTCGAGGACCATTATGTTTGGAAACCTAAGCTTTCTTCTAATTCTGAGTGGAGGCAAACTTACCCCCTTCCCCCTTCAGAAAATTAGGTGGCACGTGTCCACAGTCACGTAACTAGGAGTTGAAGGCTTTCATTTGAGAATCATGTGGTTGGGTCAGTTTATTGTGACTTTCGGAATTAAATTTTCAGAGCATGCATAGTTGACTTACGTGAAAAAAAGGTGAGTGACTAGATTTGCTAAGGTGGCAATCTATAAACGTTAATGACGTCATAAGATAACGACGGCCACTTAAATGTGACCTCTTAGCTAGTCATAGTTACGTCATATAGTTTGACACCGTTTATCTATACAAATATTTAAAAAGGCGCTATGTTGTGCTTGTCAAAAATTATAAGACGTCATATCCTACAAAAACTGCAATTTGGTGCAAGGTAAAAGCGTTTTAGATATGAAATGAGAAAGTTACGGTGATTCGAAGAGTGAAAAGATAATCCTTTTTCACACCATACAATGAAGTTATTAATGAGGGCTTTCATTTGTGAATCAGAGGTTCGGTAAGTTTATTTTGACTTTTGGAATTAAATTTTCACATAGAGTCTAAGAGCATGCCTAGTTGACTTCAAGAAAACAAAAATTAGTGACTAGATTTGCTGAATTGGCAATCTATATACGTTAAAGACGTCATAAGACAACGGGGCCACTTGAATGTTACGTCATATAGCTGCTAGTCATTGGCCTAATAGAATGTAAACTGAAATGCAATTTCTTTACAAAAGCTTTCCAGTTCACAAGTGACTGAATCCTATACGCGCACGCGCCACTGTTTGTATACTAGCGCCCATTGTCTAAACGCGCCACTACTAATGGTTCCAATACTACTGCGCGTGTGGGCGTGGTTTAAGTTAAAATGACGTCACCGATGCAGCGTAGTATAAACGCGTCCTGTTTATTACGTCACGATTTACTATGTTTTGTTTGCTGCCCCCAGCGACGACTTTTATACAAATTGCACGTTCGGGTCGAAACAAGACCTGAAAAACAGCTCTCAAAAGTACCTTTTGCACTCATTTCATGACAGACACAATAGTCGTTTTTATTTCATCATACGTTAGGCTACATATACCCGAAAAATGACGGAAATGTCTTCGAGCATTCAACAACCTCTTTAAAGTTGGTGGGATTTTATTTTTGTGATCACTGATCAATTACTTTTAAGAACTGTTTTCTTTTTTTATTATGTGAAGTATAGCCATGGGCGTCGCGAGGGGGGGGGGCAAGGGGGGCACTTGCCCCCCCCCTGGAAAAGCAAAAAAAAAAAAAAAAAAAAAAGGAAGGAAAAAAAGAAAAAAAAAAGAAAGAAAAAGAGGCGCGAAGACCAAGTGGTGTAAATTTAATGAGTTGGGGGGGGGGGGGCAAAATGTCCCTGCCCCCTTCTAAAACTGATAAATCGAGAATGTGTTGAGAAATACAAGCATTTTTTGGCAAATTTTTTTTTTGCCCCCCTCTAGAAAAAATCCTGGCGACGCCCATGAGTATAGCTCTTCAACCATACGTGGTGAAAAAAATCTTTAAAGAAATTCGCAAGAATAGTGTTATTATTCTTAGGCCAAAAAAAAAAATAAGTCGGTCTCTGGTCAGCGCGCGCGTCGATTTTAAGCATGCGCGTCGATCTTTTTTTTTCCAAACTGTCCGCGGTAGCTCAAACAGCGTCCTCTATTTCCGCACCTCCTCAATTGTTTTTTACCAAAGAGCACCAAGGAATGGGAAATTGCACCAAGGCAAATGATCGAAAGCACCAAGGCAAATTATGGAGGCCACCAATGTACATGAGGACACCAAAAAAGCAAAATAGTACCCACCTTGTCTGTACAATCCAAGCTGAAGAAAAAAAAAAAAAGGAAAAAAAAAAAAAAAAAAGCCGCGTGGCCGCGTCAATTCCGGAACTTTGGTCTGACCAGAGACCGAATTTTTTTTTTTTGGCCCCCATACTGTAATACAGCTATAGGTCACCAAAATCACTGTTATCCTAGTCCAAGCTCCGGGGTTCATTCAAGCGGATAGGATAAAGCCGTCCCTGGTTTGGCACATGAAATACCACATCTTAGAAACAAGATATGGATTTGCAGTCATTTTTTCGTCACCTACGTTTATAGATCAATTCTTTTTTGGACCAATAAATTGAAGTTTTGTGAAAAGTGCTGTCAAAAGTATGTTTCCTCCTTTTTGCACCACCCTGAAGTTAATGTATGGAATTTCCTTAAAATCAACAAATCGTGGATTTTAGTCAAATTTAGTTAGCGGGGATGATATCAAACAATGAGGGTCATTTCTTCTTGATACAACACACGACGATAATACAGGGTGAGTTAAAAAAGAAAAAAGAAACCCAAATGTCGGGACCGTTGTTTTAGTGAAGTTCTGAATGTAGCAAATTTAAAATCTAGGATACAAAAGCCCTATTCATAATCCTTTTTTTAGCACAAGAATCATTCAAATCACTTATATACTTTTGAAGTTACAGAATTTTAAACACAACCACCGTTTTAAAGTTCTGTCCACGGATCACCAGAAGGCGCAGCAAAACGAACACAAATCACATATGGATTTGTGTGAATATTGTTTTGCTGAAAGACCACACACCTTTTTTGTGATCCGTGGACAGAACTTTAAAACGGTGGTTGTGTTTAAAATTCCGTAACTTGAAAAGGACATGCGTGATTTGAATGATTCTTGTCCTAAAAGAACGCTTATGATTGGGCCTTTATATCCTAGATTTTGGAAGTGCTACATGTAGTCAGGTGGCTTAGATCTAATTTTCGTCAAGATCGTGACCGACTGGTCCAAAGCACCAAACTTGGCAGATAGATTCTTACAGACCTAGAGAAGATATTTAGAAGGGGTGACACCTGAAATTCTTTTGGGAATGGTGCCTAATTTGCATAAATCGTTAATCCCTGTCGTGTAATATATATATTCCCATATTTGGGTATATTTTTATTTTTTTATTTTTTGAAAAGTGTATTTTGGGGATTCTACTTACATATCCTTACTTAAATAACATTTTCCAAAGCATATAAGTGACTGAATAATTATGAGGACATAGTAACGATCCAAAATGGCTACTATTATGCCCTAAAATTGCGCGCATTTACCTTGTCTCCAGATATCATCAATTAGTCTTGCCAAACATCAGCATTGATGAACTTCAAATTCACCAAGTAGCTTATTGGTACAGTTACCATATTAAAACCTTATGCAAAATCATGTGAACAATGATAACATTGTGATATTTAGCCCAGAAAACAAAAACTGGGAAAAACGAGGTGTCCATAAATTGGGCTAACAAGTAGGTGAAGGGTTCCCTAACAAGGAACACTGTAACAAGTTCAAGGAAATTCCCAAAATTATGGTTGAGAAAACGTTTTGGCGTAGACAAAATGATTGTAAACAACAATAATCTCTTTTTTAGGGGGATTTCGTTGAACTTGTTCAAGTCCCCACGTTACCCTTCCCGTACTAGCCCAATTTACGGACACCACATTTTCTCCCCTTTTTTGGTCTTTTGGGCTAAACATTAAGATGTTATCAATGTTCACTTGATTTCCCACTTATTTTTGTTAGGGTAACTATGCCAGTAAGTAACTTTGTGAAGCTCATCAATTTGAAGCTCATCAATACTCACGTTTGGCGAGACTAGTTGCTTATATCTGAAGAAAAGGTAAATGCGCGTAACTTTAGGGTAAAATAGTAGCAATTTTGGTTCTTTACTATGTCCTCCTAATTATTCAGTCACTTATATGTTTTACAAAATGTTATTGAGGTAAGAATATGCAAGTAGAATCACCAAAATACACTTTTCAAAAAAATTAAAAAAATAGAAATATACCCAAATATGGGAATAAATATATTACACGGCAGGGATTAACGATTTATGCAAATTAGGCACCCTTCCCAAAAGAATTTCAGGTGTCACCCCTTTTAAATATCTTCTCTAGGGCTATAAGAATCTATCTGCCAAGTTTGGTGCTTTGGACCAGTCGGTCACGATTCCGACCATATGCCACCTGACTAATGCAGAACTTCACTAAAACAATAGTCCCGACATTTGGGTTTCGTTTTTTTACTCACCCTGTACAGATGGTTTTGCAACGTATTAGAGGCGAAGTTTCACAAAAAGACAATAAATTAGCGTCTGATTTTGCGGAATGCCCCCTTGCAGTCTTTCCTGAATCGTTTGTTTGCCAGTCCGTAGATCAATGGATTGATGGCATTGTTGATGAATATGGTGAAAGACAGCCAGTCCAATATTATGCGAAATGTACTCTCGGGGTCTATGTCACTACCTGCGAAATAAGCAATTTCCATAGCATTACTGATCAGATCTGGTAGCCACGTCAGCAGGAACACCACAGTGGTAATGAAGAGCATTTTTGTTGTCTTACGCTGTAGGACTGTACCTACCACCCTTTTAGGGGCGTGTCTTCTCCCAGTGTCCGTTGCTTCACGGTGGTTCGTGTCCCCGCCCTTACTACAGCCTTGCTCTGAAACTGCTTGGGAAACGCTTTTCAGGCCAACTTTGGAATCACGCTCAGCAGGATGTACCAGCTTACCATTTGCATTTTGGGGCACCTCAGGAATGTCCGGCCTGGAAGTAGATGCACGAGTCGTACATATGGAATTTGGCAAATTAACTGTCGACACTTCGTTGTCGACAATAGGCGTACTATGAGCATCGATTCGAGACAAACCATGTGATGTCGGCTTTGCCGAACATTTACTGTTGCGTTCGGAACCGTTTCCCGTTTTGGTCGCGTGACTATGGATAGCACTCAGTTGAACTCTCCTTGGCATAGTGGATTGGGTCGATGGCATCGTTCGGTCCTTGTCAATCTTGGAAGCGACCTGCATCTGATCGTCTTGCGTCAATGTACGTTCGGGGATGCCTTCGACTTTTACGTGTTTTAAAATCGCTGCGTAAACTTTCCCGTAACACAGCACGATGATAACAAGTGCAATTAACACAGCTGTAGTTTGGGAAACTGGCTCAAGTATGTATATGCCTAACGTGGGCGGGTACAGCGGGTATTCGTTGATGCCTCCAGGAATATTTACTATAACTGAGAACAGCATGACACCGAAAACAGCTACCTTGGCCCATCTTGGCGTGCAATACCGCCTTTGTGGCCGGCATATGCAGTCATAGCGATCCACAGCAATCACGGCGGTGATACCAAGCGAAGCAGCCACACCAATTCTCACAACTGTCGCCATCAACCAGAAAATTATAAAGTCTCCACCGTTGCCTCCACATTCTAGAGCATATCCCACAATGTTGACAGTCATGGAAAGGCAAACGGACAGATCAGCCCAGGCTAAGGCCATGATCAGAACGTTGGTGCTGGTCTTACGTGCCTTGGTCCAGTAGACACGCAGGATCAGGCAGTTACCAGGTACTCCAAATACGAAAACAGCGGTTCTAACAAGCAGGATGAACGCAAGCATGTTAGTGTCACAAGTGCCACTATCCCCATATAAAGGCGCAATACTTGTATTGGAAGCTGTAAGGTTAGACATGGTAGAAATTTAAATTCTCCTGAAGACGTGTCCCAACGAACCTCAGAATACCACACCAGCTAAACACACACCATTAACTATCCAGAACAGCAACGGGGCGCGGAGATTTCACGTCATGTAACTTAACCAACGTTGGGCAAAATGACTTTGTGGTGCGATCTGAGGCAATTTCTGACCACTTTAACCAATTTTAAAGAAAAGATGGTAGTATACGCAGTGCCTGCCTTTATTGCGACGTCACTTTAAAAAAAAATGGGTTCGTTGGGGGGGGGGGGGGCATGGCCGGCCCTTGATTCCTCGATGATCCTTTGAGCGTTCCATTTTCCTCGGCCACGCTTCGGGTAACAGAACAGTCCATCCATCCATCGATAACCCCAGGGAGACATTGTACTATACGCCACTCTAAACAGTCAATATTTGTACAATATGCAGTCGTCTATACATCAAAATTTAAGGACTTTACAGGCAAAACATTATTAAGCTGAAAGGTGCAGTTACGTCAAATGTCTCACCTCACCTTGCACTTTTTTTCGCTTTGCTCCTTGAGCCTTTACAATAAACACAGCTAGAGATAAGCTTACAATACGCACTTCCGTATCTGCACGGTAGTGACGCCCCCCCCCCCCCGCCCATTTTCGAGGAATCCTTCTTCAAAGGTAAAACAGAGATTTTAAGTCTCTAGTCTGAGATGCCCTAATGTCTTTGAATCAAAAAAGAAGAATGGACTGATAATTCGTCAGCATTATCGCAAACTAACAAGAAAAGCTGACGTACTCACTTATTAAGGCAATATGTAATGCACACTGCACTCTTTAGGAAGACTGCTAGCGTTGAAAGCTTGCCAACAGTACCATTTTTAATGAGAGTCATCCATCACAACTATCCAAGGGCCACTCAAAGTGAGCTAGGGCTACACATAGAATGGATAAAAAAGGGAAATGAAGTAATACTTCAAGTAGGTCTAGTAAGATAAGTATTGACGTTACACTTGAACTAGGACAGACAGGTAAGGATCGAGTTCCTTGGTTGGTCAGTGCGCGGGAAGAAGCTGGATGAATGCTTCTAGAATTTGCTTTGGGAACAATGACTGTGGATGCGAATAGATGAAGAAGCGTGTAGTGCGCCCAACTTGAGGATGGACAAAAAGGGATCGACTGATAAATAATTGTTTTAACGGAAGCAGTGAGAGTCAGGGTACGGGTTATCTGTGGAGGATTGCAAGGATAGGATTTTTTATGGTCAGTTTGGGATTAGATTAGCGGTTGAATGGTTAACAGATAAGGTTAGAGTTTGCCTTTGACCCTACCACCCTTTTTAAAGAATTGTTTTTGGGCTGGTCCAAGAGGGCCAGCCGAGTATCACCTTCGTACCTATCTTACCGACCGACCGACTGACTGACCGACTGACTGACCGGCTGACTCCCCGACTGACTGACTCCCCGACTGACTCCCCGACTCCCCTACTGACTCCCCGACTGACTGGCTGCCTCCCCTACTGACTCCCCGACTGCCCGGCTGACTGACTGACTGACTGACTGACTGACTCCCCGACTGACTCCCCGACTCCCCTACTGACTCCCCGACTGACTGGCTGCCTCCCCTACTGACTCCCCGACTGCCCGGCTGACTGACTGACTGACTGACTGACTCCCCGACTGACTCCCCGACTCCCCTACTGACTCCCCGACTGACTGGCTGCCTCCCCTACTGACTCCCCGACTGCCCGGCTGACTGACTGACTGACTGACTGACTCCCCGACTGACTCCCCGACTCCCCTACTGACTCCCCGACTGACTGGCTGCCTCCCCTACTGACTCCCCGACTGCCCGGCTGACTGACTGACTGACTGACTCCCCGACTCCCCGACTGACTCCCCAAATGACCGACTGACTCCCCTACTGACTCCCCGACTGACTGGCTGCCTGGCCGCACTTTGTGAGCTGGGAATTCTATCGTATTGAACAACCTGTAATGAAAATGAATGGGCTAGATCCGGCCCATTGTGCAGACCAGATAGATACATAAAAATTGACTTCCAGTGAATAGCCAATCTAAATCAACTGAATATAATTATTATTTACGAGGCTTGTCTTGTCTTGTTTATACCGATATTACCACTGGCTGTGTTCCAGTGTGCACCTGTTGAACCACTAAAAGGAGGGGCGTAAGGACACGCCCCCGCTCCGAATTAAAATAACAATTGAGCTGTCCAAGAAATGTCCCCAAAGTTACTTGCTACCCCGGATATTGGGCCCTGTCACGCCCTAAATTGTCAATATACTCTTGTGTATAAAAGTACTTCCTGGCGAGTATAATCTTTCTTCCAACTCAATGCCCCACACGCCGCATAGACGCAAGCGCTATGTTACCATGGCATCCATTTGTCTACGAATCACATTGGACGTAAAACGTCTGCGAATGACAACACCCATGATGATGATACTGATGTGAGGTTTAATGATTAGCTTTTTGAAAAAAGCAGATAGGACCTGAGTGATGTCGTTCGATTTACCTCCGGTGATGAAATGTGCTGCGTCCTGTGCATCTTGATGGAGAATTTCTTTTTCCGAGAGTCTGTGTGGTGAAACATATGATGTGAAACCTACAATACCCATTGCTGTTTTGGAAAGTTATTGGAATAGCTTGTGGTACTTGCAGGCTCCTCTGTCATTAAGGGGAACTTCAAGTTCTATAATGGCCATTCTGTCAGCTCTCAACACCAGTGTCGCGCCTTCCATATCTGGGGCTGATAACTCATGTGACACTAACATTTTTGCAATCACGTTGTTTGTTAGAGCCGTGGTATTTGTCTTTGGAGTACCTGGTAACTGTCTGATCCTGCGTGTGTACTGGACCAAGGTACGTAAGACCAGCACCCACGTTCTGATCATGGCCTTAGCCTCTACTGATCTGTACGTTTGCCTTATTTTGTCTATTAGCATTGTGGGACTTGCTCTCAAATGTGGAGGCAACGGTGGAGACTTCAGTATGCTGATCACGACGCTTTGGGATATTGGTATATTTGCTTCGTTTGGTATCACCGCTGCGATTGCTGTAGATCGCTATGACTGCATATGCCGGCCACAAAGACGGTATTGCACGCCAAGACGGGCCAAGGTAGCTGCTTTCGTTATCTTGCTGTTCTCGGTATTATTTAGTATTCCTGGAAGCATAAGAGATTACCTGTACCCGCCCATGTTAGGCATAGACCTACTTGTACCAATTGTCGAAAACATTGCTGTGTTAACTGCACTTGTAACAATCGGGATTTGTTACGGAAACGTTTACGCAGCAGTCTTAAGACATGTGAAAGTTGGTGCCATGCCTGAACGCACATCAACGCAAGATGATCAGGTCGCTACCAAGATCGACAAGGACCGAACAATACCTACACAATCGGCTCTACCAAAGAAAAATCAACTGAGTGCTATCAATAATCATATGGAGAAAATGGGAAACGGTTCCGACCGCAACAGCAAATGTTCGACACAACCGCCATCAGATGCTCTGGTTAGGATCGAAGCTAATACGTCCATTGTCGACAACGAGGTGTCGACAGTTATCAATCTGGCAAACACCAGCTGTACGCCTCATCATGCATCTACTTCAAGGCTGGACATTCTTGAGGTGCCCCAAATTACAAATGGAAATCTTGTGAATCCTGCCAAGCGAGATTCCAAAGTGGGACCGGAAAGCGTTTCCCAAGCAGTTTCAGAGCAAGACGGGGACAGGAACCACCGTGGAGAAACGAACTCTCTGAGAAGGATGGGCGGCGCCGTCCTACAGCGTAAGACAACAAAAATGCTCTTCATTACCAGTGTGGTGTTCCTGCTGACGTGGCTACCAGATCTGATTGATAATGCTATACACATTGCTTATTTGGCAGGTAGCAACATAGACCCTGAAAGTACATTTTACATGATATGGAACTGGCTGTCTTTCTCCATATTTATCAACAATGCCATTAATCCATTGATTTACGGACTGGCAAACAAACGATTCAGGAAAGACTGCGTGGCAGTGTTTCGCAAAATGAGACGCTAACATTTTTTTGTTGTTGTGAGATCTCATATTTCGTGAGCAAAAACAAAGTGATCTGTTAATTGTTTATTTCGCTTTGTCCGTGTCATTGTCAGTGTTGCACTAAAAGGAACTGACTCTAATCATTTAAAGTCATCTCTTATAATTGCGACTTAAATCTGTGGTTTATTGATTTTAGGATGTGAGATTTCTATGATGAAGTTATAACGACGTAGATGTAACAAACAAAATTCACGTTAACATCTAACAAATAGAAACAGCTCGTTTATGCTAAAGCTGCCTTTAATAGGTGACTTGCTTCGTTGTTTTATTCATCATTCTATTCGTCAAATCCATCATTTCATAAGGCAATGTTTCGTTTAACATGGTCGGTTGGAATGATGAATTTATACACCGAAGCGAACGTGATTTTGCTAAGTGGAATGACAAATTTGCCGAATGGAAAGATGAATTTGCCAAATGGAATGATAAATTTGACAGATTGACCGATGAGTTGCTGAGTTAAATAAGAATTTGCCGAAAGGAATGATAAGCTTGACGAGAAAAGTGATAATGACGTATTGAAGTCAGCTTTGGCGTTTCGTACATTTGGGGCTTGCCCGACATCGACTCAGAGTGCAAACCAATTTGAAGCATAAACGTACGCAACACATGACATGATCACAATGAGAACTACATGTATATTGTAATTGAGAAAAATGTCCCGAAAGACACACACCAACAGTACATAATGCCACTTCATTTTTGCATCGTACACGGCAGAGTTGCATTGACTCGATTCAATGACTCGATCGAGTCACATTTTATGGTGACTCGACTCGATTCGAGTCCCTGCGGGTAAATGACTCGACTCGACTCGAGTCACTGCGAGCAAATGACTCGACTCGACTCGACCTTATTGACCTAATGACTCGACTCGAGTCACTTCTTTTAAAATGACTCGACTCGAGTCACAATGACTCGACTCGAGTCACAAAAATCAGTGACTCGTTACAACTCTGGAACAATGTGGTATTAATACTGCACTTTGCAGTACGTTGCGTATTTTAATAGCCTAACCACCCAAACCGACAATGGTATTGAGGTTGTTTGTGGTGCAGTAAATCTCAAAGGATTGATAACAACTGCGTCTGAAGGTGTATTGCCGGTTCAAGTGTCAAAATGATTGCTTATGCCTGCCCTGCCGGCTCAAGGCCGTTAGAGATGGTTCTTGTTTACCGGGGTTGGTGCTTGGCTAGCTCGGATATTCTGGTTGAATGGTTCAACCGATTTTAAAAATGCTTGCACATGTTGTACCTGTAACGTATTACCTAATATTATAATGAGGAACTTGCAAAATGCGAATTTTTGGAATAATTAAAAAAAAAGTACTCAAAGTTTACTCCAATAACGTACTTTATCTCCCTCGAGGGTTTTAATGGCTTGTCCACACTCGTAGCAGCCAATGTGGCATTTGGAGTCGGGCATGAGTTACATTTAAAGGACTTTACTGCTAAAACGTTCATAAGTTGCAGTGAAAATAGTATTGTTATCAAAGAAGAAGGATGGACTGATAAGTCGTCAGTATTATCGCAAACTCTCAAGGAAAGCATACGCACTCACACATTACAGCAATATCTCAAGCACACGGCACCCTTTATAAGGAAGACTGCTAGGGGTGAAACTTGCCAACAACTGTAACTTTGTCTTTATAAGAGCCGCCCACCACAAGAAATCCAAGTAATCGTTCATGTAGAAGGAACCTAAGTATTGACATTACACTTGATCTAGGACAGCTAATAATCAACAGAGAATAGGGGATACAGATAATGAGTTCCATAGTGTGGCAGTACGTATATGGGAAGAAATCGGATAAATACCCCTGAATTAGAATTTGCTTTACAGTGACTGATTGTGAATGTGAATGGATTAATAAGCGTGCAGCGCGTCCAAAGGAAGGTTGGGAGATACAGCCAGCTCTGATTTATTATTTACAGGATTCAGTGCGAGTTGGGGTAAGAGTTATCTGTTAAGGATTGAACGCATAGGGTTAGGGTATAAGGTTTGGTTTGGATTAGCTGTTAAAGATTAACGGATAGGGTTAGGGTTACCCTTTAACCCCGAGGCTAACCTCCATTCCCCTTTCTCTTCAATTTAGTCGGTCCTATTTAGAGTGCACTAGTGTCATCTTTGTACCTATTTATCTCATCAATGACTGACTGACCGACCAACCTTTGGGGTCCGGGTTGTGCTATTGTATTGGACTACCCGTAATGCCAATGAACAGGGTGACCGTAATGTCAGAGCCAAATTCTGCTAAATGCACATCAAAAATCTGTCAGATTTATCAAAAATCTACAAAATTCCCCAGAATTACTCGAAATTCACAATAAACACTTAAAATCACATGCAGATCGGTAGTGTTGCCTTCATTTAGGTTCAAATTACATTATAAACAATCTATTGTCACATAAAGATGTCATGATATTATCGTAAATTTCGGGCAAAACGTGGATCCGGCCTCGACGAAGTCCGTTTACCAGTGAACCTCAGCACCTAGACAAGCCAACCTGTCCCATTATACAAGGGTTTTGTTCGACAGGATTGAAGCTTTTTAAAACAAAAGTACCATTTGTTTGTTCAAATTTGCTGTATTTCTGTCAAATAACCAGTTTTGCAGAATTCTGCCAGAAATCTGCCAAACTCGTTTTTTAACAAAATTTATGTCAAAGTTAGCCGAAAATCGGCTAAAACGGTCACCCTGCCAATGAATGGGCTAGATCCGGCCCTTTGCATAAACTGGTCTGAGTATCACCTGTTATCCAAGGAACCAAGTCTCCTGTATAGCGTCTGATATATCTAGGAATGCGTGACGTCATTTCATTCCAAAATCAGGACTAAGATTGTGATTGGTCGATTTCAATGCCGCGTTTTTGTAATACAACAACCTGTACGAAAATATTACTCATCGCCGGCGTGATGTTTACGCACGTGGAGGGCTCGAATTACGCGCGTATTGAAGGCACCTGTTGATTGGTCAGTTTCTCGAGGTCATACGCAGTCTAGGTGCATACTTAATCGCCCAATCTGTTTACGTATAATAGACCATGGTCGTTGTCGCCAGGGTCTATCACATAGACTATGTATAAACCAGCTAGCTACATAAAAAAACTTTCTTGCCATTCGGAATCAATTGAATAGAATTCTGTGCTAACATAGAGTAGGTTCACGAGGTTTTCCTTGTCTTGCTTATATAGATATTACGACAGGCTGTACGTGTTCCAGTGGCCAGGCATTCCGTAACGAGGAGGGGTTGTGCGGGGCACGATCCCCGCTCAGAATTAGAAGAAAAATGAACATTACGAGAAATTGATGTCCCACAATTCCTTGCTATACCCCGGATGTCCTATAGCCCTATAGCCCGGGCCGTCACGCTGTTGTGTCTCTAAAATTGAACCGAGTGAATGTTCTTTTCTCCAACTCATGTGCACACGGCGGAGACGCAAGCTCCAGGTTACCATGGCAACGATTTGTCTATGTCAGGCTTACTGATTAATAGCACAAAGCAACTGTTACTATGTGTGTTTGTTCGAAGCTTTCATTTGATTTACTGTCGCTGATGAAATGGGCTGCGTGCTGTGCACCTTATGAAGGTGCAATTGAATCCAATTGCTTTTTTCCCGAGAGTTTGTATGGTGAAGTATAAATTATGATGTGAAATCTTAACAAGACAGTGGCTGTTTATTGGAATAGCTTGTGATATTTAGAGGCTCCTCTTCCGGCAAGTGAACTTCAAGTTGTACAATGGCTAACCATTCAGCTCCCAACGCCAGTATTGTGCCTTTAACACCTGGGGCTGATGGCCCATGCGACACAAGCATTCTTGCGTTCATGTTGGTTGTTACAGCCGTGGTATTTGTCTTTGGAGTACCTGGTAACTGTCTGATCCTGCGTGTATACTGGACCAAGGCACGTAAGACCAGCACGCACGTTCTGATCATGGCCTTGGCCTGGGCTGATCTGTCCGTTTGCCTTATCTTGCCAATTGACATTGCCGGATCTGCTCTGGAATGTGGAGGCAACGATGAACTCATTTTTTGGTTGTTGGTTAAGACATTCGGGGGAATAGGTGTGGCTGCTTCATTTGGTATCACCGCTGTGATTGCTGCGGATCGCTATGACTGCATATGCCGGCCACAAAGGCGGTATTGCACGCCAAGACGGGCCAAGGTAGCTGTTTTCGTTGTGGTGCTTATCTCAATTATATTATATATTCCTAAATGCGTCAACGATTACATATACCATCGGTCTGTGTTAAGCATTGAACTAATTGTGCCCATTTCTGAAACCTTTGCTGTGTTAATTGCACTTGTAACAATTGTGCTGTGTTATGGAAACGTTTACGTAGCAATCTTAAGGCATGTGAAAGTTGGTGCCACCCCTGAACGCACATCAACGCAAGATGATCTGGTCGCTACCAAGATCGACAAGGACCGAACAATACCATCGACACAATCGGCTCTACCAAGGAAAAATCAACTGAGTGCTATCAATAATCATATGGAGAAAAGGGGAAACGGTTCGGACAGCAATAGCAAATGTTCGAAACAACTGCCATCAGATATTCCGGTTAGAATCGAAGCTAATACGTCCATTGTCGACAACGAGGTGTCGACAGTTATCAATCTGGCAAACACCAACTGTACGACTCATCATGCATCTACTTCCGGGCGGGACATTCTTGAAGTTCCCCAAAATGCAAATGGAAATCTTGTGAATCCTGCCAAGCGAGATTCCAAAGCGGGACCGGAAAGCGTTTCCCAAGCAGTTTCAGAGCAAGACTGTAGTAAGGGCGGGGACAGGAACCACCATGGAGAAACGAACACTCTGAGAAGACACGCCCCTAAAAGGATGGGCGGCGCCGTCCTACAGCGTAAGACAACAAAAATGCTCTTCATTACCAGTGTGGTGTTCCTGCTGACGTGGCTACCAGATCTGATTGATAATGCTATACACATTGCTTATTTGGCAGGTAGCAACATAGACCCTGAAAGTACATTTTACATTATGTGGAAATGGCTTTCTTTCTTCATATTTATCAACAATGCCATTAATCCATTGATTTACGGACTGGCAAACAAACGATTCAGGAAAGACTGCGTGGCAGTGTTTCGCAAAATGAGACGCTAAAATTTTCTTTTTTGTGTGAGATCTCGTATTTCGTGAGCAAAAACAAAGTGGTCTGTAAATTGTTTATTTCGTTTTGTCCGTGTCATTGTAAGTGTTGCACTAAAAAGGAACTGACTCTAATCATTTAAAGTCATCTCTTATAATTGCGACTAAAATCTGCGGTTTATTGATTTTAGGATGTGAGATTTCTATGATAAAGTTATAACGACGTAGATATAACAAACAATATTCACGTTAACATCTGATTGATTAGACGTAGATTATAACACCAGAAATAGAAACAGCTCGTTTATGCTAAAGCTGCCTTTAATAGCTCACTTGCTTCGTCGTATTATTCATCATTCTATTCGTCAAATCCATCATACTATTCGTCAAATCATCGTTTCATAAGGCAATGTTTCGTTCAACATGGTCGGTTGGAATGATGAATTTATACACCGAAGCGAACGTGATTTTGCTAAGGGAACAAATTTGCCGAATGGAAAGATGAATTTGCCAAATGGAATGATAAATTTGACAGATGGACCGATGAGTTGCTGAGATAAATGAAGAATTTGCCGAAAGGAATGATAAGCTTGACGAGTCAAGTGATAATGACGTATTGAAGTCAGCTTTGGCGTTTCGTACATTTGGGGCTTGCCCGACATCGACCCAGAGTGCAAGCTAATTTGAAGCATAAACGTACGCAACACATGACATGATCACAATGAGAACTACATGTACATGTATATTATAATTGAGAAAAATGTTTCGAAAGACACCCACCTACAGTACATAATGCCACTTCATTTTTGCATCGTACACGGCAGAGTTGCATTGACTCGAGTCAATGACTCGATCGAGTCACATTTTATGGTGACTCGACTCGATTCGAGTCCCTGCGGGTAAATGACTCGACTCGGCTCAAGTCACTGCGAGCAAATGACTCGACTCGACTCGACCTTCTTGACCTAATGACTCGACTCGACTCGAGTCACTTCTTTTAAATGACTCGACTTGAGTCACAATGACTCGACTCGAGTCACAAAAATCAGTGACTCGTTACAACTCTGGTACAATGTGGTATTAATACTGCACTTTGGAGTACATTGGGTATTTTAATAGCCTAACCATCCAAACCGACAATGGTCTTGCGGCTGTTATTTGTGCAGTATATCTCAAAGGATTGATAACAACTGCGTCTGAATGTTTATTGCCGGTTCTAGTGTCAAAATGATTGCTTATGCCTGCCCTGCCGGCTCAAGGCCGTTAGAGATGGTTCTTGTTTACTGGGGTTGGTGCTTTGCTAGCTCGGATATTCTGGTTGAATGGTTCAACCGATTTTAAAAATGCTTGCACATGTTGCACCTGTAACGTATTACCTAATGTTATAATGAGGAACTTGCAAAATACGAATTTTTGGAATAATTAAAAAAGTACTTAAAGTGTACTCCAGAAACGTACTTTCTCCCCTTCGAGTGTTTTAATGGCTTGACCACACTCGTAGCAGCCAATGTGGCATTTGGAGTCGGGCGTGACTTACATTTAAAGGACTTTACTGCTAAAACGTTCATAAGTTGCAGTGAAAATATTATTGTTATCAAAGAAGAAGGATTGACTGATAAGTCGTCAGTATTATCGCAAACTCTCAAGGAAAGCTGACGCACTCACACATTACGGCAATATCTCAAGCACACGGCACCCTTTAAGGAAGACTGCTAGCGCTGACACCTGCTAACAGAAACTTTGTTTTTATGAGAGCCGCCCACCGTACCACAAGAAATCCAAGTAATAGTTCATGTAGAAGGAACCTAAGTATTGACATTACACTTGATCTGGGACAGCTAATAATCAACAGAGAATCGGGGACACAGGAAATGAGTTCCAAAGTGTTGCAGTACGTATATGGGAAGAAATCGGATGAATACCCCTTAGAATTTGCTGTTGAAACAGTGACTGGTTGTGGATGTGAATGGATTAAGAATCGTGTAGTGCCTCCAAAGGGAAGGCTGGGAGATACAGCCAGAAAACAAGCTCTGATTTAAACCCAGAGTCCATCATTTGCAGCTTTCCAAAAAAGTAACTGGCGTGATTATTGTTGAAAAACATACTTGGTTGAAAGATAGTAAGATTGGTCTTTCTGGCAAGCTGACATTTTGAAGAAATCAACGAGAGAAGGCCTTTCCAACGGTGCGTCTTAAGAAGCACCGTTGGAAATTTCCGTTAGTTGTTCGGTTTTTTTTTATTCGGCGAAGCGCGCGCAAGCGTTCACACGACGCACACGCGCGCGCGGTTGCTATAATTCGTCGGATTGGTGCGCGACATCGCGTAGCTGCAATCGGCGATTGAGAACGTGCCTCAGACGCTGAATTCAGGCCCTATTCAAAACATGATTCAGCAAGTTTTGATTTAAAATTGAGAGCCTAGAATGTTGTTTTTTTTCCTCGAAATTTACAGCTGAAGCTGAGCTGAAACTTCATCAGATTTGTTATTCAGCACCCTACTTTAGATTTTGAGCACTTTTGTTGCTTCAAACGAACAAAATGCACAAATTACAAATGACGGACTATATACCTTTAATCTTTAAAAGGATGCAGTGATAGTTGGGGTAAGAGTTATCTGTTAGGAATTAAACGCATGGGATTAGGGTATAAGGAAATGTGCAAGTAAATTTTGAACCTATTTAATATTGTGGATTTTGATTAAATTGATCGGTCACGTCTCAAAACCAAGTAGAACCTGTGGGTGAATTGAAGCATTACGAAAAGAACATGTTGACTGCTTTAACTTGTGGTAGCAGGTGTAGCAAAACTAGTCTCCTTATCCCTCGGAAGTGCGGATCCAGGACACATTTTTTTTTTGGGGGGGGGGGGGGGGGAAACGCTGGTTAAAATTTTGTCTGTTAAAAAGGTTGGTTAACATTTTAACCAACGTTGTGTAAAATTGTTGAATTTTGCCCAACATTTGCCCAACGTTGGGCACTTTTTGCCAAACGTTGGTTAATATGTTTTAACCAACCGTCGGGCTGTTCACCTGTTAAGCAACAGTTGGTTAAAGTAGTCAATTTTCCCAACAATGGTTAAAATCGGGTAAATTAACCAGTATTTGGTAAAAAGACAACTTTTAACCAACTGTTGCTGAACAGGTGAACAGCCCAACGGTTAACCAAATAACCAACGTTGGGCAAAATGACTCTGTGGTGCGATCTGAGGCAATTTCTGACCACTTTAACCAATTTTAAAGAAAAGATGGTAGTATACGCAGTGCCTGCCTTTATTGTGACGTCACTTTAAAAAAAATGGGTTCGTTGGGGGGGGGGGCATGGCCGGCCCTTGATTCCTCGATGATCCTTTGAGCGTTCCATTTTCCTCGGCCACGCTTCGGGTTACAGAACAGTCCATCCATCCATCGATAACCCCAGGGAGACATTGTACTATACGCCACTCTAAACAGTCAATATTTGTACAATATGAAGTCGTCTATACATCAAAATTTAAGGACTTTACAGGCAAAACATAAAGCTGAAAGGTGCAGTTACGTCAAATGTCTCACCTCACCTTGCACTTTTGTTTTCGCTTTGCTCCTTGAGCCTTTACAATAACCACAACTAGAGATAAGCTTACAATACGCACTTCGGTGTCTGCACGGTTGTGACGCCCCCCCGCCCATTTTCGAGGAATCCTTCTTCAAAGGTAAAACAGAGATTTTAAGTCTCTAGTCTGAGATGCCCTAATGTCTTTGAATCAAAGAAGAAGGGTGGACTGATAATTCGTCAGCATTGTCGCAAACTAACAAGAAAAGCTGACGCACTCACTTATTAAGGCAATATGTAAAGCACACTGCACTCTTTAAGAAGACTGCTAGCGTTGAAAGCTTGCCAACAGTACCATTTTTAATGAGAGTCATCCTTCACAACTGTCCAAGGGCCACTCAAAGTGAGCTAGGGCTACACATAGAATGGATAAAAAAAGGAAAAGAAGTAATACTTCAAGTAGGTCTAGTAAGATAAGTATTGACGTTACACTTGAACTAGGACAGACAGGTAAGGATCGAGTTCCATGGTTGGGCAGTGCGCGGGAAGAAGCTGGATGAATACTTCTAGAATGTGCTTTGAATGACTGTGGATGCGAATAGATGAAGAAGCGTGTAGTGCGCCCAAAGTGATGGACAAAAAGGGATCGACTGATAACTAATTGTTTTAACGGAGGCAGTGAGAGTCAGGGTACGGGTTATCTGTGAAGGATTGAAAGGATAGGATTTTTTAGGGTCAGTTTGGGATTAGATTAGCGGTTGAATGGTTAACAGATAAGGTTAGAGTTTGCCTTTGACCCTACCACCCTTTTTAAAGAATTGTTTTTGGGCTGGTCCAAGAGGGCCAGCCGAGTATCACCTTCGTACCTTTCTAACCGACCGACCGACTGACTGACTGACTCCCCGACTGCCCGGCTGACTGACTGACTGACTGACTCCCCGAATGACTCCCCGACTCCCCTACTGACTCCCCGACTGACTGGCTGCCTCCCCTACTGACTCCCCGACTGCCCGGCTGACTGACTGACTGACTGATTGACTCCCCTACTGACTCCCCGACTGACTCCCCGCCTGACCGCACTTTGTGAGCTGGAAATTCTATCGTATTGGACTACCCGTAACGAAAATGAATGGGCTAGATCCGGCCCATTGTGCAGACCAGATAGATACATAAAAATTGACTTCCAGTGAATAGCCAATCTAAATCAACTAAATAAAATTTTGTGGCCAATTGTACCAGATTTACGAGGCTTGTCTTGTCTTGTTTATACCGATATTACCACTGGCTGTGTTCCAGTGGCCACTTGTTGAACCACTAATAGGAGGGGCGTAAGGAAACGCCCCCGCTCCGAATTAAAATAACAATAAATGAGCTGTCCAAGAAATGTTCCCAAAGTTACTTGCTTCCCCGGATATTGGGCCTTGTTACGCCCTAAATTGTCAATATACTCTTGTGTATAAAAGTACTTTATGGCGAGTATAATCTTTCTTCCAACTCAATGCCCCACACGCCGAATAGACGCAAGCGCTATGTTACCATGGCATCCATTTGTCTACGAATCACATTGGACGTAAAACGTCTTCGAACGACAACACCCATGATGATGATAATGATGTTAGGTTTAATGATTAGCAGTCTAAAGGAAGCAGATCGGACCTGAGTGCTGTCATTCGATTTACCTCCGGTGATTAAATGTGCCGCGTCCTGCGCATCTTGACGAAGAATTTCTTTTCCCGAGAGTCTGTGAGGTGAAACATATGGTGTGAAAGATACAGCACCCAGTGCTGTTTTGGAAAGTTATTAGAATAGCGTTTGTGATAACTGCAGGCTCCTCTGTCATTAAGGGGAACTTCAAGTTCTATAATGGCCATTCTGTCAGCTCTCAACACCAGTGTCGCGCCTTCCATATCTGGGGCTGATAACTCATGTGACACTAGCATTCTTGCAATCACATTGTTTGTTAGAGCCGTGGTTTTTGTCATTGGAGTACCTGGTAACTGTCTGATTCTGCGTGTATACTGGACTAAGGCACGAAAGACCAGCACCCACATTCTGATCATGGCCTTAGCCTCTACTGATCTGTACGTTTGCCTTATCTTGTCTATCAGCATTGTGGGACTTGCTCTCGAATGTGGAGGCAACGGTGAAGACTTCAGTATGCTGATCAGGACGTTTTGGTATATTGGTATAGTTGCTTCGTTTTGTATCACCGCTGCGATTGCTGTGGATCGCTATGACTGCATATGCCGGCCACAAAGACGGTATTGCACGCCAAGACGGGCCAAGGTAGCTGCTTTCGTTATCGTGCTGTTCTCGGTATTATTTTGTATTCCTGGAAGCATAAGAGATTACCTGTACCCGCCCATGTTAGGCATAGACCTACTTGTGCCAATTGCCGAAAACATTGCTATGTTAATAGCACTTGTAACAATCGGGATTTGTTACGGAAACGTTTACGCAGCAGTCTTAAGACATGTGAAAGTTGGTGCCATCCCTGAACGCACATCAACGCAAGATGATCAGGTCGCTACCAAGATCGACAAGGACCGAACAATACCACCGACACAATCGGCTCTGCCAAAGAAAAATCATCTGAGTGCTATCAATAACCATATGGCGAAAAGGGGAAACGGTTCCGACCGCAACAGCAAATGTTCGACACAACCGCCATCAGATGCTCCGGTTAGAATCGAAGCTAATACGTCTGTTGTCGACAACGAGGTGTCGACAGTTATCAATCTGGCAGACACCAGCAGTACGCCTCATCAAGCATCTACTTCAAGGCTGGACATTCTTGAGGTGCCCCAAAATACAAATGGAAATCTTGTGAATCCTGCCGAGCGAGATTTCAAAGTGGGACCGCAAAGCGTTTCCCAAGCAGTTTCAGAGCAAGACTGTAGTAAGGGCGGGGACAAGAACCTTTGTGGAGACACGAACACTCTGAGAAGACACGCCCCTAAAAGGATGGGCGGCGCCGTCCTACAGCGTAAGACAACAAAAATGCTCTTCATTACCAGTGTGGTGTTCCTGCTGACGTGGCTACCAGATCTGATTGATAATGCTATACACATTGCTTATTTGGCAGGTAGCAACATAGACCCTGAGAGTACATTTTACAATATATGGAACTGGCTGTCTTTCACCATATTCATCAACAATGCCATTAATCCATTGATTTACGGACTGGCAAACAAACGATTCAGGAAAGACTGCGTGGCAGTGTTTCGCAAAATGAGACGCTAACATTTTGGTTTTTTGTGTGAGATCTCATATTTCGTGAGCCAAAAACAAAGTGGTCTGTTCATTGTTTATTTCGTTTTGTCCGTGCCATTGTAAGTGTTGCAATAAAAAAGAACTGACTCTAATCATTTAAAGTCATCTCTTATAATTGCGACTAAAATCTGCGGTTTATTGATTTTAGGATGTGAGATTTCTATGATAAAGTTATAACGACGTAGATATAACAAACAATATTCACGTTAACATCTGATTGATTAGACGTAGATTATTACACAAGAAGTAGAAACAGCTCGTTTATGCTAAAGCTGCCTTAAATAGCTCACTTGCTTCGTCGTATTTTTCATCATTCTATTCGTCAAATCCATCATTCCATTCGGCAAATCATCATTTCATAAGGCAATGTTTCGTTCAACATGGTCGGTTGGAGTGATGAATTTATAATACACCAAAGCGAACGTGATTTTGCTAAGTAGAATGACAAATTTGCCGAATGGAAAGATGAATTTGCCAAATGGAATGATAAATTTGACAGATGGACCGATGAGTTGCTGAGATAAATGGTGGAGCTGCTCTTGTGGCGACACAGCTTGCAATTTGTCTGTCTGGTTTTTAACTGTTTTTAATGTTTTACGGGTCCTAATATCGGCATGGATATCATGTTTGGAAGTCTTAAAGGTTTGTGCCTGGGACTATGTGTTCTATTGCTAGTTTCGACGTTTGGATTGTGTGAAAACACGGGGTTTTCGTTGCCAACGAGCTCCCCAATTCGATATTCTGCTGCAGAGCTGCATGCTATGGACACCCGACATTTGCATGACAATGCTTGGCTATTGAATGTGGACTTACCTAAAGGTATGCGACGTAAAAAAACGTGGCAAAGCTGGTGGAGTAAAAAAACTGATGCGGAAACGTAAGTTCAAACCGTATCTACCCTCAGTTATAGTGGGCAATGTACAGTCCTTGAGAAATAAAAGGGATGAGCTTCAGGCAAATACCCGGTATTTACAAGATTACAGGAACATCTCTCTCATGGCATTCACTGAAACCTGGCTTAAGTACACCGATAGTGATGGTCATGTGGCAATAGATGGGTTTAAACTGTTGCGAGGGGATAGGATCCTAAACGATGCAGAGATGGCTGGTGGTGGTGGAGTTTGTCTCTACGTTAATGAGAAATGGTGTCATCCCAATATTGCTGTGATTAAACGCCATTCCTGTTCCCCCAACTTGGAAATTCTGTCGGTCAGTCTGTGCCCATATTACCTACCCCGGGAATTTTCTCATGTAGTTTACTCAACTATATACATTCCTAATCGGTCAGTTGCCAAGCAGGGTGCCGATGAATTGTGTTCAGCTATTCATGATATTGAACGGTCTAATCCAGATGCCATGGTTATCATTAATGGCGATTTCAATCATGCCTCATTAAAGGAGAGTAGTGTTCAGTATCACCAATATGTCAACTGCTCTACACGTGGCACGGCAACCCTGGATTTATTTTATTCGAACGTAAAAGGCACGTATACTGCCTCCCCTCTCCCTCAGCTGGGACAAGCCGACCATAACTTGGTGCTCCTGTCACCGAAGTATCGACCATTAGTGCAGCGTCAGAAACCAAAGATTGTGTCGATTAAACAATTGAATTCAGATGCCTTGAGTGAATTGCAAGCGTCATTGGAATGCACGGATTGGGGCGTATTCATTGAAGCCAACCCTGATTTGAATGACCTTACAGACGCAATTAGCTGCTACGTTAATTTTTGTACCGCAAATGCTATTTCCACGAAGGAGGTCAAATTCTACCCAAATAACAAACCCTGGATCACAAAGTAAGTTAAAGACGTGATAAATAGGAATAAGCAGATCTTCGGACAGGGTGACAGGATACAACTAAAGGAAATTCAAAAGGAACTAAAGCGTGTCATCAAAGCAGAGAAAGTTAGATACAAGGATAAAATTGAACAGACTTTGACACAGAATAATATGAAAAAGGTTTGGGAGGGAGTGAGACTTATGAGTGGATATTCAAATGGATCCAGAAGAATATTCAATTGCCGGACACATCAGTTGAATATGCAAATCAGTTAAATGAATTTTATAACCGCTTTGATCAGTGTGATTTTCATGCTCAAGTTGAAAACCTTCATGAAATATTACAAAATGATTCCGATCCTTATGAGTTGATTGTTTCTGAACAAGATGTGCGTCGTCAGTTTCTAAAACTAAATACTTCCAAGGCCGCTGGGCCAGATGGAATTTCTGCAAAGATTTTAAAATCATGTTCGAGTCAGCTTTCAAGAATTTTTACTGTAATTTTTAACTTGTCTTTTAGTACCCAGTCCATTCCAAGACTTTGGAAGTGCTCATGTATTATTCCTATCCCCAAGAACTCTAATATTACATGCATGAATGATCTCAGACCAGTGGCCTTAACAGCCATACCAATGAAAGTGTGTGAACGATTGTTTAAGAGTGTTCTGGGTGGTTTTGTATCTAGTTTTATAGACCCTATGCAGTTTGCCTATCAGAGAAATCGTAGTTGTAGTGACGCTATCTTACTCACCTACCAGGACCTGTTACCTTGAAAGGCAGTGTTGTAGAACGTGTCACATGTTACAAATATCTGGGTGTCGTAATTGACAATGAATTGAGACGGCATGAACATGTGGATTTCATTGTGAAAAAAAATAATTCTCGCATGTTCTGCCCTAGGAAACTAAATTCGTTCTATGTTGATCGTAAAATTCTGGCAACTTTTATGAAACTCTGGTTGCTAGTGTTTGGGGCTACTGTCTGATATGTTGGGGTGGAAATGTTGGGAAATGTGAAAAAGACCGCATAGATAGAATTATAAAACAAGCAGGAAGGATTATTGGGGAGTCGCGGCCGTTAGTGGACACAGCATATGAGGATCTGGTGATCGGCAAGCTCACTATGCTACTGAATGACAAAAATCACCCACTTCAAGATAGGCTTGCTGAACAGCTGATCCCAAGGTCTGGTCGTATGCGGTGCCCTATGCTGCGACAAACTGACATCCATCCTCCTTCATTCCTCGTGCAATAAAACATCACAATCTTATGTTCCAGCGTTAATGTGATATTATATAAGGACATTTTTATCATTTTGATTGTTCGTTTTGATTGTTCGTGCAATTGTATATGTAACTGTGTTTTATAATGTGTCGATGTTGTTATTGTATGCGAGCATTTTAAATTACCCCAGTGGGATATAATAAAGATTATTTGATTTGATTTGATTTGATTTGAAGAATTTGCCGAAAGGAATGATAAGCTTGACGAGTCAAGTGATAATGACGTATTGAAGTCAGCTTTGGCGTTTCGTACATTTGGGGCTTGCCCGACATCGACTCAGAGTACAAACCAATTTGAAGCATAAACGTACGCAACACATGACATGATCACAATGAGAACTACATGTATATTATAATTGAGAAAAATGTCCCGAAAGACAAACACCAACAGTACATAATGCCACTTCATTTTTGCATTGTACACGGCAGAGTTGCATTGACTCGAGTCAATGACTCGATCGAGTCACATTTTATGGTGACTCGACTCGACTCGGGTCCCTGCGGATAAATGACTCGACTCGACTCGAGTCACTGCGTGCAAATGACTCGACTCGACTCGACCTTCTTGACCTAATGACTCGACTCGACTCGAGTCACTTCTTTAAAATGACTCAACTCGAGTCACAATGACTCGACTCGAGTCACAAAAATCAGTGACTCGTTACAACTCTGGTACAATGTGGTATTAACACTGCACTTTGCAGTACGTTGGGTATTTTAATAGCCTAACCACCCAAACCGACAATGGTCTTGAGGCTGTTTGTGGTGCAGTATATCGCAAAGGATTGATAACAACTGCCTCTGAATGTTTATTGGCGGTTCTAGTGTCAAAATGATTGCTTATGCCTGCCCTGCCGGCTCAAGGCCGTTAGAGATGGTTCTTGTTTACTGGGGTTGGTGCTTGGCTAGCTCGGAAATTATGGTTGAATGGTTCAACCGAATTTAAATATGCTTGCACATGTTGTACCTGTTATACGTATTACCTAATATTATATTATTATTTTTGAATAATTAAAAAAGTACTTAAAGTGTACTCCAGAAACGTACTTTCTCTCCATCGAGGGTTTAAATGGCTTGACCACACTCACATGGCTTGACCACACTCACATTGACTTACATTTAAAGGACTCTACTGCTAAACGTTCATAAGTTGCAGTGAAAATAGTATTGTTATCAAAGAAGAAGGATGGACTGATAAGTCGTCAGTATTATCGCAAACTCTCAAGGAAAGCATACGCACTCACACATTACGGCAATATCTCAAGCACACGGCACCCTTTATAAGGAAGACTGCTAGCGGTGAAACTTGCCAACAACTACTGTAACTGTTTTTATTAGAGCTGCCCACCACAACAAATATAATGGTTCAAGTAGAAGGAAGCTAAGTATTGACATTACACTTGATCTGGGACAGCTAATAATCAACAGAGAATCGGGGATACAGGTAATGAGTTCCATAGTGTGGCAGTACGTATATGGGAAGAAATCGGATGAATACCCCTTAATTACAATTTGCTTTACAGTGACTGATTGTGGATGTGAATGGAAAAGGGAAGGTTAGGAGATACAGCCAGAGAACAAGCTCTGATTTAAAGCCAGAGTCCATCATTTGCAGTTATCCAAAAAGTAACTGGCGTGATTATTGTTGAAAAACATACTTGGTTGAAAGATAGTAAGGGGACTAAACTCCCTGTAAAATTTCTTTCTGGCAAGCTGTCATTTTGAAAAAAATCAACGATAAGAAGGCCTTTCCAACGGTACGACTTAAGAAGCACCGTTGGAAATTTCCGTTAGTATTTCGGGTTTTTTTTTATTCGGCGAAGCGCGCGCAAGCGTTCACACGACGCACACGCGCGCGTGGTTGCTATAATTCGTCGGATTGGTGCGCGACATCGCGTAGCTGCAATCGGCGATTGAGAACGTGTCTCGGACGCTGAATTCTGGCCCAATTCAAAACATGATTCAGCAACTTTTGATTTAAAATCGAGATCCTAGAATGTTGTTTTCCCAAATATACAGCTGAAGCTGAGCTGAAACTTCTTCAGATTTGTTATTCAGCACCCTACTTTAGATTTTGAGCACTTTTGTTGCTTCAAACGAATAAAATGCACAAATTACAAATGATGAACTATACCTTTAATCTTTAAAAGGATGCAGTGATAGTTGGGGTAAGAGTTATCTGTTAAGGATTGAACGCAAAGGGTTAGGGTATAAGGTTTTGGTTAAGGTTATAAGGTTAACGGAGAGGGTTGGAGTTACCCTTTAACCCCGAGGCTAACCTCCATTCCGTTTTCTTTTCAATTTTGCCGGTCCCATTTATAGTGCACTATTGTCAGCTTTGTACCTATTTATCTCATCAATGACTGACTGACCGACCAACCATTGGGGTGCGGGTTGTGCTATTGTATTGGACTACCCGTAAAGCCAATGAATGGGCTAGATCAGGCCCTTTGCATAAACTAGTCTGAGTATCACCTGTTATCAGAGGAGCCAAGTCTCCTGTACAACGTCTGATATATATATATAGGAATGCGTGACGTCATTTCATTCCGAAATCAGGATAAAGATTGTGATTGGTCGATTTCAATGCCGCGTTTTTGTAATACCTGTACGAAAATGTTACTTGACATCGCGGGCGTGATGTTTACGCACGCGGAGGGCTCGAATTACGCGCGTATTGAAGGCACCTGTTGATTGGTCAGTTTTTCGAGGGCATTCGCAGTCTAGTTGCATACTTAATCGCCCCATCTGTTTACGTATAATAGACCATGGTCGGCTTCGCCAGGACCAGGGTCTATCACATAGTCTAGGTTTAAACTAGCTAGCCACATAAAAAGACTTTCTTGCCATTCTGAATCAATTGAATTGAATTCTGTGCCAACATAGAGTAGGTTCACGAGATCTTCCTTGTCTTGCTTATATAGATATTACGACTGGCTGTACGTGTTCCAGTGGCCAGGCATTCCGTAACGAGGAGGGGCTGTGCGGGGCACGATCCCCGCTCAGAATTAGAAGAAAAATGAACATTCCGAGAAATTGATGTCCCACAATTCCTTGCTATACCCCGGATGTCGGGCCGTCACGCTGTTGTGTCTGTAAGTTGAACCGAGTGAATATTCTTTTCTCCAACTCATGTGCACATGGCGGAGACGCAAGCTCCATGTTATCATGGCAACGATTTGCCTATGTCAGGCTTAATGATTAATAGTCGAGACAAGCACAAAGCAACTGTCACTATGTGTGTTTGTTCAAAGCTTTCATTTGATTTACTGTCGTTGATGAAATGGGCTGCGTGCTGTGCACCCTATGAAGGAGCAATTTAGTTCAATTGCTTTTTTCCCGAGAGTCTGTATGGTGAAGTATAAATTATGATGTGAAATCTATACAAGACAGTGGCTGTTTATTGGAAAAGCTTGTGGTATTTAGAGGCTCCTCTTCCGGCAGGTGAACTTCACGTTCTACAATGGCTAACCATTCAGCTCCCAACTCCAGTATTGTGCCTTTAACACCTGGGGCTGAAGGCCCATGCGACACAAGCATTCTTGCGTTCTCGTCGTTTGTTAGAGCCGTGGTGTTCGTATTTGGAGTACCTGGTAACTGTCTAATCCTGCGTGTGTACTGGACCAAGGTACGTAAGACCAGCACGCACGTTCTGATCATGGCCTTGGCCTGGGCTGATCTGTCCGTTTGCCTCATCTTGCCAATTGACATTGCGGGAACTGCTCTGGAATGTGGAGGCAACGATGAACTCATTTTTTGGGTGTTGGTTAAGACATTCGGAGGAATAGGTGTGGCTGCTTCATTTGGTATCACCGCTGTGATTGCTGCGGATCGCTATGACTGCATATGCCGGCCACAAAGGCGGTATTGCACGCCAAGACGGGCCAAGGTAGCTGTTTTCGTTGTGGTGTTAATCTCAGTTATATTAGGTATTCCCAAAGGCATCAGCGATTACCTGTACCCTCGGTTTGTGTTAAGCATAGACCTAATTGTGCCCATTTCTGAAACCATTGCTGTGTTAACTGCACTTGTAACAATCGTGCTGTGTTACGGAAACGTTTACGCAGCAGTCTTAAGGCATGTGAAAGTTGGTGCCATCCCTGAACGCACATCAACGCAAGATAACCAGGTCGCTACCAAGATCGACAAGGACCGAACAATACCATCGACACAATCGGCTCTACCAAAGAAAAATCAACTGAGTGCTATCAATAATCATATGGCGAAAAGGGGAAACGGTTCCGACCGCAACAGCAAATGTTCGACACAACCGCCATCAGATGCTCCGGTTAGAATCGAAGCTAATACGTCCATTGTCGACAACGAGGTGTCGACAGTTATCAATCTGGCAAACCCCGACTGTACGACTCATCATGCATCTACGTCAAGGCTGGACATTCTTGAGGTGCCCCAAAATGCAAATGCTAAGCTGGTGAATCCTGCTGAGCATGATTCCAAAGTTGGCCTGAAAAGCGTTTCCCAAGCAGTTTCAGAGCAAGGTTGTAGACATGAGGGCGGGGACAGGAACCACCGTGAAGCAACGGACGCCGGGAGAAGACACGCCCCTAAAAGGATGGGCGCCGCCGTCCTACAGCGTAAGACAACAAAAATGCTCTTCATTACCACTGTGGTATTCCTGCTGACGTGGCTACCAGATCTGGTTAAAAATGCTATGGAAATTGCTTATTTGACAGGTAGCAACACAGAACTTAAGAGTACATTTTCTATTACATTAAACTGGCTGTCTTTTACTGTATTTATCAACAATGCCATTAATCCATTGATTTACGGACTGGCAAACAAACGATTCAGGAAAGACTGCGTCGCAGTGTTCCGCAAAACGAGACGCTAAAATTGTCATCTTTGTGAAACCTCATATTTCGTGAGCAAAATCAAAGTTGCCTATCAAATTAATTTTTATTCCACGTGTGTTATCGTCAGTGTTGTACCAAAAGAGAACGGATCTTACTAATGATTTGGAGTAATCTCTTATAATTGTGTCTTACTGAATCTACGGTTTGTTGATTTCAGGAAAAGAGATTCTATAAGATGTACAGAAACTGTTGGACGTAAATTTAATAGACAATATAGCTTTTTATGTCTGATTGGCCAGACGTAGATTCTGTGTGCTTGGCCGGTTTTAAACAAGTTTGTTTAATTAGATCACCGTCAGCCGTGGGAATGAACGCTGATATATATCGACCAATATAAAAGGGCAAACTGTTTAAGAAATCGAAACAGTTCGTTTTTCTGGAACGCAAAAGCTGCCTTGAATAGCTCACTTGCTTCGTCAGATTCATATTTGCATTCGCCAAATCACCATTCTATCATTCCTTGATGTCTTGAGGATTGAAAACAACTGTCACCGCAGCTTCATCGCCGGTTCTTGTATCAGAATTATTGGTTATGCCTGCCCTGCCGACTCAGGGACGTTCTACCCCAGGGAGTGAATAACATAAAGAGATGGTTCTTGTTACTGGGGCTGGTGATTGGCTAGCTATGAAATTCTGGGTCATGATGGTTCAACCGATTTTTAAAATGCTTGCACATGTTGTTAGCCTAATATTTGAATGTGGAACTTGTGTGATTTTTGTGACAGAGAAATTTCGGAGTAATAAAAAAATTCCGCAAACTGTAGTGCAAAAAAATACTTCAGTATCAGTCAATATGTAATAATACAGTCGGGTATGTCTTACATTAAAAGGACTCTACAGTTAAAACGTTAATAAGTTGCAATGAACGTAAAATGCCCCAGGCCCACCTTATCTTGCAGTTTTTCCCCACTCTGTACTACATCTTCACGGGTGCAATGCAATTCCCCGCCACTCCCCCTTTCGACCAACCCTTCTTTAAATGCCAAAACAAACATGGAGACAAATAGTCTCTCGTCTCGAATGCCTTAAAATCTTGGAATCAAAGAAGAAAGGTGGATTGATAAATCGTCAGCATTATTGCAAACTCACAAGGAAAGCTGACGCTCTCACTTATTATGGCAATATGTCAAGCACGCAATGGCACCCTGGAAGACTGCTAGTGGTGAAAACTTGCCAACCGTAACATTGCTTTTATGAGATTACTATAGAGCCACCCATCACAAGATATCTAAGAGTGATACCTCATGTAGAGAGAAGATCAAGTACGCGTATTGACATTACACTTGATCCGGGACGGCCACTTATCAACAGGGATAAGGAGTTTCATAGTGTGGCAGTGCGCAGGAAGAAACCAAATGAATTTGCTTTGGGAACAATGACTGGTTTAAGGATTTGAATGGATTAAGAAGCGTGTAGTGCGTCCAAAGGGAAGGTTGGGAGATACAGCCAGAGAACAAGCTATGATTTATTATTTAAAACGATGTACATGTAGTGAGAGTCGGGGTAAGGGTTATCTGTTAAGGATTGAACGGATGAGGGTATAATGGTTTGGGATGGGATCAGCGGTTGAAAATTAATGGAGAGCGTTACAGTTACCCTAAACCCTTTTCCTTTAAATGGGATATCGCCCCAAGCAAGGCTATAAAAGCACTCTTGGCAAAGGGCTACAGAGAAGAAAAGTATGATGAAAAGAGAAGAAAATTATCGGGAAAGGTGAAGGAAGGAGTTGTATTCCTGTTAAAAGAGGTCAGATCATAGGATGGAGGGAAACAGCCACTTCTTCCCAAAGAGATGCAGAACGTGGGATCAAGCAATTAGAGTAGCTCTTTGTTCTACATCTCGGCGCAGCTAGAGTGTATGGGTGAGATACCATAAACCGAAGTTTTTTTTGGCCTAAGTATATTATGGATGTTAAAAATAAAGCAAAATTACAGCGAAAGATTATTTACCTGTAAAGAGCGAAGACGAAGTGATGTGGTAGAGTCTTTGATAAAGAATAATATGAGAGGAGGTGAAAGCGCGCGAAGTCCAGAACAAACATAGAGGGCGCTTCGCTAATTTAAATAATTTACAAAGGTAAGTAAAAGAAAAGATTACATAACCGGGTTGAGTTAGGCTTAATAAATAAGGAAAAGGGGGGGGGGGGTCTAAAAATAAACATACATTTTCACGACTGTCACATGTCTATGAAGTTCTACCCAGTGTGTAATCTTTCTTCCAACCCATTATGCGCGTCTTGACACGCCGTATGGACGTAAGCTCCGTGATCATGGCAACAAATTGTCTATGTCAGGTCTAATGATAAACAGCCGGAGACAAGCAGACACAAACAATGACTTAAGTGCTGTCATTAGATTTACCGTCGGTGATGAAATGTGCTATAGTCCTGCGCATCCTGACGAAAAAGCAATATAGACCAAGTGTTTTTGTTCCCCGAGAGACTGCATGGTGAAGTGTAGGATGTGAAACCTCTGCATGATCCGTTTCTGTTTTGGAAAGTGATTGGAAGAGCTTGTGGTATTTAAAGGCGCCTCTTCGTGCAGGTGAACTTCAAAATCCATACTATTGGCTAACCTTTTTATTGGCCAACCCTGGTACTTATACTGCGAATTTCATATCGGGGGCTGAAAACTCATGTGACGCTGGCTTTCGTGCGTTCACGTTGTTTGTCGGAGCCGCTGTTTTCGTATTTGGAGTACCTGGTAACTGTCTAATCCTGCGTGTCTACTGGACCAAGGCACGTAAGACCAGCACCCACGTTCTGATCATGGCCTTAGCCTGGGCTGATCTGTACGATTGCCTTTCCATGTCTATTTGCACTGTGGGACTTGCTCTCAAATGTGGAGGCAACAATGGACTCCTGATCTTTTGGTTGTTAATTGAGACATTTGCGGTAATTGGCATTGCTGTTTCGCTTGGTATCACCGCCGTGATTGCGGTGGATCGCTATGACTGCATATGCCGGCCACAGCGGCGGTATTGCACGCCGAGACGGGCCAAGGGAGCAGTTTTCGTTGTCGTGCTGTTCTCAGTTATATTATGTATTCCGCAAGGCATTAGCAACTACCTACACCCGCCCATGTTTGGCATAGAACTACTTGTGCCAATTGTTCAAACCATTGCTGTCTTCATTGCACTTGTAACCGTCGTGCTGTGTTATGGGAAAGTTTACGCAAGGATCTCGAAACATGTGAGAGTTGGCGCCATTCCTGAACGTACATTAACGCAAGATGATCAGGTTGCTATCAAGACTGACAAGGACCGAACGATACCGTCGACACGATCCACTTTGCCAAGGAAAGGTCAACTATGTGGTATCCACAATCATGTGACGAAAAGGGGAAACGGTTCTGAACATAACAGCAAATGTTTGACAAAACAGCCATCAGATTCTCTGGCTAGACTCGAAGCTAATTCGTCCACTGTCGACAACGAGGTGTCGACAGTTATCAATCTGGCAAACACGAGGTATACGACTCATGCAACTACGTCAAAACGGGACATTCTTGAAGCTCCCCCGAATGCAAATGGTAAGCTGGTAAATCCTGCCGAGCGTGATTCCAAAGTTGGCCTGAAAAGCGTTTCCCAAGCAGTTTCAGAGCAAGGCTGTAGTAAGGGAGAGGACACAAACCACTGTGAAGCAACGGACGCTGGGAAAAGACACGTCCCCAAAAGGATGGGCGGCGCCGTCCTACAGCGTAAGACAACAAAAATGCTCTTCGTTACCAGTGTGGTGCTCCTGCTGACGTGGATACCAGATCTGATTAGAAATGCCATGGAAATTGCTTATTTGGCAGGTAGTGACATAGACCCAGTGAGTACATTTCGCATAATATTGGACTGGCTTTCTTTCACCATATTCATCAACAATGCCATTAATCCACTGATTTACGGACTGGCAAACAAACGATTCAGGAAAGACTGCAAGAAGGTGTTTCAAAAAATGAGACGCTAGATGTTCTTTTCAGTAAAGTCCGTCTCGCTGGAGCAAAACCATAGCGGTTGGTCAAGTTGAAGTATGTATTTCGTGTTATCGTCATCGTTGTACCACGAACTGACCCTATCATTTGACATCATTTCTTATAATTGTGAGTAAAATCCGGGGTTTTGCCGATTTGAGGAAAAGATGTTTTCATGAAAAAGAAATGTTCCGGAAATTTTTCTTGAAAATATTTGACTAGGCGAGTGATATGACGTATTAAAGGCAGCCTTGGCGTTCCTTACATTTGGGCTCAACCGACTTCAATTCAGAGTGCAAACCAATTTAGAGCATAAACGAACGGCAAAACATGTCACAGTGAAAACTACAAATGTAGTATTATGGAGAAAAATGTCCCGAAAGACACACACTAACAAACTAATTTTTGCTTTAAACCTTCGGTTATATATACATAATACCACTTCAATTTTGCATCGTATACACGGTTGTATTAATACTGCACGTTGTCGTACGTACGTTGGTTATTTAGCCTGGTCACCCATACAACAGTGGTCTTGAGCTCAAAGGATTGAAAACAACTGTCACTAAAGGTTATTGCCGGTTACTTTTAGATGAAAAAAATACTGAAATGATTGGTTATGCCTGCCCTGCCGACTCAAGACCGTTCTACCCCAGGGAGTTAATAATGACTCAAAGAGATGATACAGGGTGAGTAAAAAAAGCGGAACTCAAACCCCAAAAATTATATTTCATATTTAAGAAATGTGTAGCACCAAAAATAATAATGACAGGAAAGCCAATTTCATAAGCCACTTTTAGATGAAAAAAATACTGAAATTGCTCAATCCGTTCAATGAATATCACCATTTAAACGCAATGACCCTTAAATTAACCTGTTTCGTCCCGAAAAATGAAGATATTTAGTGTGTATTCTTACTGTTTGGAACAACAAAGAAAGTGACACAGAATGCTTGTTTCAACAACTGTCAACAACTGTAGTACACAATATTTTTATCAACAACCCTGGTTAGGAAAAAATGGCATATAAAATCTCCATTTTTTCGAAAAGACGGGCCTTCAAAAGGACTTTGTTGAATATGTTTAACTTTAAACTGCTGGTGATGTTTGAAGACAATTGTGACGACGATTCTTGAAATCGCATTTTTTGGACGAAAGAGGTTTTAGGATCATTGTGTCTAAATGGTGATAAACGGACTGAACAATGTCAGTATTTTTTTTTAATCTAAAAGTAGCTTATGAAATTGGCTTTCCAGTCTTTATTATTGTTGGTGCTACAATTTTTTTAATATGAAATATATCATTTTTGGGGGGTTTGGGTTCCGCTTTTATTTTGACTCACCCTGTACATGTTATTGGGTCTGGTGCTTGGCTAGCTAGAAAATTCTGAGTCAATGGTTTAACCGATTTTAAAAATGCATGCACATGTAATTACCTGATATTTGAATGAGGAACTTGCTTTTACAGAGAAATTTCGTAGTATTACTAAATTTAACAACTCGTACTGCAAAAAAGTACCTTCTCTGCACGTGGGTATTAATGGCTTTACACGAGATAATCTTGAGAGAAGCTTCTTATTTTAGAATTGCAAAATGTACGTACGCTGTGCATCCACACTCCATGAAGTAAATACAACGCCCATACGATTCCTAGTGAGCTTTAACTAGTGAATCCAGTAATAATAATAATTGAAAACAGCGAAAATTATCAGCCAAGAAACTCGTTTTTCGTCTTGATGAAAACGAAAATTCCAGTTGTCTTAACACTTTTACAATCTACTGTTCAGTGTGTTTTGCCATATTAAGTATATATAGGGAGAAGGCTCGTTTGTTTGGTACAAAGATTTCGCATTTAAAGGCGATGCGATGCGACGCGATTTGAGGGTGCAGCCTCACTACACCAACTCGGGACTTGGTCAGTGGCGCACCCAGGATTTGTTTTTTTTTGGGGGGGGGGGCTCACAATTTTTTTTTTAGAAGTTAAAATTTTTCAAAAACTTTTTCCCAAAATTTTGTGCAAACTGGACTTGGTCGCCACCCTCCATTCATTTGATGATTTGCATTTATCCCAAAAGTATTGTGGCAGAAACTTCCAGGGCCAACGCAAGTCTGTTAGAACCAAGTCTGACACCTTTTAAGGTGAATAAGATCTTCACAAACCTAGGCTCTTCCCTAGACGAGAGACCATTCAGAGCGACCTCAAGGCTAAGGGTGCAGGTCCGCCGATTGTAAATGATAGTTAATTAATCTCTGTTAATTGCACAATAGACCTGTAAACGAAGACACCCTGAAGACAGATATTCAGTAACCTCAAGCAACAATGATCATTTATTCAGCAATAACCAATAAAGGTAAAGTAATTGGAATTGATTGGCGTGGTTGTTTTATTGTGTGGGTGCTTTCTTATTGGGGAAATGATCCAAACTTACTGCTCGCAGCAGCAATGCACAACAGCATTATCAATGCACAACAATTCAGCAATACACCACAATGTCAACAATGTACATCAGCATCAGCAATGTAAAACAGCATCAGCAATGTGCAACAGCATCAGCAATGTAGAACAGCATAACAATGTACCGTACAGCAGTACAGCCTTATACTCGCTACGCGTCAACCATGCAAGCCAGTATCAGCAACATACAGCTATGCAGCCTTGTACTCGGGGTGACCGTAAGGTAATGGCATTGGCAATTTTACAGAATTCTGCTAGAAATCTGATGGGAAAAAAATCATTCTGCTAAATTTCTGTCAAACTCGTTTAGTCCCCAAAAATTATGCCAAATTTAGCCGCAATTCGGCTAAAACGGTCACCCTGCTTGTATATGCAACACATCAGCTTTACATTCCAGCGTCAACTCAGCACAGTTCATACGACTTTGTGCAAATCGCGCTCAGACAATTCTCAAACACAGAACACAAGTGAACCGTCTTCTTGTGTGCCCGGTGTCACAGAGCGTCATGTATTTCCCTCCCAGGCATCACGCAAAAAGTGTACACACTCGTACACCGACGAAGTGTGGACGTTCCTTTGTTTTCGTATAGTTAAAAAAAACTTGTGAAAAAAACTCGTTTTACTCACACTGTGAAAACTCTTTCAACCAATTTTTTCCCCCATTATTCCCTTCGGTGTTTCTCTTCATTTTGCCACGAATAAAACTAACCCCAAAATGCCTCTAAACCTGTTTTCCAGAGAGGGGGAAAACTGTGTGGACGTGTTTTACAGTATACTCCCGAGGACAATGCTTTGTGTTTTCCTTTGTTTCTGTAATATACCACAATTCCTATCAATCAATAACACAACCGTCGAATTGAAAGTCACGACTTAAATCATTTAAAGATATCTTTTAAAACATAACAGACATCGTCGATAGCACTAAATTTTTTAATGACTTTGCTAATGCTATATAAATGCTACTTTGGCTCGCCATATATGTGCCAATACCGTACGTTTAATGTCAACAGTCTTGCCCACTTTCAAGCCTTTTTCAAACGATGCGCGACTTCCGCAGGAAGACGGAAAAAGTAGGCCTAAACAAGTTAGTGTCATTGACCTTGACCAAGCATGCCAAGTCAAGAACTTGAACTTAAGTTAAGCTGAGAAGGCGCGATGTTTTATCAGTAAATGCGGAAAGTCTACAAACAGCCTTGTTTGACAACTTCAACCAATCCTAAATCCCCATTGACGGTTGCTCCACACAAATACTGGTCAAAAAGGCTTACAGCTCTGAAATGGAATGAAAGAAAAATACTTAAACTTTGGCCCAAGAAATCGACGGAACTTTCTTCTCGTGATCTCTTAACAGGCGAGAATTGTACCCAACCACAAGTTTATGCCTAAATATATTGAATTTCATAAACTTGAGGGTTGATGCCATTGTCAGAGCGTTTCTTCCAAAATCTGAAAAGAAATGGAAAAGAGAAAGACCAGCAGAGAGAATCTCAATTCAACTGTAAGCATTGGGCCCCAAGATGATGTTTCGATCGGGGTCCTCTACCGGGTCCTTCTCGAAACCCATTACTCCCGCATTTATAAAGTTTTGGTTTGTATCACAGTTACCTTCCAATTGGAACATACATACTCATTGTCTGTGATGAAAACTATCTAGTCACTACATTTGTTGTCTTGAATTCGAAAGATATTTTTTGTAGAAACTAAATGTAGAAACAGGTAGGCCTACTCGACGTGTGTTCGCGCACAACGAAGTTGTCCCCTACCCGGCCTTGGCCAGCAGCCAGGCCGCGGCCGCCCCGCCCGCACATCCCACGGCGCCGGAGATACCCCGAGATTAGCACGCACGTGGAGTTTCCTTGCACCGTACTGTAAAACCATAGAACTAGGACCGATGTGATTCTCCCCAGGATTTTTGTCAAACCTGTTTATGTCGTCATTCAACAACTTGCGAAGCCACAGCGTGGGCGAAAAGAAAAAACGTTTACCTTTAGAAACACTGATACATTTGTAGCAAATGTGGGGGTCTTTAAGTTTAAAGGTAGATATTTTCTAAAAATTCAAAATCAAAGGAGAACGATACCAAATAAATAACGCAATGTCATGACTACGAAAAGTTTTGCAGAAACACGCGGCTGTTTCGCTTCAAAGTACGAGCGGTATAAATACGTTTAAACATTTACACGCATATACAGAAAAGAGAAATCACGTTCTGAGAGTTTATAATTCGCAGCAACTTCCTTTCTCCATCGATGTTCGGTATTTTTTTACGATGTGTACGTACGTACCGGGTGTACACGTACAAAAATGAACATGATGTACTGAACATGTATGCATAAGACCATAGTCACTGGTTCCGGTCCTTGATCATAGCTTTGATTCTGTTAGCACGCGGTGGGAACCAGTGTATGGCGATGACATGTTGCACATGGCGATGGTGGCGGGCACTGCATGCCACACGGAACTCGTACAGCTGTTCTGTACAACAAGAAGAGCGCGAGGGCGGCATGGCTTCGATGTCATGTTTTGATCACATGTGTCTGAAA